ACCTGCTTCATACAGTTAAGCACCCGTCCACAAGTCTCCACTGGTGCGTTGTCAAGGCAATATTTTAGACTACTTTTCTGCATGATTCTAGCATACTGCAGGACTGCACATCATATTAGCTTTATTTTCAGAGAATTACCTCATCACTGAACCAGCGCTGTTCCCATGGTCATATCCCCCCAAATGGATGAGGCATCCAAGGGCATTATTACGGCTGCAATAATCACATTCCCCCAGGCTAGCCGGGCTCCCTGGCCAGCTTTGTCACATGCAATTTTAATGTGATTTTAGTGGTGGTGACCACAATAAGTGTTACACCTCCCAATGAATCACTCAGGGTTTCACGCTGAGTTTCATTCGCAGCCTTGAGATTTCATCATCATAACTGCACGTCTGCAAGGAAACAGTTGCAGCTGCTGTTGCTGATACCTCAGGTGCAACCAGAGGCCAGTCGTTGTTAGTCTGGAGCTCGCTCTGGAGGCATTTTGGGAATGTGTGACACAGAATCTCAGACTCTGCTTGTGAACAGATGCTGAAATAAGGGGTAAAACAACAACCAGCAGAAGGCGTAAGAAAGGGTTATATCATGAGGGAGCGTACTGTTGATAAACCACACAAACACAGGAGGCGGTGTGACCTTTAATGACTCTCAGATACAGATTGTGCTGTTCGGATCTACGCTGTCTCGTCTGGTTCCAATGAGATTAATGACCCTGTCTCCTCTCCCAGGAGACGCTTATTTATAAATTTTTTTCTTACATTCAAATCAGAGGTTTGATACTTTGATACCTCGAATATCGGTCCAATATCAGCCAAAAAACAAATATCGGATTTTATTGGATTATGCATCTAAAATCTCAGATAATAGCATTCCGATTCATGCAGTCCATTCCAGACTCCACTCCAGCACCTCCAGCTAGCAGCGCCCGGGTCCAGCATGCAGATGTGATCACAACAACAGTGTGTACTAAGGTACTAACAAAGTAGAGAGGAGTAGGAGTGATGTCGGCCGTGAGATCAGTGTCAGCCCGAGCCTCAATAAGGCCCTAAGCAAAATCTGATTTTGGGACCCTCTATTTCTGCCAATAATATTGATTGTTGATCATTCACACACCTTCACAAATCTCTTTTATTGACATTCCACGTCATACAAACACCTTTATCTTGGCGTTTCCCTCTCTTCTTCCTCTTTCTTTTCTCGGCTCCTGAAGGATATGTCCTTTTCGTGCGACATTGTTTTGCCCCACAACTACCTGCACTTTGGATGCTCAGTGCACATCGCACAGCAGGAGGAACATAACGGTAGAGTAGCTTTGACATATCGGCAGTAAGAATCATAGGTCTACATCAGCAGCAGCACTAAAATATTTTTACTTTATTTTATTTTTACTATAATATATATTTGATCATACAGAAAGCATCACACATTTTTTTTTTTTTGATTGCTCTTGGGGGCCCCCTATTGGTCGCGGTGCTCGAAGCAGGCGCTTAGTACGCTTATGCCTTGGGCCGGCTCTGTGTGAGGTAGTATTTTTTGTTTAAGTCCGAAAAAGACAAAGTAGCTGAGTGCAAAACTTGTCATGCGCAAGTTTGTGCCAATATCAGATCAATATAGGTATCGGCCGATACTGAAGGCTACAATATCGGTATCGTATCGGAAGTAGAAAGCTTGTATCGGGACACCCCTCGTTCAGATATCGGACTCACAGAATTTAACCTTTGAACTCCTCTTGTTGTGATGTCTGGGTGAAGCAGGACATGCTCCTCAGAGCCATCTTAAACTTGTGATGATTTCACACCCACCATGACTTTAACATAGTGTTTTAGTGTTTCAGTAACAGGAATATACAGTCGACTTTAACGTTGTGTTCTGGAAACACTACGTCAGTTTGACTGTGTGACTGTTGGGAAATGACTTTTAACGAGCTCCAACTGCAGCAGCAGCAGCCAGTAGACGTAGCCGTGGAAGGTTATCTGTCTCTGATGTTTTATCTCTCTGCTACAGAGTCAAAGCAGGTATCTTATTAGGCAAGGCTGTGAGTTTGTTATCAAGGAGGAAGGTTACAAGGCAACCTTCCAAATGACACTGAACAAACACCTCTCCCCTCCCACAGAGCGTATGGTCTGCTCTTGATAGCGAGGCATTAAATAATTAATGTTTTCTCATTTGTGTGTGTTGTTTCTGGCCAGTGCTGCAACATTCGCCTCTCTGAGGAGATTGTTTTTACTCTCCACACAGAGATAAAGCCTCTTTCCGGCTCCCTGATGCTGCAAAGCGCCATAAGTAGAAAGAGTCATCCAAAAGACTTAGTGCCACTGGTGACAGAGCCTCGGCTTCATGCCGACCAAAATACTCATTTGGAGGGTGACATCATTATCATCATCCTTCCTTGTTGCTTGGAGTGAAAGTGACAAATTCCCCTGACTCTAATTATGCTCTTGTTTAATTACTTCCATTTACCAAGGTATTAATTCAGATCCCTCTCCTCAAACCCGCGCTAATTCCTCTATGATGCATTGTCACCCATCATTTTTGCACAGTACACAGTTCATGACTCTAAAAAGCAAACCTGCTGGCACTGATGAACCAAAAAACCTGTGAATGTGGCTGAGTCACACCTCTGGAGGTGGTGAAATATGATAAGGAATTAAGTAAGAAAGTAAAATTGGGTGAGGAGCACTGAGTAATGACTAAGAGAGGGAAATTTGTGAAAGAGCTTATTTCAGGATTCACCTGCTTTATTTGTGTGTGTTGCTAAGTTTGTGTTTGCCAAAAGGAGAAACCGGGAATAGTCTCGCTTGGCAGGTCAAAAACAGTTTTGAAGAGGATGCTAAAAAAGGGGGTTACGGATTTCTCGCCTTAAACATAAAAAATTCAGCTCTGTGCATCAAATCCAGAGTCTGCATCACATGAGTCTGAGTGTTAACTGGTTCGGAAAGTTTGGATCTATTTACACAGGAACTAAATATGATGAAAGGATGAGGCTTCTTTGACTCGGTATCGATTTGGATTCTACTTCACAGCACAGATAAATTGCTAATTACATACCAACTCAAAATTAAAACAGGTTGTCAGTTTAGTTTTATTTTGGATCCCCATCAGCAGAAGCAGAACGCCAGCTAATCTTCCTGGAGTTCATGAAGATGGACAGCCTAAAAACTGATTTTACTGATTTAGAAATAATTCAGCTTTAAGAAAATAGTCACCGGGTTCAACAGTTGGTAGCAACAGTGTTCCTATCTGCCTACTTGCAGCTTAAGTTAACAACTTTGACATTTTTATCCACATGAAAGTCTAAACATGATCATATTATTCTTGAGGGTTTTTTTTTATTTAAAAGGTTAAACGTTAGTGTTTTTCTGTTAGTATTCTGAACAGATGCAGAAAATATCAGCAGCACTTTTCCCTCTCAGGTTTTCTGTTGGCATTTTCTTTCCACTCAGACGGTCCTTCAGTCCACAGGCTGCAGTCTTCTCTGATTTTCAACCATTGATCTTACATTTGTACTCTCCAAATAAATAAGGATTGTGCCACAGTGTTGCAGATTATATAAATTTAGTACAAATCTTGGACTGTATCCTGATTATCGGTTTAACATGTGTTATATATAGAAAATTGGCTTTTTCTTCAGTGGCTTTATTGGCACCGACCTCCTCACAGCAGTTTCAGGAACAAAGATTTTTTATATAATAATTATCAGTCTTGTTGATAAAGGTCTTGTTTGCTGTTGTAGAGGAGACCGGGGCTTGTTGTCACACTTTTTACACTCATATATATTTCTTGGTATCAATACATCATATGTAAACAAAGGTGTACCAGATGAAAGACTGAAGTCTCAGGTATATATTTAGTATTCATGTCATTTTCATATCATGTGTCAGTGCAGAGTTATAACCAATCAAATAGAGAGTGTGATCATGTGACGGTGGGTTGTCTCACTACATGGGGTAAAATGTCATAGTGGATTTTGCAGCTAATAAAACAAGGACAAAATTATTGTTGTTTTCATTTTTTTTTACTTGAAAGTGAAAATCAAAGTCAGACACAGAAAATGTTTATCATTGAGTTAAAGAAAAAGCCATTGAATAAATGTTAACATAAGATATTATGCAACTGTTTTTCTTTTGTAATTCCTGTCCATGTCTTTTTGCTTTCTCCTCTCCTTTAAACCACTCTTTTTTTTCTGTAGAAGTAAAGTCAAAATTTCATTATGACAACTGCTGATAAACAGACTCTCTATGTTAATTTTAATCACTTTGAAACATGTGAAAACTAACCCCAAAATGACTGAGACGTGTTGCCCCAAACTACCATGTTTGCTAATTCTAGCTCTAGATTAAAGTTAGTTTAAAACAGAACAATGACTGAGGTATGACAGGATGACTTAATCTCTCCTCTAACAACTCCACATGTTTTACTGGAAGCTTATTTTAAAATATATCAAGTTTTAATTTTTTACTTTGGGTTGTGCGAAACGGTTAATTGGCGCTCATGTTAGCTACTCAGACAGGACACGCCTCCTAACCATGGAAAGGAAGAAAACTAGTATTCCACTTTTTAGTTGCGCCCCCTAGTGGCAAAGATAATTGCAATGTGATGACTTACCAATGTGACAACAAGCCCCGGTCTCCCCTATATCATGAATAGTTTTCAGTGTGTTTTTATAAATGTCAAAACACTCCTCACAGGAGCTTTAATGTCAGATTATTAGGGTTAGGGGTCAAACTCTGCTTTAACTTGTAAACCAGTGATAATGATTAAATAGTAGTTTTTATTCTCAACTTCAAACTATCTTTTTATTTTATTCTGTATTTCTTTTAAATAGTTAATTTTACGGGGTATTTCGCTGTTCTGAACAATTAGGAATCATGGTCCACAGACAGCGGTCTAAACCCTCCAGAAGTTGCCAGCAGGAGTCTCACGACCCCAGTTTTTATGAGAGGTAGCTGGAGAAAAAAAGTGAAGAAAATCAAAGCGGAAGTGAGGAACTGAGCGGAGCAGGAAAACTTTTTTGGGGAAACTTGAAGAGAGCTGTATGATCAGGGAACTACGGGATGAGAAGCGTCTCCGTCTGTTTGAGAGTCTGAACGGTGAAGTCGTCTTTCAGCTACAATGGGACTCCCTACTTTGGAGTTCAGTGACTCTTTCCTGGACAGTCCGGACTTCAGAGAGAGACTCAAATGTCATGAAATCGAGCTGGAGAGGACAAATAAATTCATCAAAGAGCTCATCAAGGACGGGAACATGCTCATCACCGCGCTCAGGAGTGAGTATCCCCGGCGCGCTCTTTCCCACTCTCACGGCTCCAGAAATCAGCTGTAATAAGTGCAACTACCTGAAAGCCACAGGCGGCTTGTAATTAGAGGATGCTTCCTTCATTACTGCTTATTCAAGTCCACTGTGTGAGTGTGTGAATGGTCCTGCCCCTCTTTGAAGTCTGAGGATCCCCGTGGTCTCCCATTGGGAAGCGTTTAGACTGAAAGGCTTCAAATACAAAAACACATAGAAGGAAATAATCATCAGTATTCTCAGGTTGTCCTGGGTCCTCTAATCACAAGAGCACATGCTGACATATGGAGAACATTAGAGTAGGATAACACAAACTTCACTTCATTCATAGGAGGTGATGCTTTTACTTCTACTGAATAAAAAAACAGGCTGCTATTTTTAATATGAATGAAAGCTGTGGGACTGTCCCCGCTCTTTGACACGGGTCACTGTCCTCTCAAATACTCAGTTCAATCCCAAATTCCTCCACAGTGATTAAAGTTGCACTTCCTGCTCGGCTGTGTCCCTGTGGGGATGAGACTTGGGTCTGTTACCCTCAGAAGTGTGTCTGTGAAATGGAGAGAGATTAGAAATATAGGCCTAATAAATATGGAAAATAGCTGGCCTGGAATGGGACGTGTTACCCATTACTTCTTTCATCATTCAACCTAGCATGATTCTGTCAACCTTCACTGTGAGGAAGGATCACTCTTCATGCTGGTTTCCCCCTCTTCTCCTCTCTCTGCATGTCCTAGACATGTTTCTAAAGCTATGTTCAGACTGCAGGTCAATTCTGATTTTTTTAGCCGTTTTTTAGTCGACACTTATCTGATTTTTTCATGTAAGTGTGAACAGGTCAATTCTGATTTTTTAAAATCTGACCCAGGCCTCTTCTGTATCTGGATATAAATCGGATATGTATCCGATGTGAGTGCAGTGTGGATGCTCAGATCACGTTTATCCGACCTATACGTCTTCAATATGCGACAAACGTCACCATTGTTCGACAACACAAACAGGTGCAGAAAGCAATTTGTGCTTTGTGTGCATGCGGGTCACTTCACGGACGCATTCCGTTTATATTAGATGCTGCATTCGTTGTTGTAATGTGAACGACCGCACAAAAGAACCGGCAGTGTGAACGTAGACTAAAGGTCCTTTCACACCGGGACCGTTTTTGTTGTGCGGTTATTTATTTATTTTTTTTTGAACCCGTATCCTGTCAATACAAGCGTTCACATCAGCGACGTTTTCCCGCCCTGCGATATTGCAACATTTATTTTTTCGGATCACGGTCGATTTTTCTAAAGTTTCACATACTGTGTGTCCACTTCCGACCAATCAGATTGTATGTTGTTGCGATGTCTGATTCGCCTCTTCAAACTTGGAGCTAATTGTTTCAGCAGAACTTCAGATTGTCCAATAGAGGTCCGAACATAGGTTCTGAAGCGACCGTGGTCCAGTTTCAGTTCTCTTCTTTTTTGTAATATTGGATGCACACATGTGCTATGTTTCTATTTCTTTTGAGAAAGTAAAAGGAATTCCAATTCGCCATCACTTTATGTTGAAGTAGACTCCATTTTTGTCTTCTCGCCGGGACACTGTAGGATGGTAAGAGAAGGTCCCGACCTCCTTCGCCTCTGATTGGCTATAAGTTCTGACCGTTTGGCTTGAGCGTGTGATAACGTTTCCAGCTTTTCTAGCCAATCAGAGGAAAAGTCTTCCCCGGGATTCACGTTTTCCCCCCCGGAAGGTCACAAAATCGCATAAGGCTTGATGTGTTTAGTCAGGTGCGTCAAAATTCGCCTCTGAATATTTTGTAATTTTGCGTTCTATATTCGTTCTATATTATGGTCGACTCAAGGTCCTTCTCCCACGCCGATAGATGAGAGAGAGAGGGTTTTCTTTAGAACCTGTCAATAGTACACTGTAAAGATATTTGACCTCTGCCCTGAAAGTGGTTCACCATAAGATGTTTAATGGTAGATAATGACGGTTCCAAGGTAGTTTTTATCTGGGAGTAAATAAAGCTTCTTAACTGACGATACTTAAAGTGATGTTTCCCAGGTAGGACAAATCTGTCTTGTAGTTGTGTAAAAGACATTAAGTATCAGCCTTTTTCACATTAAAGTGACAAACAAAAACAAATCATTAGTTTTACTGTGCTGGCTGCTGTGTCCACACTCGATTTGAAGCAGGATACAATGAGGCATGGTGAGTGTGAACTAAACTATAGATGAGGATGTTCGTAAGAAAAGGTATTTTTGTTGAGTTTTATCGAGAAGAGCAACTGAAAAACCTTAAACCCAGTGAACTTGAGAATCAAATCCTCCCCTGAACAAATCAACCATCTATATTTCAGGCTTTACATCTTAATTTTCCCTCTAAATCACTTCTACTGCTGTAAATTATTACACCAAGATTTCACAAAGAAGTGTCAGCTGTACGATACAGATTGTAAAGGTGGAGTTTTTCTTCTTCCCTATTTTAGTTCCACATTTCTATGAGTTTCAGAGACAGTGAGGAGGAGCACTTCTGAGGGCAGCTGAAGGCCAAATCTATTTCATAGCTTTTCTGCAGCAAAATAGTTGTGTCAGTGGGCAGGGCACCGCAGGTGGACAGTAATACCCCGCTGAATGGTTTATTCATGGAAGCAAGGACACTGAGTGGCGAAGATGCCAAAGGTTCATGCAGTTTAATACTAAATAAGACCTTTAAGCCCAGTTTTCAAGGCGTGTAATAGAAAGGAGCAGACGAGACTTTGATTGGGTTTGATAAGTTCACGGTAGGAGGGGAACGGCGAATCTGAGGTCTTATTTAGATGGAGTCTGGAGTTTTTTCGCGACAAAAAAGGGTAAAATAGAGGAAAGCAACTTGAAGGGTTAACCATCCTAGTGCAGGAGCCTTAAACGCACTACAACCGCAGCAGCAGCCGCCGCCGCCGCCGCCGCCGCCGCAGGGAGGTTTTGTTTCTCTTTTCCTCGTCGTAAAGAGGTGGACTGCCGTTAAGCTGGAAGCTGGGTTTGAGTGGAGGGGGAGTGAGAGTGCAGGAAGAGAGGAGAGACGGAAGTAAATTATTGATGGTCTTAAACTCCTGATGCCACATAGGTTTATGACCCTTTATGACCCACTATCGGCCGTGACATTACAGGAAGACCTCTAATGGACCCTTTTTTAATAGTTATCATCTCATGTTTCAGAATTGAATATTGTACCATAATTCATCCGTCATCATATGTGCTGCATTTTTCATGGCCGTCGTCGTCACCTGGTAAATGTTTCAGCGCATATGAGCAACTTTTTATGAGGGCCGCTGCATTATTTTTGAAAACACACAAATGCAACTGTGATTTTTTTTTTTTTTATCATTCTACATGTGGTTAAATTTGAATAGGTTGGTACTTGGTTGTTGTCTTATCTCCTTTTCTGTATATCGTGCTGTTATTTGTAAATCCTGTGGATCACTTTGCTTCACCAGTCGGTCGGTCAGTGGCTGGCACCGACTGCTCACACCTGGTGTAAATAACAGCGGCTGACTTTCATTAATCCCTTTGTCTGGCTGCTGTAATTGAATACACTAAAAGCAGTAATTAGCTCTTTGTGGGCAGAGTGGGGGAAACCGCCGATAAGAGGCAAACAGTGATACATTTCAGATGCCGCACCAAACTTTGTACACAGAGCACTTGGGCTAGTGGCCAGGCCTGAAAGTACCCAACATGAGGGAGGATGGTTGAAAATGTCAGATTCACAATCGTGTTTCATTTGTTGTCATCCTGATTTGAGGGAAATGTTGAATTAAACTTAGTAATGCTGGGCGATACGGCCTCAAATCAATATCACGATGTGTTGAGCAGTTTACCCCGAAAACGATAAATGGATGATAAATTACTCCACAAGCTGCTCATTCTTGCTCATTTATTTTTCTTGCATGTTTTCCAACCGTTTTAAACAAAAATTTAGTATTTTGTTGTTTTTGTGACGTTTACCATCATGTTTTGTCTCCTTGTGGTTTTTGAATCATATTTTGGCTGCTTAGAATCTTTTTCTGCATCTTTTGTGGTCATTTTGATTCACTTTGGAGTAGGGCTGGGCAATACGGCCACAAATCAATATCAATATCATTGAGCAGGTCCTCGATAATGCTAAATAGACAATAACTACTCCACAAGCTGCTCACCCCCTCCCACTTTAACTTCGTCTACTTCAGCCGCTACGACTTTGAAACTGTCCCCCGTCTCCTCACCTGTCTTTACCTCTATGTCTCTGACATCTTAAACGGACATGAGACCATAGCCTACCTACACACATCCAAAAACAACTTTTATCTATTGTTTTTTTTTTTACACTGAATATACCGATATGGGCAAAATGACCTTGGATCTGATTGTCGTAAATTTCGGTATTTGTAAATTTTCGTTTTATCGCCCAGCTCTATTATTTAGTGAAGAAAATTGATACCACTCATGCTTGTCAGAGCACAAAGAAAGCCTAAAGAAGCCATAGAGCTCCACGTAGTGACTGGGTGCAGTGTAGGCCACAAACCCTGCCTCCCCCATGTAAACAGATGGAGCATGGGTGAAACTTGAAGATATTAAAACATCTTTCTCAAACATGATTTCTGAACAGTTGCGGGGGGGGACTGGTGGTCGCCCCATCGTGAAATACCCCGGTGTTAAAGGAGCCAGCCTGACGACCCTGCAGCTGTTCTGATCGCACTCTTGGAGGTGCAACAGGCAGCAATAAGCAGCTGGTCGCCTCTTACCTGCGCTTACATCATCATACCGATTTATGTCCAAGTATTTTTTATTTTTTAACTGCAAAGTTCAGATCTTTGATTTTAAAAAGACTTGATTGATTGAAGGATGGAGACTCCTGCAGCATCCTTTACCGTGTCACCGGAGTAGAGGAAGAACAGCAAGAGAAAATATAATGCATACTGACGCAAGTGTCATTGAACTATTCATAGACATAAGTGCCCACTTCAAATCAACACGAGAATCCGCTCAGCTGTTGACCGTCCCCACCTGTGGTATCGTTCACATTTTGATGGGGGGGTGAGTGTTATGGTAAGCAAAAGAGGGGGTGACGTCATTCCTGCTGTAGCTTAGCTGGTGTAATATGGTAGCAAGTTCAGAACTCAATGGGTTTTCAGTCTAGTTTCACCATCCGTTTGATATGTCTCTAAAGCTCCATGTGTTTGTCTCATTTGTTAAAGCTCCTGTAAGGAACTTTTTGTTTGTTTCCGTTTGGCGCCCCAATAAGGATTCCAGTCTGTTTCTCACAGCAGCTTTAAACTGTCCTGGATGTTAGAGGTGTCACGATACAACTTATTTACTTACGATACGATTCCATTATTGTAACCTTCAATGTTGACTGATACCGATGTTGACACAAACCTGTGCATGACAAGTTTTTCACTCGGCTGCAATGTCTTTTTTGGACTTAAACAAAAAATGCTGCCACACAGCCGACATCACTGCCACTCCTTGCTGCTTTGTGCACCTTAGTACACACTGATGTTGTGATTTTGTGGGCTCAGTTTGCTGGATCTAGGTGCTGCTAGATAGAGGTGCCGGAGCGGAGTCCCGAATGGACTGCTTGTATTGGAGATTTTAGATGCAGGCCAATATAATCCGATGTTTGTCCCCTACTGGATGTCTTAACCTTTGACTGAGCCCACTTAAAACCACCCTAAATCAACATTTACCTGTTACTGTTACTCTGCTTGATATAAATCCAGCCTGAGGAAAATGATTAGTTTTAGCCGCCGCTTAAATCCAAAATTACATTTCTCCTTCGTGAGGGTGTCAGTACTTAATGTCTCAGTCGAGATTTTGGTGTCTTTTGCGATTGTTTAACGGATCATAACACATCTGCTTTGTGCCACCACCAGTAAGCTGCTTATAGAGATATAATCACTGATAAATGATTACGCTGAAAAAGTAAAAGAATAAAGAAGTAGATGACGGTTTTAAAAGAGGTAGAATCATCTGTCATCTAAAACAACGATGAGGTAGAGGAGCCATTCTTCCTTTAACTGAGGATTAGTGTTCAGCTTCTGCAGACACTTCTGAGTCTGTTTGTAGTTTTACTGAGACAACGTCTGTGTTTCTTGTTTTTTCTATTCTTCCTCTTGTTTACCTGTTTGGCAGCGACATGTGCGGTTCTTCATGTGGGAGTATCAGAAGTGTGTTTCAGTTCTGCACTCACTCTCAGTCATGTAGATCAGAACCACCTGACTAATGAAAGCGCCTGAATGTCACTTCTGCTGCCGTGTCCCTCTCTGATCTTCAGGTTTTTGACAACCACTTGTTAACTCGGCTTTTAGTCATTTCACACTTGGATGGTAATGTACAGCAGGAATGTGAATGAGCTTCGGCTGGGAGAGCGGTCGCTGCACAATCAGAGGGCGTCTTTAAAACCCTTTCAGTGGGTTTTCAGTAAAGGACAGCAAGAAGAGTTTAAACTGAGATGATGCAGGAGAGACCGGACTGAAAGCTGCACAATGTAGGGCTGCACGATTTTGGTCAGAAATAAAATCCAGATTTTTTTATTTTTTTATTCACCAAACTTCACTTTAATACAAAGTTTTTCTATCATCTCTCAAACGGAACCACTGAAAACAATGTAGTTCATATGCCAAGCCAGTAAGTGGAGCTGCCGAGGAAATGCACAAAAGACAGAAGAAGAGTACAGAGCATGTGTATAAAGGTTGTTTTGGCTGGACACGTACAAGCGCCATAAAAGAGTTACACTGTGTGTCACATGATCGTTTCCAGAGATGTAGATAGACATCCACACGGAGATGAAATGGTCGTTGTTTACAGATTTATTCACTCTCTGACCTGTTTTTTTACAGTCACCTGAAATGCTGTTTCCGTGTGGATGAAACGCCGATACGACAAAAAACTTTAGCATTTACTCCTGAATTTGTTTCCGTGTGGACGAGTTGATACCACCTTCAGACAGACTTTGCAGCGGCGAGTGGTTTGCTCTTCACCTGAAACTGTGAAGTTGGGCCCGACGGATTTATCGGTGAGCGTTAAAAACACTTTTCTAGTCCGAGTTTGATTCATGATAAACACGTGGAATATCACTGAGTCACTGAGTAAAGTTGTTTTAGCAATAAAAAGGATTAGAAATGAGTTTTCTGCCTTTAATTCGTTGAAGAAGTGTTTGAAAGGCTCAAAAGCAGCCATTTGTTAAAAAAATAAGTAAATATGTAGGTATATTACTTAAATTAACAACATTTTAAAACTTCATAAAAAAATTTAAAAAATCGTCCGATTAATCGGTAATCTGATTTTTTTCCCTCTTATAATCAGTATCGACATCGGCCCCCAAAAATCCATATCGGTCGGGCCCTACTGTGATGCTGTACCAATTCAACACGACTGACTCGCTCTTGTCCTTTTTAACCACGAAATTATCGCCTTCTTTTACAAACGCCATGTTTGTTTACACTGGTGTGTGTGGGAACTGGGGAGCGCTCCCACAGGAAGGAGGAAACATGATAAAGAGGAAAATGGATTTGACGATTTTAACTTCAATATCGTCATATGTTAAAATCGATTAATCGAGCAGCCCTACTTCAACAATTGTTTTGTCGTGAATCACAGCATGGTTTGGATCTGTATGTAAGGACAGAAAACATTGCTACAACACTCGTGTGCACTGAAGGGACATAGCTGGTGGTTCGAGTGCAGAGAGTCCTCTGAGACCTGCTTAGCCTCAGGTAAGCCTTTAGGTGTTGGAATTTGTCCTTCAGTAAATATTTGCAGGGATTTGTGGGAAAAAAGAACCAAGTATGACTGAAAACAGGCAAAACACCAGCTGAACAACACTTACATGTTTGTGAGGTAGAGTTTAATGAAAATGGAGAACTGACAGGTCGTCCTAAAACATAATAATGCTGCACAAAAGGACATCAATATTTTCCTTTTCCAACCCTGCAGCGATCTGATTTTCCCTCCTGTAGTAATAGCTGGTTTGGCAAAAAGCTGAAATATTTCTCCACAAATGGATCCAACTGGACCTGTGAATGTGTCGAGCTCATTTAAAAACTGTTCGGTCTCTGTGGAGTTATTCGAGGATATTTCTGAGACAATGTTGTTTTATATGGAGAGTCATGAGCGTCCCTATAAGCGTGTAATTTTCATAAGCTTTTTATAAATGCACATTAAACTAGCAGACAGCCCGTTATTAAACACATCGGCTGTGTCACGCAGACTGATGCTTTCTTCCTGGGATACACGCAGTAATGAACGGCTGACACAAAAGGGTGTTGCTGCGATAAAAAATTACAGTATTTAGCCTGTAAACTGCATCTTAACTTGCCTGTTAATCCAGAGATATTTGTGTAATTTAATACAGCTATAATTACCGTCTAATCTAATTAAAAGAAGAAGTGACGTAAATGCCTTTTTTTAAAAAGTGATTTTCAGATTTGGGAACGGAGTGTTTGTTTTTCTGAGGACAGATGATGCTCCCAAGGCTCAGCCACAGGAAATGTCCTGTAAACACACTTGTATAACCATCCCCCATCCTCCCTCTGATAGCGCTGGGCTGAACATGATTCTGCCTCTGAGTGAAAGCCTCTGGCTGACTGTAAAGAAGGCTGCCTCTTGTTGCAGGATTATACCATTTATAATGTATTGCTGCCGGTTTCGACTGCCTTGATGAATTTGAACTCATGTTATGGAGATGTAATACAGAAATACATGATGTGACTTGTTTGGTAACGAAGTGCAGCAGAGAGGAGGACAGCTCTGTGAGGGACACGGCTGTTTTTGCGGACAGGTTTTTGATAAAAGGATTCGACGTAATTGTAAAAGCCGCTTCCTCTCAGACTGTGCGGGGAAATGTGTTGGAGACTCCTGATTGAGGTCCGCTCTGAAGTGACTGTTGTTGCTCTGTCAGTCAAAGTGATTGTCACAGCGAGCACACCATTCTCATGCTAACAGTCGGCTGCTGCTTTTGTTGCCTCTTCAGACTGCAAAGACTAAAGTGAAGCGTTAGTGTCTCTCCTCCACGACATAAAAAATTCACCAAAACTCCTCTGCTGGATATGTTTATTGAATTATTTAGTGTGTGTGTGTGTGTTGTCATCCTTTTTTTTCTCTCAATGTAGGTAAAATGTCATGCTCTCGAAGAGACGGAGAGTCACTAAGATTTAATTATGAGGTTGAGCTCCATTAATACTTCCACAATAAAAGCTTAATTCAAAAGAAGTTAGGATAGTAAAAGCTAAAGCAAGTATTGAAGTAAAATATTTCAAAGTTTATAAAAAACTACATGCTCATTTTCAGCTCGATGCTGCAGAAAGAGTTGAGATGGGGGCATGTTTACCAAAGTGCTGCATCACGTCCTTTCTTTGACAATATTCTGTTAAGGTTTGGGAACCCCAGAGACCAGTTTTGGAGTTTTAAAACAAACTCATTCTTGCTTCATGGAGGATCGTAGCCGTCAGAAAATCTGGATTTCCTTTGACGTTTATTTTTTGGTATCATGATGCTCCGAAAGTTTTTAACGTGATAAGTCAGGACTGCAGTCGGGCCAGTTTAGCACCTGGACTCTTCTACTACAGAGCCAAACTGTTGTAATTGGTAATAAAATCTGTGATCATAATTATAATAACAGGTGCAAAGTTGGATTTGTCATTGTGTTAACAGAATATGTAATATGCAGTAGGGCTGCAGTTATCAAGTATTTTAGTAATCGAGTATTCTACTGAATATTCCATCGATGAATCGAGTAATGGGACCCAAACAGCAGACTCGCATACAGTGAGAGTTCTTACATCACAAATCCAAGCTCCGCCCCGGGAACTCCGCTATGCAGGCCAGACTCGGAGAAATAGAGAGGACGATCGTGGAACAAGCGTGTGCGTTGGCGGATTGCAATGCTTGTAAGAAAGCTAATTATGATATTTACTTTCATGTCCCCAAAGACATTAATATCCGAGAGTTGAATAGCTCCTATGTTACCTGCTACTTCTACTTCATCGGCAGTGTTAGGCTGTAAGCTACCAAAAAGAAGAATAATTAGTCACATAAAGAGTCACATTAGTACAGAAATTTCTTTAGAAGATCTTTAGCGAAACCTTATCACAGTTGAGCTGTTTGCTCACGCACTCAGCCTCACTGGAGAGCCCCTTTTTATACCCAGTGACGTTACGAACTTCAACATCTGTTTTCATCAACATCTTTTTTCATCCCCCTTCTTCTTTGTAACTTGAATCATACGATCATTTATTCACGGGGTAAACGATGTCGTCGTCCTGTGATCTGAATGTCTTTGACATGTGTGTAGGTTTAGAGCGGCTCCTGTGGAACTAGCTGGCAGACGTCGACATGTAAGAATATAAATGACGGTGAATTTATGTGCCAGTTCAGCCCACACATGACAAACTGAGACTTTGGACGGCTCAGTAGAAAGTCTCCCAGGATGTCAAACGTTCTCGGCGTTTTGACAGCGGGGGGTTTGTGAGCAGTTTTGCACACGTCTTTGTTTTTGAATCGTCTCACTTTAAAGCGTGTTCCTGGATAATTGGGTGTGCCAACACGAGAGCAAGAAGCTAACTCACAAATAGATGTTTTGTAAGTGTGAAGATACACACCAGCTATTGTTGCAATTGGAGTGAAATTCGTCTTGTTTTCTCTGAGCTCCTCTCCCTTCAGAGGCGAGTTCATCTCCGTCAGAGGCTGTGTCAGGCGTGTTGTGAGAGTGTCTCCTGGAAGAAAATCTTTCAACTCAGCCTAAATGCTGCAGACTGGGTGATAAATGGTGGGGGCTGGCCTGGATGGCTTTTTTCATTCCCACAGAATTGCAGGGCTAATAACTCTGATCCTTTTCTTCGGAGTTTAAGAATTGGCTGTAGCATTGCATCAGCCTCATATGAAAGACCCGGGGTCAGTAACTGCTTTCTCTGCACTTATTTTCAACTGTTAAGATGGAGCGAACAATTTAGCGGTTTATTCTGCAGGGGTAAAGAGTGACATTATTATTTCGCAGACTGAGATTTTTACCTGTTTTTTTTACTAATCTCCCTGCTGTGTTAAATCCTCGATTCACAACATGTGATTAAACCAGCATCAACAAAATCGCACCTGTCCTATCAAATAAGCAGAAAAATAGTTCAATGATTGTTGAAACTGAGGGAAAAAATCATGGTATTAGCGGTATTGATCCTGAAATATTAACTCTTGTGTTTTTGACCTTTGGTGTCCCTACTTGAATACAAGTTTTGCTAATTTTGACCTTTGCTTATATAGAATATAATCCTGAAATTCTTGCCCCACCTCTTTGTTACCAGTATCTTATAATAGGGCTGGGCGAGAAACCGAAAATTTATCGATACCAACGTTTACGACAATAACCAACGTTATTTTGCCCATTTCAGCTTTTCGGTGTCAAATAAATAAATCAAAGTTGTTTTTGGATGTGTGTAGGTAGGCTATGGTCTCATGTCCCTTTAAGATGCTGTCCTACGTCAGAGACGTGACTCCACCCCAACCAGTCCGTAACAAAGAGGGAAAGACAGGTGAGGAGATGGAGGACGGTTCAGAAGTTGTAGCGGCTGAAGTAGACGAAGTTAATATGGGAGGGGGTGAGCAGCTGGTGGAGTAGTTATCGTCCATTTATAATTATCAAGGTGAACTGATCAATATATCGTGATACTTATTTGAGGCCATATCGCCCAGCCCTAACAAGTTTTGCCACTTTTTACTTTTGCTTAGGTAGAATATAATCCTGAAATTCTCGCCCCTCCTCTAACCACAAAACTGAATTTAGAGTCTAGTTCCTCTGGTCACTCAAAAAGTCCCTAGTTCCTCTGGAAAGTTCCTGTGGTTGAATAGTGCCTTAAGTCGTAACTTCTTCCTCATTTTCGTCGACAGGTGTGTCAACTGCACGGCTCAACACAGAGAAGAAGGATGAGGACAAAATTAAACATTTTATCCTTGCGGAGGAGCTGTTTACTTTGTCTAAGCTAATGTTTGATAGTGGACAAATTTGAGTAGGTTGTGTTAGCATGCTGATGTTATAACTTGACTATTATAAAAATGTAGAGTCAACTAGGGCTGAAACGATTCCTCGAGAACCTCGATTAGAAAAAATGATGGAGGGATTTTCTCGGCCTCGCGTTCTCGTTTACAAGCTCAAATCGTTATTGTTTCGCACGGATTATTTTCAAGGTGACATAACACGCTTATGTCTGACCTTCATAGCAGAGCACCAGGGTTGGAGCTTAGATTTGTGATTTAAGAAATCTCACTGTATGTGAGTCTGCCATTTGGGTCTGATTACTTGATTAATCGATGGAATATTCAGTAGAAACTCGGTTACTAAAATACTCAATAGCTGCAGCCCCAAAGTCAACATGCTGCAAGAAGACAGATCTTAATAGTTTACCATAAACATTATCAACCATAGCATGTATTTTATTTTTAAATGAATAAAATCACTTTAAAATCAATATATAGTTCCATTTAGTTTATGATTGTGGTCAAAATCTGGACAAGAATCAGTGAAATTCATGATGAAGGTTTAGTTATGTAAAACAGAATCGCTTCAGGGTGAGTCAGGGTCATGGATTATCCTTTACTTATAGTCAGCTGCACTCACGTACATACAGTATATCAGGCTGCTGTAAACTTATGATAATGCGACTCTTATTCCATTATATCAGAGACTCTAAAAAAGGTCCCCGATGAGCCGTGAACCCTCCCCAAACTTTTTGCTTGCTTTTAAAAAAGAAGTGGTGTAAATACTGGCAGCTAATATGCATTTTAATTGTACAGTATACCGTACATGACTGTACCCTTGGGAGCGTGTTCTCTGCTCTCCAGCCTTCATGTTTTATTCAGCCGTATTAAGACCTCTCTACTTGAAAATTAGTTCGGAGGTTGACCAACTGCTTCTCAAAGTTACTGCCTGCTACCACAGGAGCCGGTGTGGAGTTATTAGATAAGGCTTTTGTTTCAGGCAGAGGTTAGCTGTGGGAAATGTTCAGTATGCTGCAGGAGTACAGCGACCTGTCTGGTTGGCTCTCCTCACGCAGCTACTCTCTCTTTCCTGCTGGGCGACTGACAGGCAAATGTTATAGCAAGCAGGTGGGAAGAGGCCTTACCTGAGGGGCCGCTACCTCGCTACAATCCCTCCAAATGGAATCAAAGTGGCACAATGCACCTTACTGTTGCATCAAAGAGATCTCCTCATCTCTCGTTAAGCTAGGCGCGCAGGAGCGTTCGCCTTTGAAGACCCTCTCATCTAGAATCTGCCGCGTCTCGCTGACAGGATGAAGTAGCTATGGCGGTTCTCACAAGCAGACAATCTGTGCTAAAGATGAGCTCTTCAGTATGCTATTGTTAGCATGTGTTCACCTCATTGAGGCTGCGGAGATGTTAAAGTGCGAGAATGTGCCTTGAAATAATAACAGAAATTACCTTGATGGCACTCTGAGTCGTTTAAGTGAGACTGTAAATATGTAGCTACTCCGCGAAAGCCGAAGCCTGAATGATTTATTTTGCTAATAGTTGCTTTTTTAATGGAGCACATCTACGCCGTGACGAGCTTTTCTCCTCTAATTTGTGTTAAAGCTCTTCATTAAAACAGTGAGAGGAGTGAAAAGAACAACAAGGATGCTGCTCGGTAATTATTGCGTGTCAGTCACAGAACACAGAGGAGCGCGCTGACGGTTAAACGTGCCTCGACATGAGTGAGTCACCGCCACATTTTTAGAATAACTTCTCTGCTGATTTTATGGGTTTTGGTCAATTAGAGGTAGAAAAAAGTCTGAGAGAACATGTTTGGAGTATGTTTGTCCTTCCAGCAGAAGTTTATTTCAGCTCTTGTTTGGTGTAATTAGTCTCTCTCTCTCTCTCTCTCTGCGGTGTGATGACTGAGACGGTGTCACTTCTATAAACAATGCCCTTGCAATTTACCTCCAACTCCCTCGGTTACCTTGGAGGCATTTTATCCATGGCAGATTAAAATATGAAGCAATTAAAAACAAATGCAGCTAATTGGAATTTAGTTTGTTAAATTTTATAGCTTTATATGTAATGAGGTTCTGGGCAAAACCTTTTACACACAGTTTTTTTACATGTCTCTCCACAAAAGCATGGAGTCAGTGAATTTGTGAGGAAATTGTTCTTCACAGTGTTCCAAGGTTTCTCTGACTCCTCCTCAGAATACCAATTTGTGAGATGAAGATCCATTCACCTGTTACTCGATTTTACATTTAAGCAAAAGGAAAGACAGTTAGTGTTCACAGTTGATTTAACTTCAGCTGGACTTCTCAGATACATGCAAACATGGACCTCTTGTCTCTTTTACCTCGATCTTATTTCGGCTTTACTGTCTTTTAGCTTTTGTTTAATTAATTTTTTCTTAATTAACCTTTTAGGCCTTTGCTCATGTCTTTTATTCTATTCTATCATTAGGGTTATAATTGTTATTATTTTATTATCCTCTTTTTATATTTACTATCCTGTTTTCTGCCGTCAACTTCCCTTTTGATTGCATTTTCTTTTTCTTACCTATTTTATATATTTTTTTGGTCCTTGTGGTCTCCTGTTGCGTTGCATGGTTCTTGTATTGTCTGGGTTTCTGATGACATATGAAAATGGCCTTTAATTCTGAGTCCTTGTTTTAAATAAGCTATTAGTTTATGTTAGTTTTTATTTCCGTATGCTGACATTCTGTGCTTAATGACTATAAGCCAAAACACTTTGTAAAACTTGTTTTGTTAAAGTACTAAAAAAAGGAAAGCGACGATTATTATTATTTTTTATTATTCATAATATATTTTTATTATTATTTCAATATAATTTTATTTTAATTTGTTAATAATTATTATTGTTTTTATTTTTAAATTATTATTATTATTATTATTATTATTATTATTATTATATTACTATTTATTATTATTATTATAACCATAGTTATCATTTATTATTATTATTAGTAGTAGTAGTGGTAGTAGTAGTAGTAGTAGTGGTAGTAGCAATAGTAGTATTATCATGATAAATTTGTAGTATTATTTTAAAATTATATTATTATTATTATTTTTCAATTTGCATAATTATTATTAAAAAATGTTATTTTTAAATTATTTATTTATAATTTTTATTATTTTTTATCATAATTATTTATTAAAAATAAGAAGAAGAAGAAGAAAAATAAGAAGGATAACTATTATTATTATGTATTTGAGACTGTCTCTAGAGTCTGATTGGAGTCAATCACATTTCCCAAAGTCCAATCAACAAACCCCGATACTGCACTCAGGGATCGTTTTTCACTTGCATGTGTTTTAGCTTGTGTGCTGATTTACAGTTTGCACACCAGGCTTTGACCACGAGTCAAACATCACTGAAGGAAGCTGTGAAAATTGTTACACAAAACCTTAAAAAAAAACTTTGTGTGCAAAACTCACCGCCGCTAAACTGTGAAAATCCACACGGCCATCGCTAAATTCATACCTGTCCTGAAATGACAGTTTAAGTCCACCCTCTACTTGAAGTCAGTCTGCACCTGTGCTCTGCATTAGAGCTGCAGACTTTCCTGCAGCGTCGTCTGTGTTTTGTCAGCCGTTGTCAGCAGATGGAATTAGGTGGTATGCAGTTGCCCTGGAGACGAGATAAATTGTGTACCCTGGGGGGTTTTGCTGTGTGGTGACTGACAGCCATAGTCCTCCTCTCTCACACCTCACAAACACACCGGGCACTGACTCAGGGAGCTGCATCCGGTCATGTCGTGGCTGGCTGGTCAGAGCTCCTCTCTTTGATTGAAACCTGCTCAGGAGGACAGTCCACCGTCACCGCTGGTCACTCTGTTTCCTTTTAACTGTGTGAGGAACCGTTGGTGCAGGTTAAATACTGAGCAGCCGTGTGCAGGTGAGATCAAAAGTTGCAGAGGGTAATAAAATTAGACAGTGCTATTTTAAGGTGGCGGTATAAATAGTGTATAAATGAGCTCTTTCTCTCATTTCAGAGTTACGCTTCATGTGATAAAAAGCATCTTCAGATTCAGGCCTTATCAAAGTAACACTTCTTTCCTTTTATTACTCCTCTGAACAGCACAGCTCTTTTTCTCTCTCCTACCTCGCACACAGTCCCTGCCTCTGTCAGAGGAGATGTAGTGGAGTGAGATGAAATGTCTGAGGAGCCATGAAGTCTCCACTCTCTGTACACCCGAGTTCATCCCTCTTCCTGTCTTAATTTTTATTCTCTCCCTCACTTTTAGAATTGAAAGTTATCCGGCTGTCTGTAGAGGCTGTGCCGCATGAATATCACCTTTGGGGTCTTATTAAATCATTGTAATATGGCCGGCAACACGACTCAGAGAGACCCCAAACAAACCCAATCACTGTGCAGACTTCTCTGACTCATAACTACGGGGAAATATGACTCTCAGAGAGACAGCTCTGGTCACTGCACTGACACCATTTCTCAATCAAAAGCTGATTAGCAGTAATTTTATCCAGTACACCTGTTCAAATGCAGAATCAGGTCTTTGGATTTATAAAACCGCCTCTATTGTTTCCACTAAAACTTTTGATTGTACCACACAGATTGTTTCTCACTGTTTATGCCTAAGGTTAGAAATTTCGGCTGTTCATTTATCTTCCTTTATCCTCTTTCCCTTTCCATTCATCGCTGTTACTCGCTCCTGTGATCACTGTAAGTGAGTTTTTCTTTGAGCAATATTTTCTTCAGCGCCCACCGAGGAGCAGAGGGCCGAATCATTAGTGGTCATTTTCAGGGTTAGTTAATAATGCATGGGGAACAAACACAGATTTGTTATTAATTTGGGGTCTTTTTGATCATCGCTCTTATAAAAACGTTAAAATTTATTCATGTTTATGTTCATCTTGAGGTGGAGAAGTTTACCGCCGCTTCTATCTTGTCGCTCTGCAAGCTGATACATAATTAAATGAGACCGTTTACAGAATATCAGGATCTATTTTCTCGGCTGCTGCTACTTATTATTACAGTTGACCTAGGGCTGGGCGATAATGGCAAAAATAATAATCACAATTATCACGGGGGTTAATCAGTTGTGTGATCGCTGACAATAACTTGCTATTGCTAATACTCGGTGCGTGCGTGCTATGCGGTGTAGCGCTCATGTCCGCTGCATACATATGAGTCAGAGTTAGAGCCACGTAACTAAAAAACAAACTTTTATTTAGCCGTGGATAAACTGCACATTGGAAAAACCCTGAAGTTGGTTGTGTTGCTTTGTGGAGCAGAAACAACAGTGTGACAAACTTTGCAAACAATTTCCTTTTGCTTGACATCTGTAAAATTGACGCCAAAATGTTCTGAAGTTGTTCTAACTTACTTCTCAACCAAAAGCAGCCCTCCTGCCGTGTTTTTAATCACTCACTCCTCACATTAGTGATCCACACACGTCACACGCTTGCTGCAGCTGCACGTAACAGGGATGCATTCAAGGGGTTTTTCCAGCACAGGAACTTACAAACATGCCGCACTGTGTGGTGCATTAATTGTTTTTCTTCAGTTATAATATTTTTATGATCATAAGACGTCAAAATCAAAATTATGATTAAAATTCGATTAATTGTCCAGCTCTAATTTGATCATAAAGAAAGAGCATGATGAACTTTTTTAATCAAGAATCCTTGATTACACATGTACGGTGCAGAACCCAGTTTGTCCACAGGGGGCGCCAAAGTCCACACAAAGTGAAAACCCCTCACAGGAGCTTTAAAGTAATGATTTGTTTTTAAGTAAGATTGTGAAAGAGTGAAACCGGCTGAAGTAGCAGTCAACTTGTTTGTGTTAAAATGTCTGATGAGGAAGTCAGAGGTAGACCGACTTAAATCTCTACCCACAGACTTAACTAAGAAGCAGACAGGGTCGTGGATTTAGCTGCTTAGAAAAACATTAAGAAGAGCTCAGAGGTCGGAGAATCGTAACGATATTTTATTCGTTTGTCCTGTTTGTGCTGTCCGCCCTGGTTTATGATGGCTTTTAGAGGCATTACAGGTATGTTTCTGAGGTTACGGCCGGTTTGAATGTCAGCGCTAAAAGATCATCGTTTATTGATGGCACTGCGAGTTCATCCAGACAACCGCAGCCAGGTATTGATCGGAAATCAGCAGCTTTCAAGACAAAGCAGAAATGATAGGGGGGCTCACACTCTCAGCTTCGCTCAGCAACATTTCCGAGCGGTCGGAGAGACAGACTCTTTTCTCAGTTAGCAGAGATGCCGTTAAGAGCCTTTCAGTTCGTCGTCTCATTGAGTAAAAGTCTCGTTATTCTGTTCCTACAAATACGAAAATACACTGAAATACAATACAGTGGTGTTTGCTGGGAAAAAATACTCCCTGACAATTATCACTTGATTCTTTGGTATCAGACTTTCCGAGCAGTTTATGTTCCTGTGGAGATGAGAGTATTGATTTCTGTGGGCTTTTAAGGCTGGTTAGATAAACTATTGTTGTCACAGTACGGGCTGTGTGTGTTTCAACACAAAAGCCATTGTGGACTATCAGACCTTTCATCAAGTCGACAAATTTCAGCTGTCAGTGGAAATGTGAAGGTTTATAATTTTAGGATTTATGGCCAGCGTTCAATTTGAGTCAAAAGTAATCATGAAAAACTTTATTGAACCAGATTTTATTCTTTCAAAATGTAATGTGTGGTTGGAGAGGGAGCTTTTCGACACAAACTCCCTCTTGTTACTTCTTTTCTTCGGCTGTTGCTGCAGAAAATAGGGATCAGTGCATGATAGTTTTAAAGGAGCTATAGCAAAGACCCTGAATGCATAATGCCAGACTGTAAGGCACAAACAGTACGAGCGGCTTACATAACCATATATCACGCACAGTTTGAAGCTATAAAACAACCTCTGGAAAGCTTTATGTCTGGGTTACTGCAGTTTTAAATTAGGCTTGTAAAGCATTACAACAACCGCAACCTCCTTGTTTTTACACACAGTAATACGACCGAGGCTTCTGTCGCTAAAACACTAAAGTTTCAAGTGTCTGCAGAGCTCGTCTCTGTGTGCATAAGCAGGAGTGTTTTAAGTTCCTGCTTCTCCAGAGTCGACAGGTCTGATGGTGAGACAAGACAGAACCAAAGGAGCAATTAGTGAGTCATTGTCAACAATGGATGTGAGGAAAAAACGTCTCTGTTTCCAACCGTGTGGGCTGACTTTAAAATGTCAGACACTTTAAATATCTCCATGTACTTATGCCGTTAATTGTAAATTCAGCAGAATTATGAAACATTCAAAGCCTCCATTACCAGTGAAAGCTTTGAAGCACTTGTAAACACAGGGATGTAGTTAGTCGTCACACAGCAGACCCACACACTCACCTTTATGCAACCAGGGGATGAAACAAACTGAAATCAGTGGCAGAATGAACAATGAAGTGAAATTATTATTATTATTAGGTGATTCATGGAGCGGCTCAGCTGTTTGCAGGTCATCACACCCTACAAATGTGGTCTAAAAGACAGACTGATTCATTTCTCTCATCATGTTTGATTTCCTGATCTTGACTGAGTGTTTCTCTATGATATCAGATCAGAAACAGATTTGATTTTTATCTTATTTAATTGTAACTAGGGCTGGGCGATACGGGAAAAAGTTTATCACGATATATTTTTTTCATATCAGTCGATATCGATATATATCACGATATAAAAAATGAACTTTAGCAGTGCTTATTGATAGCATGTCTTTTGCAATACGATAATCTACTGCATCTGTGAAGTCTTTGTGTCTTTATGCACTTCTAACTCAGTAAGTCCACGGGACACAAACTAGAAACTTACATACAAAACCGCAGACATTTGAAGGATTTTATAAACAAACCCGGACAAACCCGGAAAATAGAGGACATGTCCGGGTAAAAGAGGACGTATTGTCCCTTTAATTTTATTTATATTGAAAAATAAATAGAGTCATTTGATTTAAGATTTTAGTTTTCTATTGAGACAAAAGGGAAAGGGAGCTTTATGGACACTTGTTTTTGTTTTCCCCATTCGTATGCCTTAAATTAAAATGATTATTTGGATGTGAATTTGTTAAACAGTGTTTAAAAAATATTTTACTTGCACTTTGTTTTATTTTGTCTGTCATTCTTTGACTCTGTATCAAGTGTTTTGTTTGACATTTCAATACAGTTTGTATAACTTTAATCATCGGTTTCTGTCTATTAATTTCCTCCCGGCTCCACGAGCCCAGGATTGACTTTGTCTTATATGTTTGTGTTATAAGCCATATTTATTCATAAACAATTCCATAAGTGTTACATAAAGTTTTCTTGTTTTGTCTGAACTTCTCACACTCTCTCTCCAAAACTTGGTCCGGTAAAACAAAGTTGTGGACTTGGGAATCAGCCGAGAGATTTGTTTTGGTTTTTGTTTCAGGGAGGAAGAAATATTCTGAACTGTTCTCCGGCTCAAAGTTGAGCCTTGAGGGAGTTAAATTTTTCTGTGAATATATAGAAACTTTTGGGAAACCCTCTTGCTTAGATAAAACTTGAAGCCTCTCTGTGTAGGAGAATTTTAAAGCACCTCTCTGCTTCTTGATCGGACACGTAACACCGCGGTTCGGTGACTCATCAGTGCGAACACTGAGAGATCACTCAGGCTTATTCTCGCTGAGTCAAAATAGTGTTTACATGAAAAATGAATCAGCCGAGCGGACCAGGGAGCACTTTGTTGGTCCAAGATACTAAACTTATTATGCTGTGGGTCTCTAAAGTTCATATTTAGATCAAACTGTGAATTATTCCTGAAACAATAGATCCGTTTGTCCTCCTATCAAGACGGCTCATGGGTACTGAAGTGTTAAAATCAGTGACTTACTCATAACTGGTATCAATGTTTGAATAAAAAGGCAGGGCTCACTGTTACTCTGAATCAAAGCTGCGTCACAAAAAAGCTACAAACGCCGTTTTCTCTGACGGCGGTCAAATGTCACTGAAAAAATCTCACGGCAATCCGCTCGACAAAAGTCCTGCAATTCAATAGAAATGAAAAGCTTTCTGTCGAGTGTCCAAAGGTGGAATATTTCAGAGGATTTGATATCTTTATGTGCATCATTTTTGACCCACAGGTTAGGCGGCTCAGCTGGACTCAATTTCCCGGACAGGTTGGGGTATTATGATAAATACAGAACACTTCTCGAGACAGTTATTGTGTAAACGCTGGTGGGCGATGAGTTGGTTAGTCAGCAGATCTTTGAAAGCTTTGCACTGTGGGTAAAAATCATCTTAACTACTGGACATTTCTAGCTGTGGTTATGGAAAATCAAGCGTGTAGTGACTGCTTTCCTTCAACAAAAAAGGCCGCTGGGGTTTCGGTTTGTTTGCATCTGTGACTCGTTCAATTATCAGTCGGGTTTGAGTGTTAAAAAAGTAATTTATTGTTCAAAAAAGGAAAGAAAACATCCGAAACCTTTGCCTCCAAATGAAGAAGTGATAAGACGAAATGAGGTTAAAACAGGATGAGTGAAAAGGTGAAAAATGGTCAACAGAGAGAGTTAAATAACGCGCCAAACATCCCAAAACCACAGTGACCTATTTAGTAATCATACCCTAAACAAATATATTTTCGCTCTTACAAAGCAGGAGATTACGAATTCATGCATGATATTTTTACATTTTTATCTCTTCTTCTTCTTCGTTGTCTGAATCAGGTTAACGATGTGTTTCCTCTTTGTTTTGCAGATCTCTCCGCTGCCGTCCAGAAGTTCTCCCAGTCCCTGCAGGAGTTCCAGTTCGAGTGCATAGGTGATGCCGAGACAGATGATGAGGTGAACATCGGTAAGTCCAGTTTGGCCGAGCCCAGGAGGGCAGATCTCTGTCTTTGCGGTCTTTCATCTCTTTTCCTCTCTGCTCAGCCCAATTAATCACACTGTCACCCCTCTCAGAGCCAGAACCTTCCCCGACACAGACATGAGGGTTCTCCAGGGTGATACTTAAGCACAATTGGCTGCTGTACTTAAACTTATCATAAGGGCTGTGTCCTCTGGTTAAGAGGCGGTGCTCAAAATGTGATATTATTGTGTTTGAGATTTTTAACGCTGGCTAAAGTGGTGAACGGAAAAAAAGAGGAACCATCAGGGTCACTGCAAACTCTTTTCAGATATAAAATTAGCTCACTCTGCGAATTCCTGGATTGGGATTAGGCGTTAAGCGTACATCTTAAAGTTGTCCACAGTGCATGTGTAATTAATGGTATTGATTTGCTTATGATGCCTTATCTTCTCCAGCCTATAGGAGATCAGAAGGAGTAATTGTGATCAGTGTCAGAGATTAATGGAGGTGTGGACCTCGTAGCCTCCAACAGGAATATGAAAGCAGCTGTGCAGAGGGCCTCTCCGGCTCTAATGGGCAGGACTCCCAGTCTGGCCTCTTCCTCCTCTTCCTTTCTTTTTTCACTGCTCATTATCCCCAGCCCGAGTCCTTCGCTCCATGGAGCTGCAGACTGCTGAATTACTGTCCATCTGTGAGGGCTAGACTGGATATCGACCTCCTACATGAGGCTGTAATGTTCATCTGAATGTGTAATGAAGAGTCAGTCCTCCCTTTTTTTTCTACTAAAGCTGGGGCGGCAGTGTGCAGGAGACCAATTATGCTTATTGGAAAAATCCACACCCAAATCCAAGCCTCATTAAAATCAAGCACGCTTTAATTTGAGGCAGTGCATCCTTTCCCTGGACTTCTATCAAGAGCAGTGTTTGAACAATAGACATTTAAGCTGCCCACCTGTTATGTAGCTGGACCTGCTTTGTATTTACAGTGCAAACCACTGCAAGCCCAGAAGCCCGAGAGTGGTGGCCGTGCCTAATGCTCTCAGATGACGGAGCCATTTGTTTGGGAGCATTTTATTATGATACAGACAGTACATTAAAAATAAAGTATGACACCCAGGATGTAGAAAAAGCCTGTCTACAGCCTGTTTAACCATCAGCATGTTAATGATTTTCTACCTTAAATTATAACCTCCTACAAACAGCCTGTGTGTTTGAAAAATAGCAGATGGGCTTGTTTCTGATAGGTTGTACAAAAATTAGGGCTGGGACTCGATTAAAAAAAATATCTTATTAATCAGAGGCTTTGTAATTAATTAATCGCAATTAATCGCATTTTAATCGCATATAAATATTTGACCTGAGAAAAGTGAGAATCATTTTTTTAAACGGTACACGAGTAAGGATGCAGAGGGCGGAAAATTTCCAGTAAATTTCCAGAAACTTTCATGGAAAGTTAAGCTTGGGAATTTTGAAAACTTTCCATGGGAATTATGGAAATTACTGGAATTTATGGGAAATTATGGGAATCTACTTGAAATTGGGGGAAGTTTAAACAAACTGTATCATATCCAAACAAAAATGTAAATATTTTTCCTTCAACATTAGCTTGTGTGATACATTTCCACACATCTGATGGCAAATGTGGCATTTTTCTGTAGAACAAAATAACAAAAACGCTCGGAATCAGAAGAAACAGCATCACTTTTGAGGTAGCTACCACCACCATAATAAGCTAGCCATTTAAATGGTCAATGAAATGAAAAATAGCTTACATTTAGCACCTAATTTTATTTAATTTTAGCAAAATAAATATTAATACTATTATAAATTAAATATCATTTTTCCATGCGTTGGGTGGGACTGGAATTACTGCGGCGCTAACTTATAAGCGGTATCCCTGAAGGTGCGATTACGATGCATTAACATTTTTAAGGAGATAATATTACTGTACTTAACAAATTGCTATTAACGCGTTAAAGTCCCCGCCCGACCAGAAAGGTGTCAAATTCAGGGGACCTTCCATACAAACTAAATCTACTGCGTCTCGAAACACATTTTTCCTTGTAATTAATGTGAGCTGGTCGTTCAGTGAAGTAAAAGTGTTCAATATCTTGTTAGACAGAAATGATTTCTTTAAACCCTGACATCTATACTGCTGGGTTCTCCCGGCGCCTCAGAGAGAAAGGGCTGTGATTACTCTTTGAGAAAAAAATGAAACTGCCCGTTGAATCAATCTAGTCATCAATGAAACGGAGCCTCTGAGTGACATCCCTGGACCCTTCGTGAAGGCCATCCACCATCTTGATGCAGTATCGGTACAGCTCACTTTGATGCTCCTAACTTACCCACAGAACAGCAGGATTCCTGTATGTGCTGCCAGACAGGTTCACCTGACCTTTATTGATTTTACTCTATGACTTCCTGCAGTGACATTCACATTCCAGGCCAGTTATCTAGGAATCAATGGGGGCAAAAGATTGATGTGGCCACAGAAATTTAAATTTCTCAAAAAAGTTACATGGTCTTTCCTCAGAAGGTCAATCCTTCAGTCACTCTGTGCGGGCCGTGCTGAGCTCTTCACTGAGGAGACGGTCAAATAAGGTCTCGCTCTTGAAAGTTAAAATGAAAGTAGACAGACAACATTTAAACTTTTAAGACTATTGTATGCAGAGAGGAAATGAACATGTGCCCTTAATATCTTTCAATATATTGGCGTAAGCTCATCTTTCTTATTCACTCACCCTGGAGGTGGTAAATTTTCTTTTATTCAGTGATTCATCAGATCTATCGCCTTTCCTCCATTTACCAGTGAATGATATGCAAGCTGTAACCTCACTTTGACTTCCATTTCCTTTCTTTGGAGTCTAATCTTGTCCCATCAACCGGTCCAGCTGTGCCCTTTACCCCCTGAGAGGTTTGCTGTTGATAAAGGAGCCGCTGGCGTTAATAGGAGGCCAGTCTGCCTGCAGGATCACTGGCACAAAATCACTGCTCCCTGCTCTTTAAAAGCTTCGGCGTGTAAATGGACCAAAGTGTCTAAGATGATGCATGGCTCCCTGTGCCAGGCCGTCGCGGCTGATAATGATGTTGCTGCGTTGGCAAGCAGAGCAGCTCCAGCGCCGCTTAAATGGTTGGACACGGGGTGTCAGAGGCTGACCAACAGGGGCCACACTGTATCTGGACCCCTATTTAATGAAGCCGTGAAGCTATCAAGGCTCTTTTTTTTGGCTGATAAGATTTCATGTATTGTACGCAGAATTCAGCTGGCTCTGCAGAATGTAATATAAGCTACTGAAGTACAGCCCAGATGGTGCGAACGCATCAGTCTCTCCTATATTGTGACAGTACATTGTAAAGCCTTGCAGCGGAAGAAAATAAAAGGAAGCAATCAGTGGCTTCAATTTAATTGAAGTATTGTTCTTTACTGCTATTCTTAGTTTTAAATTGGACAGCTGCATGATTTTATTAGGTTCTAAAATGTGCTGCACTGAAAGCTCAGAGGCTGCAGTGAAAATAAACATTTTAGCACCATGCTATAGTGCTTGTGGGGAGCCAAGAACATCTGATGTTTAATGACGGAGCCACTGTGCTAAAATATCTTCTTTTCTCCTTCGAATATAACAACAAGATAGATCACTGTGCTCCTCCATAATAGGGAACATATTGTCCTTGATGCATCATACATGTTGGAGTGTTTATTGACCAAACAAACTGTATCTCACTTTTAATGCAGTGTCTCAGAAACGGCCTTTCTCTCTGTGTTTCAGCCCAGTCCTTCAAAGAGTTCTCCCAGCTGCTCAACACGGTGGAAGAAGAAAGGAGACGCCTGGTAAGAGACGGCACGTTTTGATATTCGGTTTTTTCTTTCATGGAGGTTTTGAATGAAAAGAAGAACAAATGAGAAGAGAGGACATGCTTCCCTCCCCTCGCTGTAATAGGGTAAACATTTTACCAGAAATTGGTTTGTGCTGTCAGACTTGTCTTTATTTGGACTAGTATCATCTGGTGTGAGGAATTGAGTCTGCAGGTATCTCGCCTCCAATTTCCCACCAAAGCAAACAGAGCTGGATTCTGCCACTTTGTGTGTACACAAGTCAGGCACCATTCGGCTCAGGAAGGGCTGAGGTGCTCTTTTGAAATACAATGAGGCTGGAATTACCCCAAAACTCCCGACAGTGTTACAGAGCCGCAGTAATAGGAACCGAAAGAGGAAAAAGTGATTCTGATTTTACACTGTAAAACATGAAACATGGAATAATCTCGACTTTGCTGTTGTGTTTTTACATCTTACAATTTACAATCTTATATTTGTTTTAATTCTGATTTCTTGTGACTTTTTGACTCTCCAGCTTTACAGTTTTTCATGTGAGAAAAGGAAAAACCTGGATCTGCTCTAAGCATTTGTTTTGTACAAGGAGACTCTGTTGTGGGTGGTACTGGAGGTGCCTCGAGGCAGGATTTACCTCAGACCACATACTTGAGCTGTGCATCTGATTTACCCAGTCAGATATGCAAATGAGATCAGCAGCAGCAGCAGCAGGTTTGCAGTCATAGACTTTGTAACTAACTGAGACGTTTTCATTAGGACTCCGTTCTCCGTGAAGGAGCAGACTGCAAACTTTTTATAGACACTTTCATTCTGGCGGGGTGGAGTGGGGGTGGGGGGGTGGGTGGGGGTGGAGTGGGGGTGGGGGGTGTTTGATGCAGAAAAGATTAACTTGGAAAAAAACTTTAAATGGCTCACAGTAAAGAGACTCTCAGGACCGACACACTGAGGGCGAAAAGATTTTGGCCAAAATTAAAATCCAGATTTTTTTTCTACGATTTTTTTTTATTCAGTGACAACTTCACCAAACTTCATTTTATTAATACAAAGTTTTTCTATCAACTATTTATGGATTTAAGTACTCTCTGACCCGTCTTAAAAAAGTACTGTTTTCAAAAAGTCCCGTTTACGTTTCAGTGTGGATGAAACGCTGATACGACAAGAAAGTTTTAGGATCTATTGTTAAAGAGACAAGACCTGACACCGAGACATTACGTAAGGAAAGAGTTACCTTTGGGAAACACTGGAGATAAAAGATAAAAGATAAAAAATTAATAAATGGTCAAAAGAAAAACTAAAACCTGATGGACTAAACGAAAAAAATAATATTAAATGAACAGGTAAGTAAAGAAAAAGACTAAGAACAGAGATAATTGATAAAATGACATAAAATAAACATTAAGAACTTCGATTAAAATGAACATTTGCAATAAGAGAAAAATAAAAAGGCAATTAGTGAAAAGCCGGGTTAAAAAGGTGAGTCTTGAGCCTCTTCTTAAAACATCAACAGTCTATGAAACGCCGTTTCCGTGTTGATGAAACACCAATACCACAAAAAACTTTTGCATTTACTCCTGAATTCGTTTCCGTGGTGACGGGTTGATACCGCCTTCCGACAGACTTTACAGCGGGGAGTGGTTTACTCTTCGTCTGAAACTGCGAAGCCGTACCAATTCAACACGACTGACTTGCTCTTGTCCTATTTAACCACGAAATTAACGCCTTCTTTTACAACGCCATGTTTGTTTACACTGGTGTGTGTGGGAACTGGCCGAGCCTACGGTGGCCTGGAGGCGCAAGACATGATAAAGAGGAAAATCGATTTAAGGATTTTATTTTTTTAATAATCGTCATAATCAAATAATCCAATTATAATTAAAAAAGATTTATCATGCAGCCCTACATCATGCCAAAATGAAAGACTGATCTGGAGATATTGGGATGATGTCTTTTTTCCTACAGATGGGTGCACAGGTGTACTCACTAACTCGGCAGTTAAAACACAGGTTTATCTCTTGGATATTAATTTCAGAACTTAATCTAAAGTGACGCAGCGTGAACCTTTTCCTGCTGACATTCAAAGTGCAGCTTCATTTTATGATAGACACAGTTGCCCTTTTGAAGATGTGGGTCACCTCTGTGCAGCCCATGTAGCTTTATGAGATAGCATGTCATCCTAATCAGTTTGACAAGCATAAAGTCACCGTTCGTAAATTCATATCGCCTGTAGAGTTGGTGAGGCCCAAAGCTCTGATTTAATAAGTGTAGATCATGCGTGGCCTCTAACACCTGCATCAGGGCTGAACCCAGAATAAATGGAAAATTCAGACGTGAATATTTTCCCATGTGAGGTAATATGTTTTAAATTTAATTGATCATCTTAAAATATCATCACCCTGATAAACAGGCCTGAAAAATGAAGAATTACAATCACCGTCTGTATTTCAAGCAGTCAAAGTACATATTAATATATTACACACAGGAATTCCTCAGTCTGAAGCATCAAGATAGCAGGAGAGGTTGATGAATTATGAAGGAGGACATTTTCCTCATTATTTCATCTGAATTTTAAATCAGTTGTGACGATAAACATCATAAATCGATGAAAGTGATCGTTCGGTATGTGTATTTTGGGACAGAGCTGAGTAATAGCCGACATTTTAGTCCTAGATTTTAAAAAAGTGTCTTCCTGGAGAGCCAAACTGGAAAAATGTGGTTCGTTTTTGTCAGTTTAACCATCTGACATGATTTGGTGTTTGCATTTTATGCGTTTCCATTTCTTTGCTCGAGTCGCATCCTCTGCAAAATATTTGCTGTCGGAGACGAATTTAAATTCACAAAGAGTAGAAATAAGTCACTTTTGTGTCACAAAGCAGTGAAATAACACACAGCGATGCGATGTAAATTTCCGTGAGACCGCTGTGAATTATATTTCCAAAAACAGGAGGTGACAGACTCACAAATAAACTCAGTATGACACAGGGCTGGTTGGCTCTCACTACCCCAGTGCCTCAAACTAGGCTCTGACATCTGATTGTGACTTTGTCTTCCTCCTGCAGAGGCGGTCATCTGATGGCTGTCGAGGAGGATCAGAGCAGATTTGGACACACCTGGTTAGCTGGTTCAGAAAAAGACCCCTTTGTTTTTATCATGTCGAGGGCGCACTGTACATTTGTAGTCTGAGATGGCGCTGAAAGGAAACTACTTTGCAGCTTGATGTGTTTACAGCATTGGTATGCGTAAGACACAGAAACAGGAGAAGGAGGGAGGTGCATGTTAATGTAGGAGCTCCCAGGTTTCTTCTTTTTAAAATCGTTGAATGTTCAAAGGAGATTAACGCCGAAAAACATGAATATGACAAGTAAAACCAAAAAATAAAGTAGCTGAGGAAGACTACTAATACAACAACAACATTCGAAAACAGGTTTTAAAAGCTCTGTTTCATTCAAACTCATGACGTACATGACTCCTTCCCCTCCATAATGTAAACTGACATGGTGCTACCTCCTGTATCCGACCTGTAAACTGTTAATGACTCACCTCACATTAGGTGTAAACGCGTGAGCACTATCTATAGAAATGCATGGAGGAGGGACATGCACATTGATGCCCACGTGCACATCTCTAAACCTCCTTTTTTGAGCAGAATTACACTGCGAACATTCACAATATCAAGTTCAGTCCGCAGGTTACCCGGATCACGACTCCCACTTCAAACATTTTCGTGAATCAATTTCCAAAACGGACTCTTTCATTTCCTCAACAGTTCCACTCTGGCTTAAGTTGATCTTAATCATAAATATTTAAAGGTGCTCTTTTATGTTTAATAAGCTCGGAAATCAAACTCAGCTTTAAAAAATGGGATAAATCACCCTTATCTCAAAACTCCAATACAGCAGAGTCCACTTCTTTCCTGCTGCGGCTCAAAATCTTCATCAATTCAAAGGTTTTTTTCTGAGTTACAAAGTGAAGGATTTCCAGCTGATTGTCAAAATAAAGTTAAATCAGTGAGGTACTTTAAAGCTTTCTGATAATGTATTAAGGTGTTTTTAGTGGGGTTACCAATTTGGTCTCAATGAGTTTCCACGAAGGGTTCAAATCCTAACTCATCCATATCAGGGTTGGTTTGATAAATATGCTTTAAATTAAATATCTATTGGCCTCCAACTATTCATTGAAATTGAGCAAACAGCCTTTCAAAGCACTATAAATTATCTCTATCTGTAAGTTATACGATTATATCATCTGCGTAAAGGGTGAGTTTGTGTTTTTCGTTTGAGGTTAGGTCTTTTCTAAGAATAATTCAAAGCCAAATATGGACTCAGCTCTTTCACAAAGGCACAAATTTTTAGCACAAACAAATAACTTTACTTTTGGCTGATAATCTTATTTTATTATTTAGGTCACAAACGCATTAGAATTAGTGTGAGACTATTTCAACATCAGTCTCAACAGCAGAGGTCTGAGTCATGATAATCCTCATTTCAACCTTCCCTCTAAAATGTAAAGAAGCTTAGATCTAAAGCTAAAGTGAGATTTGCTGGAGTTACTGAAAAACCACCTGAACAAGTTAGGATTGATAAAAAGAGAATAACTGATTTATTCCTAATAATTGGAGGATATTAACACCCTTAGGTTGTTGGATATTTCATGGTTTTTACTTCACCACACTGTCGTATCTTAAAATGAAACTAAAATATGACCGACCTGCACGGTTATTCTTGCTATTTTTTCACCTTTTGTTTATTCGCCAACGACAGAGCGATATCCTTCCTTATTCTGACTCGAACTCTGTCTCTGGCACACTTGAACTCAGACGGATCAGAATCAGCCGGGGAAGGGGAACGACAGCGGCGTAAAAATAGCTTTGTTTTATAACTTCTGATACCTGTGTGTCAGAACGGTAGGCCTCGCTGTCACTCAGGAGCGTGAGTGGGCTGAATTTCGTGAGGAGAAACGGTTGCAAAAAGTGCCCCAATGCACAGAAACCAAACATTTACAACGGCAGCCAACTGTCGTCATAAAAAATTCAATTGGATTGTTAAAAAATGTATCCAGCTGTCAGTAAGTTGGTAAAGCTGGCAGGCGAAGTTTACCAAGGAGCCTGAATGAGACGGATAATTTGTCTTGTGAAGTTACATAGATATTTAAGGAGCATATTTCATCTATTAATTAATATGTGTCTGCTGAACCTTCAGGTTGATGTATGAGAACATAAAACTTCCCACCTGGGAGAGGTATTTCACCCACCAGGCTCTGTGGGATCCAGTCTCTCTTTAGCACCGACGACGACAGGAAATAGATTTTGTCAGCAAACAGCTCTTCTTGTGAATGTCTAAACGCCTGATTTGCTTCCCTCACTTCTCCGGCAAACAGCTGTCTGCAGATTGAACGTTCACAACATGCTCTGTTTGAAAGGAAACCTGTGACCTTGCTATACCGTTTGCTGTAAGTGACACGTAACAAACACAAAGCGGAGAGGCAGCGAGAAGGAAAGGAATCAGCGGTGAGGAAGCGACAGGCTTTAAAACAGTGACAATCATCAGCTCCTCTGATGTGTCTCACTCAGCCGATTTGTGATCTGGAGATGTGTTCAAGTTAACAAAGTACGCCGTGTTGAATTATCAGACATCCTGTGAGTTTGACGGAGTGTTTTCTCTTTGTTTGATCATTTTAAGGAGTCTCCTGTTTAACAAATCCTTTTGAGAGTGTGTCAGACAATATTTCACTCATATTTACATCACACCGTGTCTAAAGTTTTATCCTAAATCAACAGAAGCATCTGTCCATGATGATTTTACATATACATGGCACTAGAGCTGCACGTTTAATCAGTTTCAAATTGCAATCAGATTATTTGATTATGACGATGTTTAAGGATGTAATGATTACCGGTAAAATGATTGACGGTTGGTACTACTGCATGCAGCAGTCCTTCGGATACAGGCACGCCATGCGCATGTACATTGCTCAGTATACAACTTTTAAAAATGGCGGAGGGCAGTTCTGCCGACCGTGTTGCAGAGATTATTCAGCTATCAAAGAAAACAAAGTCCAAAGTTTAGGCGTATTTCGGTTTCTACAAAGGGTTGCCAGGAAGGTTTTGTGCATCTCAGCAACCAGCGTGGCATCCGAGAGGATATTCAGTGCCAGCGGGAACATCGTTTCCCCTCGCAGATCACGACTCAAACCAGGAAAGTAAATATGCAGAAATTTTTACATTTCAATCTGAAGTAGTGAACAAAGTCAGCAGCAGCACCTTATGGTGGAGAAAACCGACAATCTGTGTAGTTCATTTGATTTGTTAACATATTTGATGTTATTTTATGAATGACGACCATTTCATCTCCGTGTGGATGTCTATCTGCATCTCTGGAAACGATTATTTGACACACAGTGTGACTCTTTAGTGGCGCTTGGCTGTATCCGGCCAAAACAACCTTTATACCCATGCTCTGCTCTCTTCTTCTGTCTTTTTTGCATTTCCTGTGCAGCGCTACAGTCAGCCACTTACTGGCTTGGCATATGCTCTACATCGTTTTAAGTTTTGTGAAGTTGTCAAAGAATAAAAAATCAAAATCAAAAACCGAGTTTTCAGAGAAAAAAAGCGAGATTTAGTTATTGGCGTGCAGCTCTACGTGGCACATTAGGAGGAATAATTCAAACAGTGATATCTTCGACTCACTCAAACCAAGGTTGATTTTAGCTGAGTGGAGGATGGCTCAAAGGTTTGTTACCGTCTGTCCCAAATACTTTCAGACTTTCATTAAACAGCCTCCGCGGGTGAAGCAGAACAATGACTGCCTTTATTTTAAACTGTAGTTTCAGGGTCAGCGGCACATTCCTGTTAGCAGACCGGCACACAAGTCACACACAGAGCGGAGTTACTGTTCTGTTAAATCCTGAGAAAACAACACCAGCATATGCCTCACCCCACACAAAGAAACTCTTTACACCTTTCGGTTTCACGTCTGAGGCAGAGACAAATAGTAGGGAGTTTTAAAGTGTTTAAGAAAATGTACACCAAAGGAGATCTCAACGTGAGAAATAAATACAAAGTCTGGCAGACAATCGGCGCTCAAGGGACTTTTTTTCTTCATCGCATCTCACAGAGAAGCGAGGGGGTGAGAACTAAATTATAAGATGTGTCTTTCTTATATTACTGAGAGGAAAATAAGGATGCTACAGCTTGTTGAGTATTACCAAGCTGTCGAAGATTTAAGAGATGGCTCTAGAGGACAGACAGCTTGTCTCACAGCTTTTCTTTTTTATTTTGTCTGTTTGAAAACTTAGATGGTTAGATATAATATACGAACACCAGAACTGTCAATCAAACTAAACTACACATGTGAAAGATATCTGGGCTTAAGACCCCTCTCTTTTGGGGCCCTAAAATCTGAAATCCTGTTCTGAGCATTATTTGTGGCTATAGAGTGGCGTTTTGGTTGAGGTTTGTTTATGGCTCCTCAGACTGCTGTGTAGTGCTATAGTGAAGTCGTTACTAAAGTTTGAATAACTAGAGAAGTAAGCAGTCGGCAACATTCATCTCTCGAGTGGGTGTCTAACTCAGTGTTATGGTGTGTTTGACCCTAAATTAATTTTACCCCGGGATATCCCTTTAAGAGGTGACTATTACAGACATCATGCTTTTAAGTCCTTGGAGGCTAAAGGTCAATCCAATCAGCCAATCGGATAGCTTTGTGGGCGGGACATGCTCTTTAATTAGCTAATTTTATCGGCCATCTTTAAAATGAAAGTACACGCTCAGGCCCCGATTAATCGCCAAGTCTGTTTATAATCTGCCAACCTTACTGGACAAACAATTGGTTTTTAATTTTCCATTATCATAGATTTTACTTCATATTAACAATTAATTTGAAAAAATCTATACTTGGTAAAAGACATGATACGATATATCACCAGACAAATTATGGTGATACTACGCTGTATCGAATTGGCAGATACATCTAATTTAGAATACAGGATTGTGATTGGAGGCTAAAAAAGCTGATTAGGACATCAGGACATGAACGTCTTTAAACAGTGGGTTGTTTTTTATCCATTAAAGGGATTGTTTCACCTTTAATCTCAGTCTTTAAAATAACTCAGTTCATTTATTCATATTATAGGATATACATCTGATCTGAGCAAAAGGAAAACCTTCTCTCTCTTCTACCTTTGCCGTAAAAGGCTTCCTCCTGGGGGGTTATGCTCATCAGTCCAAAAGGCACAACATCAGGGCGCTGCCCTTCCACTCCTAAATGCCATCCACGCTCAGCCGTGCTGAACCTCCTCAATCCATGCAGAACTTGAACCACTTTCACTCCTTCTATGCTGCTGCAGGGTTATCAGCAGGGGAATTATAGCAGAAATCTTTTTAAAAAGATAGCATTTGGGAAGTCTTCCCGTGGAATAACACAGTTGAGTAGCTGGTAAGCCAATCACAAAGTGCACAAGCAAAAAGATTTCAAGCCTGGCCACCCGCCAAACCAACAGACAATAAAACACTTCATGCTTGACAAGGCCGGCACAAATTGGCCTAGTGGTAGGAGTCTCCCCTAGAAGCTGAGGCACCTTTGATATACAGTACGCCAGTTAACGTTTCACAGAGGACAGTTGGTTCTGCCGGAGACGTGTAGTTTTCCTCTCCATAAGCTTTGAAATGTCTGACTTTTAGTAACTCTTATCAGCCCGTGTCCTCTGTTCTCACTTCTTAGATTCACACCAGATGGGAAATAGGCTAAGGGGGATGGTGGGGCTCCAGGATCTGCCACTGAAAGTTTACACCCACTCAGTCTGTGTGTGACAAGTTTCTTTGACTTCCACATCTGTGTGCCTTACTCTATTAGCAGTAACAAACCCTGTAAATACACACACCATCTGGTTGCCATTGAGTCTAAAGTACAGCAGAGAGTCTGGTCTCAGCTGATATAATTCACAATCTTTCATGTTTTGAGGACGGTGTATTCTCCCGGTGAAGAAGGATTCCGAACATTTGCTGAACGCGTGTTGGTTTGAGGTGAGCTAATTGAGGTCTGCAGACCAACTGCTTTGATATTACAGAGAGAGCAGGATTAAACCCTCTGGTCATCTGCGCTTCCAGATGCACACAGCGTGATAGCTCTGATCTGAAAAACATTTTAGGAATTTCCTTTTTGCCGTCTCTCACGTGACGCCGGGTGAATTATCGAATAAAAGCTGCTCAGTGTAAAGTGCTCAGACAAATAAGCATTTTGTCTTTTCTAATTTGACACTGGAAATGATTTCAGCCGGTGACAGACAGCTGAATGTGTTTGGCACTTCTCCCCCTGACAATCACACACATCAGCTCCATATTTCAATTTGTATGCTGTCATTTCTGATTTTGGATCTTTGTAGCTCAACAGGAAATAAAAACTGGCCTGACACCAGCATACAAAGAAGTTTAAAAAGCCTTAATTTAAAATGTGCAAATATTTCCAATATGATTGAAGGAAAAGAGCTCAAAAACATTTTTAATAAAACAGCAAAATAACAATGAAGACAGCTCGTGAACCGTGAGAATTTTTTAGTTCTTACCATCTGGTTCTCCTCCCACTCAGACAGAACGGCCTGATTCAGGTTAGGCCAACCAAAATAGTTTATCGGAAAAGGGGCCACGCTGATAAACAAAGAAACCAACAGTGGAGAACCACTGAGGCATTTTTGTAAACAACCAAGATGGCTGCCGCTGATGTGGCATGCTGTCCCGGGTCAGACGTGAAGGAAGTGGGCAAAGTCTGGGTTACAGAAGCATGAGTAAGTTTGATCATGATCGGTTTCACGTCAGAACCTGCTCTTTGTAGACTCGTGTCAGGTCAGAGACAGATGTTTGTGACAGGATGAGTTTTGTTGTTTCTTATTTAGCATATGCTTTGTATCATCTTTTAAATGCTCCTTAAGCTACAGTGTGCAATATTCTGCCCATCTGTGCAATATTTGGTAAACTAACACTCCTGATTTCGTACACTTTCTGCCCTTAATGCCTATAAATACCTTATTTCTTGTTAATAGCTTTATTTCTAATAGTCTGCACTTTACTTACTGTTGCAGTTTCTTGTCTATTCTTAATTATTCCTTTTAAAGTCCCACTCCAATCATTTTTTTACTACTTAAAGTGTTTTCATTGGTCTTAAAATTGTGATTATGGTGTTTATTTTCAACCAAAATCACTTTACCTGTGTCATTTTCAAAGACTTTTCTTCTGCAGAGCTCCAGTAGCTCATCAGTAATTCACCTCTGAGTCGTGGGCGGAGACAGCGCTGCTCTGCACACTCCTCTCCACGTTAGCTTGTACCCTAACATTGCTGGTGTAGTAGAAGCAGCAGGTAACATTAGGGACATGATGAAAGTTATTATCATAATTAGCTTTCTTACTAGCACTGCTAATGCACACACTTGTTCCGCGATCATCCTCTATTTCTCCGAGTCTGGCCTGCATAGTGGGGCTTTGTGGGCGGAGCTTGGATTTGTGACATAGGAAATCTCACTGTGTCTGAACCTGCTGTTTGGGTCTGCCAGAGATTCAGAGTGATTTGAATGCAGAAATACTCAGAAATGCGATTTCACATTTATTTTACTCATGATATGTCCTGTAGCATCAGAAAAATGTCATATGAACTTGTAGACAACAAAAACATGATTTTCATCGTGTTTCATCATTAGTATTTCACTCTTAGATTATTAAAGTTTTTACTGGTTTACAAACAGATTGCACAGTTGAGTGTAATTATATGCAGTAGAGAAGTTTACAGGGACAGACCGAGTGTGTGACGCTCAGAGGGCGGAGTTTTAAAGTTCGAATGACTTCCTGTGAGTTATGCTTTTATAACCACATTCACTTTCATTGTGTTGTATAGCTATGTCCATTTTCATTATAGGAGATGTCATTCTCATTTATTTGTCCTGTTACTGTGATAAAGACTGACCATGATCAGCTGTGTTCTGGTGGTGAATGAGGAATAAAACTCAATAATACTTATAATAAATAAACCTTTCTCCTCATATTTGACACCTCTACATAGAAAACATTTATTTTATCATTTCCATTCGAAAAAGGTCACCACGTTTAACACGGTATAAAACCTCCTTACAGTGTCTTTGAACCTGTGTTTATTGCATAAAGACTTTCTCCTATAGGATCACGATCCTGCATGTCTACAGGGCAACAGTTTAATAAACACATACGAGCCCTAACCCAGCTTTATTTCAACAGGCATGACACTATATCACAGGCAAGCAAACCGCTCAAAACATAAACAACAGAGAACCCTCATGGGAGCCACACACCCGCCACTATCTCCATTTCAGCGACTGCTTCATGTACACGACTCACTCACCGATGAAATGTGCGGGGCCAACGTGTCGCCGCCGCCGCTCTGGTGCTGTTCAGCGACTGTGAGTGTGTGAGCAGAGGATTCGTTTTTATATCAGAGCTCATAAAGGTTAGGGGAGGATGCCTTTTCAGTTTGCTGCAGGTGCAGTCCTGCAGCAGATTAAGCTCTGTGATGAGATTGTTACACTCTGCCTCAGAAACACACACACACACAAACACAAACCGCTGTCTTCAAAACAATGTGCAGACTGAGTGACTGAACCACACAGCCGTAACAGACCCTCTTTTAGCAGAGGTCACATCACGCCGTAAACAGGGGAATAAGACGGCTTATTATGCCATTAGCATGAAGGTAATGATGTTTGTTATTCTTTTAATTCATTCATTAGGGTGCAGACTTACACCCACATCATTGTGTAAGACCGGTTCCTGTATGTCGCTGCTGTGAGTGAGTGTGGTTGTCATCAGTGTGACTTTGCTGTTATTACTGCTAATATGACTCACGACAAAGAGGGGCCGATTCTTTCCATGGAAGGAAAACACACCCACACTTTCCCTTTCAAACTCCCAGCTTTAACAGTCTATGAGTGAAAGCTCCCCGTGTCCTGTCAGTGAAGCGATGGTGACCACAGAAGATCCTGTGATGCTTGATTCGTAAATTTATCAGGCTTTGCAGATATGGGATCTAGAGTTTGGACTATCAATCAAATGGTCAATAAATACTATCAATGAATCAATGAATCTTTATTTATATAGCACTTTTTATGTAACCCAAAGTGTTTTACACAGTATAATAATAACCGAATCTACCCCAACCTAACCCCTCATTTCCACCCCACGATCTAAACGCAACAGAAACAGGATTACAGTGGATTAACTTCAAAAGGACTTGATTTCACGTTAACAGGAATGTGCGCACTGAGGAAACACAGGAGGTTTAAAATATAAAAACAAAGTAGCATAGAATGAAATTTAAGAGATAATAGATAAAATGAAATAAAAACAACAGTAAAAGATACTAAAATAAGACGATTCTGTCATTAAAACTAGAAAGAGATAAATGCTAAAACACTTAAACAAAGTTAATGATATAAAATTTAGTTAAAAGTAAGACTAAAAAGGTACGTTTTGAGTTTGGGGTGTACTAAGGGTCTCCCAATACACCTTCTTTACCTCTGATACAATACCAATATTGATCCGATATTAGCACAAACTTCTGTATGACAAGTTTTGCTCTCAGCTGCAACGTCTTTTTCGGAATTTAACGAAAAATACTGCCACAGGGCCGACATCACTGCTACTCCTTGCTACTTTGTTCGTACCTTAGTACAGATTATTGTGATTATATGGACTCTACATGCTGGATCCGGGTGCTGCCAGATAGAGGTGCCGGAGCGGAGTCCGGAATGGACTGCCTGTATTGGAGTGCAGATATCAGAGATTTTAGATGCAGGCTGATATTTATAATCCGATATTTGAATTTTTGGTGATATCGGCCCAATATCAATTTTGACACCCCTACTAAATACAAACTTGTCACTCTGTGCTGTGAAAGTTTCCCACTCTGATGTAAACATAAAAGATTCATTTTAATTAGACCAAAACTAAAAGATATGTACATTTAGATGATAATACATTCATTTAAATTACACATCTATTGAGGCTGAACGCAGCCAAGTACCACCGACTGAACCATCAAAAACTATCTTCGTGGATTGGAGCTCGAAAGAAACCCTTTGTGACATAATGTTTGATCTGAACAGATGGGCAGATTCACTTGGTTCTGCTTTTGTTCCGGATCCAAACCTCATGAAACATCTTTGAAACCCTAGATTTGTCTCCTAGAGGCTCATTATTTTTTGTTTTGGGACTCTTGGACTCTTCATCGTTTAATTTACTCTACCTGTCTGTGCAAACATACAAAGTCTGAGAGAAATTGATGCCGTGGCTTACTTTATGGCATCTCTGATTTTATAAAAGTATAATCAGTTGCAGTGCGTTTACAATAGAAATGGGAGATAGTGAGATTGTTATGCGGTGCTTTGTGTACATCCCAAAAGGCAGTTCTTGTTATTTTCTTCCTCAGATGTAAAGCTGTCTGTGAATCTCTGGCCTGTTCCTGTGAGAGGCATTTACAAACTTGTTAAAGTTGGCAGATTTTAACTGGCAAGCACAGACCAATTAAACACCCACTTGTAAAAGCCCTGGTGTCTTTTTCCGAACTGCGCTCTCTGCCTGGATCAACGTTTGCTTGGATATTTGTATGAGAGAGCGAAAAAGAAATGCCACGAAACAACAGAAAAATGGGTTCCTTTGAATGATAGGCGAGCTTTTATGACCTGCGAAATAAGAAGAAGAAAAGGGGGAGGAGTGTGTTTGTAGATGTGTTGGTGTGTGCTTATTATAAAAAGAGATTTGGCTGATTCACAGTGAAGGAGTAGAGCTTTGGGTGAATTGAACTTTCTTGTATCTTATGGACGTTGTTAAAATGAAATGGGAATGAAGCCTATAAAAGTTATATAGATTTATAGTTATAGACTTGCAGAGTGTAACCAGTGAGTCAAAGCAATTCACCGCTCAATGCTTCAGTGATTATAACCTGTAGACATACAGGAGCAGAAATCCACAAACAGGAATGGAAAGAGCTGATACAAGCTACAGTAAATTTGATTGAAGTGGGAAAGAAAGCATTTTGCAGTTATTGGTGTGTATGACTAACTAGAGGTTACCCAGAAGATGGTTATTTATGTACCCATGAGGAGGGGGTTACATGAGGAGGACAGATGAAAAGGGTAGAGACCACATTTTTTAAAAAAGGGGACAGTGATAAATACCAATTGGTCATTTTGCACTTTTGATTCCGGTCCGACCTTGACACCACTCTGATCTGTCTCTGCAAATTAACCTCCAGGTTTGACTTCTGATCCCGCTGATATTTGGACTGAGAAACAGCAGAAGCAAAAGGCAAATGCAGCACATTGACATTCCTCCCCCTATCTGGTAATGAAATTGCTTAGCGCTATTGCATCCTTTCAAGCATCACACTGTGCTCGCTCATATGGATTTAATCCTGTTTAGAGAGGCTGTTGCTGACGGCAGTCGGCACAATGCCAGTAAGAAAGTAATCCATTGAGTCTTAAATAAGTTGGCCTCTCACAAGTATAAATATCTAAATCAGCTTATTGGAAATTAATAATCCGAACTGATCTGAAATCATCAGCACTTCAGAACTCCACATGCTAATCACAGTTTTTACTCTGCTGCTAGATTCTGCTTTTTGATCAGACTGTCTTCTATTGGTTTGAATTGAAGCGCATAGAAGCGCATCAATTCTGGGACTTTTTACTTTGTATATCAATGATGTGGTCTCCTCTTCAAATAACTGCCCATGTCTATGTCAATGACATGGTTTTATATAGTTTTGCAGATTCAGTAGAACTAGCTATCAAATACGAAAGAGGGTTAGGGCCACAAGAAGAGATAAAAAAATTACAGGAGGGAGGTTGGTTGGTCTTCTCTTGCGTAGAGACGTAAAAATCATTAGTTTTTGTTTATTCTCAAGCCCCTCATTGGGAAACTCCCATTTTACATGTCAATCTTGTTGGCGTGTAACCTTCTCATATACACGACTTTAACTTTAAAATCCCTCGAGTTTATGGCGAACTTGGAAAAACAAAATTTTCCTTTGAAGCCCCGAACTCTTGGGAAGTCCTCCAACAAACGTATAAAACTGAAGCTCTTCCCTCTCTTGCAGAGTTTAGGACTTTGGTTGGTCAAATATCTCATTTCAGATTGTACATGTTTTAATTGAGTCCATTGTTTTGTGAAGTTTCTATAATGCCCCTTCAAGAATAAATAAAGGTTTAAAATGAAATTTGCTTTCAGAGAGTTTATGTGAAGACAGATTGTAGTCCTGATCCATCCAAACCATGTGGGCGGTCAGGTTACACATTCAACACATTATAATTCAACAGTAAAGTAAAGTGTATCTTTTCCTGCTTTAATTCAATTCTAAACATTAGACCCTAATCTTAAAGGCGCTATATTTAATTGTCCTGTCCATTAGACTGAAATCAGAGGAGAATAATGGTATTAAGAATTTACATTTAAAGCATGGGGGGATACTGTAGTCTCAGTTTCACTGAAAGCGTGGCAGATAAGACAGGAAACGGCTGTATCACTGTGGCAGAGTTGAACAATTCTTGCTGTTGACACAGTAGATAACAGGATGACTGGAGGATTATAATAGCTAGATTTGATGACCGCCAAATGTCCTCTACGCTCCTAATGGAGTGTCATTTTTAACCAAATTGCCTTGGTTTATCTTAGTGAAGTGCTCTCCTCCATATGCTGCTGTGATGCTTTTAAACCCCATCTGCTGATGATGGAGATTTTTTTTTACAGGTCTGGTGTGTAAACGCCGTGTGGAGAGATTTCCACATACGATTTTATTTATACCTAACAGCTGAGCGCTGAAGGTTAAGGATAATTTTAATATATTAACCGGTGGCCTCCCAATTAAACTATAATATGAATGCATGTGATGAAAAGCGATGACCTTTTTTAAAGTTGTACCTCTGCAGAGTGTCGACCTGTGTCTCATTAAAAAGGCCCCCAAGTCTACAGGTTTTTGCTCCAATTAACAGGACCTCATTATTAGTTTATCATAGATTTTTACCTCATTAGTCCAAAGATATTTAAGTCCTTAATTGTCAAAAATGTTTGCACTTTGGAGGTGGTGTCATAACCGCTCAAATGAGTGGTGTTTAGTGAACGGATGCTCTATTTTTGGTGATATACAAACATGTACGTGATCCTGCTTCTGTGAGAGCCTGCTGCAGAGTCTGTCATCTCCGTTTGCTGCTCCCTATGGAGTAAACAAAGATGTTTATTATTATATAGGCAGCAGTGACTGCAAACACATTATTAGTCAGCAAATATTTGTAATTGTAACGTTGTGTGAGCTAAACCAGATTATAGTTTCCCATGTGAAACATCAGTGAGTTTGAAGGACCGCAAATAAAACTGTGTAATTAAAGTCCATTATTACAACAAAGCTACAAATTTACTCCACAGGCTTACGACATCTCAAAGCGCTGCATGTAAAAGGATGAGGGAACATTTCAGGCTCGGAGAGAGATTGCAGCTTTCTTTTGAAGTCACTCGTTCTGGTTGGGTGACGGGGCTGACAGGGTTATTTTGGGACAATGAAAATACGCTGTGATTAATGGTTCAAAACAGAAACACCATCCCGAGACAGTGTGAGTTTTCTGAGCGCTGTAGCTGATAGTCCATCTGAGCCCGCACCTCTAAATTAGCGCTGGTATCACAGATGTACGATAGAGCGGCGCCCTCGGTTTATCACACACACTCTCACGGCGCACAATAACGCCTTAAATCAGCCTAAGAGTCGTGTCACCCGTGACAGCGCCTCCCGTGGAGCGGCCCCACCGCTCTGATGTCATCTGATCACAGTGGATGTGGAGCCAATCCACAGGAAATTCACAGGCACCTTAATGGCGCCTCTTCTGAAACGCTCGATGGCAACAATTGAGCGTGGAGTGTAATTGGTACGATACATCTCACCTGATCTGTTTCTGTCTGAAATGAGAGGGAAGGGGCCCCGCGAGAGAGAGACCTTTTCCTCCTGTATGATGCAGGAGAGGTCACGGTTATGTGGAGACATACCTGAAAGATTTAAATGCGTTGCAGGCTACACTTGTAAAGCCCTTTTCGTCTGCTGCTGCTGTGTCATATTTCAGCCAGATTTGACAATGCTGGTGCTTCACAGCTCCCATAAAAAGGCTTCATTTTCTTCTGTCTTGCAGAGCCATTGTCGAGTGCTCTATCTCCTATCTCTGCAGCCCTCACTTTGGCTACCTCACAGTCACACATTGTTCATTGTCACGGGCTTAAGAGATACTAATGAATGTGATTGCTCTATCCTCCACTTGTGCTTGGGCTCAATGCATATGTATTTGACTCAGGATGGATCATTCTTGGTGCTTAATTTCCTGTGTGTCATACTAAAGCGAGACCGCTACAATAGAAGCGAATGACTACTAGATTAAAAGTTTTTGTGATGTATTTCTTTCTGAGAGTCATTTTGAATTATTCAGAGGGTTACAATAGGTCAGATCACACCTTTCAGTCTGACATCTTCCCCCCTCTTTATCATCCTTTATTTTCCTTTTCAGATCCAGAATGCAGATGACGTGTTGATTACTCCCTTGGAGAAATTTCGGAAGGAGCAAATCGGCGCCGCCAAGGTAAGAGACCGCCCACGCGCGCAATTAGCAATCGAAACAGCGGAGGGTATTTCATGTGTTCTGACATCCTCGCCTCCCGTCCTCACCCCCTTTATCTCCCCCATGGTATGTAAATCATTAATTAAAAGCAAAATCTGACACTGCCAAGACAAGTGACTTAATCAGATGGATAGGGGGCATAAACAAAGCTGTCAGTCTGCAAGCGCGATATTAAAAAGGTATTAAGACATGTAGGGTGGCGAGGACATCCGTTCAGACGTAACTGAACTTTCTGTTCATTGCAGATAAAAACCAACAAGAGGGGATTTAATATCAAAAACAGAAACAATAATGAATATATCACTGCATCCACCGGGTTTGTATGTCTTTATGCAAATAGCAAGTGTGAAAATGTGCAAACTGCAAAGGCAGTTGGTCTCAGTCTTCAGTAACAAGGTCTATACGAGCTGTTCTCCCCGCTAAGATGCCTCTGCAGGATCAAGCAGCATGAATGTTTCAGCTCTCTGATATCTTTAACAGTATCTCATATATTAAAGTGGCCGTTTTTGTTATCAGATTACTGCAATCCTGTTATATGTAATGCGATACCTCCATAACCTTCTCGGTGTAATGGATGGGTATCAGTGGGGCTTCTGCAGAGTGTTGCTGGAAGGCATCCTGGTTCCACAGTGGCTACGGTGTTGAAGTCGGAGTCGGCTGCAAAGAACAGTGTGGGCTTGTTGCTACAAGCCATACTTTCATTCCTGGCCAACGCAAAGGCATAAAATGAAAGTGGAGCAGCTTGTTTGTGGTCATTCCCGTGGTGAGTTCACACATGAACGAGCTGCCTGTCCACTGATCTCCCACTGAGTTTCAGAGTCCACTGCTAACTACTCTCTGCTCTGTGAATCATTTGCACGTCTTTGCATAGCTCTAACCACTGTGTGGGACATCGCATTCTCCAAACCGCACTCCCTCTTATCTTAATTTATTTTACGTAACTCTACAGAAGAGGTCATTTTTAGATTTCTGTTGGCGTAACTCCTTTGGCTATTTCTCCTCTCTGTAGTAAGGTGTGACGTCAATCACTCTCCTTTAGACTGAATAACTCTCGTCACCTCGTGTCTCAACTATCAGAAGTACCTACTGTAATGAAACGGCCCATCTCGCTACCATCCCTCTCTCCCTCTCCCTCCCACTTCATCTCAGTGTTATTGCACCGACTCTCTGTGTTTATAAAATGGTTTCTTAAAAGCCACAGCCCCCGTCACTCCCACTACCTCTTATATCCTTCGACCACTTCCTCCTAATGGCTCTCTCTCCTCCTCGGCCCATCCCCCCCGCTGAACATTAGCCCAACTAGAGTGAGATAAAAGGCAGACATCACGAGTGGCTGTGCAACTTTCCACTCTTCTGAGAACATGAGAGAGATCTGCAGGCTGTCTGACCCTTCCAGCTCCTGCGCTTCGAGTCTGAGAACGTCAGACGGACAAACGGGGAGCTCTTGCCTTATTTGGGTATACAGCGAGTAATCCCACTGAGGTTACGTACCAGTGTATCAGCTTCCTAGGCACAAGCAACAACACTTCATGGCTGTAAAACACCAGCAGATTGACTGCTGCGCTATTAGGCACAGTCTGTTTCACACAAAGGAGAACCAACTGTTTCTGTATAAGAAGTAAACTTTGAGAAAAACCACGAAAATCTAAACCATCATGACTTCTAACTGGGATGTGTTCTCGCCACAGGTGCTAGACGTAGACGAGAAGTCATTTTCACGCTTCTTGATGACTTTGAAAACTGAGAAGAGGAATGGAAATATGTCCTGGTTTCAGAGTACGCTTCCTGTTTGTCTTCACTGCATCTTCTCTTCTATTTATCCAGTAAAGTGCTAAATGTTGAGCCGTAACTTCGACCTGAACTTTCGCTCTGAACTCGCAGCTCTGAGGGCTGCAGTGTTGATCTTTTTGAACCATTGGAGGTAAACCGCCTCAAGCTGGCTCCACACTATTTCTGTGAGTGTTTGTCAGCTGTCATATTTTTAAGGCCTTGAAATTTAAACAGACCTCAGGGATACTTTGTCAAGAAAATACCAGGAGGTGTCAAACTGGTGGGTGGCAGTCCTGCTCTCTGAAATATTTGACTTCCTGCACAGATCTTCAGCATCAGGGGCACCGTGGGGGTCCCCTCCTAGCTGAGTGTGTAGAATTAGTGCTAACAGGCCCAGATGGGAGTCAGATGGCCACTGATAATTTGAGCTGTTCTCATCCTACAAAGAGAGCAAGAACAGTCGGATAGTTTTTGGCTAGTTTTTTTTTGCCTCCAGAGGCAGAACTGACATTTGCTTTCATGTTATTAAATCCCAAAATATGCTAACCAGGAAGCCGTGGAGTAAAGGGCAGCAATCAGGGATATGAACACCAGCTGTGGGCTGCATTTCCACCATTAAATTCGGACAGTGTATTTTTATTCTTTAATAAACCTTGGGATGTTGTGGTTAATGACTGAAGGTCTTTCCTTCCATTATTCCTGAGCTGTGTCCAACGCTGTAAATTTCGGCTCGGCTAAAGTTGAAGTTCCAAATATGCCGTAATGTGAACGGTATCCTGTAGAGTACCAGTAAAACAATCAAGTGGTGTTTCAGAAAAACCTCATACTGTGTCAGATTAAGTCAGTTTTAGTCATTTTAACCAGAGGTCAACCGATTACAGTCATTTCATTGGTGTAGGTACCAGATGTGTTCAGGCTGCCAGATCGGCTCAGGGCCCAGCGCCTGTTGAAGAAGTCACACTCCGGCAAGTCCACTCAGACAAACTACACTACGCTCCATTTAATAAGTCAAATGTGCTCGGTTAAAAGCCCCTTCTTTGTTCTGTTTGTTCATTCAAGTGACCTCGAAATTTTCTCTCCATGTAATACAGAGAATTAGAACTTACAGTACTGTCATTTTTTTTAGCTTTAATTGTATTTGTTAACTTTTCTAAAGGAAAAAAAAAAGTACGCAGGATCTCCGTTTATCAATGGATAGTTTTGTTTTTATTCCACATTTCCTTAAAGAGGCGGTTGTCCGGCTGTCATAAGTCCCCTTCCTCCAAAGAACTACAATCCCATGAAACCTAATCTGGTGAAAACTGCTTCTGTAATGCCCAGACCAACCACAATCCTTTATGTCATCTGAACCAACTTCCAGCCAATTATGATTGTAACGTCATCAATACGTGGTGAGCCCCGAGCCGATCTGGCAGACTGAACAAATCTGGTAGCTACAACGATACCGATGATGACACAGAAGATCAGACTGATATTGCCGATATGACATAGTGTTGTTTTTGCATTTGACAAATTTTAAAAAGAAAGTCAGCGTGGTTCTACCTGGCTTCACCCTCATAAGGTTGGACAGAGATGCTAAAGCTAGTGGCGAGAAGAAAGGAGGAGGTCTGGCTTTATTAGTTTTCCAGAGATGGTGTAACTCTCCACACATAACTGTCAAGGAGAGGATGTGCTGTCCAGATATTGAACTGTGGCCCTTAGGGGTTCAGTCATATCATAACAATACTTGTTTACATCCCACCCAAGGCAACGGCTGAAGTTCCATGTGATGTTTTCCATGACACAATCGCTAGGATATGGATTCATCCACTTCATAACATCTTGATGAACCTAAATAAATAACAGACAGACGTCTCGTCTCTTCACTGCAGGACAGAGAGATCCAGAAGATCTTTACTTAATTCTAGATGAGATGAGATTCCAGACAAACGAATTTGCCTTTTGGGATCAATAAGGTTCATGTATTGTATTTACAGATTCATTATTCCACACTTATTCAAATCTAATGGTGGTGGGTTTAGAGGAAGTATGACCTCCCACTCTGTTGTGTTATTCTTATTAGACAGCACTAATCACGTCTTTCGTGGATCACAGAGTTATCACTGTTTTAGAGTACAGCCTAGTTCTACCATCCAAGTCCGAGCACTCACAGATGTTTAAAAAAAGGAACAGATATGTTTTAGACATCTGAACCATACTGCAGTATAATAAGGTCGTCTAATTAAACTGACAGCTCTGAAAATGAAAGTCAGACTCTAACTTTAGATGCGTTTCAAAAACAACCAAACGCACGAACAAGGCGAGCGTGTTTAATATATTTCTTTTCATTATTCTCATGTCTCTTCCATCACTCCCCACTGTGCCCTACCTAATAAAGCAGAAACACCATTATAGAATCTTTCAGAAAGTAATTACTTTTTCTCCTGATCACCAGAATTTCACGAGGCAGTCAAAGTAGACCTTGAGAGGTCAATCTTTACCTGTTTGAAGGCTGCTGCAGCTTCTCACTGCAAATATATCAGCTCCTCGCTGAGACATTGAGTTTGCAAAAACAACACGTATGGAGAAAGTCGAACGCTGTGAGTCATCTGACTGCTGAGTTTACCAAATATTTATGGTTACGCTTGAACTGAGACTCTCTAGATTCCTGTTCTCACACTGATCCACTTAATTTGAAGGACAGATCTGGACTTTGATCTAACTCACAGTGTCTGAGTTATACTGGGATGAAACAGAGACTATATGGAGGATAAACTGTAGTTCTTCTTTGGTACATGTTTACTGATCTCCAGTCACCAGTGATCATGTCTACTGTCACTCAGTCTGTCATTGTCTGGAGGTTTAACTGTTGAAATGTTGAAATAATCCTTTCAATAAGTAGACAGATAACCTAACAGTCAAACATTTCCTTCCACTTAAGGCTCATTTATGCTCAACGTTACATACGGCTCCGGATACGGACGTAGGGACGTAGCTCTCCATCTGTTCTTCGCGATCTTTTCGTCCATATTTCTCCACGTATCCCTGAAGTTTACGGATACGGTCCAGGCAGGGCAGTACCACCGGAAAGTGTGGGGGCAGTGTTGCTGCTGTCACCACCCGATACAGATCTCTAGAGAGAAACGAAGAAGACAATGGCGGGCTTCTTGAAGATGGCCGTCAATTTCTCTCATCGGTACTACAGGGCTGCCAAGTTTCAGAAAATGACAAGAGTGAGACTTCAGTCTAATGATGTAAATTTTTGCCTTTTTTAACGTCGATTTATACCTTCAGACAGATGTCTTCACCTCCATGCCAGCTGCTCTCCCTAATGCTAGTCTTTTATTTGTCAATACTGCATTATGTCAAGTGAGTCTTAAATGTCGGCACTGTTGCGTGTGAAAGATAGTTAGAGATGCAAGACCCGCCTTACGTTGCTTCTGATTGGTTTATTGCGTGGTGCCTTCTGTGGTTGGTTAGATTTAGGCAGAGAGGACTGATGGATTGGTTATCTCGGTCAGTCAATCAGAGTTAGGCGAATACGGCAAGCCAAGTTTATTATCATGAAAAAAATAAATACAGAGTATTAAATGGGGAAATATAAGCGTGATAAATGTCAAGTGTGGCATGTGGTGTGATTGTCACACTTAAAGCGTGACGCTCGGCAGGTCTGGTACTACTAGAGAAAAGAATATCTGTCCTCCAACCGCGAGGCCTTTAGTGGGCTGACCGTCCACCGCCACCTCCAACGCTGCCTCTGTTTCTGTCTCCTATGCTAAATATACATTATCACCTCCTCCACAGTCGCCGTGTTACTTTTTGTTTGTTGTTGTCAGAAACGTTTGACTCTGGTCTGCCCCCTGGTGGATGTAATGGTTAACATCAATGCTAACTTAAAGTACGCATGGAAGTATGTGGGCAGTGACAGAACCGTCGTTTGAAACAGATGCATACATTTTCATACGTGTGGCGAGCATAAATGAGCCTTTAGCTGGACACAGTTATATTTTGAGTGGAAAATGAAGTTGTTATCAAACTTCTTGTTGAGCCTTCAGTAAAAAAAAAAAAGTCTGGATTTGTGATAACCTGAGTGCAGACAGAGATAACATGTTTGTCACCTCAGAAATGTGAAAAGGGTTTTCTGAGGAAGTGCCTTAGTCACAGTTGTAGTCATGACAACACTGGCCAGTGACGCCGTCCAAAGTAAACAATCCTCTGAGATTTCCAAACTTCCTGATGATTCAGGTTGTCTTCTCGCTCTCGTTATCTCTCTGGTTCGGCGCTGAGACGAAAGTACAGGCAGATCTTTTTTGACAGTGAGAAGCCCAAGGCGACACTATAGGATTGGGTGTAGATGTATACTCATGCAGAGCCTGTAAAAACCTTTTCTGCAGCGTGAAAATCAAGAAGCCTTTGAAGGTGATCCTATGAAGATACCAGCTTTATTCTGCTGCACAGACTTCTCACTGTCACCAGCATGGTTCACACATTATATGGAGTTTTTTATTTAACATATCATGTGTCAGACTGAGCTGAGACACTATTTAATGCTTATTTCCCTGACTAAGCCCTGTGGTTTACCTCGCACACGCACTAAACATGTCTTATTTAGAAGTCTGGGTATTTGTTTTTCGACTCCTCAGAAGCAGATGTTTGCAATTATTCCGTGTTAATTGGCCGACTTTTCGAGCTGTCTGTGATGTCTCCGCAGGAGTTGCGATTTCAGGTAAAAAGGGAAACATCTTATGGCTTTACAGCGAAGCAACTGAACTCAGACCGAAGCCTCGTGTTCTCCCCTGTGGAAGTGAGACTTGCTGATGTGTGGTGGAGCATCAAAATAACCCGGCTACCGCTTCCTAATCGCCATCTTGGACCTGTGCTCCAATTAGTCGTCCCCTAATGAGTTCACGGACACAGTTTTATCCCACAGCTTCAGCAAAGGTGTTGGACAAGAGTAAGGACCACGATGCGCTCCTTCTTCTGCATAAAAGCACAGACACATAGGAGCTTTCTTTATGCTTACATCTGTAACCATGGCGATGAGAGTTACAGGGGTGATAGGCCTCGGGTGTCAAACTGGTAATGCACCAAATATTTCTCTTGCATCTTTTCTAACACACTCTCTCTTTAGCAAACGGAGATCATGAAACCAGAAGAAAGCTGCCTGCAGTTTATCTCATTATTTCTCTCACTGCGATGTTACATTATCAATTAGCAAACTCACCCGAACTACAGCTGGCATCAAAGAGCTTTTAACAGCAACATGAAGCTTGCCAGTCAGAAAATTCCACCACAGATGAATCTGCATCAGAAAAAAAATCTCATCCTGCGTCTGATTTATTCATGAGCGCGAACAAAGCAATCAGATGAGGAAATCTCCCAAGTGGTGGGTTCATGTGTGTTTTGTGCACCGCAGAGTGTTGGGTGGTGCTCGCTCGCTCGCTCGGGCTCCATCCATCCCCTGCCAGCTGATTACTCAGAGGTGCTGGCATTAGTTTGTGTCAGAAACTTTTGTGCTCCAGGGTATACAGATCTATCCACATCTCTGTCCTCTGCCACCATGTGTTTGGCTTCAAAGCCTTCAGCTCGCACCGCTCCGTTTTAAATTGCACATACTCCTCTCTGATTGCACAAACATATCCAGCGGGTTGAGTTAGATGGGCGAACAGACAAACACCTGGCGTTCTTCAAGGGTGTCATTACCATCGCACGAGTTTATACATGTCCAAAACAAAGCGAGGCACTTTAGGTGACTTAACGAGGGTGGCTCTGCAGCTCTGAGTCACTCTGTGCGAGTGTGAGAGGTACGAGGGAGGGTTTCTGAGAGGAGGTTTTGAGAGTCTACTCGCTCCGGTCAGCAGCGTTGGGCGAGTCCTGTTGTGACTGCAGGGCTCAGCTAAACCTAGAGGACTTAATTTAATGTGATCTCTAGTGCGAGTGCATGCTTGTTGTGCTCGTATGCCTGCATACAAAATAATGTCACATACGCAGCCCTCAGAATGGATTCTTAAGGCTCGTTTATATTCCTGCCTGCAAGACTTCATTTTTTAAACATTTGTGTATTTTTTCTATCCACCTGTTAATTTTTCTATTATTCTCCTGAACAGTGGGCACATACATAATTGATTTTCCTCCCGACTGCTGGAGAGATCATTGCTGGGTCAGACATGACAGGAAAGATGGAAATAAGATGCTACTACATGAAATTATCTATTGATTTTTGTGCCGTACTTGTTCTAGTTATGTAGGAGGGTTACAGTGACTCGAGGTGGATTCCTCCAGTGTGGTTAACTGCTGTGGGGGTTGCTGAGGCAGAACACTCTTCTAGGTCATATCAGTAGCTGGTAGATTAGACTTGCTAAATTTCAGGGCCATGGGAATGAAAACAAACAAGCAGGATCTGGTTACATTGGCCGTTTCCTCACACTTCCCTCAACCCCCTCGAGTTGAGTCTGTGCTTCCCCCTTTATGAATGTTTGCATAGTGAGATTGGCATGAAGTGGGCATGATGAGTCCCTCCCTGAAGACAGGTTCTCTGTAGAGTAAATCTTCTCGAGGGGTTACATTACTCTGTCCGTACGCTTTATAGATGGGCATCTGGCATGAAAAGCCCATTTCCCGTCCCTTCCTTGGAGCCCTTTGGGACGCGCTGTGACTGCAGAGCTCGACACGTCTTTGCAGGTGGAGAATTAGAAGTGAGCAACATGCAGACGGCAACCAGCCAGTCACATAACGCTGCTGCTGATGGTGATTTACATTTGGCTGTATTTTTCAGTGAACTTCTGTCAGCAGCAGGGCAGAGTGAAAATAATAGACCATATTTCAAAGAAGTCCTTTTGCTAATTTACAGTCCTTGTTGACCATTCAGGCTTTTTCCACACAGCACTCGCTCCATCATTTGTCATTTTTACGACCTGTTATACTCTATTGACAGGAGTGTTTAAATGTCATTTGCCAGATGTGATGTGAAACTGTAGTGAGACTTCCACCTAGTGGCAGCTCCACACACACCCACATGAGGAATGTATGACTTTATGCTTCATTTACGGTGATTTTTCTGCTTTTTCTTGTGGATCATTTTTAGGAAGGGAAGAAGAAATTTGATAAGGAAACGGAGAAATACTACTCCACGCTGGAGAGACACCTCAACCTGTCGTCCAAAAAGAAGGAAGCGTACCTGCAGGAGGTAAAAGCAGAACAAATGTTCTTATCCCCACCCGTCTTAAAATAATGCTCTTTTCTGGTCAGCTGACTCTCCTCTTTAGTAAAGCTCTTCTCTGTTTTTTAAGGTGTCGGTCTAAGCATTAACTCTCTGCCCACACATTGCTGACCCCGTTTGACCTCTGTCTTTGTTACGGCTCTGACCCCTGGTTTGTTTGCTCCTCCTCCTCAGGCCGACACGCAGATTGATAAGGAGAGGCAGCTCTTTTATGACGCGTCCCTGGAGTATGTTTTTAAAATCCAAGAAGTGCAAGAAAAGAAGAAATTTGAGTTTGTCGAGCCGGTAAGTGACGAACGAACCCTCTTTACATATTTCCACGCTGAGTTATTGCTGAATGCAGATTGAAGATCCGGTAAATGCTTTTCTTTTTGACTATGTATAGAGTTGAAGTGGAGTTTAAATGGCGCACACTCTAAATGTTTGTACTTACGGTTAATAAAAGTGGCTTTTTAAGTGTCTCTCGGCTCTTTTTTCCGAGCGAAGACACAATAACATAGTACATTTCTCTCAGGTGTATATCTGTTCTTGTATATTCTACTTATTTGTCATCTGCTTCACAAATTCTCCGCAATATTGTCGATGCATTTGGGGGAGGCAGTGGGTAAAATTGGATAAAGTGGTTGTTGTCAAACAAAACAAAGACAAAGTGCGAGCATAAATCCCAGCCCGTGTAAAAGCCTCCACCGTACAGATATGTGGAGTCAATTCTAACATCTTTAGAGAGAAGTTACCAGGAAACATTAAGTTCTGTAGGTGTTAAATGTCTGGGAACGTGAGCAGGGAGCAAAGCGGTTGTCTTAAAAGCCCCCGCTCCCCCTCAGCTTATTTCCTCTGGCAGGTCACCCAGAACACAGGCCAGAAATGCAAATCTCCAGGCTCTAGGTGGAGGTGGGGAAAGTGACAGGGCTCAGCCTCGCCTGTGATGAATCTGGGCATAGATAAGATGCCGCAGCCTTGAATATTTGACATAGCGAGTCTCATCTTGGTCTAAAAATCAGTGGTTTCATCTGAGGACTCGACTGAGAGGAACTGCATGTTCTTAGGATTCTGCAAAGTGGAGAAGGGATCAGTTTTTTTTTTCCTCCCACAATACTGTCTCTGCTTTTTCACAATTTGTAAGGATGTTTGTTTGTTATACAGAAGTGAAATCAATATGTGTCAGCCTCGGAGAACTCAAACTCTCTGAAACTTTCCACTTTGCTTTCCTCTCCTGCAGTATTCAGAGCATCAACATGACAAAACCTCACTGTGTCAGATTTGCTGCTTTATTATTTTGCATAGTAACGGAGAAAACGGTGATACAGTATTCACAGCGAAATGATAGTTTGACTCCAGAAGTGGATCTTCACAGGGTGTGATTTTGGGAATTAAAGCGAGTTCTTGTTATCTCATCAATCAGCAGACTTGATTCCCCATGAGTTACAGACACCGAACGGTAATTGTGTTGTTAAGAAAGTCATTACGGCATCTGCCTTTCAAAATGGAGATTGAAAGTTGCCGTGTTTCTTATTAAAGTGTTATCTCTAGTGTGAATTTTAATCACACTCTGCTGTATTGTTGTTTTTACACTCAGTGAATCAGCTGTGAATATTCTCCCTCTCCAGCTCCTGGCCTTTCTTCAGGGTTTGTTTACATTCTACCACGAAGGATACGAGCTGGCTCATGAATTCGAGCCGTACAAACAGCAGCTCCAGTTCAACCTACAGAACGTAAGTCTCTCTCCGCACCTCGGGGGTCGTGCACAAAGGCAACCGTCCTGGTAATCAGATTCTGCAGCTTATCATACCACGACATAACAAGCTGAGTTTTCACAAATGGATAGCTGTGTGATGAAATGAGATTCTTTGCAGCTCAGAGGATCAATATTTTCAGAGTGTTGTGCTGCAGACAGACACTGCGGGCTATTTAATGGTAATGTGTCAAAAAAGAGTTAGAGTTGGGAGTGAAGCTGCAGCTGCAACCGTGCCCCCTCCTTCCCTCGCCACTTGTCGCCTGAGGGTCCAAATTTCTTTTTCTGACCCAGAATGTCAGCATCACTGCCCTGACAGCTCCCACTGCATGACCCTTTTCTACATGTCCTCGTATGCAGGGATCTCCAAGAGGAGGTGAGGCTCCCTCAGCTCCTTCCTGGGAAGAGAAATGACACAATCTTGTTTCCTTCTGGGAGTGAAAACATCAAAATCCCCGTCCTAAATTTAGTTGATAATGAACTCAAATTATTTCCGAATAGTTTCCAAGAAATCCTTTTCCCACTGGGCCTCTTAAAACTGCCCGAATGTGAAGCATTTTTCAGCTGTTTGGCTTTTTCTTTATTTGTTTTAGCTCTTTCCCTCTGCTGTGTTTTGGAAATGGCAAAAGTGCTGATGGTGAAGTTCGACTCTGGTGGTGAAATTATAATCCAATTTGTGATTTCAGACACGGAATAACTTTGTGAGCACGAAGCAGGAGGTGGAGAAGCTGATGAAAAGGATCAGATCTGCAGATCAGGACTATAAACCTCCAGGCCAGTGGACGATGGAAGGCTTCCTGTACGTCCAGGAGAAACGTGAGTCCTTCCAGCTGAGCTCCCAGGCAGACGGACCCCCCAGCCCTCTTTTAAAAGCCCGCTTTTCCATCCATCATCATAAACATGTCTTGAGTTCTTCCAGGCCTCTGCAGAAAAGATTCTCTCACACAAAACCCATAATTCATCCTGTTTACAGATTCACTTTGATGTGCTCTCAAACAAGGGGGGAGATACCCGAGTGGTAGATTTTTATCAGCTGCGATAAACAACTTCTGATTTATCGCACTTTAATTGCAAATTGATTTTCAGAAGTCTTTCCAGAAGCCCGGGATTCAGAGAAAAATATTTTGGCTCAAACGCGACTTTGTTCTGTTTTTATCCTGTCCCAGGTCCTCTGGGGTGCACTTGGACTCGTCACTACTGCACATATGAGAAAGGCAGCAAGACCTTCACCATGAGCAACACGGAAAATAAGTCAGCGGGGAAACAGGTAGTTCAGATTAGCGGCACAAACAAATGATAAAAGCTGAAAAACACAGAGCAAGTTTAATCCGTGTGTGAGTGAAACAAAGAGCTCCTTTGAGGTTTCCAGAATTTCTCAGCCCAGGGGGGCAAAACGGGGAAAAAAGTCAAGATGACAGAGATGTGATTTGGGCGCAGGAAACGATAGACTTGTTTACTCAAGGCAGACCAAAATGGTTCAAAGATAACGAAATCCACAAATAACTGAAAGGGATGAAAATAACCGAAGTCGAAAAAGTTAGAGATGTTTTTTTTTAATAAACAACAAACTCTGATAAATTCACGTCTTGATAACGGTACGGTGTGTAGGATCTGAGCAGACTCTGTCAGATCTAAAGTATGTTGGTGTATAATTACCTGAATGTAAGAGCTGCAGGTTTTCTCCCACAGAGGCCGTCAGGTTTTCTCTATAGGGGAGTGAACCGACAGATTAAAGCGTTCATGTTTGTGAATAAGAATAGAAGAAAAGAGCGACTGTTGTGCTGCACAATATCACTTCTATTCATAGATGTTTTTGATGGTAAATGTTGATTCTCAGAGGTTCATGTGTGGCTTTTTTATACCTATATTTCTTTAATGCTGTGTGGTTGTTTATTAGCTTTAATCATGAATTAATTGATTTTTCAATGTTTTTATCTTAGTGTAAAGTACTTCTGTAATAAATGTGCTTTTTGCATTCACAGAAAAAAACAAAGCTCTGTTTTTCAGATTATTTTTTTTTTGTTTTGTTTTTTTCATCTTCTTTCATCCCCCTCGGCTCGATTTATTGGAAGCAAACATGACTAACTTGTTTAGTTTAATCAAGTTTTACTTTCTTTTGGGTTTGAGACTCTGAGAAATACTCCTTTAAGTCAGATCGATGGAATCGTCATAAGTTTGTCTACTTTGTGCAGACACCTCAGGATTAACTAATAACAGGCTTTACTCTCATCTTGATTGATTGATTCTCATAGGATTTTGAAATATCTGTCTGAGTCGGGGAAAAAAATAGTCTGAAAAGAGAGACGAAAAAATTGTACAAAAAAACAAAATAAAAATTTGTCTGAAAAACAGAAATATGAGAAAAAAATATTTGAACAAACAACAGAAGAAAAAAAATAGTCAGAAAAACAGCAAAAAAAAAAAATACTCAAAAAAAGTTTCCTTTATTTTTGTAAGTGAATGCAGCACGCACGCTTCTGTAAATATTGATATTTTATTGAACGTGTATTCATGGATGTGTTTGTTTTTCGTAGAACGGACTCGTCCTGAACCAAGCGGAGATGTTCAAGCTCAAGTCCTGCATCCGGAGGAAAACCGACTCCATCGACAAACGTTTCTGTTTTGATATCGAAGTGGTGGAGAGGTCTGTGTGGATCGTCTTCATGTCCCTCAAACTGTCCTTTGACTTACAAAGACTGAAAACATATAAAAAAAAAACCCTTAAGCACATGATAATATAATTGATAAAAGCAAAAAGAGACAGTTTTAGACTTCTATTCACAAATCTGCATGTTTTGAGATCTGAAAACAAGTGTCATGACTTTAGTCTGAAATTATTTTGACACAGAAATTGTTAAATATCTTGTTTTTCCATTATATTAGGAGCTCTTTATGCTCGATTAGCATCTTTAAGACCCCCTGTGTTTTTTAAGTCTGGGATGTTTTCAGCTCTGTTTGTGTCCTGCATGTTCCTCAAACCCTCTCCCTCCCCCCCAGCTCTCCTTTTGTTGAATGTCCACAACATCCACGTTTTACTCTATTTTTGAACCCATTCCGTCTTCTCTCTGTGTTCATGTCGACGTAGAAATGACATCTGTCGTGGAACTCTTTTCAGACCGCTTCAGTTTTTCTGTAAAGTCCGGTATGTGAACTGACCAGTGCTGCCCTCTCAGAGCAGTTGCATGTGCTGCATGTGTGCTGCTAACCGTCTCATTCACTCAGTCTCAAATCCAAGCCTTCTGCTGATATACTGTCGTCCTCTAACCTCTCCTCAGAATCAGACGTCCTGTGGTCGATACGGCCACGGGACTCAGTCAAATTCTTCAATCATTTCTACTTGTATCTGTAATTACTGATAAATGTAACCACAAGAATCACTTCATCATTTTGTCTCTCGTCAGAAGTTTGAAATCTTTTAGCAGTATGGGATCATTCATTCCTGATTTATATTTAATGTTGCACTGGGGAATAGATTAAGGTATTCACAGAGATCAAACACCTTCAGGTTGGCTTCTCGCTGATTAACAGAGGCTGAAATGATTCAGTTCTGTTTTATGAGAGCTTGATCTCGGCTCATTATTGTGCTGATGTGTATTTCAGAATACAGAGTCGGCTCATCACTGCGCATTATTGTCGCGCTGGGCCGGGAGGGCCAGCCCCGCTCGCGCTCCGCACGCCGAGTGTTGCTGAGCTCGGACAAAATCTGCAGTTTATTTGCAGGACAACTCATTTATCATAAAGAGCGAGGCCCTAAGGTGCTTGTTCCAACCGCAAGGACGATGAGGGCCGAGCTCCACTCACCTTAAAGCTCATGCATTCATCCTCATTATCATAAACATGCTGTTTCTTATAAAGCCCGGTCTGAATCGGACCGACCGCCTCACAGCCTCGTAAAGGGCGGATTCACTCAAATAACTGCAGGGGGTTCAGCCATGCAAATACTTTTATTTTGATTGCCCAGGTTCTGAAACGACGTCTGCCTCAGGCTGAATCTGGTCCTCGCAGCAGTGAAAAATCTTCCCTAAAAGACCCAAAGTCATAAAAGTGTTTAGAGCCCAGAATTACAGGTTTAATACGAGGAGAGTGAAACAATTAGTGATATCCAATCCTTTGCTCATCCTTCCTGTTGTTGGAATTCTAGAGGAGATGGTGGCCTTCAAGGACAAAAAGGTTCTGACAAGTATGATCCTCTATTCGTCCAAATTTCACCTTAAAAAATAAGAATACGAATAAGAGGAATAAGAAGAACTTTATTAATCCCTGAAGAAAAATTCAACTGTTATCTGTTTTCTCACTTGACATGTCTCTAAAAGTTATTAAGTCTCCATTTAGTTTGGGAAATGTGCAAAAAGACAAGATTGTTGATGTTGTTGTTAAATAGTTAAAAGTGATTAACTAACATCACAATTAAACTCCTCCCTCCGCCGCAGCCTCTAGCTAAAATCCAGCAAAAAAAGAAAACCTTGTCAAGTAAATCTAAAACTATCTGCATGGCGAGATACTCCAGCAAGTGAAGCTAATCAATTATTTGGAGAATATTACTCATGAATAAGCAGAAAACATGTAAGTTGACATCGCTCCATGCTAGTACTAACTATCACCACTGAGTGGGTTTTATATTTGGCTCACTAGTATCATCACATGGTGTTATTATCATCGTAGGGTTATGGAGGAACTAGGGCTGCACGATTCTGGCCAAAATTAAAAACCAGATTTTTTTTTCTGTAAAAACTCGATTTTCGATTTTTTATTCAGTGACAACTTCACCAAACTTCACTTTAATACGTTTTTTTTTTTTATATCTATATGCCAAACCAGTAAGTGGCGCTGTAACGCTGAAGAAGAGTACAGAGCATACGTATAAAGGTTGTTTTGGTCGGACGCTGTGTGTCACATGATCGTTTCCAGAGATACAGACAGACATCCACACGGAGATGAAACAGTAGTCGTTTACAGATTTATTCACTCTCTGACCTGTTTTCTAAAAGTACCGTTTACAGTCACCCGAAACGCCGAAAAACCTTTGCATTTACTCCTGAATTTGTTTCCGTTGTGGACAGGTTAATACCGCTTCGTCCGAAATCTCGAAGCCGTACCAATTCCACACGACTGACTTGTGTGGACTCTTGTTCTATTTAGCCACGAAATTATCGCCTTCTTTTGTCAAGGCCATTGTTTGTTTACGCTGGTGTGTGTGGGAACTGGGGAGCGCTCCCACAGGCGGAGGATGGTAGGGGAAGGTCCCGCCCTCCTTCGCCTCTGATTGGCTAGAAGTGCTGGGCTCAGATTGGTTATTCCTTATGGTTGTGAAACGTCATCGTCTGTTGGGTTAGGAGATCCAGAATTGCGATAATGTTCTGTTTGACGCACAGAGCCCACAGCCCGCGCTAGGCTTGAGCATGTGATGACGTTTCCAGGTTTTCTAGCCAATCAGAAGCGAAGGAGGCAGGACCTTCCCCTACCATCCCACCAAAAAAAAAATATCGCCTCCCGCAGGAAGGGGGAACATACGGCGCGAGACATGGTAAAGAGGAAAATCGATTTGACGACTATTTTTTTTAACATCGTCATAATCAAATAAATTGATTACGATTTAAAATCGATGAATCGTGCAGCCCTACAAGGTACAGTAGTAGTCTATAGTATCAACTGTAGATAAGAGATTCAGGCGATGTGACATGAAACACAAGTTCTGCGGTGCTGAACACAGATGACATGGTGTTTGCATGTGGGGTGCAGGAAACCTGATTCACTCTAATATTAAAGCACATGTAGCGTTTAATTGGGGGTGGAATGTGAGGCAGCGAGCCAACCGAGGGCACGGTTTGAAGTCAAGCATTTGCACATGAGCTATTTTAGTCACACTAGTCCTTTTATAGTGGTATCAGCCAGTGTAAACATGGCCTGTCCAGGGGCCCCAAGGCAATGAGATCAGACTGAGACCAGCTTTTCTCTGAAATCTTTCCAGGCATGGCGTTATGACACTGCAGGCACTGTCAGAGTCCAACAGAAGATTGTGGCTGGAGGCGATGGATGGCAAGGAGCCGGTGAGGAACTTTGCCTGTTTGTCTTTGAAATATTCATTTTTTCTGCTGGCTGCTGTTTGGCCAGGAGGTCTTTTACTTGACTGTTTGACAAGAAAACAACAGCACCGAAAGTGAATTTTTGTTCACTGGCACCCTCTCTTGGCGGGTTCGGGTTGAGTCTTTTTAAGAAACTATGACCTCACCACCCACTTGTGCTAATAATAGGACAGTTGGCTCTCAGCATATGAACTCTGGGGGAAAACAGTAAAGCATATATTCTGTTCTCTTGGAGTTTATTCAATGTTAAGTCAACAGGCTCCTTAACTTGATCGTTATTTCCAAACTTTTCCCTCTCCAGATTTACAACCTTCCAGCCGTACTGAGCAAAAAGGAAGAGAGTGAGTCCGACTTTTTCCTCCCTCCATAAATTTCATTTGATAAACATACATTCAACAACGTGTAAGCATTAAAATAAAACCCTCAGTACTCTCTGCTACTTGGAGCTATCGATGTTCATTAACACAATTACTTGACATCCACCCACTCAGCTGACATAGCAGGGCCTTCCAGCACAGGGGTTGTATCTTATTAGTCAGAGTCGAAGCATAGGGAATGCTTATTATTCCTGCATGATGCGTGGTTAACCCTGACGGTAATTGACATGTCAACTTTATTCTCTTGTTGTATTACAGCCTTTCTTAATGAGGCAGGCTTTAACTTTGTGAGGAAATGCATTGACCTGGTGGAGATGAGAGGTAGAGCCTTTTAAAATCTTGCTTTCATCTGTCAAATGACTTGAACTCACCTCTGCCGTATTAATGATCGACGACGGGCCTCGGCCATTAGTTGACATAATCACACTTTTTATTGATGTTAGTTTTTAATGAGCAGAAGATCTTCATACTGTCCTCTGTTGTTGTTGTTAATGTGTTTATCTACAAACAGGCATCAATACGATGGGACTGTACCGGATCGGAGGGGTCAACTCCAAAGTACAAAAGCTGATGACCACCGTGTTTTGTGAGTGGATTTAAAGTCTGAGAAATACGTTCTCTGTGATCAGTGTCCAAAGGGACTTCATACTATAGTTATAATCAATAATGTTTGTTTGATTGATGAAATCCTCAGAATAAATAAGATATTGAATTTTTTTAATGATAAAAAACTATTTCTGTGTCACTTTTTGCGCTCTGGTCCTTATTGGCTGACTTTGTCATGTACAATCGTGGTAAAATAAGAGATTTAGCTGATGACCACCTTGTTTTGTGAGTTGATTAAACATCTGAAAAATATGTGAATAACTACATCTGTGGTCAGTGTCCAAAGTGACTTCATATTATTGTTATAATTAGTAATTATGGCAGTTATAATCTGTCCCCTAATAATCCATAACAAATAAGATATTGTTGATTTTTTTAACAATTTTATGAACAGTTATAAGAACTATTTACATTCGGCAAACATGTCTACGTTGTTATTTGCATGGTATGAAAAAATAATTATGATCAAATAAAATAACATCAAATACAAGTGAAGAACAGTTCAATAAAATAAGGTTCGAGGGTGAACTAGGATGCATCCCGATTCACCTCCGTATAGACTTATTTCCTTCTCCCATAGATGCCCTCCTACCTGGTCTCTCCTACGTCACGTACACACCATAGATTTTGTTGAATTTTTTAATAATAAATAACTATGGTATAACTCATGGTCCATCATGGTAAAAGAAGAGGTTTAACTGAGAGTAGTGAAAGAGCTCCTCCTTGTGGTGTGGTGGTGAAACAGCAGCCTGGCCTCATAACCCTTAACCATTACTGTATTAGATGACCTGAAGTAATCTGGTTTGTATTTATGACGTACATTAGAGCAGGAACCACCTCAGCTTTATCTGTATATGTGTGAATTTAGTTTCTATGAATTATTTTGCTCTTTTGCATATTTATATGTTATATAATTTTAATTTTATGTGTACAGTGTAAATCAAAGGGCCTGGTTGTCTGTCTACCTATTATGGTTGTACAAATGCTGCTATTGTGTGTTGTGTCTTTTTTTTTGTTAAACGTTTGTTGTGGAATAAATGCACTGGTAACACTTTACAATAACTATAACTTATAAATAGTAAAATGACCATTTATTAATGGTAAGCAGATAGTTAAATAATGTGTAATCATCATTTATAAATAACATATAGACCATTAATAAATTGTACATTTTACAATTTTAAAAACCTAAACTTAACCTTAATCCTAAGTTTACAATAACCATAATGTTTATACATGGTTTAAAAACCAAATATTAACACATTTACAAAGTGCTACTGACACATTATAATCTAGATGTTTTACAACCAATATTTAAACCCTATATAAACCTTTAATGAATAGTCCTTTAATAATTATTGAAAATTATCAATCATAATTTTATTGTTAATGGTAAGGTAACTGTTAACTTGCATTAATAAACTATTCATTTGCTATGTATAATTTGTCTATATGCTGTTTTTAAATGATGATTAAACATTATTTAACTATCTGTTTACCATTTATAAATTATGGTTATTGTAAAGTGTTACCAATGCACTTTAAAATAAAGCATATATCTCTCTCTTTCTCTCTCTCTGTAACAGTCTAGTTTTAACCCTCTTTTCAGGTCATGTCAGGTTGTGTTGTTGCTTTTTTTTTCCAGCATCGTTGTGATATAACAAGAAAATGTGTTTCCAACAGCGTCCAAAGCACCAGTGCATATGGACCTGGACCCGGAGACGTGGGACAACAAAACCATCACCAGCGGTCTGAAGAATTACCTCAGGTCAGCTCGCCCCACCAGCTGTGTCTTAAGCTGTCAGGACTCATCATTACCTCCATTATATCTCTTGGAAACCTCTGTCGTGTTAGTCATGCGTTCAGCGCTGCTGCTGACTGGATTCAAAAAAGAGCCGAGTCACTCAGGAAACAAATGACAGCTGCTCTCTCTATTCACCAGGTGTCTGTCTGAGCCTCTCATGACCTTCAAGCTGCACAAAGATTTTATCATGGCTGTCAGTAAGTGCAGAAAAATTACAGCTTTGATAATATGTGTGTTTTTTAATAAACTATTACTTATCAAACGTTAATTTGCTCTTGATTATTTCTTATCCTTTCACTTCCTGTCTGTTTAAATGTTCACCCCCTCTTCAGAATCAGACGACCAGAACTACAGGGTGTGTGCCGTCCACGCTTTGGTCCATAAGCTGCCTGAGAGGAACAAAGAAATGCTGGAGCTGCTAATAAAACACCTCGTCACGTACGTGTTTCCGTAATGAATCAGTGACACCGGCACAGATTAAAAAAAAGAGCAGCATTTCAGAGGAGATAAAAATTTCTGTGACTGATTAAATTGTGTTCACAGTTCAGGGAGAATTAATGTATTTGGAGGTGCCTCTAAAACCGTCACTCTAAGGAGTTATGGGTCTTATTGGAAGTGTAACGCAGGTGTCCTCTACCTGCAGAGTTTCTGCACAAAACCAGTCCAACCTGATGACGGTGTCCAACCTGGGGGTCATCTTCGGGCCCACCCTCATGCGCTCACAGGAGGAGACTGTAGCCGCCATGATGAACATCAAGTTTCAGAACATTGTGGTGGAAATACTCATCGAGAACTTCAACAAGGTGAGTGCAGGATGCTCCTGCAGTTCAAAACGCCACTCTATAGCCACAAATAATGCTCAGAACAGCACCTAACTTCATCAACAGGACATATAGGGTCACAGACATAGTACTAGACACCAAACATCTTTTTAACTTTGACTAATTTCTTTAGCAAAGAGACTAAACACAACTCACCTACTCTCTTCCAGCAGCCGCTTGTTTGTAGTGAGATCTCAATCTAGTCCATTACGGACTACAGTGGGGTGCCGCAGCTCAAGGAAGAACATTTATGATAATTTCTTTATCATTTCCTTGAAGTAATAATCACCATATTAATCATTTTGCTCTGCAGACGCGGTAGTTCTTCTGCCTTAGCGTCTCAGTCTGATTGTATTTCCATAAAGAAATGATCATAAATGTTCTTCCTTGAGCTGCGAAACCCCACTGTAGTCTGTAATGGACTGGTCAAGGTCTCACTACAAACAAGCAGCTGCTGGAAGAGAGTAGGTGAGTTGTGTTTAGTCTCTTCGCTAAAGAAATTTGACAAAGTTAGGCAATGTTTGGTGGCTAGTACTGTGGCTGGGACCCTCTGCAACATTCATATTCGGTGTTATAGTGTGTTTGACCCTAAATTAATTTCACACCAGAACATCCCTTTAAAGGTTTCTATTCGCGACAGTCTCACATTATCAGGTTACAAATATTTGTGAGGAATAAACAGGTTGTTATTGTTTCCCCTCTGGACCCTTCAGATCTTTCACCAGCCTCCAGATCCCAACGTCCCCCTGCCCCAACCCCAGCCCCGGCCCGGTCCTCGAAGGAGCCGGGCCATCTGTCTGTCCGCGGGGCCCAGGAAGCCCCGCAGCCTCTACACGCCAACACTGTGCCTGGCAGATGCAGAAAGTGAGTTTCACAGCAGTGATTACCGCCGCAGGTCATCACGCCACAATTTCCTCAACCTGTAGGCGGCCTTTAATATCCATCACAACATGTGCTCAGTACGCCGACTCGCTGCTTTTCAGAGAGATGTGACTTTGCTTACAGTTAATGATCTTTCAGATCGTCTCCGTCTTGGCGTTGATTCTGTCAGTCAGCAGGTTTTAATGAGGGCCTCGTGTGCCTCTTCTCTGGTCCCTGCATAGGTGACACGTTCAGCAGCAGTCCGGGCAGCACCCCCATGGGCAGCATGGAGTCATTGTCCTCCCACTCCTCCGAGCAGAACAACTCGTCCAAAACAGCTTCCTCCGCTCAGGTCAAGGACAAGTCGCTCCTGGACCTCCGCCGAACGCCGTCGCAGCTCTCGAACGGCCCCAGGAGCGCCGTGTGTGTCAGCAGCCCGGAGTCCAGCTCCAGGGAAGATGCGGGGCGTACAGATGGAGAGTCAGAGGATGCTCTCAGCCTGTCCTCTGTGAGCACCGCACCCAGGCTGTCTCCTGCCCCTAAAAAAGCCCCCCACTGTCGCACTGACCTCAGGCCGCCGGCGTTCCTGAACCGCTCAGCTGCTCCTTCTTTGAGATCCCTGCATATATCTGAAGGTTAGAGGATCATGAAGTAAACCTGTCTGTTATTAGTTTGTTGATTTTGTCTCCCTGCCTGTAATGAAGTGGAAATAAACCTCATGAATATGTCATTTTCAGGACAGAATTCATAAAGCGGGTGGTTTTGTTGTCGCAACTTATTCCTCCAGGACTCGATAGATTCAGAGATGAAAGAAAACCCCCTAGACTGAAGCACAACACAAACAGCAGCGCTAAAAGATTATTTATGAGGCTCATTTCTCGAGTCACTTGGCACATACAGCTGAGCTGTTTGAGTAATAAACTTTAGTATCTTTGTGTCATTTACACAGACAGGAGTTATTATGTGTATGTCTCCCTCCAGGCCGCAGAAGCTGCTCTGGATCCGTCCACAGTCTGTCAACACTGGAGCCCAAAGAGAGCCTGAAGCCCGCTGAGCACCCGGACCTGCCGCCAAAACAAGTGATCCGCCGCAGGATGGACACCTCAGCCAGCAACGGCTACCAGAGACCTGGATCAGTGTAAAGACCGTCCTCCAGACCTTCCCCTTGAATAATTGGCGTATAATTAACATAATCCTAATAATGCATGTGAATTATCCATTGAAACTGGAGGAACTGGACATGAGCTTCAAACACGATCAGTTTTATGTCTCTGTAAAGTCATATATTCGTCAAAGTAAACATGTGATTGAAGCTCTTAGGGGTATTTTTCACTCATTTGAGCGAATAAGTCTTCAGGACAATAGTTCAGCAACCTTCTGCTCAGTCTTCCTCCCTCTCTCTGAGTCATCTCCTCCTCCTCCTCCTCCTCCTTCGCCTGTGTATGAGCGCTGAGCAGTGAGAGGTCTCTGAAATCAGATGAGTATGTGTGAGTAGATTTATGTCTTTTCCTCTCTGGTGGGAGAGCCGGCTTTAATTGCGCTCAGCCTGCTCCGGGGTTGATGTGACCCAGCAGCAGTCTGCGCTCGCTCTCTCTCGGGACAAATAGATTGTTTGACTTGTCATGTCTGAGGGCCCAGTCACACGGTCTCGCAAGTAGTTTCCTTGTATAGCACCCAGTCCGCCCCGGGCTCCGTTGTCCCCTTGACTCTGAGGTTGTTGTGTGCAGGGTCAAGTGTAACCTTGTTATGGAGTTTAACTCGATTCAGTACCATACTGGAGCCGTGTCCGCCCGGAGGAAGGAAACCTCCCGTATTGTGCCGTAATGTATTTCACGGCGTCTTAAACAATGGGGATCGCCGGCGAGGTCAAGAGAAAGTGAACAGAGCGGTTGTTGTCTCGATTAAGTCTCGAATTTCCCCCCCTGCTGATTTATAGATGCTGATGATGAGTCAAATTGGAAAAGATGAGCGTGTTTTATTCTGATCCGTCTGCAGGTTACGTCACTGACTGAGCTCTCGTTTTTTCCACCGTTTATTTTATCCACGATATGATCCAGTGCGGTGAACTCTTGTCCCCGTATCGTTTCAGGGTCGCTGCCAGAGCTCTGCTGTTTGAGAACGCCTCTCCCCAGCAGCCTGTTCCAGTCGGAAGGTGTTGTAAAACATGTCACATCCTGCAACAGCTTTACCCCATTAATCCAACTCTCATCTCCTCAGACCAGCCAAGTCATCGCCTGCTCTGTTTTCTTTATAGAGATGCCAAAGCCATGTATTCGTGTGAGGCGGAGCACAGCCACGAGCTCAGCTTCCCCCAGGGGGCACACTTCTCAAACGGTGAGCAAAGCCAACACAAGACAGACACTGTTTGCTTCACTTGACAGATACTTTGCTGCACACGTCCTTTTAACAGCATATGCTCCTGATTGGACGTTTGAGAAGTGAACACAGGCGGTGTGGTGTGTCCTGGAAGCACACAGAGCAGACTTGGATAATTACCAATGTAATGTTGAGGCATAAAACAATTTCGCTCTTGGCATAACACCCCCATATGCACCGCCTGAATCCAAACAGCCCCAGGATTTTTATTGCCTCTTGCCTTTTCCACGGAGAGCTGACTTGGCCCTGAACCAGCGCAGACAGGTCACAGTAACCTGGTGATGGAAGGCACCAGCGCTTGTGAACGCAGCCAGCAGAGCCAGCAGCCAAATACAAAAACGTCAACAAACGCTCCCCTTCACTCACCAGCTGACAGAGCTCTTTTATTACCGTCTACTTTCACATTAACAGGCTGTTTTCTCTACGTTTGTAATCACTGCTCCTCTGGCAGATTGTTCAGCTGATTGTTTTTACTGTTCCCCTCAGTCTTGGTGCATCTGAGCCATGATCAATCACATAGTTTTATTTTGGTTTATACTGCACGTATGTGATAAACCGGAGCGATTCTGCTTTCAAGTCTGCTAAAATACTCCACAGGGATTTAGTTAAAAGAGCAGCCTGACCCACAGTCTTCCTCCATCTGCAGTAAATGTTTATTTTTCCTGCTAATAGCTTTTTTCTTTCCTTTTTTCTTCTGCTGTTTGCCAAGTCTGGGAACTAACATAGCCAATCGCTGTCCAATCAGGTTTCATTTTACTGAATGAGGCTCTGGTTGAGTTTATCTGTCCTCTTTTTTGTCTTCCAGTCTACCCCTCTGTTGAACCGGGCTGGCTCCAAGCAACATACGAGGGAAGAACAGGTTTAATCCCTGAGAATTATGTTGTCTTCCTGTAACCAGCTGGTAAACATTGCATCTTTTTCATGGTATCCATGGAAACATAATGCACAATGGTGACTGTGGTGGTTCTGTTTAGCTTCTTGCTGTTATTTCTATGAAGCAGGACAGAAGCTGCTCTATCACTGCTGAAAGTCCAAAGTTTGTAAGTTTACCTCCTGAACTGTTAACGGTTTTAATGTCAATCTTCTGGGAATCATCCAGAAGAAAAAGAGAATAATTTTAAATGTTCTGTAAATATATCTTCTTTAACTGCACTGAGATTTAGGGTTGGGTACCGAGGAGGTTCCTAACGTCTGGTTCCGGGATCATTACGCAGATTTTTGAATTTCGATTCCGAGTGCCTGCACTAGTTTGTTATCAGAGCGTGTATTACTATCCTCGGCGTTCTCTGTGCATCCCATAGACTGTCTATACTGTGGACGACTTGGTTCTGCCTTCTGCCAGTATATGGATTTGAAGCCAAAAAGCTCTCGGTAATTCTGCGTATTTTCTCCATTTCCAACATTGCGCAGTAGCGTTGTACGCATTCAGTGGGAGAGTTGCCGAGAGTCACTGTGATGACACTCGGCTCAAACAGCGTATCCCCTTGTGAGCTACACAATCTTTGTACACCCATAGGCTGTATCAAGTGTCAATCATAGAAAACATGAACCCCTAATAACTTTTAAAAACGGAGCTTCACAGAAGAAAAGAGGACTTGAACACAAACCAGTCTGACAGGAACTACATGTCAACATCACAACCAGGAAGGAGAAACATTTATATTCTGTCAGTAATGTCTAAAGTTTGTCCACAGCTCCATAAGCTTTGCTGGAGGAGGCGGGATTTATGACCTATACTGCAGCCCGTCACCAGAGGGTGCTGTTCTCGGAGTGACTTCACCCAGCAAGGGGGCAGACAGCGTCCATTCTATATACAGTCTATGGTGCATCCACTAGCTTTTTTTTTTCGTTTGCTAGCAAGAACATCAGTCGTCTGAACCTGGACCACAAAAATCACTCCAAAGTCTGGCTTCATTTTGATTTGAAAGAGGAGGACGGAGTAGCACAGAGCAACATCTGCGAAAAAACGATTTCTGCCAAAATGAGGATTCACAAACAACATGATTAAATAACCACCTCTGGATTCATGGAGTCAAAATAACGCAGTGCCCCGTCTTTGATGCACTACATCAGTCTTCCTCTAACCAGTCGGAATCAGATAAGTGAAACAAGAAATTACGTCTGTCTTCTGCTAACATTAAAGCGGTAAACAAATTGATCCTACTGAGCATTTTTTGGTCTAAAAGAGGTCTAATAGAAGTCTAAATGTAGCCTAGACAACTGATCTAAAATCAGACTACCACAGGTCTAAAAATTAAAGTTTTTTAGACGTCTAAGTTTAGACCAAGTCTAAATCTGGGCTATATCTATATTACACTGTATGTTACTCAACAACTATCATATTTTTTTTGGTGAAGTACTTGGAGATAAGTTATGTAACTCACAGTTGCTTTTTGAAATAAATAGTTATCGAATAATGCGTTAAAGTGCAACGTCTAAATTCAGTCTAAAAATATACAGAATCTAGATGGTTGAAATTAGGTCTAAAAAAAAAACTACATGTCTAATAGCCGTCTGTTGCTCAGTGGGATCGGTCAAATTAAATATCCAGCTAACGTCAGCCCGCGTTCTTTTTCATAGACAAACGACCTGAAAACAAAGATTGATGTTTAAATATTGGTTGAAAATAAACCAGTGTGAAATTTAAAGTAAAGTTCATATCGCTTAAAAATTCATGGAGAAGTTCAGACGTTTCACCCAAAAGAACTCTGGTTAGAGTTATCAACCATCGAAGCATCATCAACCAGAAGAATCGGAATAAAGAATTCCAGAATCGGAACAGGAATCGTTCGAATTGAATCGATGCCCAACCCTGCTGATATTTGAAGTCACAGTATTCGACCTCAGAATCACAGAAAGAATCACATCATGTTTCACAAGATTTATTGTCAGTAATATATTACTTTTTAACTTCCCAGTGTATCAGTATAACCCTTTCATTGAGTTGCTAATGGACGGTCGCAGCTCCACAGACTCCTGTGTGAACTGTAACTGAACAAACTGTGAGTATAAATAAGGATAGAGTGTAGTCGGCTAGAATAAAGAAGCATAATGGTTTGCACCTTAACTTTCATGTTCCTGTGAACGTCGTTCATCCACTGAACCTGCTCACGTCTGCTGTGCACTTTCTGTTTAGCTACATGGTACTGTAAAATGTAGATTACTGCTCCTAATCCAGAATATTTACCTCTTACTGTAAATGATCACAACTTAAAATATATAAATTCTGTATGTAAAACGTCTTTTTTATATATATAATGCTTTGAATGTCTGTGAGGTGTGCTTTGTTGTGATACTGTACGCACTGGTGCACTGGTGTACCAGTAACAACAGCCAGACGTGTATCTGAGTGTATCCTGTAATATGTAGTTTTCTATTATGGTCACAACATTTCAAAACTTAGTGACACTTTTTCAGCAGAGAAAAAAAGAAAATAAGGAGAAACGCTTTGATTCTGGAGTTATTACAAATTAAAAGTTTGATATCAAAGTCAAACTTTCTCTTATTTGGGAGGTTATTTTAGATTTTTCTCTTCCTGCCAAGATCAGGTTGTTCTTTTCCATCTACATTTTTAAAAATCCACGGTGGCCTTGAACATTGATGGTGAGATAACACTCCCTTACAGTCTGAATGTGCTTATCCAGGAAATGATATCCTGACTATGTAACATTTGGCAGCCTGCTTTAATGGTTAGCTTGTTTCCTTGCAATCACTTACTGTCTCCAGACAGTGCAGAAACATGTCTATTAATAAACAGCGTGATTTATTAGACCTGTGGTATGAATTCTTTGTAATGATAAATAACGTTCACTTTTGCTCACAGCAGCACATGAAGAAAAACAGGTGGAGCTGTGGGTGAAGTTTATTTAGGGTGACCATATCCTGAATCCTCAAAAAGAGGAAGTTACTACGCCGGGCGGAGTCGTGTGCAGAATTTGGAGGGTTTTTCGGGTCTGGTTGAGTGTTTTTTATGCGCTTCTAATTCAGTTAGTCCACACTACACAAACTCAAAACTTCCATACAAAAACACAGACATTTTGAGATTTTACAAACTCCCCTCGGACAGGCCAGACAGCCCCCAAAAATGAGGACATGTCCGGGTAAAAGAGGACGTATGGTCACCCTAGTTTACTGTCGGTGTAACAGTTTTTGGTTTTGTCTAGTCTGACTTTTTATCGCATATTTCTGGACATCCTGGTAAAACTTGATCTTTTCTGTTAATTATCCAGCTGATTTACTGACTGAACCTCAAACAAGTTGTGAAAACATTCAGAAAGGAGTGGATTATTACCTGATTTTAAAGGATTTCAGAATTCTGAGTCTTACTGTCAGACTGGCGAGTTTGTAAACGTTTACTTCTTTCATGTAACAGTAACATAATTTCTGTTATTTCACAATGAAACTGACATTTAGGATATCGTGTCGTCTTTGTGGAGATAAACTCTAGTAAGTTCTAGCTCTTCCAAGTATAGGGCTGGGCGATATGGCCTCAAATCAAAATCACGATATATTGATCAGTTCACCTCAATAACGATAAATGGACGATATCTACTCCACAAGCTGCTCACCCCCTCTCACATTAACTTTGTCTACTTCAGCCGCTACAACTTTTGAACCGTCCTCCATCTCCTCACCTGTCTTTGCCTCTTTGTTACAGACTGGATGGGGTGGAGTCACGTCTCTGATGTTGGACGGCGTCTTAAAGGGACATGAGACCATAGCCTACCTACACACATCCAAAACCAACTTTATTTGACACTGAATATACCGATATGGGCAAAATGATTATTGTTGGTTATTGTCATAAATTTCAGTATCGTTAAATTTTCGGTTTATCGCCCAGCCCTGTCCGAGCATGCAGTTTATTTTTGTTTCTTAAAGTAAGTCTCTCCTCCCCAAAGAAGGTCACTCTGATGCTAACCCTGGTCGTTTAATTTCAGGTTCTGGTGTCTCCTTTTTTCCTTTTTCTTGGTGTAGGAATGTGATACTGGTTGCAAACACTGATTATTAGAGTTTTTCGATACAAAAATAAGTCTCTCCGACAAAACAGAAGAGTGTAAGAGTTTGAAAAGGTGTCTACACCAGGATTCATCAGTGGAGATTTATTGTTTAATGCCTCTGACTTCATCATCTTACAGCTCTGTGCTACAAAAAGAACCTGTATTATATTTTTAAACTCCTAAAGCAAAGTGTCTAAAGACCACGAGAGTTGACTGTACATGACCGACTACAAAGAAGAATCCAGTAAGAGAAGGACCAGTAATCCAGTAAGAAGCTGTCTCTGCAGAGTCCGCGCCCGCCGCGTCACTTTGAGTGGAAGAGGAGGGGCCTCACCATGCCTGCCAAGACCTTAGGGAGCTGGGACGCGATGACCTCTGACATCATCTCTGGAAACTCCACTTTCATGGCGTCCGCTTGGATGAAGGTGCTCAGACAGAACAGGTTGACCTTCTTGACTATCTGTGAGCAGAGAGAAATACACATTCTTGTTTCAGTAAAACCTCATCAGCGTTGTTGAGCTTTCATCGGACGAGAGAGCATACCTCGTGCATCGCATCCATCAGTTTGGTGAGGTGGTAAAAACGCTGCGAGCTCGCCACCAGACTCTTCTCCTTCATGTGGATGACTTTGGTCAGCTCCCGGACGTAGGTTTGTCTCATCTCTTCAAACGCCACGTGACTTTTTAGTCCTTCGAGAGGCACTGAGAGGAAACGGGAGACTTTTTAAAACCCTAAAAAACTGAACAGATACTCCTTACATGAAACAAAGTCGCCATTACTTTCCCTCTGACTGTAAACGTAGAACTTGATACCAGCTGCTACATAAATCCTGTCAAGGTCCAACCCTCCCTCTTATTTTTGTGGCTTTACAGTAGATACTCATCAAAGCTTCACATCTCTGTTTGCAACTGAGAGCAGTAAACAAGCTAAATGTCACCACGCTGTAAAAATCTGAATCATCCTAAAACTGAAACAGGTCTTCAGCTCTTACCCGTGTTCAGCAGGATGATGGCTTTCATGCAGAGAAACTCCTCACGAGAGACTTGGAGATTGGAAAACTCCTGCGGGATGAACTGTATCGCCAGGCACAGGTCGTAAATCGGAGACCTCCTCATTTGCTCCCTGTCAGACAGAAACATAAAACAGTCAGCTGATCGCCTCCTTTTCACCTGTAATCATGGCGTCATGAATAAATGCATCAGTCCTTGTCGATAACCTTTGACTGTGAAGGTCGGTTAAATCCGTCTGTGACTTACTGACTGAGGATCAGATCAGGAGCGAAGTATAAAAATTCACTGGTGACGTTCTGAAAGGAGCGCCACCCGAGCGAGAACACCATCAGGTTCATCCAGGAGTACTGGATGAGGGTCATCTGATCGTTGATGTGCAGGTTACGAAACCCTGAAAAAGAAAAGTCAGATTTTAGAGACGTCGTTTTCTGTTTCTGCTTAATTAACAGATAAACTCCTGAGTCTGACTTTTCCTATCCCGAGTATTTCTGTGCCGCTCGGAAACACGGCTCTCATTTACTCAAGCCTCCTATCACAGGGTTTAAGGCTGAGTCCTTGGCAAGGCCTGCCTTTGGATCCCCATGGAAACAGCTGCGGTGACCCTGAGCAGCAGAGCGCCGTTACCTGGCAGAGACTTGGACCACTTGACGATCCACAGCAGCTGTTTCTCGCACAGCCTGTTGAGGCTGTTTAGCAGTAGATGCGGAACATCGATCTGGGAGCTGTCATAACCGGAGTACACCGTCTCTGGTTCGATGTTTTCCAGGATGTTTATGATCTGCTGGGGGAGATGCACCTCTCGGACGCCCGGTATGCAGGACATAGAGGTCAAGGCCTGGTTATCGTTGGACATGGCCAAGTGAGACTGGAACATCAGGGAGGGGGGCAAACCCAAGGCTTTCAGGGCTCCGAACCGCTTCAGCTTCCTACCTGTGACGTGAAAACAAATGATGATACGGCAAAACCAATTCCTGCTACTTGTTCAGTTTAATTTCATGGTTTCAGGCGTGATTTGGTGTAAACCGTACCTCCAAGCATCATCCCAGCTTGGTAGCATTTCCGAAGGCGACAGGCAGGGCAATTTTTTCTCCTGATTTTATCCACGATGCAGTCGTTCCTCCCAGCGCAGAGATAGCTATGATGGCCTGTTAAGAGAAAGTGTATATAGACAATGCACACAATTATTACAGTGCCGGGTTTTTCAATATTCAGGGAGGAAGAAGAGTCCTGTAATAAAAAGAAAAGGAGTAGAAAAGCTCTTGACTGTCTACGTGGCTCCTCTTACCGGGCCGGTAAGGCAGAGCTCTCTGAAGAGATCTAAAGAAGAAAATGAGATAGAGGCGAGGCTGTGAGGACAGGGTGACACGGCCATGCTGAGACAAAGTGGCTCTTATGTATCTCCCTTTTTCAGATAACAAGAAAAACAAGTCCAAGATGAAGAACACGGTGAACACTGGTCAATGTGATACTGTTGCTAATGACCTTTAACAACCACCATAGAAGGCCAGGCAGACTCCGAGTGTTCACTCCCACTCTGTGATTCACCACTTTTACTGTAGATCAGCGAGAGACCGTTTCAGAGAGTCGATATCAGGTACGACCTCCTCTGAGTCTAAGAAGGTCACTCATTAGGAAACTGAAAACTAAGTAAGAAAGCCTGGGAGGGACATTTTTAGTAGGCACGAACAAAGGAAAGGTTACAAGATAAGATACACTTTAAGGAGAAGAAAAGCAAAACAAAACAGTCTTCAGTTTGATCAGCTGACACAGGTCAGATGTTGAAGACAAAACGTCAACATGAGATTTGAAGCAGATACAAAACTAAAAGAAAAGGCAAATCAGACTAAAACTTTTACACGTTTATTTCTTTTCTTACCTTCGACCGCTCTCTTAAAAAAGACTTTGCAGCTCCCACAGGTTAGAACTCCATAATGGCAACCAGACGCCTCATCACCACAGATCACACACATCCTCTGGGGGGGCATACTGAACAAACAAGCAAAGACAGAAAGATGAGGACAGAAAGTAAGTAAGTAAGAAAGTGGGTCTACATGCAGTAAATAACACCGATGGGACCAAATGTGCTGCTCTCACAATAATAGTTAGTTTTTTCAACCATTAAATTAAGTTAAAAGATGAATAAGTGGATTCTTAAGTTAGAGAAACCCTTAAAAACTCGGAGTTTGATTTAATATAAGGGTGATCACAAATGACAACACCAAAACTTTTTACCAACTCTTCTTTTTCATTTTCAACCTCACACAGTCCTCACTTCAGCATTTCTATCACAGGTTTATGGCAGTAAAATAAAGTGAGTTTATCAGATCAGAAAAGCAGAACTGAGTCATAAACTGGTCAGTGTTATCTTCTGTTACCTCTTAAATGTCCCACAAACTTTACTAAAGTTCACTAAAGTCTAGTTTTGGTCGGTTTAGAGTTTAGATGATTTGTTTTACTCCTTACTAAGATAATTTCTTACCCTGGGAATGTGGAGAAAGGTGAAGGGTTTCTCAGAGTCAGGGCCTGACTCTGGATCACATCATAGCCGCTGTGGGTGTACGGGTCCTCGGTCCCTCCTGTGGACTGGCACCAGTACTGAGGTTCAGGAGGAGACGCCTGCACCTGCCATCGTGGAATCTCGCTCTTGAACACGGTCATCTGCGTGGATGTGTGCGTGTTGCCGTCCAGCTGGATGACAGCCTTTCCTGGCAGACTGCACACAGAGTCGGCCCTCCTCTGGAGCTGCTCCGGTTGGTTCAGGTCGATCAGAAAGTTTGGAGATCCCCCCAGTCCAGGACGAGAAGTTGAGGTGCCAGGAGGAAAGGTGGTGAACTCTTCATCCCTGAAGCCGAGCTGCTGCTTCCTGTCACTGTCACAGCAGGAGTCCAGAGCAGGTAACTCCGTGGACGGATCGAAGGTGGGAGAGGGGGTCCCCATAATCACAGAAGGCTCCTGTTCATCTTTGATAAACTTACAAGCTCCAGAAGAGAGACTCGTCAAACTTTCGGACGTGGGCACTTTGGTTCTCTGGACATTTAACAGATCTTCCCACGGCACGCTCTCACACTTATAATAATCACTACTTCTGTCGTAGAAATTCTTCCCCGTGACTGAGTCGTCGAGTGTGTTACAGTGTTTAAAAACCGCGTTTTCGCCTGTTGGACTGACGCCGTGGATCAGTGCGCCAGCGCTCCCAAAATTACGCACGGAGGAAGACATGCAGGTTAGAGACTGCGACTCGTCAGATAATTTATTACTACTGAACACAGCTTCGACTAAATCACTTACTATTGTAGCAGGTGAATTCACCATAGAAGTGCTGACGGTGTTCATCCTCTCACTGACTTTGCTTTCCATTTCCTGCCCGAAGAGCGCGAGGAGAGTGGAGCGCGCCCGGAGCCTGGAGGGAGTCTGATAAGTAACCTCAGAGATTTTCTTTAAATCCTCCCCCCGTCACAGAAGAAGAAGAAGAAGAAGGCTGTAACTTCGTCTTTCATTCACATTAGAGCCTCTTTGATACAATATCACAGCTGCTCAGAGAGAAAATAAGATCCAGATTTTACCAAGTCTTTTAAAGACGAGAGATTAAAAACTCCAATAAAGTTTCATGTTTCAGAGTTTGATCAGAACCGAACTGAATACTTAATTACCTACAGAGGACCAGAGGAAGAATCAATGTAGAGCCAAGCTTTGAGAAATGTATACTGTCACAGTATCGTTAAAGAATCTCAGCAGCCAATGAGAAGAATCAATGATGAATCCCTCCAGTGTCAAGGGTCATTAGTCTCCACCCTGCTGATCATGTCTTATTTAGACCTACAACACTACAGAACTTTTTAACTCAATAGTTAAATGTTGGAAACCACCTTATAGGTCCTTAAAGGAGAGTGTTCACTAATATTGGTGGTATTTTTAGGTCCTGATTTTAAAAAAAAAGTGAAATTCAAGTACAGTGAACTCTTAATATTGAGTGTCAAACTTTGTTTTGCTTCAAACCAAATGACAGTTTACTTAAATTTAGTTCATTGGTTTATATTTATCAAAAGTCTACAGATTAAAACACACTTGGACAATGACAGATGTGACAGTGAGGTACAAAAACAGAGGGGTTACTTTGGATCAGTCTCTAAAAAGAAGATGAGTTTAGGTAATGGAGTGTAAACTATCCCAGAGTTTCTATAATCCTGAAAAAGTTAGTATAAAGCTGACCTCCACTCCTCTATTTTACATTTCTGATGTCCTAATTCGATATCATGAACAGTGGTATCCTCCTCTCTGAGCTATCAGTGAAGTATGAGTGTTTTGCTGATGCACTGAGGGTCCTTGGCCCTCTGTTTTACGTCATTTGTTTCTACATATCAGATCAGAGAGGATTCTCATGCCATGACCTGCATCCTTCTTGGATAAGTTTCATAATCACATCTACATGCAGACATGTTCTGGACGATGTTGTTTTTTTATCTAAGAAACGAGCTGATTATTTTACAAACATGCTGATTCTTCCATGTTAACCCTCTCTGTCCTTTAGTTTCTCTTGGTCGCTGGCAGGATTTCTTTTACTTTCCCGGCCTGACAGCAGATGGAGGTGAGTTGTTTGCTTACCTGACAGGTCAACCTGATCTCAGACATTTGTGTTGCTTCAAAGCAAGCATGACAGGGCAAAACTGCACCTGCTGAAATGGTTTCAAAATAAAAGCCCCGGAGACATAAAAAGAGGATCATCAAGAAAGAGTTTAATTAAAGTCATCAAACATTAGGGTAATATGATCAACAGTTTAACTACACGTAGTATTAATAAATTCAAAAGTTAACGTTCTGTATGAAATCCAAACTGGAGCTCGGGTCATTAAATTCAAGGTTATATTACATCAGAATGTAATCTCATATCCTGCAGCTCTGAGAGCAGTTACAGCCCACCAGCTTTCATTTATTTGACGTTTCTCTGGTTTTATAAGTCTGCCACTCACACATCTAAACAGACGCTGTTTCTGTCTGAACACCTTTTCTAGTGTGAGTGAGAGAAAATCGGCTCTAAATCAACAGCAAACAGCTGCTAACAGGCAACAACAGGCTAAAAGTTTCATGTGTACCAACAAAAATGAGAAAATTTGAGCTTTGTAACATTTTTTTACCTCTTTGTAGGTTCGTGCAAAGTCTAACTGACCCTGAATAAATGTCCCATTAGCAGGAAAAGTGCAATATGTCGAGTAATGTTGTACATTTGCATTTTCTAGTCCCGGTTAAGGATCTAACTGTTCTGTTTTTTCTTCTCCTGCTGATGTATGACTTGTCCGAGTTGCCTGATGAGCTTTGCCAGCGTCTCCACGTCATGGTCCCCTCGTTCCAGCAGCTCAAAGCGGAGACTGGACAGGTCCTGTTTGATCTCCTTCAGTTCTCCTGTGAAACACTCTCAGATTAATCCTCATCATTCGCAGATCCAGACATTTTTACAGCGCCGCCAAACTCACCTTCGTTCACTTCATCGTTGTCTTTATCTCTCTGTGCTTTCAGGATGTGTCTTTTGATGAGGCGGTTCATTATCTTCTGAAATAAAAAAGAGGTTTTAGTCTCAAACTGACGAGGCAATTATTTATCAAACTAGGAAAAATGAGAACATCTGGTAGTTTATTTTAATGTTAGTCGTTGATTATAGAAAGTGTGTTTTTTCCTCTTATTAAGAGGAAGGAAAACTGAACTCTACAGAACAGTTATGTGCAAATTAATCAACATAAGCTAATGAAAGCAGCAGTTGTACTTGGTGGTGAGTCGGGCGAAGTGTTGCCTCCAGATTTAGATCTTCTTGTTGCTTCAGCTGAGATTAAAAACAGAGAAAAGAGAAGCCATGTTGGCACTGCGGTTTGTGATTCTAACACAAGAGGGCGCTGTTGGTCAGTATCACCAAACACAGCTCCTCAGTGTTGTTGCAAATGCATTCAGCTGTTTACTCTGTTTCCTCACCCTGCTCAGCTCCATCTCATCGTGTGAATTTTCTTTCTTTTTTCCTGCAGGTGTGTCCCAGAGGAACTCTTTTAACCCCAGCAAGAGGGAAACCACAGACGTGGGGCTGGGGACAAGGTTGAAGGGTACGGGGAGTGTGCCACCGTTCTCAAAATATGAGAACCACAGTTTGGCTCGGGCAAACTTCCACTCGACATCAGCATCATCCTGCAACAGAGAAACATCAGACGACCAGCAGGAGATGCAAAACTTTAACCACTTTATCTGATCTGTGTCATAAAATCTGACATGATAGAGGAACAAAATGATCTTCACAGTACCTCGATTTCTTGGAAGGAGCTGTTAAACATGGCGATGAGCATGTTCAGCAGCACAATCACCATGATGATGTTGTAAACCCCGTACAGAACATATCCGATATTCTCTATGAACTTATGGTCGATGTTAATGACCACGGATTTCACTTCTGACAAGCCGAAAATGGCCCAAAAGAGCGTCTTAAAACTCTCCTCAAGCCTTGAGAGATGAAGACACGGAAACTGAATTAGTCCAACGTGGTAAATATTCAAACAGAGCGACAGTGAAGGTTACACTCACGTGGTGAAGGCGTCGTTGTGCTTGGCTCCGAGGTAGTACGAGTACAGATTGAACATCCCCACCATGAAAGCCACAAAAACCGTGATAAAAACCACCATGAACTTAAAGATATCCTTCACTGTTCTTCCGAGAGAGATCTGCAGAGGACCGAAGCTCTCGTTGGCGGGGAGGATGTACGCGATGCGCGAGAAACTCAGCACGACCGCGATGGCGTAGAGGCCTTCGGAAATGAGCTGGGGGTCTGAGGGCATCCAGTAGATTCGAGCTGAGAAGAAACGCAGTTATTAGGCCAAAATAATACAGAAAATCAAGTCTGAAATAAATGCTTTTTTGTCACTTTCTTGTCCCCGTTTCAAACAAAACTATTAAAACGTCTCTGGTTGTACTACACTCTCTGAAAACAGCATTTAATCACCACGACTTAGACATGAAATCTTGGGTCCACACTCACCCAGCTGAAAATACTGTATCTCAAAGGGTAAGCTCATGTTGGACCGGCCTTTGTAGTGCTTGTCAACATAACACTGAGCAGAGTACGCATGCCAAAACGCCATTAACCTGGCGATAAAGGAGGTCATAAAAATGGCCAAAATGCTGAAATCGAGAAGGTTCCAGGGCTCGGAGAGATATTCTCGGATGTCCTGCGACCAGATATCTTTACATTCCTCCCAGATCTTTCCTATAGGGACAAAAACAGAAAATGGTGAACAGTCGAATTGATTCTCCCTGAAAATCATTACCAGCCTGGTTTATGATCGTGCAAATATGAGAATAAACAATTATCTATGCAGGTAATTTCCTGGAGTTATAGATTTTGGGGGTTTTATAACTCCCCAATGACTCCTAATATCCTTGACCCTGTATGAACAGCAGAGAGATGAAATTCAACAATATGAAACAAAAGCAAGTTAGAGATGAGAGCTAAAATGACCTATGACCCAGGAAATGATGAGGATCTCCATCCAGGTGAAGGGGGTGGTTTTCATTCGAAACAGCTGTGAGGGGTCATCATGGGTCGTCATGTTGGGCAGCAGCGACGTTCCCCCGAAGCGGTCGGCTGCGTTCAAGATCAGTAAGCAAAGAAATGTTATAAAAGAAGCTGCATGAGCCACAAACTTCAGGAAAGGTCCACACATGAGTTTCCCCAGCTGAAAGAAGAACGAGAAGGACAAACAAGACAGAGATTAATATCTTTCAGACCGCACAACTTTTTTGTCTATCTTCTTTGGTGACTAACCTTGCTTGATGGCGCTATCCAGTAAACAAAGGCCAAGACGGGCAACCCGACAGCGACACCGAGGACCAGAAGGACCTTTACCGCCGTGGTCTGCTGACGAAGTCCTGACAAGTTCTCGTACCAGATGGAGAGGAGTTGCTGTTGGCAGTTTGGATGTGCGACAAACTGCATGATGAGAGTGTGAAAATGTGAGAGAAAGAAGAAAAGAGAAGAAACATCACGGGGTGTAAAGACAGAGAAGATGAAGTACTTTGATAAGAGTTCATCTTAAGTGCTCACTTTTTTGACCTCGTATTTTATCGCGAGCTTTAACCGGATCAGGTTTTGTCTGCTGAGGGTCGGAGAGCTTTCACTTGACTCAGCGTCCCCGTTTAAGACGGCCTTCACCTCCTCCGTGTTTCGACACAAATCCAGGAGCCCCACCACAAAGTCTTTGCACTGCATGGACAGTTTCTGATATTCATTCTGTAAAAAAGCAAAGTCAACACTCAGAAACTCGTTTATGAACAAAAACACAGGTGTGTGTATTCTCTCATCCCTGCACCTTAAACTCCTTCTCAACGTTTGCGAGAACTGCGAGCTCATTTCCCAGCTCCAGGGCCGCCATCACGGGATCTTCATTGGAGAGGGACAGATACGCCGGGCTCGCCAACCCTTTGTATGCGTTAATACGGGACAGTGAATGGCTGAACGAGTCACGCCTCTGCTGCTCGCTGCAGATCCTGCACTGGCAGAAGTAATCATGGGGTCTCTCTATTCGGGCTCCTCTCATAAAGAGCGCGTGCACAATCTCATAGTCGTGGCACTGCGACGCCAGGATGATTGGAGTGATGTCGTGAGAGAAGCGTGTGCCCTCCTCGTCGTAGGCAAAGAAGTGCTGGTGTGTTTCTGCGTGGCTGGGACTGTGAGTCAGTCTCTGACCATCTGCAAAGGCCTGATGGGTCAGTATGGCCTCCACTATACGGATGTAACCCTTACTGATGGCTAAGAGTAAAGCGTCTCCTATCCTGCAGAGGTCTTTCTTCTTGAGCAGGAGCTTCGTCACCTCTAAATGCTCGTTGGCAACAGCCAGCTGTAACGCATTCAGGCCCATGTAGTTCACACAGTTGACATCCAGTCCTGGCAGCTCCTCCAGCATCCGCCTCACCTCGGGGATGTTTCCATATTCAGCAGCTTCCAGGAAAAGTTCCTCTGTTAGCGACAGACAGGAGGAGGACTGAGCATGCAGCAGGTAACCAGCTCCCCTTAGAGCCGGTCTACGGGGTTTGGCCACGACCTGCCGGGTCATCATCATGGCGCTTCGTTCATTTCTTTACCTAAAGACAAATAAGACATTTCATCATACTGAGCATATGGAAGAAAACCTCATATGTGAATATTCTGATTCCCCTCTCCTGGTGGAAATTTTATGATCAAGAAAATCTATGAAGTATTTCTCTTTGCTCCTTCTATACGTCCAAAAATACCCGGGGAGCGTCACAGCACTGGAGTGAAAGGAAACCAGTATTAAATGGACAGCTGGTCTTGGCTGAATTATAACTACATGTGTGACACACCACCCACGGTCTCATCATCTGCTCGCCTGCATTTCATGGCACACTGCTGTCCCTCCACTCATCCTCTGAGTGATGGTGGGCTCCATTTCATTATTAAACCCCCAAATTATAAACGTTCAAAGTTCAAACCGTCGAATCAGCTGATTCACGTAAATGTCACTTTAATCCATGACTTTAACTCTGAGTGACAGAGACTCTGTTCAACTGTAATTCAATTCTGTGTCATTGTTTAACAAGGAAATCTACTTCATGTCCTGTAATTGCATTGGAATAACATCGTTATCCTCGTTGCTAATTGCTCCTGCACAGATGATGATAGATCAACCGAACCCTGATATTCAATCCCAATCAATGCTAACACAGTTTCACAAACTTGTGTGACCTTAAACGGGTGCAGAAAGCTTAGATTTGGGACATACTTTTAAACAGCATTAAAAATAAGTAGATCCTGATTCACTGACATAAGAAAAAACTGATTTGCTGTGAGTTTGTGACCTTAAATGTGTCTGTAAATCTGCTCCATGTGGATTCCTGGATTTCTGAGAGAAACTTTTTTGTTCTTTTGCTGCTCTATAAAATAACTGTCTAATTTTCTTGGTGCAGATGAGGAGAGAATCATTACAGGCCTACGCTGATGGATTTCTAAAGTGGAATTAACATCACTTGCCCTCTGGACTGATGGGCCGCTCCAAAAAGATTATATTATTTAGAAACTGGCATCATTAGGTGAGCCGTGTGAACCTGCACAATGACTGAGTACAGCCCTGTGTTACATCATCTCTGTCATAACAGCTGCAAATCTGTACAAACTCAAAACAGACAAATTCCCACACTGAGCAACGATTCTGCAGCTTTAACACACCGAGCACACCGAGCTTCACATCCTTGGTCCTCATAAAGTAATGAAATAGTCCTAAAGATTTTAGCCAACATGCATTTATATAGGAGAGAGTGGGGTAAGTTGAGCCAAAGGGTAAGTTGAGCCACCCCCTGTCTGTGAAGGTTAGAAGCAGATGGGTGAAGGGGTTCGACATTTATTAACAAAAAAAATACATTTTCACTCTGGAAAGTGAATTTAGTCATAAGTTTGATTAGAATTGTGTTCAGACCAAAAAAAGAGCATTTTAAATTTTTGTTATACATCAATTGTGGTATATATGAGCTACGACATGAGGTCAGAAACCCTAACATAAACTCCATCATTTATCTTAGAGGACTAATAAAGTCGTCATAGTAAATCAGGGGTAACTGAGAAAGTAAAGGATTCAGTTCAGATTGTTGAAATGTTTGACTTTTTCTTTTCATAAATAAAGATCTGTGAATGTTCTCAATCACTTAAAGACATTCTCATGTTAAAATGGCTTTTTACAAAACAGCTTTTTAGCAGTTATATGCAATAATAATTATAATAAAAAGAATTATTGTACCAGTTGAATAGCGTATAATAGATAAAAATACACATGAATGTGAAGAAGTGACTGTTGTTTAGGGAGCGGTAGTAGATTAGTTGGGATACAGCTCAATTTACCCCATACACGGGGTAAGTTGACTAAAGGAGACCACTTTTTTTGTCCTGCTATATTATCAAGATTACAGTTCTGTTTACACTCATTCTGTTGGTTTGCAGGGATGAACAACATCCTGAAATATCTGCAGATACACTAGTTAGAAACAAAACTATGATTGACCTGATGTAGTGATCTGAAATATGAAGAGTGGCTCATCTTACCCCACTCTCCCCTATCTGTCGTTATGCACATTAAGCAGAAAGTAGCCTCCACAGTGTAAACCTCCTCCAGGTTCTGTTGCATTCATAAAGTTCACACTTACCTCTGAAGAAGTGATGTCCACAGTAATGATCACAAATCGAGCTGAGAGCCTGTCCTGTCCATCTGCAGCTCGATGATCACCTGTCAGAGTGACTCTCACCCACAGTCCCACCTTGGACTCTTGCTGCTGCTGACGATGCTGCCTCTGCACGCCCAGTGGGCGGTTTTCCTGCAGCTTTACGGTGTGTTTTAAAACATAGGACATTCTGCACATGTATTGAATGAAATATATTCTTGTTTTTGGTAATGGTGCAGTTGTTCCTACATGGGCCTGCTGACATTGAGATTCTTCAGCTGTGACCTTGAGCTCAAAGACCGGGATATTAAAGCACTTTGTCAACATAATGGGGGATTTGAGCACCGCAGCATCCCACTGACCTCTGCCATAAACTGAGGACAAGGCCGAGGGATTATTATCCTCAGGCTATTTGTAATTGTCAGCGTGCATGCTGCAGGAAGTAGTGGGCTACCATGAATGCTCTGTATGGTCCTCGACAGTGTGGAGATTTGATGCAGTGGTTCCCATCCACAGGTGAGCATAAACAATCTGGAAAAAGCAGATTCTCTAAATCCTCTTAACTCAAGGTGACACCTAATGTTATAGGTAATGTCCGTGTACCTTTGTATCATATGGGGAATATAATCCATTTGCAGATTCGGGCTTAATAGAAAAAGCTGGAAAACATAGATGTATGATGAACGTGATATTAGCGGAAAAAGGGCTTTCGTTCTCCCAAACTTTAGATCAAACCCCATCATCTCAGAGCTCCACCGTTTATTTTTATTATTTTTTACTACATCTCCTTCTCTTTTCTTCGCTCTCTGATTTAATCTTTCCATTCTGTTGTAGACTACTAAACATTACGACACTTTCAAGTGTACCTGAAGGCAACAAAACCGTATACAGAGATGCGCCCCCTGCTGGACGTATCGGTTACTACAGTCTGTCTCCGTCGTCAAGGATCCGCGTCTTCGGTTGCTATCATGGAGGGACTGTATACACACAGCCTCGGGTTTAGCAGCTAGAAAAGTGTCAAGTTAGCTGCTTTATTCCATTTTAATCCATTTAAAGAGGGTTTCTTCGTCTTTCAGGAGAAGTTTCAGCGATGAGGAGTCGATTATTTCCCCTCCAGGGTTCTCTCGGCTCTGAAAATGGTTGAATGAGTTCCAGGGGAGTCCTGCTGACAGGTTAGCCGTTAGCTAAGAGCTCTGCCGGGACCTGGACCTGTATGTCTGCGACAACAACCCCGGAGGATGCAGTTTCTTCAGGACAACTTCTTCTATCACTCGTATCCTATGAATAATAAACTGATGTTTTCATAATGTAAACATGTATCGTTGAAGATGAAGTTATATTCAACGTTAAAACTGTGCTACTGTAAATGTCTGTTTACAACCAGCTTCAATATTCAAGAGAACATAATCTTTTCTCTGTCAGAGCTAATAGGTGATGTAAGTGAAACTAAACACACATTATATCTATACTCTTTAATGCTTTTGTAAATATCTCCATAATAGGGGAGACTGGGGTAAGTTGAGCCACCCCCTGTTGCTTGTAAATGGTCAAAGAAATTGATCATGTGACCAAATATTTATGAGATGGGCATCAATTCATGGAGTCTGTGAAGTTTAGAAGCACGAGTGAAGGGTTAGACATTTATTTACAAAAAAACATTTTTCATTCTTGAAAGTGAATTTAGTCATAAGTTTGATTAGAATTGTGTTCAGACCAAAAAAGATCAGTTTAAATTTGTTTTATACATCAATTGTGGTATCTATGAGCTACAACATGAGCATAAAAGTCCACCATTTTAGCTTACAGGACTAATAAAGTCATCATAGTCATTCAGAGGTAACTGAGAGGTAACCCAGCAGCGGCTTGGTGTCTGTCTAGCATGAGTCTGGTCCTTCCCAAGGTTTCTGCCTGTTAAAAGGAAGTTTTTCCTCACCACTGTCACTCATGTTAGATGAGATGGGCCAAATCCCATTTTAAGGTTGGGTCTTGATAGTTTATCAAACAATAAGCGTGGTCTAGACCTGCTCATTTTCTTTGGAAAGTGTCTTGGGATGACGACTGTTGTGAATTGGTGCTATATAAATAAAATTTGATTGATTGATTGAAGGGGCAGCTTGCTCTGCTCTTCTGGTCAACTTACCCCATACCAGGCTAAGTTGACTAAAGGAGACCACTTTTTTTTGTCATGCTATATTATCAAGATTACAGTTCTGTTTACACTCACTCTGTTGGTTTGCAGGGATGAACAACATCTTGAAGATACACTAGTTAAAGACAAAACTATGATTGACTTGATGTAGTGATCCGACATATGAAAAATGGCTCATCTTACCCCACTCTCCCCTATATCTACACTCCCTAATGTTTTTATAAATATCTCCATAATATCTAAATATTGCCTGAACTTTCATGACTCCTTTCCTTAGCTGCTCTCTTCCAGAGATTCAAGGTTGGGAGCCGGCGGAGGCCTCGAAAAAGAGAGACAACTCCTGGTCGAAGAGCAAAAACTAAGCAGAGCTCGAGCTCGCAAGTTCTCCGTGGAAACAAACCGACGCAGGAAGTTAGTTTTGTTGTCAATACACAGCTTTTTAAGATTTTATTTAAAGGTTTTTAATCACAGCAGGTTTTCTGAGAGCCGGTTCTTTGTGACTTTAAATAACCGTCTTCCTAGAGGTAGATTTCGCTTTGCTGATGTACAGCGGCTCTCGGCTGGACGGCTTATGCTTCTATCCACGGCTTAACACCTTTCAGGCACGGATGGTTTTGACAGGATTTTGTTGTCTAGACCTGGAAATAGATCTACTGGCTCCGAGAGTATCTGTAGGCCTGCTCAAGAGCCAAATCCCTCACAGTAAAGTTATTAACAACCTTCTAAAATTGTGTCTCTTGGTTATCAATCCTGAACTTGTTTGACCCTGCTGTTGTCACTGTCAGCTCTCTCTGGTTGCTGTAATTTATTAATGACTGTGTTGAAAACGTATATCAAGGATGAGACTCGGGTTTCTTCATCCAAAACGTTCATCCTCTGCTCTTCGTTCGGCTCAGGGCTCTAGAGGAAAGGCAGAAGCAGTGGGACAAGCAGGAACAGCGTCTGCGGGAGAACGTTCTGCAGCAACGCAGGCAGCGAGTTCAGGATGCAACTGAGAGATTCCAAAGAGCCCATCTACCTCCTTCACAGAGACGCAGACAATGTGAGGGAATAATCTCACATAAACCTCTCTTAACGGAGGAATAGTGTTGTGCAATATTTCAGTTTTTTCTTTGTTGTGTTTCAGCGATCAGAAGAAATGTCCCAAATATCGATGATGCGCTTAATCATATTCAAGGAAACTTGCAGCAGTCGTCTTTCTTGTCTAGCAGCTCCAGTATTTACAGGTAAAAAAGTTAGAGTTGAGAAATTCTGATTGAAATATTTTAAATGTAGATAAAATTTCACTGTTTTCTCCTTCAGAAGCTGCACTCCCTCTCCAAAGCCTCCCACAGTTTCCAGACACGCGCACAAAGCGCTCTCCGCCGTGGAGGCTTACACTAAATTACTGGAGGAGCAGAACATGACCTGCTCCAACGATGGTCAACAAACCGAGAAGACTCCAGAGAAGCAGCAGGATCCAAGTCCACAAGTATGAGATGTTATTTTTTATCATTTATTAGTTAAAATCCTTAAAAACATACTTAGATAATATTCTTATATAATGACTTGCACACTCAGGTGTTAGTTTAAACCTGCGCAGCTCATCCTTTTAACCACTGGGGGGCAGTATAAACAGGACTTAAACCCACCAGTGTATTTACACAACCAGTCAAACACACACGCCGCCTCTCCGGGTCTTTAAACACTAATTTTCACTCACTCTGTCGTAGATTTATGTCTCTAAATAGAAAATATAATTCATTTTTCATCTTTCTCTTGCCTTTATTTTCCAGGACGGCCGCCTGTCTGATTGTTGTTACTCTGAAAGTATTTCCAGCAAAGACAGTTTGGAGAATGAAGACCCCAACCACAGCACAGACAACCTTCAGTCTTCTTATTCCTCATTCGTGCTCGACTCGGAGAAGTCGAATCAAGAGAAGGATTCGTTCAAGCAAAAGGATTCGTTTCCGACATCAGACCTGACTCCTTTTTTTTCAATGATGCTTCTCGGAGATAACACGCCCCAAACAAGAAAACTATCTGAACCTAGACCTGGAAAACAAGAGGAGGACTCTGATAACAACATGCTCGCCTCTAAAGCATCCTGGGGATTTACATCAACTCCAAAGACTGAGAGCCGGCCTGCTCTATTAAACCCCGACCTATTAGCGCTGAGTGAAATTATGAGTGCAGACAGAGAGCGTTTCAGAATTAACTTCCCACAAAACAGTCCCAATGAAAACATCATTACTATCAGTAAAACTCCTCCTGATGACACTGCACTGAGGTCTTTATGTCCCCAACAAGAGGCTCTAAAGAACCCAGCAGCCACAGAAACGCTGTTACCTGCCAAAAACAACGTTTTATTGGAGGATCCGACACAGCCAAATATTTCTCTACACTACAGCAGAACAGAGAGAGATCTCCTGCAAACACACAAAGAAAACCCCGCTCTGTCATCCAAGATTGAAGCGAGCGCTTCCATTAACAACCTTAATAAAGTCTCAAACTTGGAGCCTAAAACAGAGAAGTCTATCAACACGGCGCTGCTGCTGCTGCCGCCTACAGGCTTGTCGAATATTCAATCAGACACACTGAAGTGCCTTAAGTGTTCTGAAGAGGGAGCCACAGATCCGCCTGCTCCAGCGGGGACGTCTCCTTCAGTCAGACTCATTAAAGGGATCCTTAAAAAGCCGTCTAGATGTATGTCAGGGGACACCACCTGTACGTACGGCTCAGGACATTTGATATTTGCACAACAAGTCGCTCAAGCCATCAGAGATAGTGTTGAATTGGCTCGAGCGAAATCGAACTATGCAGAGAGAAACGGCGGCGTGAAGAAGAAACTGAGATGGTTTGATGAGGTGAATGAGGGAAAAGAGGAGAAGAAGGCAGACCTGTTCAAACAGACGAATACAAAGTCTCCTAATGGTCCTGAGTCCAAAAACCCCTCAGAGGACCACCAGCTGAGTCCGGCTTCAGTCTCAGGGGCTTCTAGACTTGGACCAAGCGTGACCCCTTCAGCTTTGACTAGTTATCACTTTACAAAGCAAGCGTGGACAGATGTTGGGGTTCAAGTCAGCTTGCCACACAAACGAGCAGATGAGGTCAAGGCGCCTCGGAGCAGCACCAGGACCGGTGGCCCCAAAGTCCCTCGGCGAGAACGCTGCGCTAGAACCGTCACGGGTCCTGTTTCCTCCAGAGCCAGAAAGGGCACCGTCATACGACCTCAATCTGCCACCGGGGTGTGTCAGATTGCCAAAACCCAAGGGAAGATGATGATACCCCGCCCACCTCCGAGGATGCAGTCACCGGAGAGAGAGGAGAAGCCGCCGTACATCACAAAGTCTCCATACTATGGCGTGGATCATGGAAGTGTCAACAGTAAACAAACTTTGGCGGTGGAGCAGGCGCTTTACAGAGACACCTCTGAAGGCTTCTCCTCCTCGCCGTACACTCATCATGTGATACAAACAGATAGTACTGTTATGTACACACCACTGCAGCCCTCGTATACAAGCCCCGTGTCTGAAGTCAACGCCAAGGGCGCTCCCGGCTCAGGTCATCAGGACACTCAGGGCTGCAGCAGAAGAAGAGGGACGGTCTACAATGAAAAAGGCCTCTGTTTAGACTGCACCCCCACTGATGATGAGATTTCCCAGCTCTGGTACGGCGTCCGCAGCGCCTTAGCCTCCAAGGATGGTAATGTATATCCTGTCTGACATGATTTAGACTTTGTCTGTGTGCAGACGTTTTATTACGCTTCTCTTAAGAATCATTTTTTAACAATTATCAGTTAGTGTGCCCTTCCTATTAGGCTTTATCCTGTCTTTAACAATCTTATAAATCTCTCTTTTTAAGTTACTATCCTTGTTTAACCTCCTAAGACCCGAACTCTTGCAAGGCATGCATTTTTATTTTCTCTTTGATATTTAGGCTAATTGGGACCTGATGAGTGTAAAAACTAAGAATGATCTTTTTACATGATGTAGCTTCTGAGAAAAATGATGTCCACATATGAGGACATTCGTTTTAAAGTTTGAGAGAACGCCCTTATGAACAAAATTTAATATTGTGGTCTTGACAACCAAAAATGTGATGTCCACACATGTGGACGCCAGGTCTTAGGAGGTTAATCACAAAATATAAATGTATTAGACAAGCTGCAGTACATTTAAGAGTATCTGTTAGGATCCTCTTTAAATATTATTGAGTTTCGCTGCTTTATGACTGTGTTTTTACGGCATATCTGAACAAATCAGATATTCTTGACATATTTTGCGAGACAAAGAAACAGCCTAAACAAAACACTCCAATGGTATCACACCTTGAAACCAATCTGCCGACCTTGGAGTGGATGTGTTCGTCTCAGACAGTGTTATCAGTTCTGTAATGTGGTTACGTTTCGCGTCGTTTTAATCATTCTCGTCCATGTATCTCCTTCCAGCCAAAAACATGCTCAGCAGGCCGGTCCCTGAGAGCGAGAAAGGTGCGAGGAAACCCTGTGCGGAGCCGAGCAGACAGCCTCCCGTCTCAGGGAACAGAAAGTTTCCTCAGCCCTCTCAGGTACACGCATGCAGTTGCCCTGTGGGAAGTGGGGGAGTGAGAATAACTGCCTCAGATCAGTAGATGGGTGTGTGTTTGGACTTGTCGAATCAGTTCTGCAGTCTCTTTCATGCTGTCCTCGCTCAGTGTTGGTAAAACCGACTACACACCACAGTTTATGCTCCTCCAGACAAGACTTTCCAGCTGGACCTGAGTCGTCAGTGTTTTACATGAAAAGCGTTGCAGCATAATGATTTTGTTTTTAACTCGTTCTACCTGTTATTATTCTTTATGCCTCTTACCTTCCATTTTTGTGGTGCACTCGAGGGTAGACCGGTGTTACGTAAGGTTTAACTAACACCATCGTTTTGTTTTTGTTTTATGTAGCCGGCGAAACAGACGGCAGGACCCACCAGATCCCGTACCAGTACTCACAACGTTGCCTTTCCAGGTAAAGGTACTGTGCAGAGTTACAACAAAGTCCGACCTCAATCAGGTTCAACATTTCATCAGACTCCCCTCTGGCATTAAATGTAAAACTAAGGAGGACCAAAAGTTTTTATAGAAACGAAGCGAGCTGAAACAGGATGTATACTCTTTAAAAAATTATAATTTAAGCCGACAACAGGACAGGCGCCATAAATCTGAGCTCATGTTTTAGGAATCAAAGGAGTAAAGTGAAAGCAGGTGAGAGTGGATTTATGTGTTATCTCAGGTTTGGATGCTGAAGGCCGCCTTGAAGATAGAAGTACTGTGGCTGCCATGGAAACGGTCCAAACACTGAGACCTGGAACCGTGCAGCAGCGGAGTCAGCAGGGGCTCACCAACATCTCCCTGGAGGAGCAGAGACTCCTCCTGTCTCTGGACAGACTCAACCATCAGCTGTACTGTGAGGACTTTTGTTTTTGTCCTGACATGATTGATTATTCTGATCCGTTCAGACCGATCAATGACTAATACTTCTGCCTGTAACTGTTCCAGGTGTACGGGATCATGGAGGGCCCACTATTGGCATGCAAGGCCTTGTACTTATCGGTGCACCCTCTGTAAGTATCGCTCTCATGGGGAATCTGATTGGCTCCATAAATACGGTGACTTTCTAACTCGTATGATTGACTTTCTTCTCTTTTAGACGAAGGAAGTGAGAGTAACAAACCATCACAGGCGCCGCTCATCCTCAGCTAACAACCGCTCTCGGCACCAAAAGAAATCCTGACTTGAAGTCCCTTCTTCCCTCTCCTGCTTCAGTCCCTATAAACAAGCACTTTAACGCCCCTTTATAAAGGGTTTAATCTTCTTTGCAACTGTATTATTTAGCCTGCAGAGTAACTTAAAGTGGACGACAGATACCGCAAAACATATAAGCAACATTTAACCCGGTGTTTTAAGTCAGTGCATTGAATTTAGTTTTTTATGTTTGCTTTGTGAACAGATAACGACGACAGAGTATTAGGGTCATATTAAGAAAAAAAAGAATAAGACTTTGAGATTAAAGTTTTTAATTTACGAGAATAAAGTCATTACTAATGAGAATAAAGTTATAATAAAATCATTATGATGATAATGTGGTGCTGATGTGCCAAAAGATGAAGTATCTCTTTATTTGAGAAACTTATATTGAAGAACATTTTCACGAAAGGCTCCATGGCTCTCATTTCAACAGCTGTCATCTTAAACCACAGGCTAGAATATAAGGACTTTATTTTGACTTTATTCTTGTAAGTCATGATTTTATTCTTGTAAATGAACGACCTCAGTCTCAAAGTCTAAATTTTTTTTTCTTAATGTTGTCCTAATACTCCGTCAAAGATAATAGTGTACGGTCAGGAAAAAAAAAACATAGTTTTCCTTTTTTTTCACTTTGGCAATAAACTTTAAAGTGCCTGTAAAAATTACACTTTAGTTTGTTTTTCATTTCACAAATGAAGAAATGCTCTCTCTGTACATGACAAGATCAGAATAAATGAAAAATACATGATAAAGACTGCAGGAGGAGACATTATCTTTATTCCAATCCAGGTTTATTTATAAAGCACATTTAAAAACAACAAAAGCCGACCAAAGTGCTGTACAGTAAAAATAAAAACAGACAATTAACACGAACAATAAAAGAAAGACACAGGAGCACATTAAAAACAGAGGGACACAGATGGTTCAGTAAAAACATGATTAAAAGTTCTCTTGAGGTAAACACCAGGGAGTAAAAGTGAGTTTCTTATATTGTATCGATAAAATAATTTGACTGACTACATTAAAGTGACACTTCTGCATATAAATTAAACAACTACATGCAGGTTTTCTATCATCACTTTTTCCTCTGAGATTTATCCAGATGGACTGAGGATTGCTAAAGTTTGTAGAGAGGTGTGTTGTAGTGTGGGGAGGAGAGGGTGTGTTTGTTTTATTCTGATAACTGCAGAAAGGACAATTACGTCTTTGCAGCACACTCAACCTACTGGCTCAACAAGGTGAACCTCTGCCAGAGAGCCTCCAGCCTTCTGTTGCAACTTCATCCGTGCTGAACTTTGCTCTAAAGGCCTTTCTGCATTTCTTATTATCACTGAGAGCACTTCTTAATCCCAGATTTATTTAATTTAAGAGGGAGCTTCTCTATTTTTTGTCTTTCATTAGGGGATTATTAAATGTCTCAGTGCCTGTCTTGTCAGAAAAAAATAAGTGCAAACGCTGTAGGGATTATCGCTGCGAGTTCAGTTGCCCCTCCTTCACCAGCATGTCTGGTTTTGCCCAGTCAGTCAGCCTGCTGGGACTTGCTTCAAGACATGAAGGGAGCCCAGACTCATTTGAGGAGTGAGGCTCCTATCTTTGATGACATTTTTGGGGAGTTAAACTTCTGGTTTATGGGTGGATTTATGGGCACACTCATATTTTTCTTGTTTTTCGAAGGAACTTAAGCAAAAGAAGTGACTTAATGCTGTCATACTGCCATGCTAGAGTCATGCATCATCTTACACCAAAACTAAGCCCAGACACAGCGAAGGGAAACTTCAGGTTCGGTGTGTGTTAATACCTGTAAATGAAAGAAAGAAGGAACAACAGAAATTTCCACTGTGGTTACACCGTCCGGAAGACCTGTCAAAGTCATCTGAGGCCACAGGGCATGAAGCAATTACCAAGGAAAACCCTTTTTACTTTCAGTTCAGTGCTGATATTAACTCATTAAAATGTAATTAACATTTGTCCATTAAAAACAAACAAACTAAACCTCACAGCCTGGATCTCTCTATGGCTTTAATTGAACCCTAATGAACTTCACTACAGTGTTTATGTCCATATAAAATAAAAGTAAGAAAAGTTCAATGATAGTTTGTACATTCATCTTGTGTTTTTTTGTGTCAGTGCATGAATACACCTAAATACACAAACAAAATCATAAACTTCAATCAGTGCAAACTATCAGCAATGACCGACTGTAACCTCAGATTACTGTAACGCTCATTTTCTCTGTAATAAGTTCCTTTTGACCCACTGTTGGTAATTTCAGGAGTCATTAAGGTATACAAAAGAAAGCTGAACAACGTCCAAGTCTTCAACCACACAACACCCAGAAACTCAAGCAGAATGAGAGACATTTCCATAAATACAAGTTCAAGCTTGTTCTCTGGTCTGTTGTGAGGCCGAGCCTCCTGAGAACTTTGTTGTGTTTTGTTGCAGACCATTGAACAGGCGATGAATGGATGTCTGCTGGAGCTGAGTTTCTGTTCAACAGAAAAAAAAAAACATGCTCAAAGATACTCAATCAGAATAGTGCGATTCACTTTTATCTTTAACAATGTGTTCCCACTGATTTGTACAGTGGTCAAGAACCGCCACTGCTGCAAATAAAAAAGAATGCAAAAAAAAAGAGAAGCTACAAATAAAAAAGAAATGGTGTAGATTTTTTGAAAGAGCAACAATGGAAGTTAATGACATGAAAAAAAAAAGGCGATGCAAAGAAAAAAATGACATGAAAAATTTATGAAGTGAAATTAAACAATAACATTTCCACTTACTTCTATGCTCGTCTTCTCATCGTCTTCTGTATCGAGATTGTTAAAAACTGATGCATCATCATTAATGGTCCCCGGCAGCTCACTTCCATTGTGGCCTTTGTTTTTTTTTTTGTTTTTTTTTTTTTTTGTTTCGTTTTGCATCCTTTTATTTTCGCAGTAAGAAACTTTTCTTTTTGCATCGCCACTTTTTTTTGCATCATTAACTTCCGTTGTTTTTTTTTTTTTTCTTATCTGCATCGTTTCTTTTTCTATTTGCAGCAGGCTTCAGTTTCTTTTTTTTATCAGTAACTTCCGTTGCGGCTCCTTCTTTTTTTTTTTTTTTTTTTTTTGCATTCTATTTTGATTTTCCACAGTGGCAGTTCTCGGCCACCGTAGATTTGCAATTAGATATTGAAAAAAGAAGTCCCACCTGCAGATAAATTGCTCACAAACATGTTTTGTAAAGTTGGACTAAATGATCTCTGTAGGCTGTACTTGCAGCTCATCAGTTCTGATGAAGACCTGCAGGGGGCACTCGAGCTACCATCTGCCTCCTCTCTGTGTAGTAACACGGTGCGTCACTATGTCCGATAATAACACCAGACCAAGTGTTTCAAACCCGGAGACTCATGGCTGCTCAGTCTTCCAGGACGTCCGATTGATCCAGAGAAACAGAACTGACACTAAAAACAAGAGAAGGAACCACAAACCGGTGACAGAGAATCAGATCTCTGAGGAGATGTTTTCCAAAAAGGGACCAAACTCCTCTAAGTGGGTGGTCTTCTCAAGGCTGCAGTCCATCTCTTTAATGTGTCTGAGTGCGTTACAATGATGTGAAAATGAGCACTTTCACCACAATAACAATGGCATCTCTTGACAGGTAGCATGTGCAAACTGAAAATGTCATTCATAAACGAGAGAGATGAGGGTTTGTGCTGCAGTGAGGGAGCACAAGTCAAGGCTTAATCCTGAGTCTGCAGCAAACACGTGAATTTTACACATCTTTATTGTGGTGATACATGCTAAATTATACATTAAACAGAGACAATATAACAAACACATCTGCTGAGACATATAAGAATAATGCTCGAGTGTCAAAGCGCTTAAATCAGTTCATCAGGGCTTTACTGTGTCTGCGTATTAAATAGGGCTTCATAATTATTCATTCAGTAGATGTATGGGAAAAAGAGTTGAAACAGAGCCTCTGTATCCAAAGAGAGTAGATCTTGACAAAATGATTTCTCAATGGAAGAGGGGCCTCATTAGCATAACAATTGTGGGAACTGCATGGATCTACTTTTCATGAGCACTGTAAAAAGAGGGGGGAGAAAAATTAGCTCTATACTTCAGACACTAATGAAAGAAAAGCTGCTTCAGAGTGAGCGTTGGACTTGTTTTATAATCACAGAATTACTCCCAGTTTCAATTAAACCTTGTAGATATTAAAACTAATTAGCAGAATAAAGTGTTACTCTTAGATTTTGGTTGCTGACACTGAAACATCTGTGATATTTGAGCGTCTGAAATGAGAGCTGCAAAGTTAAACAAGTTGAGAGGTGTTAGTGTTTTGTTTATTTAACACACCCTGTCATTTTGGACAGCAAATTAGCTCTAATTTTCCCGTGTAAAATTAGGGATCAGCACATGTCCTCATGTAGACAAGAAGTTTGTGGAACAATCTGAACAACCTGAAGCGTCAAAGCCAGTATGTTGAGTAAATTAGATTAGATTAGATTCAACTTTATTATGTTGAACACAGGACAAGTACAGGAACAACAAAATGCAGTTTAGCATCTGATCAGAAGTGCAAGGTAGTAAAGTGCAAGGTATGAACTAAATATACTATATATATAAATATGTGCAATGAATATGCTAAAAATATATACACAGTGTTGGTTACTGTAGGTATGAATAGGCTATACAACAAAAAAGTAAATATCTAATTATGTTTAATATCTTTATACACAGTACACTGATAAGTGCAGGTGTGAAAAAGAGAAAATGCTGTTAAACACAAGGAACAATAAATACAGGGAAATATGTTCATCTTGGTGTGTTTGTTTTGTGAAAAAATGTCTTTTCTGTTTGTTTTGAAATATTGAACTGTAGAAAGGCATGTTGGCCTGCAGCTCTTGTTTATTTTTATTATGTGTTTAGTTGATTAATATATTATGAAAGAGTTTTTTTCTTTCTGCTCCTTTTGTTTGTATTGAATGTTTTAAATACTAACTGAATGAAATAAAATATGAAAATGAAAAATGAAAGGGTAGAAAGAAAATAAGGAAAATACTTCAATAAAACAATTGTTTCCATGAAATGTGCAAAAATCCAACATAGATAATTAAAAAAAAAAAAAATTGTGACATGGGAGCTGTTAAAGCTCTAATCTTTAGTAATTTGGCCTCTATGTGATCATGTTCTACCATTCTGGTCAACACAGTTGAGGTTAATTTCTCGTAATGAGGAAAACTACATAATCTTTTATCTTTATCTTTTATCTGTCATCTCTTATCTCACTTCACTTCACTTCAACTTTAATATGTCCCAAAATGGGCAAATCGGGTTGCAGCAGGTGCAGGCATTTAAAACACTGCCATACATCATAAAAGAAAAGAAAATACATTTACATGAAAAAACAGTTCATTATTATTATTATTATGATTAAAGATGATTTAGAAGGTTTATAAAAAAGCATATGTCTGTCATTCCAGTATTTTTTTGCATGAGCAGAGTGCATAACATGCAGAAAATATATTTTATCATAACTATTATTATCAGGATAACCTGTTATTATTTCACTATCATTGTTGATAATGCCACTTTTAACCCCCCTTTCAATTGCATTTTCCTTTTTTTCTGAACTCTTTTATGTTTTTATTTTGGTCCTCATGGTCTCATTTTATGTTGCATGGCCTTCAATTCTGTTTTAACTGAGCTTTTTGTTTTTATCCGTCTCTTTGCATGTGCTTCATGACTACATGTCAAAGCACTTTGTGAACTTCTGTTTTTAAAAGTCTTCTACAAATAAAGTTATCATCATTACTATCATGAAATCTAAAAAGTTTTCAGTCTCCTGGAGTGTCCCGGGCCCCGGAGCTCCACAGACTGTCCCTTTAAAGACTCTTGTCCCAATTAAAGCCAAGCTCCGCCCCTCGAGCAGACATCCCATGAGTCATAAAGTTTGATGTCCTGCCCAAAGTTTCGATCCGACTGGAGCTAAAGTATTTTTTTTCTGGAAAGTGAGCTGCTGAGATTTGTTGCACGAACAGTGAATCTCATCAATTCGGCTCTTTTTTTTGACTCTTTACACTCGGAAAGAGTCGGACTTTTTCCACCTTTGCCTTTGTTGTTTTTTTTTTTTTTTTTTGTCTTTTGTGGTGACTTTTTTTTTCTTTTTTGTTGTTGTTGAAAAGTCTGGTCCGGACGACAACATAGATTCCAGTGTGGAGTAGATATGCGCTTTGTTATACTGACAAGTATGCAAACGGAGAACAAGAGGAAAAGTGTGTGTTTTACAGCTGATTTCGACAGCTAACACACTTTGGAAGATTACAAAGTTCCTCCTCCTCAACTCTAGAATGACTCCGGAGAACTTTTTCTGAGTGTCGGTCAGATTTCCTGATTTCCTCTCGGTCTGGAAAAAAAGTTTGGGATCGGCTCAAACTTCTTTTTCTCTATTTTTTTCTCAACTGAAACATTTTGGGACGCGGAAAGTTTGCTGACAGTTTTTGGGACAATGGATCCGAGCCAGCACAACCCCCCTGCCGGACACCAGATCGTCCACGTACGGGGCGACTCAGAGACCGACCTGGAGGCGCTTTTTAACGCCGTGATGAACCCGAAAAGTACCATCGTCCCCCCGTCGGTCCCCATGAGGATGAGGAAGCTGCCAGACTCCTTCTTCAAACCCCCCGAACCAAAGTCCCACTCCAGACAAGTAAGCCCGCCCTGTCTCTCCTCGAGCCTTCCCAGAAATCACGACCAGAGTCAGGCCCATCCTGTCTGTGGGGGCTCAAGGCCTACAGGAGCCTACAGGAGCCTACGTGACTTAGACAGTTTGGGTTTTTATTCTAACCTTTAGATTTCACTCCTGTTGACTGGTTACCAAATCCTTAAATGTCAAATAACCACAACAAAACTACAAAACTTTAATGGAATAATAACAATCAAGAACTATTAACTGGTTAAAAAGTTTGTTTACTTTACTTTTGATCGGAATTATCAACAAGTTATGATATTGATACTAAAAGTGAACACATTTATAAAAAACAAACAAACAAAAAAGAAAAAGTGGTGTTGTTTACAAGTAAAATAAGGTGAATTGTAGAGTATCCTTATAGCAGTTTGTTTGGCCTCAGAGATATTTTATTTGCATTTGACAGAACACTTGTATTCTCATATTTCAATAATATAATGAAGTTTAAAGGGTCTGAAACCAAAGTTATTCCTTTTACAGTAGTTTCTGTAAAGTTTTTAGTTTGTAGTAACATAAAGTGTCAAAGTTTAAAGTAGATTTAAGTTGAAATACTGAAACACAGAGTCTCTATCACTGAGCTGTTTGCTATACAAACGATGTGTAATCAGAAATCATATGATGGTTGAATTAGTCCCATTTACTCCCCCCTTCTCTCTCCCTAACACCCCCCCCACACACACACACACATACACACACAACTGTTGCTTGTGGTCTTTGGAGTATGTCATCAGTGCGCATGCGTGTAGCTGTTCAGTCTGTTACACAGGCCTTTCCCAATCCTCGGATTTGATCAAACTTATAAACAAATGCACACTGAGAGAAAAACACAGTTTAACTTACTGTAATAGTGACCTGAAGGCATGAGGAATAGATTTACTGTTACACCAAGGTGATTGACAATTAATGATTACATGAAAATAGTCTTTATTTTATTTTTAATGATTAAAAAATGACTCCTTATGAAAACCAAAAGCAGTGCAGCTAAAGTTTGTATTGAAATTATTTTGTGATTGTTGCTGTTTGTGTTTTATTTATAATTTGACTCTTTTGCTATTGTGTTTAGTAAATTTACTGTGAGTAGGCTACTTTTAATTGTATTTATCAACAATCAATAGTCAGTAGTCTTTACCTGAACTCAGCTCACTGACAGTGTTACTATTTATGTCTTATATAGTCTCAACTCAACTCAACTTTATTTGTAAAGTACTTTAAAACAACCACAGCTGAACAAAGTGCTGTACAAAAAAACAATTAAAACAATGGATAAAACGAAAGCAGATATTAAAAAGTAAAATATAGGTTCAATGTTTTTTTAAAACTACTTTTAAAACAATAGAAACAAATAACTAAAAACAAACCATAAAACACTAAAACAGGAGGCGAGTCTCATGCAGGGTTAAAAGCCAATAAATAAAAATGGGTTTTAAGACGAGTTTTAAAAATGGACAGTGTGGGGGCTTGTCTGATTTGGAGGGGTACATACTTGTATATTATCTCTTTATTTTTACAAATTTTATGGATTGTTTATCTCCTCTTTTACTGTATTTGCACTGGAGTAAGTATTTCTGATTAAACTTATCTATGACAGCATGTTGTCTCACAAAAAAGGACTCAGAGGAATCTCCACAATAATAAGAGAGTTGTTTTTTTTTCTTCTTCTTCCCAAACACAGGCCAGTACCGATGCTGGGAGTGGCGGTGCGCTCACACCCCATCATGTCAGAGCCCACTCATCCCCAGCCTCCCTGCAGTTGGGAGCTGTATCTGGTGGCTCCCTGTCTGGCATGACCCCAGCAGCTGCCTCCCCTCAACATCTCCGTCAATCTTCCTATGAGATTCCCGATGACGTGCCCCTGCCTCCGGGCTGGGAAATGGCCAAAACTGCCTCCGGCCAGAGATACTTTCTCAAGTAAGTATTCCAGCGACAAGTGTTTCCTGTACGATAAAGTCCAGAGAGTAAAAGTAGATAAAGAAGGATTGATAAAGGTCAAAACAGAAAGAAATTAGGTCAAATATACACAGGAGTTCATGCTTGAGTAAGATTCAAAAGTGATGTAAGTAGTGTCATCATTTTAAGCTAAAAGGGGAAATGATAGCATCAGTAATGGCCCAGACAAGTCCAGATACCAGAGGAGCAGTCTGGAGGCGGGGCTCTCATACTACATTGTTTGAATGCTGATTATAATTTTCCAATCTGCTTCAACGTGCTAAAAAAGAGACAGTAGCGATAGTTAAATTGCAGGCTATTAAATTTGGTGGCCTCTGCAAACAAGAGAAGTCCTTAAGGGGTTTGCTGCTGATGTATGTAGAGCTCCTGTTCTGGGTCTCAGGTTTCAGTAGAAACAATGGATCTTTGTAGCTGCCCAGACAGCAAAAAGACAGACAGCTCTGCAGAACTCATCCGCCAACCAGCAGATCTCCTCCACATTACTTCAGCTCCAAAGTGAACCCCTTCAGATAAACGGTAGCAGGTCGACCAGACTGCTTCGTGTCTATTTCAGGATATATCACTAACTCTCTGGGGTGTGAAGGTTTCATCTTTATTCTTTACGGCTGTCTTTTAATTTGTCGGTCGTAGCTGCTGTCAGTTTCTATTATCTGCAGTTATGAGGAAAAGTCACTGAGTTGTTCGTAAAAGTGACATCCTAGTTAAATATTTAATCTGCCTATCATAAAGTTAATAAGACACCCTGACACCCGTGTTTGGGTGGTTTGATATCGAACGCCTTATTCATGCTCCTTTTGTCAGTTTCACTCTCTGACATGGCTTCAGATGGGCATGATAGCCTCAAATTAACTTGCCTCACAAAAAAAGCTTTCAGTACCAGATGTTTGAAGGCCTCACATCTGGTGAACATCTGGTCCATTTTGATGGGGCTCTTCTGAAATTATCCAAAAGGACTGAAGACAGAGAAACACGGAGAAAACACTTTTCCTTCTCGCAGACTCTCCTGTGATCGGCGCCGTTGTTTTAAAACTGACCGAGATAAAGAGTGAAGACACAAGGAGGCGATTTTCTTCACTAAATCTGATTGTCCAAACTTAATTCGAGCCGAGTTTGTCCTTCTAGTTCAAGCAGAAACTTGCAGAGGCTGTAAGTTTGTACGAAAACAAACACAGTGGCCCTGATGTCCTTGAATTGATTTTAATTCTAGTCATATATAAAGTCTATTATCATCAACCAAAAGCAGACCGTCTCAACAAAAAGAGAGTGTAATCGAACTCCTGGGTGTCAATCTCTTGGATTCTTGGAAAACAGTTGTGTAGCTGTGTGTTTAAACTGGTTTGTTACACAGCTAGTCCAAGAGTAGTGCAGAGTGTTTGTGTTAAAGCGAGAAAAAACTCCAGGAGATATCTTCATACAGCTCACATCAAAGTGCAGATATTTGATCTGGAGCACAGCCGGCCTCAGCAGAGCTGCTGGTAAAGACACTCCCCTATTTATAAACAGGAGTAGTCTGAGCGAGACATGTTGCAGGAGGAGGAGTGAGGACGAGTGAGTGAAAGAGTGTGTGTGTGTGTGGGTGGATGAGTGGGGGTAGGGAGTCGGTCACCAGCTCGCTGAGAGTGGGGGCTCACATTTCACTCAGGTGACTGCTGTTGTCCTTAGAGATAAATCAACCCGGAGTGAAAGTTTTTTTGAAAGAGTCGCTCTCTCTCCGCTCCTGTCCCCTTCAGTTTTACTCGATCGGCGTCTGAGTCACAGCAGCCCTCAAATACCGATGTCCCACTCCCTTTAAAAGCACGACTCTGTTGGGTATGAATGGAGCCGTGGCGCTGTGATGGTGCCTCTTTTGTATCAATGAAGTTAAATGGCAGCCATGTGGAGATGACTAGTGGAGGGGCCAAGAAAAACTCCAGCCCTCCCTTTGTCCCAGCTGTGAAACAGTGATCTTTATTCAGACTACAGGCCTGTTGGGACTCATGTGAGCCCTCCCAAAATAGATAAATAGTTGACATGAATTTTAAAGATGGGGTTGAAAGAGGCAGCAGCTTTCTGTTGTTTCACCTTTTATTCTTCACTCCAGAAATGTGACGCTCATGTTGATGGTGGAGTTTTGCTAGCTGGTGTCAGAACACCTTTCTGTTTTGACCCAGAGTGATTTTGCAGAAGCTTAAGCAGAAAAATAAGTGAACTAAGACACACACACACAAACACACACACACACACACACAGTGCTGTTCTGCCCTGCTTGCTCCACTGTGTCTAACTGACCCTGTCTCACCTGCTTTACTTCTTTGACTTCCTCCAGTGTCAGCTTATGGTGCGACGACTACAGATATTTTTTTAAACTGTTTTTCCCCGTGTAAAAAAAAAAAAAAAAAACTTTAACAGTGGAGGTTTTTTTGAGTGCAAAAACAGTGGAAAATGCCAACACAAGCATGCCAGGCCTGTAGGTGGCAGTGGTGTGAAACCGGTCTGTTATGTCAAACACTGTAGAGGAAAACTTCCTGTGTGTATCGTGCAACTTCGAGTGCAAGTGGCGATTGTAAACAGTGTTTTTAAAGAGTGTATGAGGTGGATAATAACCGCTGGGCCAGTTATCAAGTTTATTATAATTGTAAAGTAAAGCTAGGTTTTCTTGTAAATACACAATAAACCCATCAAGCAGAGGTAAATCAGTCACCAGCCATCTCGGTGCATGTGCAGATACACAACAAAACACAAGTTCAGGTAAAGTCAGCTGGCATTTCCCAAAACTTTTCATTCACACAAACAAAACTTTTAGATTTTAAACCCTTCTTAAAAGTTGCTTTAAAACGCCCCCATTTTCAGTTCGGACCAGAGATCGAATACAGAGGTAAAAAACAACAACACTTTCAAAAATATCCTCATATGTGGACCAGGGCCAAGTCCCACCATCATGCCTCAGTGATATTGGTACTGAAGATGAGATGTTATGGCAGCTTATGTGATGTTAAAAAGACTTTTTTGTTTGGCTCTGAAAAAGTTTTAAGAAAGTTGACACATGAATTTGGTCGATTTTACAAACTTGCCAAACAAATTTTATTACCCCTTTTAAAACATATTATATTTCTGTTGCTCCTCATAACATTTGAAGATGTTGCTGTAATCACTGACAAAATAAAGGGTTTAAGGGTTAAATTATTGGACAGTCTAGACCCTGATGAAAACAGGGGTGATCCATGAGTTTTATTTTTGTGGTTGATACTTTCTATAAATCTGAAAACCTTGGGCTGAGAGTGAGCTGGGACACTGTCAACAAAGACTGTTGACCTTTCCTCTTCTTTCTTTCTTGCAGCAGTTTGCTGTGGCCTTTGATTTATGGCAGCAGGGAGGGAGGGAGGGAGGGAGGGCAGGGAGGTTGGGTCACCTTGCTTGGTGCTGAGCCGGGGGCAGGGCCAGTCTCTTGGGCTGGGTCATAAACTAATGAAGGTTTCTAATTTAGACACACCGGTGAACTAGGAGGGGTAATCACCGTTTCCGGGTGCTTATTAAATGCAGCTTTGAATGAGCTTTTAGTCCGTGGGAAGTCAGCCTTAAGCAGAGGAAAGCTTTGGGGGAGCAGCTATTGTCTGGCCTCAGGGGCAGGTAGAGCTGTGTGTTGATGGACACTTTTGTCTTCTCTCCATTGGATCTTAAACTGTTTGGATGAGTTTGGTTTCCCACGACCAGAAATGTCTGATTTCTATCTCTCCTGTGATGATGATCAATCACAGTGACCAGAGTTTCCCTCAGTTTTACTCCTTGTATCGTATCAGTGGCTCTAACTTTGAACACTCCACACAACATTAACCTGATATCTAGTCTGACTTAAGTGTACACTATCTGGGGTTTCCTGAACATCTGTTGCCCTGAACACAAGTCAAAGACAGCTGCTGTAAGAGCAGAAGGATCAAAGTTTGATCTGCTGTTTTGTATGCAGCAGATATCTGCGTCAGTCCTGATTTGGATTAAGAGATTATGTGGGGACTTCCAGCAGCTGATTGTGCCTTTTTTTAATATCCAGCTTGTAAAAACTAAAAGGGGTGTTTCTTTTTTTAAACCCTCACCAACTCATGATTTCTAGTGAAGAAAATTACTCTGACAGGCGCTGGAACAGAAAGATGAGACTCTGCATGAACTTCTATGTAGTTTTCAGTCATGTGAAAACAATGAACATGGCTACAACACACCTGTGAATACTGATCACCTTATTTAGTATAGTTTGTGTCAGCTATGACCAAGCTGCAATAAACTGACGCCACTTGGTCAGTCCCAAATGGTGCTGGGAAGAGCGGGCTGTAAGTCCGCGTGAAGCCCTCATTTGGAGCAACTTTGTGTTTGACAAACTTTTGGTTTATTGACCACACACACAGACAAGGCTCTTCCTGTTCAACTGGGGCCTGTCAGCTCAGCACACAAATGGGACTGTGAGAAAGTCAGGCTCGTGTTTACCAAAGTCTTGGTGCAACACCTCTGTTCCAGACATCAATGCCTCCACTGTCAGTGAGGGCATCTCCACAGAGATGTAGTATCTGAGAGGTGGTTTGGAGATCCTTAAGTGTGAGGTAGCCAACAAGAAAACAGACGGAGTCAATCGTATTTTGTTCTTGACTGATTTATTTTATACTGTACTCACTAATAGTCTCTGTACTTTGTAAATAACTTGATCCATGAAGAAGTGTGATGATAAAACCCCTCAAAGGGAAACTTAAAAACACAATGGGGTCACAGAGGTTGCCCCAATAATCTCTCTTGATGATGTCCTGCTGATAGAGAGGCAGCCGGTGGAACACAGTGGAGGTGGTCATCCTCATCTTAGGAGCCTGATTACATCTGGCCTCCCTCAGTGCGCTTTTCAGCCATCTGCTTCAACCACCTACCAAGCATTTACTCCCTGGGTGGAGCCACTGTGGCCTGAGGATCCCATTTTTAACATTTGACAACTCAGCTGTGGGGCGTGTTTCATCACTGTGCTGAACTCCCCATAACTCCACTCCCATGTTTAAACACAAGTGAGATTCAACGTCTGACATCTTACTTTGAAGGGAAAAGTTTCAGTGGGATAAACAGTCGATCGGCGTTTGGAGTCGAGTTTGGATCTTCTTCTGAAAACAACTCTGTTTTTGGTTGAAAACTGAGCAGTTTGTGTGTCGTACTGAAATCAGACGCAGCGTTCAGTTTTCTTCACTTAAATCTCGATGACAGTTTTAACCTTTTCCCCGTGGCTGAAAAAACTCGTGCGTCCGTAATCTGCGTCTTATTCCTGATAGAGATGTTCATGAAGGTCGATGGGGAAGATTTTCCACATGAACTGCGCAAGAAGGTTAGACGGCAAATCATTAGAGCAAAGTCAAGTTTAGTCTTTATGCGAAAGGTCCCCCCTCCCCGCTTTTTCTCAGCAAGACACATTATAAATAACACGGGCACAATAAACGCCACCTTGATAATTGGGCCATCAGTCAAGGAGATGTCAAGTGTCTGGGTGGATCAAGAGTCCCACTCGGTGCTCAGCTGAGCCGCAGTCCACCATGATGACAGCCTGAGCAAAAATTAGCAAGTAAAGCACCACAGAGCAGACAACCCTCTTGATAACGGGTCGTGTTTGAACCACAGTGTAGTACCTGCTCATTTATAGAAGCTTCTTTTTCTTCTGATGGGTCACAGATTAAATACTCAGAGGGTAACTCTCTACGATTCAGGAGTAATGTTATCTGAAGTCTCGACTCAGTATGGAAATAAAGTTAAGCTAGCTGCGGCTCTGTGTTTCCATGTGCAGCTAAGTCACTTAAATTACTGGCTAAACCCACAGGATCCGGACCGGCAGGCGGATCAGATCCGCAAGCATACAGCGCCCACTGGATCTGATCCGCCTCCGCCACCAGAGGAGAAGCGCTTGCAAGATTACCAATATTTCTTGCGAGTATTGACTTTATTTTATTTTGAAAATTAACCGGATTGGTGTATATAAATGGCAGTATATATAAACACCCACATCCCACAACCCTGGCCTCTCCTATTATCAAGTTAAGAACAGTTCAACATTTTGACTTTATTTTATTTTGAAAATTAACAGGATATTTTACTCTGTAACCACATAAAACTTGCTGCTCTCGCTGCACTGCACCGAATTGATGCGCCGTGCTCTGGCGTCCCGCAAAAATAGAAGCCTTGCATGGAGTGGAGCCGTTCCGGACCCTGTGGGTTTTGCCCGTTAGGTTGACCATACGTCCTCTTTTACCCGGACATGTCCTCTGTTTTGTACGGAAGGTTTGAGTTTGTGTCACATGGACTTACTGGGTTAGAAGCACATAAAAAAAAATCGACCTGACCCGAAAAACCCTCGAAATTTACTCCACACGACTTTGCGACTCCGGCCCTGCGTCGTCGTGTCCTCTTTTTGGAAATCCAGAATATGGTCACCTGACTTAAATGCATCTGCTCCGTACAAAAGCATCAGACAAGAATAGATCTTTGAGAGAATATGTCTGCTTCAGCTGTTTACAATCGCTCTTGTTGCCAAAACAATCAACAAACAAGCTAACAAGAAGCTAACTCCGCAGCTCTGTACCTCAGAATTTACCCTTGTTTACTCTTTCTTCATCTTTTGTTGAGGTTAAGTTGACCACCTGACTTCGTCCACACATGTTTGAGAGGACTGTTGAGCATAGATCAGTTCTGTTTGGACTATTCCCCCTGGTTAGACACAAACGTTAGCGCTAACAAACATTAGCATGTTGGGAAAAAAAGCCTAAACATCATCTTATTTGGTCCAGAAAGTAAATGCATCATCCGTCTTCTTGCTTGACCCACAAACAGTTTGAGTCATGTCCACTACTTTGCCCTCGGGTTTACGGGGGAGGGGCTGTGACCATCCTGCTGAGCTCGCCGCGGTGTCAGAGACATGTAAAGACAACACCGAGCAGTTGTGACTGTCGAGGTTGCAGATCATCAGCAATTCCTCGCAGCAACTGGTGGCCTCCAGCCGCCCCAACAGTTGCCATGACATTGTTTTGTTTAATGTTTCGCCTGCAGGAAGTGGAGTACGGCTCTGACCATATAGCGTTCGGGGCTAGGTTGAGTAAATGGATTATCTTTCCGTTTTAAAACCTGGTGATAAATGACAGGCTCTTGGTAACTCATTGACCACTTCTCAGAGTTCCCACACACAGACTCTTTGAATACACTGACCTGCAGCTTCAACACTGCGGGGGCTCGATCACGTGCTCATCCCTGTCTCCTCTGTTTTGAACTTTTGTTTACATCTGTTCTGATTGATTTTGGCGAGCCCTTTAAGCCCGGGTTTGATAGAAAACTCAATATTTTGACTTTAATCAGAGCTCAAAGAAACACAAGTTCAGGGGGAGACGGAGAAGTCGATGATGATGAGAGATCTCCGAGGTTGGTCCAGTTCTGCGGAGTTTCGGTGTACCAGGATGTGCAGGCCTCTCATTTATGATAAGCCCTCCCTTTCCTTATCCCAGAGCTCCTCTCCCAGTCTCCTCCCCTGTTCTCCCCTCTTCAATAATAAATGTCATAGTTTCCAGAGTGGGAAGGAGGGAGAACAGGGGGGAGGGCGGACGCTCCGAGTGTAACAAGACCACAGCAACTCATGCAGCCAATGGAATTCAGGGGGATTGCTTCTGTGGATGTTTTTTTCCTCTTTCACCCTTTTTTTTTCCTTTTCTTTAGTTGTCTCTCCCCGCTCCCTGTGACCCCTCTTTCTCAAGGGGCCCCACCAATCTGAGCAGTTCCAGCTATTTAGCTTGGTTTGGGTGTGTGTGTGTGTGTGTGTGTGTGTGTGAGGGCTGGGGGGAGGGTTCGGTGGGGGATTTGGCAGCTCCTTTGATCACTAAAGCATAAACAAGAGGGGGCTTCAAAATGGGTTGCATTGTGTTGAGGGGGGTGTGCTGAGTCAGGCCCTCTCGCTCTCTGGCCTGGGACAGAGCGCAGACAGGCGGGCTGGGATTACCGCAGAGGCCAAGAGAAACTCTCTGAATCTCTCACTTCAGTCAGCTGTTCCAAAATCTGGGCTAATGGCGTTATGGGATCAAGTTAACGGCGAGATGTAAAGAGGCTGAGGAGGTGGAAGAACACATTCAGAGGCCGATACTGAAAATAGATCCGCAAGAGTTCGATTAACCGCTTTTAAAGTGGTTTTATTTTGTTGTTTGAATCGATTTATAGTATGAGTTTGAGAGATGTGTTGTGCAGATTTGGTGTGTATTGGTTCGAGGTGTGTGTGTGTGTGTGGGTGGGGGGGTCCCTTAAAGGGGATGTTTTAAAAAACAAAAACAGAACAAGTGAATAGCGGGGTTTTAGGTCGTAGCTCAGTCTGTGCCTTTGTCAAGCAGGTGAAAGCTTTGTAAATGTGGCGCCAGATTGTTAAAGCCCCTGACACTCCACAGTGTCCGAGCCACTTCCAGGAAAAAGGACCCCCTGCGTTGAGCCCTGGGACTGACCCTCCCTCAATAGAGAGGGTCCTGCTCGGGAGAGGAGGGCTTCCTGTATTAGCTTTCCATCTTAATCAAGCAACAAGTACCAACAAAGCACTAATTATCAATGCCTTCACAGAATGAAACACAATGCCCCTCCCCCGGTCCCCGCTCCTGCCCCGGCAAAGACGAGGAGCCGTAAAATAGACGGGGCTACACTGTCTGACGCCGCGATCATTGTTTTCAAACCAGTCGTAGTTTTTTTTAAGACATTTTTAATCAGGCGAAAAGTTAAACGTTTTATTTCTGCATTTCAGTTCAAAACAAGCTCCACTTTTTCCTACCTTGAGTGAAAATATCCTGTTTAATCCACACTAAGAATGAGAGCCTTGTGTGACAGCTGAGTTTGGCTTCCTGTAAAGTCATGGTTTACAGAAATCAGGAGTCACATTCAGAGTTTTTATCAAAGAGCTTGTTGAAGCTCCTATGACTCATCAGTTCCTGTATGTGACCTGGTTTTTTAGACTCGTTCGAGCCCCGGGTTTGAACTCACTTTCAAGTACATTTATGCTGATTTCTCAGACTAATATTGACCTGATCTTGTCTCCTTACAGCCACATCGATCAAACCACTACTTGGCAGGATCCTCGCAAAGCCCTGCTGCAGATGAACCAGGCCGCCCCGCCTAGTACTGTACCGGTGCAGCAGCAGAACCTCATGAATCCTGCCAGTGGTGCGTAAAAACTCTGACTTTGATATTATTTCTGCACATTTTCTGACTCTTAAACCCTCGCAGTGTAAGTCAGGAGCAGCCTCGTCTAGTTCTTACATGTCACTGCGTCTCTGTGTATCTCAGCTCTGTCCATGCAGTAGGAATTTGCCCTAGGTGAGGTAAGACAGGGGGAGAACGTGACAGGTCCTGTCTGACATGTTTAGGTTCTGCGTGAGTCACGGATTACAGAATTTACACATGAAGTACCTCAGTGTTTCCAAACCAGCGGGTCTCTAAAAGTAAATAAACACGCTTTTCAGTCAGTTCTGATGAAGAGGGTTTCTTACACTCTATACGCTGTCGCTCGTAGATGAAAATATAGTAAAAATAATAAAACAAACCCAGCTGAGAAAAACAGGAAGTTACTCTTATCACAAATTTCTCCACCCAGCCTTTTTTAATTTCTATACGATGTCCTCTTGTCCTACTTTAGGAGCGCCTCTAACTATAACCCGCTGTAATTACGCCCAATTAAAGTAAAGTATCGGCTTTAATACGAGTAATTATAGCAATACAGAGGAATCGGAGTATTAAGTTAACCGCCGGCATCTCCGACATGACTTTTGCTTGTCTTCCCTCAGGTCCTCTCCCTGACGGCTGGGAGCAAGCAATTACATCAGAGGGAGAAATTTACTACATCAACCACAAGAACAAAACCACATCCTGGCTCGACCCGCGACTTGACCCGCGCTTCGGTGAGTTCTTACGGACATGTTTTCGATTACAGTTGAATAATCGTATATGTTGTTTTTGTAGAAATGCGAAGTGAAACCGTGTCTGCAGGGAAAAGTTTGTTTTTATCACCCCCTTTGTAAAACTTATTTCGAGTCTCCATGATTCATCGTTCACTTTAACTCACCGCATTGTTTCAGCCTGAATAGTCATACCATTGTTTGTTAAAAACAGATTTCACCAAACCCCCCACCCACCCACCCTCAAGTCTGCACCTTACCTTTTGTCAGCCATTTTAGTGTCGGAGCAACAGCTGAGTTGGCCATTAATCCCCCCGGGTCGAGCTAAAGTTTGACAGTTGGCTCTCAGTGAGCGGTGGCCGGCTCTGGTGAATTAGTGACAGGACCAGGTACATGCGTTGTGATTCCTGTGTGGCCATGGGAATGAGCTAAATCTCCTTTTGAGATGAAGGTCTCTGCTTATGTCACTCTGACTCATTTACGCTTCAGGTGCCATCCTTTCATTACGGCGGCGGCGGCGTTCCCCAGGGAAGCTCACTGCGGTTCACAAAGGCAGCATGCGTGAATCAGCACGCAGGCTGTTATCCTGTTTAATGTTAGTGTTACTTTTTATCGAGGCCGGACGCTTTAAGGGAACTTCTTCTTTTTTCTTTCTGAGAGCAATTGTGCGTCCGACTCTGAGAGTAGTCAGGAAAGTTCAAAACAGAGTTGTAAGGGGAGCGGGGCAGCTGGGAAGAGATGGCGGCTCTGATCGGCAAAACCTCTTTGAAGACTTATAAGTCTTGAACACACAAGGCTGTGGGGCCTCTGAGAGCGAGGGAGAGGGAAACAGAGAAGATGTTAACTCATTATGTGCCATAAAACATGATTTCATAACAAACAAAAAACACGTATTTGTACTCCAGGATCACATCTTCATGATTTATCGTCTAAAACTTAATAATGCAGAAAAGCGTAAAGATGAACTTGATATTTTGGGGTCTTAATGGGCATATTTCACTCTATATTCATGTGTAGATATGTGCTCCTCTGATTCTGTCCAAGTCCTCCATACCGCTGCTATGTAGGTCCGCAATCATAAGCAGGCTACTTTGATAATGGAGGCTAATTTGAGCTCGGAGAAGAAAAGCAGCAGAGCGCCTTTAACTGAGGCTTGTTGCCGGCTGGCTTTCCCCTACGTGAGGCCCAGCGCAGGCACAGCTCCATTCTGCTGCAGCTCCAGACAGACTTGAATCTCTGCCAGGCCTCTTTATTCTGTGGTCCAACTCTTAATCTGTTCCAGACCTTTTCAGTCAAAGAACTCCAATGTGAAAGGAGAGGTGGGGGGCAGGGAGAGGCAAGGCGAAAGGGGAAGAAAGAAAAACGGGGGAACAGAGGGAAAACGCCGACGGGATAAGCATGCATCCTCTTAAAGATCCAAGGAGGCGGTGAACGGCGGACAAGACATGAGTGCACTATGGCCGGGTTCAAAAAGGAGGGGATGGGGGGGGTCTGCCTATGTGTGTATGATGTTTTCTTTATGTTACACTCTGGTGGAGCAGCATGGAAAACATACTCGGAGGACATTTGAGGTCACACAGGGATAGATTTTCTCCCAGAGTGAAAGTAAAGCTGTTTACCAAACACACATGGCTACATTATCTGTCATGTGATGCTTTTTGCCTCAGCTCTCGGAGCGCGTTACCAAAAGAGTGTGCACCTTATTAATGACGTCAGCGCATGAATTTGGTGATCGGCCAACGAAAGTCAGATTGGATCCTCTATTTGTTTTGGATTTATCTGAACTTTTAAGGTCTCTGTCAGGAGATAAATAAAATATTAGTGTTTGAAGTATCCAGCCTTAAATTTCCAAAATATTCCTGTTTATTTTGGTCCTTTAGATAAAACTTTTCCCTTCATCCTCTGAGGATGAGGTGCTGAGGCGAGGTGGTGGAGCAAAGTCATTTCACTCTTCATCACTCTTTGGTTGTTCTGATTTTACTCATGCTGGAGTGAAGGTTGTAGTTTTGGATAGTTTACTGATAGAACCAGACACCAGCAAAGCAAGGCGATCAAGATGAAGAATATATATTTCCCATTATCTGATGTTTTTTGGTGATTAACATAACTTACCTGCAGCCAAGGGGATTCATGACAACTGTTTTTTCCAGCAGTTCACAGTAGGGATGGGCGATATGGGCTAAAAAATTTATTACAATAAGTTTTACCATTCTGGCGATAATAATATAAATCCAGATAAAAAATATTATAATTCCAATCGATGCTTTTGACTCATTTTGTCTTGAAAACACCAGCTGGAGTAGCCAAATAAGATAATGAACCACAAGTTTGAGTGTTAGGTTATGGAGAAAACTATTGACATCAAACAAGTCTCATATTGAAAACATTGTTGAAACTCTTATTGCACAGAGTGAACAGCAGCAGATCTACTGTCTGATGTCAGACAGACCTTAATTGGACTCATCGAAACCCCTCTTCATCACCTTCGGCCATTTTTGTTTCTTATTCTGCTCTGTGTGGACTACGGCTGGAAGTCCATGGCACGCTCTTACGTCATCAACTTGCATTTATCGTATTTATCATGAGACATTAAACATTTATCATGGAGGATTAGCTCTAATAAAGAAAATATACAAGTTTCTTCATTGACCAAAGACCCAAAGAACGCTCCATAGACAGTGTAGACCGGGCTTTTACTTTGAAAAGCGTTTTGGAAGTACTATCATAATATATGACACAAATATAGCAGATACTGAGCCAATACAGTCCTCGACTTATCATCAGGGCCTGAACAGCCTCCAATCTAACACACTCCCTGCCTGCAGTGCCAGGTACAGTTGGCTGTGGACACACAATAAGATCGGGGTTTACTGTACCACGCTGTACCAAACCAAACCGGACCGTGTTGCATCTTGAGTATTTTTGAGCACTGATCCTTTAGAGGTTAACTCATCACAACCTCAAAACAAACCTGGTTTAACTCCGACAGGTACAGCACTTGATCTCCCCACCATGCGAACTACGTCAGCTCAAACCTTAAACCTCGACAGTCTCAGTATCACATCCAGACTCTTTCTCCACATCGCCTATCTGCAGTCCCTCCAAACTTGTTAAAACAAAAGCAGACAAACGTTAACAAAGCCTTCAAAAGGAGTTGTGCCCCACAAACTCGGAGTTCTTCCCACAAACGGCACACCCTCACTTCTACCTGCCCCAGGTGATCCTGTGGTGTAATACGCCTGCGAGCGCGATGCCTGATAAGACCTCGTGTTGGTGGCTCGCTGTGTTGAAGGAGTGCGTGAAGAAGACAAAAGGCAGACAGCATTAACTTGTTTCTTATCTGCCCGGCCCACCGCCTATCACCGCCTGTATGTGCTGCTGACTTCAACCAGCCCTTCACACACACACACACACACACTGTGACTTCTCCTCCCGACCTGCTTTCATGCTATCAATCTGGCCCTGAACTGAACCTGTCCTTTGCTCCTATCTCACCCACATATGTAATTCTCTGCTTCGATATGCTCTTTGTTTGTGCATATTTCCTTCAGTCACTCTGGTTACTGTCGACTGTTTGGTCTGGGAGGAAGTCCTTGACTTTGTGCGTATCGCAGCCATACTGCTCTTCAGGACTGAAATGTATTACTTGTGTGCGATATTTTGACTCCTATTGATTTTGAAAACACTGTTCTTATAAGAAAACTACATCTGGCGTTAATAGAAGAATTTATGAGTGCAAACTTTTCCCAAATCTGGTGTTTTTCCTCTGAAGTTTTTGGCATTGTGCGTCAGTGAATCTTTCTCCGCACACCTCCACTCACTTTTCAACACATGCCGTTCTTCAAAGCTCAGACTTTTATAAATCTACAGCTGTGTAAATCATCCATGTGCTGGAGAACAGCTGATGGTGCCCTGATGGAGGAGTAATCCAGCCTCAAAGGCGTCAGTATCAGCCAAAGATAAGACTCAGGGAGAAGTCACACACTCCTCTGGTGCTTCAGTGGATGTGTGTGTGTGTGGGAGAGAGGAGGTGGAGGCTCCATGACTCTGTGTGAGTTTGTGTGCATGGCGTATGTGCTGCTGGGGTGGGGTCGATGGGGGAGGCAGCCTGGAAAGCGAGAGAGAGAGAGAGGGGGGTGGGAGGCAGGGTAGGGCGGGGCCACCCAAGCTTCCCAGGGAGAGCCCTGAGCCGTGGTTCATTCAGCTCCTGAGATAGTGTAAACAGACAGTGATTGAATGGTGATGAGAAAGGTGCCGGGGCGGGCAGTGGTGGCCTCGCATGAAAACTGTTCCCCCGTCAGGGCTTTGTTTTGGTTGGTGCTTCTGTCGCGAAAGCAAACAGCGCTCCTCATTGGTTCCATTCCCGTTACACCCCTTGTGGTCGAGCACATTTGCTTCTCTTTCTCCTCTTCAGTGATAAAACGTGTGACCTACTTTGCATGCAAAGATGACTGTGTTTGCTGTTTATTAGACCCACCCTCGCCGGAGTGAAGAATAACAAAGATTTCACCGGGGAACAGCTGTGTTTTCAATCCACACACATTTGTTCTGATCATGTAAACACGCCGTCAGCGCACATCCCCGATCGCCGATTTTGGGTCAGAGAGCCTCGAACCCGACGGTGAAACGGTGTTTACAGGATCTGACGTTTGTCCACTTTTAATTAAATTGTTTGATCTCACATTTAATCCATTAATTGAGTGGAGGTGAAGGAGAAGGAGCAGTCGGTCTGTGGGGATAATCTGTAATTTGTTTAGAAGGAAACCAAACGCACACAATGAAAGGATAAATCATAACTGATGCAATTCACAACACGCAACTAACAAAGCCTGTCTTAGTCAGAGAGTGGGAGGGGATCAGGTCTTACAGGAATTGTGCTGGTTTTTCAGACACTCAAAGGCTGTAAACTTGTGCTGGGACTTCCCTCGTCCTACACAACCTGCTGCACTGGCTCGCTTCTTTTACAAGTTCAGCGCCGAAGTCGTCCGTCTTGTTATGCAGCGTTTAAATGCAACCAAGCATGGTGTACTGGTGGGGCTGCAGACGCTGAAGTTTGGTTGTTCTCAGCTCAGAAAATATGTCCCAGCATTTAAATACCCACCTTACTGTCCCCAGATTAAGAGTCTCAATATGCAAATTTTAAAAAACGACGAACGTTGCATTTTATTGACCGACTCCTCTTTGTTTTCTGCAGCCCTGAACCAGCAGAGGATCTCCCAGAGTGCACCAGTGAAGCAGGGAGGCCAGCTGCCTCCTCACTCTGGAGTCATGGGAGGCAACAACCAGATGAGATTGCAGCAGATCGAGAAAGAGAGGCTGAGACTGAAGCAACAGGAGCTGCTTCGACAGAGACCACAGGTGAGGAATCAGGAAGTCCACCTGACCTTTACGACGAGGTCGAGACTCTCAGCTCGTCTCTGTGAGCGTCCTGTGAGACGTTTACATCCCTCTAAGACTTAATGGACACCTCGACCGGGCTTTTAAATATGACTCATCCGTCATTGGTACAGCGGTGGAGCTTAAGCCCTTTTGATCGGTTTTTATTGTTCCACCACCCTCCAATGAAGCCTCATGAGTCATATGTGGTAATTTTATCACTTCCTAACGGTGATGTGTCATCACTGCGCCGCCCACACAGGGCGGTGCGGCCAAATCCAGTAGTTTACTCAAGGCTGTGTCATAACAGCAGAAACAGAGCTTTATGGTTATGAATGAGGACTCTGGCCGTGTTGTTTACTGTGCCATTCATTCACACGGGTTGTTTGAAGTTCACACTGTAGGAAGTGACCTGAGTGTGCACACACACACACACACACACACACACACACACTTACAGGCTGTAGAAAGAAAACGATTATAACTGAACTGTCCTGACTGGAAGTCCTCAGAGCACGCCCGCCGTACGCCTTATTAACATGGATTCTATTCATAATAGAAACCCCGGCGAGCAGGGTCACATACACAGATCTGACAGCCATGCTAAAGCCTCACACTGATTTATCTGGATGCTTTTATCCTCTATTTTCAGTCCTAGTGAGTTTATTTATAAAGTGCCTTTAAGAAGACAGCAGCCAATCAAAGTGTTGTACTACGACGGAGTATTAGAGCCACATTAAGAAAAGAAAATGAAGACTTCAAGATTAAAATTGTTAATTTAGGAGAATTAAGTCAATACTTATGAGAATAAAGTTGAGAAACATATATTGAAGTTCATTGTCACGAAATTCTCCATGGCTCTCATTTCAACAACTGTCATCTAGAATATAAGGACTTTTTATTCTCGTAAGTTAACGACTTTTATCTCTAAACCTTTTTTTTTCTTAATGTGGCCCTAATACTCCGCTGTACTGTACATTGGACAAATAAAATAAGTAAATAAATAGATAACAATAAAACAATAAAGTTAAAAACAGTAGAATAAACTGCAGACAGTAAAAGAATAAAAGCTACAGCGCCTACCATTCGTGTGTGCTCATTTATGAAACGCAAAATAAAAGTCTCAAGGGTTTGTGAGGCTCTAATATGGCCAGATAGAAGGTTCCAGAGTCTACCTCGAGACTAAAGTCTGGTTTTGGGGAGTGGTGATGCAGGAGCTCTGACAGGTACAGAGGGGCAAGACCGTGGAGGGCTTTAAAAACAATTAGAACAACTTTTTATTTACTTATTTTGGGCGATTTTTGCTTTTTATTGAAAGGACAGGGTGAAATGTTGGGAGACAGAGAGAGAGAAGAAGGAGGATATGCAGCACGTGGTTGGGGCCGGACTCGAACCCACGACCACTGCTGTAGTCCTCATACATGCGGCGCGCTGACCTGCTCAGCCATCTGCGCGCCAATAATAATTAAAAGAACCTTAAAATAAATGTGAGAGCGGACTGTGAGCCAGTGAGGGGTCACTAAAATAATGATATAAATAATCCTAGTCCTTGTCCTGATTTATTCTTATGTGTGATCAACAATTGTGCAAAGAAAACAGAAAATCTGATTTCTAAATTTAGGTAAAATCCATATGAAGTTTGGTGTTGTAGAAACTCTCAGATCCAAGATGTTCAAAACAAAAACACCGTCCTGTCTCAGAGTAGTAAGAGTATAGTAGGAAGTTGTGCAATCATTCTGAGTTTGTGTGTGGAGTTCATATTTGGGGCAACAATCACCACGCCCACTTTAATCCACATGGAGGAAATATGATGAAAAATAATGGGTGTCAGTGTCGCGCATGTTACTCGCTGTTGGCAGTCCAGTACTGACACTGATTAGTCATGCAAACTCATAAAAGTTGTTTACAGGACACCGTGTGCATAATCCTGCTTCATCAAAACCAGATTGTGTCAAGTGTGCACAGGTTTTCTCAGATACATGTCATCTTTCCATGAGGGAGAGAAGCAGCCGGACATCAAACCAGAAAGAAGGAGGGAGGAAAAAACATTATTTTGGTTCAATTAGAGCTTTTTCGCTTTTAGCTGGAGAGAAAACCGTGACCATTTCCACTCCACCACAACCAATAAAAGCTCTCACCAAACACTCAGAGCGTCTGGTTAGCAATTTTCTGTCCTCACCCAAAAAGGTCACCTCTCACTGGCTGCCTCCATGTTGTTGTGTATCGCTCTGTAGAGGTTGAACTGAATCTCCGACTCATTTCATCCTCCCCGCTCAAGGACTTTGAGGAAAGGAGGTGAAAAACAACAACATGACTTCATATCCTCTGCCTTATCTGATACAGCATGTGCAGAAAACAATTGCGTCCCTCTGTGGTCGGCCCCCTAATGTAATCTGACACTGTGTATGAGGAGGAATGGAGAGCACCATGTCGGCTGTGGGTGTGTTAGTCCTTAATTCAGCATTTTATGCAGTGACAGCACAACAGCAGCAGTGTTCGGCAGTCCTGACATGTTTTCACCGAGCTCTAGCTGTGTATAATTAGCTTCTGAGGTTAGGGGTGGGGTTCATTGTGTTGCTTATGAGTTTTTCATTCTTTATCATCCACAGGAGCTTGCCCTGAGGAATCAGCTGCCTACCAGTATGGATCAAGACGGCGGCACGAACCCTGTGTCCTCCCCTATGGCCCAAGACGCCCGGACCATGACTGCCAACAGCTCTGACCCATTCCTCAACAGGTTGGTTTCATGCAGAAGCCAAGGGTGAAGTGAAAGGGAGTCATCTGTGGAGCAAAGAGCAAGCTGAGGTGCACTGATTGACGTCAGAGCACTTGGCAAAAGCTCCACTCCTCCTTCAGCTTGTCAAACTTAATTTTTTTCTGGTTTGAGGGGAAACTGCGTGCCCGCCTGTGTGATCCGGAGCTCCGGTGAGAGCTCCCGGAGTTACACAAGTTGTAAAAACAGCAGCTTAACCCTCTTCACATGGCAGTGACTCATTTATACCAGCAGGAGATTAGCGCACAATGACGACCTCTGCTGTACAGCCGAGGTAGCGAAACAACCGCAGACTAAATGGTGGCGTAACCTGTGAAAATATGTTTCAAAACCACCCAAAGTGGAGACAGCAGGAACTTAAGAGTAAAGGACTGAAACTGACCCCAAATCATTCCCGATGAGGAAAAAAGTGAAGTTTTTATGATTGTCTGTTCTGGGAAACTAATCATAGACGTTCGAGCTCCAGTTCTTCTGTAAGCAGATGAAGTGAGGAGAGAGCTGAATAGCAAGCAGGCCATGAGAACATGTGGTCCAGTCAGTAGACAGGCCAACCTAATCTCCCCTCCTCCCCCTGTTGCCTCCGCTCCCCTGCTCTTACAATGGCCTCATTCATCCTGCCTCTGCCATACTCTGCCTACATATTTTTCCTCTGCTAATTAGTATAGGCTTGTCAAATGTCTTCTCTCTGCCTCTTTGTCTCTCTGTTGCCCCATTCATGGTTGGCCTTTTTCCTGTATTCGGTAAAAGAAGTGTAGCTCTTTTTCCCTCGCTGCTGTCACTGTGGATTAGTCTCCTCAGTCACTCAAACAGAGATATCTGTGGAAATGTGGATGTATGCAGAGGGTCCCTGAGGGAATTAAAGCCACACTGTTACTTTCCAGCCTGTGTGTGTGCTTTTAATAACTCTGTTTGCTTTGTCGGATCAGTTAATTGGATTCAATCAGTTCAGTCTGCAGGAGTGTGAAGGACTGAGAAACTTCCCTGAAACATACAGCTCGTTATTTCCCTCTGCACAATTGAATGTAGGGCTGGGCGATATGGCGTCAAATCGATATCACGATATGTTGATCAGTTCACCTCGATAACGATAAATGGATGATAACTACTCCACAAACTGCTCACCCCCTCCCACGTTAACTTTGTCACCTTCAGCCGCTACAACTTTTGAACCGTCCTCCATCTCCTCACCTGTCTTTCCCTTTTTGTTACGGACTGGATGGGGTGGAGTCACCTCTCTGACATCGCTTAACCAGGATTTCCATTGCATCCGGAACGGCGCCAATTCCTGCTGGATCTGTTTGTGAGGCGGATTTCGTGGCGAGAACTCACAAGAACCCGCGGATTCACGTTCAATCGCGTGATAACAAGTTGTCTTTAGCCACATAGGCTAACTATATAAGCAGTAGATTGTGTCCTTCCAGAGGAGGAAATCTACTACAAGTTAATCTGTGCTGAACTTATCCGGCATGCTCTGGCGTCCAGAAAAAATAGAACTCTTACGATCGGCTGCGGAGTCTGGCGATCAGCAGAGGAACGGAAAGAAGCGGGTGGAAATTGACACATTAGCTTGAATGGTTATGATCAGCTACGATCGGAGGATACAGCCTTTTCGTAGTCATGCCGAAATCCAAAAACTAACAGTAATCCACATCCAAAACCAACTCTTAATTGTTTATTTTTTTGACACTGAATATACCCACATGGGCAAAATGACGTCGGTTATTGTTGTAAATTTTGGTATCTGTAAATTTTCGGTTTATCGTCCAGCCCTAATTGAAATCAAGACGCTTATGAGAGATTCTGACACAAATATTTCTCTCTTTTTGTATTTCTAGCGGGACCTACCACTCCAGGGATGAGAGCACAGACAGCGGCCTGAGTATGAGCAGCTACAGCGTCCCTCGCACTCCAGATGACTTCCTGAACAGCGTGGATGAGATGGAGACAGGTGAGGCTGTAAAATAAGATATGATTAAATGTACATGCATGTTGTTTTTAGGGCCTGTTTCATGCATACACACTGTTTATAAATGATATTGTCCAATGCGTGGCGGCACAGTGGTGTAATGGTTAGTACTGTCGCCTCACAGCAAGAAGGTCCTGGGTTTGAATCCTGGTCAGGATGTTTCTGTGTGGAGTTTGCTGAAGTGGGGTTAGATTAATTGGTCACTTTCAAATTCCCTGTAGGTGTGGATGTGAGTGCAGATGGTTGTTCGTCATTATATTGTTTGCCCTATTATGACCTGGCGTCTTGTCCAGGGCGTCCCCTGCCTTCGCCCTGAAGATGCTGGGATAGGCTCCAGCCTCCCTGCAACCCCCAACGTGAAAGTGAAAATGGATGGATGGATTTTCCGAGGCTCATGTTGTAATTTTTCGTTGATCTTCTCCTTCTGTCCATTAGGGGACCCTCTTCCACCTTCCATGGCGACACAGCCCAGCCGTTTCCCCGACTACCTGGACGCCATCCCGGGAACGGATGTGGATCTGGGCACCCTGGAGAGTGAGAGCATGGCGGTGGAGGGCGAGGAGCTGATGCCCAGTCTGCAGGAGGCCCTGAGCTCTGACATCCTCAACGATATGGAGTCTGTGCTGGCAGCTACCAAGATCGACAAGGAGAGCTTCCTCACATGGTTATAGAGGACCTGAGCAGGGCGCTCCTCACTCCTCCGCGTACACTCTGAACTGCTGCCTGCTCTGATCTGTGAAGGATTCATAGATGCTTTTACAAGACATTTCAGCGAGCGTCTCTGGACTTCTGTCTCTGTCTCGGCATGTAAGGCCATCCTCCTTTTGAGGCAGTATTTCTCTGTTCTTCTCACTGCTGTGTTATCTCTTTATTTTGTCTGTGTCGTCAAGGCTGGCCCATGAACAGACAATTACGCAAGGGTCCCCAGTTCTTTCACAGGTCTGTCAGTGAATCTAGGGCATGTTTACCCTGCTCGTCCCCTGGTCTTCCCTCATAGCTGAGCTTGGCTGATGCATGTGCTCTTCTGTAAGGACTGTCATCATCGGCTATCGCCCGGAGTCTCTGGTGCCTCTTCCTCTTCCATGAGAGCTTGAAGCAGCAGTTCTTAAACTGAATTTGGGACTTTTGCAGCTAGCTTGAGTAGCTTTATATTTGGCCTTGTGAGTTTTTATCCTTTTTTTTTTTGTTTGTTTTTAATGAGCCTGAGAAACCAAAAATGATGTATTCGAAGCATAAAGAACAATACTGATTTGGAGTAAAGGTAACGTGAGGCCCAGTGTGGACATATTGGCTCTGCTTTGGGTGTGTGTGTGTGTGAGGGGCGGGGGGTTAAGGGTTGGAGCCTGGGGACCGACTACATTGCTGCTTGGCTGTGCCAGCAAGTCTAAGTTAAACCTTTGATAGATCAAGTGCCTTCAGTTCTGCTTTTTGAGACGCGAGCAAATCGAACAATGACGTGGTTTCTGTAATTCAGCGACAAGCATCAGGCTGTTGGTGTAAATCAGCCTCCCCACTTTCCTCTTTGCTAATGTTCAATAATCAAACTGTCTTTTGGTTTATACACACATTATATAAGGGGATTTAGGGATTTCTGTTTGTTTTTGTAACCCTAGCTTCTTTGTATCTCAGTCTTATCCAAGCGTAATTCATGATTCACTCTTTGTGTTATTTTTTAGTATTCTTTATTTTTAGGTTACTACATATGTATGATAGCTTAGATCAAATGGCATTTTGCTTGTTTTTAACTTCTTTCATAGATGAATTTATACATTTTTAACATGGTCGACTGTTATCACAGCATGTCACTTCATCAAGATGCAGTCTGCCGAGACACGGATTGATTCAGTTTGGGCTTTTTTGTAACCATCGAGCTGATTCTCTTCTGTCGGATTTACTTTATTCATATAAGTGTTATTGTGTATTTGTTGATCACATGCAGCTTTTACTATCATCCTGAACATTAACCAAAAAAGCAGATCTCTTGGCTAAACAGAAACTGTAGCTCTGTGATCAGTTCAACTTTGTGACGGCGAAGAAAACACAGAGTTACGAAGTTCGAGAGAGTCTTCCTGAGGAGGGAGGTGTTGAAATTTAGGGTTTCTGGACTTCAGCGGGGACAAGTTTAAGAAGGTTTAAGAGTCACGTCGAGGGGGGAGAGGCCGAGGCTGGGGTTTGACTGATGGCAGCGGGTTCGTGTAGATCGATGAAATGTGTAGATTTTTGCGAAGTGATCAAAAACAATCAGTAATTATCTCAGTCAGGAATTGTTGCGGCGGATTCCAAAGATGTTTGTGTAATGACACTAATTTTGCTTCCATTTTCACGAGTCCAGAAACAAAATGATTTGTAAATCAGCCTGTGTATGAACAAACTGTATAAGCTAATGAGGAAATGATGTAACTTTTAAGTGTCGTGGTCATGTCTGGATAGGTCTAGCTGAGAGATTCTTTTTCTATGATAAGTTGGTTGTTTTGAGTGACTAACCCTGAGATTTAAGGACGAGGTTTCAGAACAGAGAAACGAGCGATTCTCCGACAAACTCTCACATGTTTACATTCTCTCTGCGGCAGCCACAGTGACAACTCTCTGCCACCACATTATTTTCGTGTTTACAGTATGACCACATCTTCGCAGTAACAGCTGATTGACCGGATCAGCTGTTACATTACTTGTCACATTCACGCCACATTCACACACTGATGGCAGAGAAGTTTTTGGCTGATCCCGTTCACACACCTATGGGTGCAGCCAGCGGGGGCGGGTGGGGTCAGGTGTCAGCCCCGGGATCGAACCCCCGATGACCAACTCTACCACTGAGCCACAGCCGCCCCTAAATCAACAGACATGAACAAGTTTTTTATTCTCTTTGAGAAACCTCTTTCTAGTTTTGATTTTATTGACCATTGAATCATGTGTTAATGATGGATTTAAGGTGGATAAACAGTGTTGGTGAGAACAATGCAACTTAAATGAGCGGTACACTACAGTGCTTGTATCGCACGGTTACAGAGTTATAATTTTCATGCTATGATGCGTTCTGTCACACAAATCGGATTTTATGCTTACTTACTGTGTAATTGTCAGAGCATATTAGCTGCTGACTGTCATTGTAGCAGTAGAACTAATCACACGAGTTATAAAGGATTTTGTATTTAGAGTTTTCTAAATGCACATGAAATGAATTTATATTCAGTAATGATCTGTTCATTTTTGATAGATATGTGCATGTGTTTTAGAGCAATAAATTCTGTTACATTATATCTTGGTTCATATCATACTTTGAAATTGGCCTGCAATAAAGTATATTCTTTGTGGTAAAGATGCCTGATGTTATGATGTGTTGTGTTTTAATGTAAAAAGAAAATCTCAGAATATCAGATGCTGTGGGTCAGTTATTTTAAAGCTATATAACGGCTTTTTTACAGTAAAATATTAAGTTTTTATCATACTATACTATGACACTTTTATTCCTACTAAAATTTGATTTTTTTAACAGTTAAATATGAAATTTCCAACATACTATACTGACATTCTTATCATACTATACTACAACATTTTTACTTTAACTAAAATGTGATTTTTTTCACACTAAAATATGAAACTTTTAGCATACTATACTATGACATTTTGATCATACTATACTATGACATTTTTATTCACTCTGAAATTTGAAATTTTTAACATACTATACTATGACATTTTTATCATCCTATACTATGACATTTTTACTTCTACTAAAATATGATTTTTTCACACTAAAATATTAGACTTTTAGCATAGTTTACTATGACATTTTTATTCACTCTCAAATTTTTTACATTTTTTAACATGCTATACTATGACATTTTTTATCATACTATGCTATGACATATTTATCAGACTGAAATATATGGATTTTTTTACATACTATATTATGACATTTTTATCAGACTGAAATATATGAATTTTTTTTACACTAAAATATGAAATTTTTAACAAACTATACTATGACATTTTTATCATACTATACTATGACATTTTTATTCACTTTCAAATTTGAAAATTTCAACATACTATTCTAGGACATTTTTGTCATAGTATACTATGACATTTTTACTCACTTTCAAATATGAAAATTTAAACATACTATATGACATTTTTTACATACTATACTATGACATTTTATTCACTCATAAATTTGAAACTTTAAACATTCTATATTATAGTCGTTTTTTACATACTGTACTATGACATTTTTATCATACTATACTATGACATTTTTATCAGACTGAAATATATGGATTTTTTTCACACTAAAATATGACATTTTTAACATACTATACTATGACATTTTTATCATACTATACTATGACATTTTTATCATACTATACTATGACATTTTTATTCACTTTCAAATTTGAAAATTTCAACATACTATTCTATGACATTTTTGTCATAGTATACTATGACATTTTTATTCACTTTCAAATTTGAAAATTTAAACATACTATATGACATTTTTTACATACTATACTATGACATTTTTTGTCATACTTCACAATGACATTTTTATCAGACTGAAATATGTGAGTTTTTTTTCACACTAAAATATGAAATATTTATTATGCTATACTATGACATTTTTATTTCCTCTCAAATTGAATTTTTAACATGCTATACTATGACATTTTTATCAAACTATACTTACATTTTTATTCACTTTCGAATTTGAAAATTTCAACATACTATTCTATGACATTTTCTTCATAGTATACTATGACATTTTTACTCACTTTCGAATTTGAAAATTTCAACATACTATACTATGACATTTTTTGTCATACTATACTATGACATTTTTATCAGACTGAAATATATGATTTTTTTTACATACTATACTATGACATTTTTATCATACAATACAATGACATTTTTATCAGACTGAAATATATGGATTTGTTTTCACACTAAAATATGAAATTTTTAATATACTATACATTTTTATCATACAATACAATGACATTTTTATTTCCTCTCAAATTGAATTTTTTTAACATGCTATATTATGACATTTTTATCATACTATACTATGACATTTTTGTCATAATATACTATGACATTTTTACTCACTTTCAAATATGAAAATTTAAACATAATATATAATGACATTTTTTGTCATACTACACTATGACATTTTTATTCACTCATAAATTTGAAACTTTAAACATTCTATATTATGGTCGTTTTTTACATACTATACTATGACATTTTTATCATACTATACTATGACATTTTTATCAGACTGAAATATATGGATTTTTTTTCACACTAAAATATGAAATTTTTAACATACTATACTATGACATTTTTATCATACTATACTATGACATTTTTATTTCCTCTCAAATTGAATTTTTTTTAACATGCTATACTATGACATTTTTATCATACTATACTATGACATTTTTATTTACTTTCGAATTTGAAAATTTCAACATACTATTCTATGACATTTTTGTCATAGTATACTATGAAATTTTTATTCACTTTCAAATTTGAAAATTTAAACATACTTTATGACATTTTTTACATAGTATACTATGACATTTTTTGTCATACTATACAATGACATTTTTATCAGACTGAAATATATGAGTTTTTTTTCACACTAAAATATAAAATTTTACTATATTATGACTTTTTTTTATGCTCAAATTAGAAATTTTTAACATACTATACTTTTACATACATTGTAAAATATACATTTTTATTTCCTCTCAAATTGAATTTTTTTTAACATGCTATACTATGACATTTTATCATACTATACTATGACATTTTTTTTCACGCTCAAATAAGAAATTTTTAACATACTACACTCTTATATTTTTATTTCACTCTCAAATTAAAATTTTTTTACATTCAATACTATGACATTTTTATTCACTCTCAAATTTGAAAATTTAAAAAACTCTATATTATGGTCATTTTTTACATAGTATACTATGACATTTTTTTGTCATACTATACTATGACAGTTTTATCAGAATGAAATATATGCCCAATAAAATATGAAATTTTTAACATACTATACTATGCCTTTTTTATCATGCTATACTATGACATTTTATCATACTATACTATGACATTTTTTTTCACGCTCAAATGAGAAATTTTTAGCATACTACACTCTTATATTTTTATTTCACTCTCAAATTAAATTTTTTTTACATACAATACTATGACATTTTATTCACTCTCAAATTTGAAAATTTAAACACTCTATATTCTGGTCATTTTTTACATAGTATAGTATGACATTTTTTGTCATACAATACTATGACATTTTTATCAGACTGAAATATATCGATTTTTTTTCACACTATATGAAATTTTTAACATACTATACTATGCCTTTTTTATCATACTATACTATGACATTTTTATTTCCTCTCAAATTGAATTTTTTTAACATACTATACTATAACATTTTTACTTCTCCTAAAATATTATTTTCACACTTAAATATGACATTTTTAGCATACTTTACTGTGACATTTTTATCATACTATACTGACATTTTTATTTCCTCTCAAATTGAAAATTTTAACATACTATACTATGACATTTTTATCAAACTATACTATGACATTTTTATTTACTTTCAAATTTGAAAATTTAAACATACTATAAAATGACCGTTTTTTACATACTATACTATGACATTTTTTGTCATACTATACTATGACATTTTTATCAGACTGAAATATGTGAATTTTTTTCACACTTAAATATGAAATTTTTAACATACTATACTATGACATTATCATCCTATACTATGACAGTTTAATTCACTCTCAAATTAAAAATTTTAAACTTACTATACTATGACATTTTTATCATACTATACTATGACAGTTTTATCATACTATACTTTGACATTTTTTTTCACTTTCAAATTTGAAAATTTCAACATACTATTCTATGACAATTTTGTCATACTATGCTGACATTTTTATTCACTGTCAAATTCAAAATTTTTTACCCTACTATACTGACATTTCAATCATACTATACCATGACATTTTTGTTCACTCTTAAATTTGACATTTTTAAACTACTATACTGACATTTTTTAACATACCATACTATGACATTTTTATCATACTATACTATGACATTTTTATTCATTCTCAAATTTGAAATTTTTAACTTTTTTACATACTATATAATGATATTTTATCATACTGAACTATAGTCACGGGTAGGAGGCGGACTGGGGGCGGGGGGGGGGGGGGGATGGGGAGGGAGGGTCATATTAAAATAAACAGACACAGAGTCACAGTCAGTTTCTGTGTTTTTTGTTTATAAACTTGTGGGTCCCCCACGTCTGGTGGTTGTGTTGTTGGCTCAGCCCCCTCAGGATCTTCGGGGTTCCTGATAGTGTTGTTGATGTTTTCAGCAGCTGTAGTTTGTATGTTACACACAGCTGCTGTTGTGTTTTTATACTGCAGATGTTACAGGACAGAGTTTGTAGTTACAGCTCAGATTATAACTCACGTCACATTTAGTAACTGTTTGATTTAGTAACTGATTTTTGTAGATGAGTTTTTTATTGCCAAAAGATGTGCTGAACTTACAAATGACAACACTTTATCTATTTACATGGCATGTCCATTAAGGAAGCAGATTTCGTCTGATCAGGGCTCAAGTTCTTGACAGCATCAGTCAAAGCACTTTAATGGTCAAACTAAACTACAACTAACAGGTTTCTAAATAAAAACATTTTAATCTGAGCTGTAACTCCAACTCTGTCCTAATACATCTGCAGTATATCACGTCGAGTCTCTAGTCCTCCTGCAGACACCTGAGGATCAAACACAAGGAATAGAAGACATCAGGATCTGGAGTTCAGGACCAAGTTGGAAAAAGCAACAGCCATAATACAGAAAAGACTCCCCCTGGTGGTCAGTATTAATGTGACTTGATCGCTGCCTGAGATACTTGTGACAAACTACTGACCATTAAAGTTTTAAAAAGTTCTGGGCCTGATTTTCTTACTGATTTTTCTAGGCAAAGACACTCGATAAAAGTTACAAATAATACACACATTCAATAAAAGCCAATGAATAATGGTTAAAAATATATTTTTTTCTTTTGTTTAAATGTCTTAGTTTAATATCAAATCCTGATGGGTTAAATATATTTAAAGGATTTCAGAGCAGTATAGACACAGGAAGTCAACTGATATTATCGATTATTTGACAATTTTATACGGGTAAAATTACAGACAGTTGTTAGCCTTAACTCTGGTTGATTTGTTTAAACAATAATAATAATTATCATTATGATTACTTAAAATGTAGTATTATATAAATATGAAAAATATATCTCATGTCTATCATCATTTTTATATGTAGACTTTTGTTTGTTTAAACATGGATTTAAATATACATTTTTCTTCCTTTACTAATAAAGATTACTATTTATGTTGCATTTTATTCTTGTGTTTATTCTAATCATGAAATAAAGTAAATAAGAATAATATATAACCAAATATTACATGTCATACAAAATCATGTTTTCGTATCAGTGCTGCACATTAACAAATTGATGGTTTATAAAAGTATCAATAAAACTACAAATAATAATGGCGCCACTAAAGCTTGTCACGTGATCCAGATTAAGCTGCCAATTAAAAATCAGTTCTGCCCTCTAGAGTTTCTTCCTACAAACAAAACGTTAACTTTGAATCCCCCCCAAAAATGTAAAAGCATTTAAAACACCTCGCTATTGCTTGAGTCTTTTTCAGTGTGTACCACAGTAATAAAATGATTAGCTTTAAACGTTTTTAAACCCTTTTATTGTATTTTAAACGCGGTTGCGTTTGAGCTAAGCTAGTTTATCTTACGCGATAGTTTCAGATTAATTACGGACAAAACTAGAGTTTTTGTGAATAAAACCGCCCCGACATACAGAATGACACACCGTCATAGTTCTTACAGCGATAAAAGACAATAACTACTCACCAAATACGACGATTTGATTGCAATTCGCCACTCCAGTGCAGGTGAGGTTTTCGTCAAGTGACTTCCGGGACGTTTATGGGCAGTCAGAAAAAAGACTTTCAAATTGGTGCAAATGAACGTAAAGCGTTGAACAAACTTAAAATGCTTTTATGAGAACTTTGGTTTAAAAAATAAACGATTATATACAGCCAGACTGAGCTACAACATGAATGTTTAAATGGTTTAAAATGTAACAGTTTAGGAGAAACGACTTGCAAATACAAGATTTTTTAGTTCGTCTTATATTTTGGTTGTAAAGATGAACCTGTAGCTGCTCTTGGTTTACGTGCCAATCCAGACTTTACATTTTTTAAAATCCTTATTAACAAAATGACAATTTTAAAAACACCATTAACGTTTGTGAGAGAAATACAGCAGTAAACACCTGCCAGTATGTGTCATTTTTAACTAATCAAAGATACTTAGACAATGTTTGCAAGAGATTTGTATCTTAAGATTTAAGAATAAATAGAAGAAATTATACATGACTTACTTTAACTTCATCTTCAGAGAGTTGTCAAACATTTCTCTCACTTCAACCTCAACAAACTATCACCAAATAATCATTTTTAACGTTATAAAGGAAACATAAAGAAAGAACAAACAAACAAAACTTGTGATATATTTATTTTTCAAATCAATTTCATTAATTACATGTATTATAATGTCTCATTACTATCCCAATAATTATTAAATATCACATGAAAAAACTAAAGGTTACATTATCTAAATTGCATCAAAAAACTACCACAGATGTAAAAGCTGTAACAATGAGTAAGAAAACATTGTGGCAGGCTCTCTGTGTTAATGCTAGCAAAACTCTTAAGGGTAAATACGCGTAGTTCATGCTAATTAGAGAATGCAGAAATTGAACTTGGGATGCCGAGGTGGACTTTAAAGAGCACAGCAATGATTTCTTTTCACAGTGTGAACTGGGTATTTTATCCTATATGACAGCACTACACATGAGTATGACAAACAAACCACGAGAACAGTGACTGCAAAGAAGAGCAGTTTCTTGGCCAAAATACAGGAAATAAAATATACTGGAGACAAAACAGGTTCTTTCACAGTAAATACAATACAAAACAGTACTGTTTACTAGGATAACAAATTGTATGAGTTTATAAAATTACTTCTTTTTTTTTTATTTTACAATATTTGAAAAACGTGACCCCTACGTCTTCACATCCATAATCTCTATGATTTGAGTTGCTGGACATTTTCAGTAATCCCTGACCAAAACTCACGAGTGACTCCCCAGGATCTCATCCAGGTTTATATCTTTCATCCAATCGTCGTTCCCAGAGCCGGACTTAAGCAAAGAGTCGATAAAGTCCGAGTCCGTGTTGATCCCTGGAACGGTGTTGTCTCCTTCAGGGAGAAAGTCAAAGGTCAGACGGTTAGCTCGGTTACTCTGGAAGCCGCTGGAGCCGTTACCGGGCTCTGCAAAGGTCCCTGCTGGTACCCTCTGCTCAGGAGAGGCCTGGTTCAGGTTCCCCACTGCTGACGGAGATCCCATCAGCGGCTGAGTTGGTCTTGGGCCTGCATCTCTCATCGAAGGATTAAGAGGGAGCATCCCGATATCTGGAGCTACCTGGTTGGGAGGTCCGATGTGCCTCTGTTGGTACGGATGGTTCTGGATGTCCAGCTGTGCACCCTGAGACTGGTGTGGGTTGGGGAGCCGCCTAACACTGAGTCCAGCTATCCCTTGGTTTTTGGCGGAGCTCCAGCCCATGTTGACATTTTTTATCAAGCTCAGACCCTGTCCTGGGGCCCCTGAAGGGTGCAGGTCAGCTGCCATTCTTGGGTGTTGAACACCTGCTACATTGTTCATCCCAAAAGAGTTCCCTCGTGCATGCGGCCCCAGAAACCGGGTTTTATTCTGATTGAGTCCAATTTGATTCTGGTTGTTATGCTGCTGGAACTGACCGATACAAGAGCTGGTGTGACAGTCTGCCCCGATCCCGAACCTGCGGTCTGACGGTGGAGGATTCAACTTTGAAGCAGACCCACTCTGGAGGTGACAAGACATGGACTGGAGCTCATTCTCAGGACCGCCGCTGGAACACTGGGAGGAGTTTTGACCTGAAGAAGAGCCAAATAAAGAAAGAAATAGATAAAACTTAGAGGGATATTCCGGCGTACTACGTCTTCTTAAAACACTGAAAGTACTCCTGACTCATGAGAAGCGTACCTGTCAGCATGCTTCCTTGCTGAACCCCCACCATACTTCTTGACTGTTTGTAGTCAGGTGGAGGTCTCGTGAGGTGACGGCTGAACTGATCATGTGCACTATCTTTGTCCTGAAATAGAAGAAGAAGTGATGACAGATTAATTGAATTATCTGTTCATTGTCTCAATTGCTTGTTCGAAGTGAAAATGAGAGGTAGTAGCTCACAGTGTTGTTGATGGGGAGCTGTGGTTGGTTGAGCTGCCTCTGCATGGCTGGAGTTTTCACAGGGCCTTTCTGCTGGTTGTTTGGAGCTGGAGGCCGCGGTTGTGACTGAGCCGACATGACTCCCATGTTCCCGTTGGTCGGCAGCCTTGGACCGGGAGGAACACCCTTAAAAGAAGAGACATGATGGATTGAGATTAAAATTATGGGTGCATTAACTCCACAAAAATACCCGCCCCCTTCTCATCCTCCTCTCCCTCTCAGATCCTGAAAACGCACGCACCTCTCATCAGGATCCCAAGCAAGAGTCTGCAGAGACTCCAATATATGATGAGAGTGCGCAAACATGATCATATCACCCCCATCCTAAAATCACTCCACTGGCGTCCCTCAAAGAAAAGACCCTGTCACCCACAAAAAACAACACACTCCCTCCACTCCACTCACTCACATCTCCTCTTCGCCCCCAGAACCAAATTATGGACCAAGGGAGATAGGGCCTTCTGTGCTGCTGCCCCACACCTTTGGGGCACCCTCCCCGACACCCTGAGGGCACCACAACCCACCAACAGGACTCAAAACGTTCCTTTTTAGCAGAACTTTTGGTCCCACCTCATAGATTCTTAAAAAAAAATTGCTTATTTTGCTTTTGCTCTTTTAATGAGATGCTTCTCTTGTTTTTTGTTATATTCCTTTGCTGTGAAATTTCTTTGCTTTTAAGATGTAAAGGGCACTACGAGTAAAATGTATTATTATTATTTCCACAAAACCAAAATGCTGCAATACTATAATTTGACCACTAGAGGGCAAACCTGTACAAGGATTCAAAAATCCGTTCAAAGATGCTTTTCACCCTCCAGAATGTGGTCAAGGCTACTCCCTCTGCAGATAAAAAAGAGAGCTTTTTCCTTTTTTTTTCAGAGGGGGAGTGCGAGCCCTCGCTTCTCTCCTGATAATTGTGTCTAAAGAGAGTGGAAAGAATCCCTGAGACAGCAGGAAATGTGTGCCAATGGGGAGTTAAGTGCCAGCACCATGACTACCTCTATTTAATAAGCACTCCTATCCTGATCACTGTGCTGTGTTTGGCAAGTAGGCCCTCCATCTATTAGAAACCCTTTTGGCTGGTGACACTATCACACTGATTAAAATGTAGTCAGCAGCACTCCAATGAAACAGAGATATCCAAACGAGCTTTTGTTTGACGTCTTGTTCTGAATGTTTGCTCTTGAAGACACGCCATAACCACTCTGGGTGTTTGAGAAGTTACACGTCCTTGTGATGCATCTTTTTTTCCATTTTTAGAGCATCCAGGCGCTCCAAGTCAAACCTGTCTTTCTTGTGGACATAAGGACTCTCACTGAGCACAGGCTCTCCAAGTGCATACATTTATCATCAGAGGTTAATGTTCACCAAATCAAAGTCAACACATGCTGTGTAAACAATGTCAGTCATTCTGTTGACTCAAAATGTTTCCCAGGGTGAAAAGGATTAGAGACCCAACAGTGCATTTAGCAGAAGCTATTACTTAGAGGACAGATTCTCTGCAGAAGATGAATCTCAACAGGGTGGTGACTGTGGTCCCAGAGAGAGAAAAAAGAGGCAAGTATGCATGTGTGTGTGTGTGTGTGTGTGTGAGTGAATGTTAATGAATGGGGCTGAGATTTGAAGAGCAGCATCGCAGAATGAGGGAAGTTGAAACTCATCAGGAGTCACAAGCCATTTCACGAGCGAGTATTCGCCGTCCTCGCCTGAGTTCAACCCACACGGCAAACCGAGCAGCACGGCGATGAGGTTACACAGGGACTAAAACATCAAAACGGCGGTTTCTCCTGTTACTCTAGACGGCCGAGTCACTGGCTTTGATTCACTGAGCGCAGTTATCAAGACTGGAAGAAAAACGTGATCATCGCAGCCTTTTTCCTGCAGAGGCACACCAGAGAGCACTTACTCGATCTTTGTTATAAGAAAATCCAATCAGGAGTGTTTCAGAAAGCACAACTGAGTAATCCTCTCTGTCATCCTGATGTGTCATAAAGCTGTTTTCCATGTTTTTTCCCTCCTCTCATTCTTCACAAGCTTGTTGTTAATGAATACCACATGTGGCTAAGGCCTCAGAGAGGGAGCCGAGTGATTTAGTCTCCCATCCTGCGGCAGAGCAGGCAGCTGACAGTGATCCAGGCCCAGCCTTGCCGACTCTCACACTGCACTTCCTCCAGTCTGGACTCATGACGCTGTCCCTGGGGAGCGCCTCGGCATCTGGACTTGGCTGCAGCTCCCTTTCCCAGGAAACAAGCACTCCCTTCACAGCACTGCCGGAGTGACCTGGTGGGCTCAAACCCCCCTGGCCCCGGGTCTTACCCGCGCAGAGGACCGCGGTGCCACAAGATCACCGAGAAAATTCTGAGGCTTCATTATTAACGGCAAACAAACCTTCATCTGAGGCCATGATTGTAAAACAGGTTTCAGATTCTGAGTGGAGCACTACGCTCTGCAGAGCGAACAAGCTCGTGTGTGTGTGTGCAGCACTCAAAAGGAAATCTGTAAAAGCTGAAGCTGCACACTGGGATGATGAAATTGCTGCCAAATGTCTATCCTCACTCAATCTAACAGTGTTTTCTTATGCCAGACAGGCATATCAAAAAGACTGTCTGCCAAATGTGCAAAAGTGTATCTGAATGTACATTTGAAAGAACACAAACATACAGAACAATTGCATCAAGTAAAAGAGTAAAATGCACAAACAGAGGAAACAGTTGGTCTCTCTCTGCTGGAGCACAGTCATTAGACGCCTAAAACTCATAAAATTATACAGCTAAAATGAAATGAATCCATCTTTCTACATTTACGGAGGTTGAAAAATCTTGTAGAGTTTTTAAAATTGGAAGGAAAGCAGTGTGCTTTCTTTCTAAAGAGGCACTAACATGGACTCATTATGGCAAACACAGACCTGTAATGGTTCCCTCTTTTATAAAAACCTAAAACACTCACTCTTCTCTTTCTTTGGCTTAAAACAAAAACACAGCGAGACTACTGATGTGACTAGCAACACTACGTTTTGACCTTGAACTAGCATTGCCACAGCAGCCGAGGTTTCATAATGCATCAGTGTCCTCGGCTGTACGCTGCCACAGAATATGATCTTTAAGTAACAGAGGTGTTTCTCTCTGTGCAGGATGATGGACTTCTAACTCTGACATATGCGACTCTGGCTCTAGCTCACATCTTTGGTTGTTTTTAATCAGGTCCTCGGCTTCCCTCAGTGGGAGGAAGTCCTCTGCTAGTTGCTAGTGTTACACGGGGGATCAGGGCACTCTTTCAGGACCTTTATTTCTCTGGCATTACTAATTCAATTCACTGTGGGAAGAGACTCCGCTGGGTTTTTTTTCTCCTCCTCTCTGTGAGCTGAACCGTCCTCATTAACCCGACTTTAACCCTACAGAGGACAGACGCCATTACCAGCCTTATATATAAAGTGAAATTAGTCCGTGAAATATATTTTACTAATCATATTCCTCTGGTAATAGAGTCAAATTTTGTTTCTCTCACACACACATGAAAAAAAAAAAAAGTAAAATGAAAATAATGTCCTTGGGAAAGTTGTCTCACTTAAGCGTTACCTCTAATTAACTTCAGAGGCGGCACGTCTTCAGCATTTTAAAGACCAGAGGTGACTAAACTTCGACTTTCATTATCTGCAGACTCTCGGTCTGATAAGTCTGCTTTTGTATTCATTTAAAATTACACATTTATAAATACTTACCTGCTAAATCAGGTAAAAGCTCCAATGAGAAGTTGATGCTTTTTTAAATCATTTTTAAAAGCAAATCAGATCATCAGGGCTGAGATTAATTATTTGGATATTATTGTTTTTAAAGCCTGAAAGTGCTTCGAGGGGGTAGGTGTCAGCCGAGCAGCTGCAGAAACAGTTTTGTTTTTACAATTTCTACATTAAATATTTACATTATATTAAATGTTCCACTTCTACAGTCTGATGGATGTTATTTTAGGACACAAATGATTGCTAAAAGGATGTAGAGGACAAAATAAGAGTTTGTCCACTTGGGGCTTCAAACTACAAGTTCCTCACAGGAGCTTTAAACCTTAAGTACAAATACAGTTACATATATGTTATCAATGCAGATACAGTGGTAAATAAAACAACACAATGACCACCATTATTAAACCGTAAACAGCTTTTAAAGAGACTTAAAGGTCCAATGTGTAGAAATATGAGAATTAAGCTATAGAGAACAGATTAGAGACAAACTTATTAAAGTTTCATCATCTGATCGGATCATAAGGACAAATATTCAACACTATATCCTCTATGATGCATTTAATGATAAAATTAATTATTGCCTCTGTATTTTTATTGATTCATAAAACATGTCACTGGTTGCATGTGCACAGAATAATGGACATAAATGAATGTGTTTTTCATATCCACCTATTATTTCCCTTTTTTATTAAATCAGAACATCGAAACAGAAACAGAAAGTCCCTCTGCAACATTTTACAAAGACAAATATTTGTGTGAGTTAACTTAGGCACTATGTTTGTTGGTATTACTGATTGTTGTGTTTTGTCAACTGCAACATTAAAAGTCCAACCATCCTTACTGGTAACCAGTTTGTCCATTCTGTGTTGTGGTACAAATGTTATAATGCTATACATCAGCCTCCATGAAAAGAAACTTACTTATTTACAGTTAACAAAATTAAAACCTCTAGTGTATTCCAGTGATTATACGCTTAATTCAGCATAATTATGAATACTCTTTTCCATACTTACCAAGTCTGTTCTGCTAATTGTTGCTGATTAGCAGCTACCTTTAGAGGAGGCTTTAAGACAAACAACATAAACCCTTCAGATGTACACAGTCCTTCTTTAAGTCTGGAGTGTAAATGACTCTCTGGTGGCTGAACGGGTTCTGTTTTACCCCTGTGTGATGATGAGGATGATGTGTTTGCCATCCTACCTTGTTTACTTCAATAACTCTCTCTCCCTCCTCCCACTCTCTCAGAGTCACTCAAGCACTTCCCTTCATCTGCAGACGTTATGAGAGCTCTCTTGTGTAGCTCGCATTATCATTTCACACAAAGACAACCGCGGAAACTGTTAGTACAAAAATGAAAGAGGGGACGGTCTAAATCTCGCCAATCATAACAAATCAGTGATTCAACCTCCGGCACCAGGCTAAGCAGATTACTGTCATTTTCCACCACTTGTCCCTTGTAGCTAACAACCTCCAATTAGCAAATCCCGCTGTGCATATCTGTGCCCTGACAGGGAGCCACCATGACAAGCAGAGAAATTAGAAGTCCTGCATGTTAATCTACCATGCTCTGGCAATCTGTGTCATCGTCAAAACACTTTCAGGGGAAATACATATTCAAAGAAGTCACAACAGCAAAGGCAGAGACAGCAGCGAGAGAGCAATGACAATAAAGTCCTAAACAAACAGCCGAGCAGCGTTTCAGACAGCAGGTCGGCTGCTGCGAGCAAACTGAGGAAACAGATTGATGAGGAGGACTACAGAGAGCAGGAGGGACGGCGACTGTAACTACGCCTTCAGCTGGGCCGTGCTATTATTTACTTTGTTTATGAAGTGTGATAGAGAACACAAAGGCCATTCAGAATCATCGCTCTGATGGGACGCTGAAGATTGAACGTATAAATCAGAACTTCATTGTGTTGGCGTTTTTGGTGTTTTACTACCACACATGGACACAGAGTCTCCGAGCTAACTCACACTCCATAATCACCTGATGGTATATATGCTCCTTCAAATGTAATTGTTCTGGTATTTACAGTAAGACATGATGTCTGTTTTATAAATGTTTAACATGGACATTAAAGAAACATACGAACCTTTAACTCCCATTAAAGCTCCTGTGGGGAATTTTTTGATGTTTATGAAATTGACTGAAATTCATGGTGATGATGTTCATGAGCAAACAAAGCTCAAATCAACAAGATGAAGGATTATATAATTATATATTTGATGTCATGAATCAATGATCAAGTATAGCTTTGTCCACAGGGGGCGCCAAAACTGACACAAACCAAAAGTTCCTCACTGGAGCTTTAAATGTTTATTTTTGCATAACCTGACTTTACTTCTGCCAAATCGTTCAGTAAATTTGTTTAGATGATAAAGAAGAAGGATCTACACTATTCTAACACAGTGATCGTGAGCACACGGCTTTATGTTTAGACCTTTATCAGGGTTTTTCCTGCGTTCAAAATTGCGTGGCGGCCGCCTCCACCTAATTTTGTGCCGCCCCCAGCCAGAGCGATTGATTTCGCTCATTACAGCGTAAAGCTCCAGCTGTGTTGATTGAGCGACTGATGTCCCGATGCAGCAGCAACGTATTTTAACTGCAGTTGCAGCGTTGCGCCACTATAGAGGCGCTATATCAACAGCAGTGCACCGGAAAGACCTGAAGCATCTACCGAAGAAGAAACGGATCGAATCATGTTTTTTCAAGTTTTTTTCCCGCTAGTTGGTGCTTTCGGCGTCCTGATTTTCCCTGGCGGATGGTACAAACAGGTAAATACTGCTTCTCTTTTTTGCATCCAAGCATGTCGTGTTTATTTAAAAAAAAAAGTTTACTCCGTTTTTAGCGTTTTAGATATGACAGGCAAAATCAGCCAGTACTTTAAAAAGCGACCTCGCGAGGAGGAAAGTCAAGAGTCCAGGTGAAACACAGCAGAGAAAAAAAAGGAACAGGCAGTTAGAATGCTATAATTCATGGTGGTGACAACGTGGAAATTTGTGTCAGGTCTGAAAGTACTTCACAAGGGACTGGTGATCGCGAGGGTCAGAATGCAGGACAGGACGAGTCGGCGAGGCGAGGGAAATTAATTAATTAGTTTCCAATTAGGAGCATAACAACGCAAAGCCAACGTGTACGTGGTTTTTATTCCTCTGTCTAGATCTTCTCAAAAACACAGAGCCAGTGGCTTTGACAAGCAATGGCTCAATCAATTTACCTGGCTCAGGCATACTGAGGAAGGCACGCACTGCTATTTATGCCAAAAGCACTGTGCCCCAACACAGCAGGCAATTGCTGCCTCCTTAGTGAGACAGCCATCAACCAACTACAGGCTGGACACATTAAAAAGACATGAGGTGACAGCCATTCACAAAGCAGCAGAAGAGAAGGAGAAATATATTAAAGATGGTAGTAGCTAAAAAAACTCAACTAATAAAGTTACAAAAAATAAATAACATAGTTTAGATAGTTTAAGAAATAATTGGTTGTCGTTTTTTTTTTAGGGAGGACACAGCAGCGTATACATATATATGATTGAAAACACTATCACTCTTCATGTCTGTATCAGAATAAAAACAAAAATACTTAATGCATGATGAACTGTTTTGTTTAAGGTGAAGACACCTCTGTGGAACAGACTGAAGGAGAGGCACTTGGATGTCTGTTGTACGGTGGCCGTTGATGGACCAGACCAGGAGGCCTTGGACTACAAGGAGTGCATGAGGAGGTTCTACAGAATGAAAAAGAGGAGGCTGAAATGTTCTGTCTGGTTGCGAGATGTGTGGATGAAGTGTACTTTCAATTTAAAGTTGCCAGCTGATTTGTGTATGTATGTAGTTTTAATAAATGAATGCTTTAACATAATAATGGTCACACTCTTTTTTGAACTCTTAACTTAAAGTATGTTGCCTGAAAAAGAAAGTGAATCGGTTGAATTTACAAATACATGCACGTCGTGGCGCATGGTCAGGATGGTGCCACCTCTGCCTCAATTTGAGCCAGGAAAAACCCTGTTTATGAATATAATCTGTAACTGGACTTGGACCTTTTGTAAAGATATATTTTTGGGCTCTTATTGCTTTTATAGAGAGGACAGTAGCAGGAGCGACATGTGGGACTGCGAGGCCAGTGTCCCCCCTTGGACCCTTCCTTTTGCAACAGGAGGGGGCTGGCAGTTACTGACAGTTTTTAACAGGGTTTTACCATTTTTAACAGGTTTTAATGGGTTTTAACGAATTTAAACAAGCTTTACTGTCATAACTATTTATTTATTGTCATAGCTGTTTATTTTGATGATACTTCTTATTTGTCCCGTCATATCTGTTGCTGCTGTGATTTACCCTTTGGGGGATCAACAAAGTTTTATTCTATTGTATTCTGTTCTGACAGTTTTAAGCAGATTTGAATGGGTTTTAACAGTTTTTAAATGGATTTTAACAGGGTTTTACTGTTTTAAACAGGTTTGAACAGGTTTTAACATTAAAATGAACTTTGATTTATTTGGAACAGAATTAACAGAATGAGAGTTGAAAAAGCTGAAATTGTAATTAACAGTTATAGTAGTTGAATTTCTGATTATCTGTGCTCTCTCTGTATTACGAGGCGAGCAAACTCACTTGAAGCTCCTGTGATGAACCTCCTGTTTATGTTGGTTTTGAGGCTCTTTATCGATCAAGTAATATCTGATCTCTTTGTTGATCTGCTGGTGTTTTCTATCACTGTGAACATTAACAGTGGCAAAAATGAAAGTAACTGTTGCAGGCAGAGAAAATTACAGAATAAAAATGATCAGTTTTGTAATTGAAGTTCTTTTTTCATAAAGGATATTGATTTCAACCCAGTTTGTTTGATAAACTGTTAATAACTCCTCACAAAGGCTTTAACATTTGACAAAGTTTTCACTTCAAAGCTCTCCTGTGAGTGAATTTCATGTAGCGCTCTTACCTGTCGCTGTTGTGCCAGTTTGAAAGGGATCCCGGTGGGAGGAGGCTTGGACTGCAGACAAAGCCCCCCTGATGTGGGGATTTGTCTGTTCTGGAAGTGGAGCGCTGCGTGTTGGGGATTGTGGCCGGTCGATGGGGACTGCTGGGTGGGCTGCTGAGCTGAAGTCTTGTTGACTGAGCCTGCCATGACGGGCATGGGCTGGCTGGCAGAATGTGGCGTCTTGGGGCTGAAGTGCAACGTGGGCTTGGTGCTGAGAACCTTCATGTCCAGATGATGGGGGCCGCTGTGGCCGTTCGACTTGAAGAGACAGTTGATACCTTTACCCTGCGGGCCGATCCTCTGCTGGCTGAGAGGGGCCAGACTGGAGATCTTGTCCTGGGAGAAGGTGCTGGTGGAGGAGTGGGTGGTCATAGCAGGGGCCCAGCTGGTCAGTCCTGCAGGTGGTGTTTGGTGGTGGTGATGGAGCAGAGAACTTGGCTGCTGCTGGTTTGCGGCCATCTGCTTCAGTTGCTCTGCATGGGATATCTCAGGCCAGCAGGGCATTGCTCTTGGGTGTCCTGCCTGAGTGCTAGCTTTCTGTGAGGTGGTAGTGGAAGAGGTGCTGGTGAAAGAGGGTCCCGCTGAGGCTGGTCGAAGCTGAGGAGAGCCTCCGTGAACTTGGCCAAAATCTGGAGAGTGCTCAATCTTTATCGACCTCTCCAGAGGGGAACACAGACTAGCAGCAGCTCCTGCCGAGCTCGGCCGACCTAGATCTAAACCAAAAGTGTCATCCTGCTTCAGGATCTTCTCAAACTCTAGATCGTTCAGTGTGGGAACTGTCTTTGTCAGCTCATCGAAAAGGTCCTGAAGCTCGGGGTCGATCTGACCGCCGCCTTCATCTTTGAAATCAAAAATCATTTCTGCGTGCGACTGTCCACACGACGGGACCTCGGTGGGCTCTTTTTTCATCTCTTTCAGCGTCATGTTGAATATGTCGGACCCCACTCCATGGGGCATCATGTAGTTCTTCCTCTGCATACCCATGGCTGATGAGCCTTGCAGGGAATGAGACTGAGACATGTTATGGTGGCAGGGCCCATGACCCAGACCAGAGTCCACACGGACCCGCTTAAAGTCTGTTCCGAATCCACAAGAGATCCCGTTCTGCTTTTGTGCGTGTCCAGGTGTGTGTCCCTCGATCTTCCTTCGCAGCGATCCTTGGAGCTGAAAAACAAAAACAGAGCCGACTATTAAAAACAGAATTTCAAAGTTCTGGTACCTGCAGCTACGAAGGATTATTTACCAAGAATTAGAGAGTCTGAATTAAAAGCGGGTCAGAGATAAAGAAAGCTCATTCAGCACTTCACGACAAGACTCTCAATGTTTGACTCGGTTCAAATTTAATAACAGTAATAGGTCTGCATTAAATTCTGAATTCAGCTCAAAGTAAACCATGTAAATTAATCCAATTTCACAATTTCCCTCAAGGCATGTGGATGCTGTACACATAACCAACTTTTGAAATGCAGAAGAGCCACTTCAGTGAATTGACTGTGTTTTATTCAGTATGATTTCTCATTTGATCTGATTAGGACGACACAAGAACGTCTTTATTCGACAAAAATCACTCAGTTACACTCCTGCATGAGATCACACACTCTCAGCTTCATATATTTGCTTTAAATCAGGTTCCTAAAGGTCTCAGCTTTTATATAATATATAGTTTGAACACAGTGGATGGGCTGAGGAGATAGCTGAGAATCTGATACAGCTGACAGGCTGCGCAGAGAAGAATAGGGTCTTTGTTTCCCTCATTTGCATACATTATATTTTTTTCTTTTGTGCTTCGTTAGATAGCAGACTTTCTCCTTTGTGGCTGAGATTCTGCTTAACATGCTGGTGCAGATATCCAACTTCCTTTTGTCCTCTCCCCATGTCTTTATTTAAGGTAATAAGCATATGACTCACAACTTAACCACTCAGCAACACTGCTCGAAAACTGGGACATTAAATACCCCCAAAAAACTGTGCTTCAATAAATGTATATATAGAAAGCTGCATTTTCAGATATTCTCATGCCAACAGAAGAAAAGAGGTTGTTTGTCATAAACAGCAAATGCACTGAGAAAGAAAGTGGATCTCAGACGCGCCGCTGCTGTAAAGACATAAAAATGACTGATAATCGGACCGTCTTCAAACGCCGCGTCTGTACAGAAACAAAATGCTGCTGATTGTTCAGCAATCCGGCCACAGGAGAGGAGTATCAGCGTGTTGCATATTTCACTGTGGGAACAAATTTGAGTCATTTCCACCTGCTGGCACACATTAGATTAAGATGATTCATAGCCTGAGGGTTTGGAGTGAATCCTGCAGTTCACTACATTTGGACTCGGCTCGTGTCTGCATTACTTGTGCGAACGCTCTGAACAATCGCTCAGAGTTCAATCCTCACACTTTAATCACTGCACAAATATCTCTGTGACTCATCAAGCTTCTTTTTACTGAAACTAATAAGAGTGTATGTTTCATCATATTGAATGGGTGTGGATGGATCAGACTGATGATCCACTGTTGTGTCTAAACAGTTGATGTGAGATCACTTCAGCGTTGTATCTAGATATAGACACCATTATACTCTAACATGTTTGAAGCATGACTGCAACAGATGCAAGTACATTCACTGATTTTCGAGCAACCAAGTAAGTCTTTGGTTATTTTCGTACCGCAGGATAATAAACTCACGCACACTTGAAACTAACTCGAGCTCCATGACAACAAGTAGAGGCCAGAGCGACAAAAGAGGATTCATGTCAACCGCAAGTAAATGGAGCCTATTTTAGCAACAATATATATAATATATGATCGTTATGTTTTACATTGAAATACTGTTGTTTAAGTGAGTGGGTATTGGGGGGTAATTGTTTGAATTAGTTAACAAAGCCAGAAAATAACGGGTTAAAAATCTCACATAAACACATTTGAAATTTATGTATAAGGATATGGGGCAAAAAAAAAGGGTTAGATGTAATTTTTAAAATTATTTTTGTGAAAAAAAAAGGTATAATTCTAAGTTTAAAGTCATAATTCTGAATTTAATCTCAGAATTCTGATTTAAATCTCAAATTTCCAACTTTAATCTCCAAATTCTGACTTTGATATTAGAATCCTGAGATTAAAGTCGGAATTGTGAGATTAAAGCCGGAATTCTAAGATCAAAGTCAGAATTCTGAGGAAAAAAATTGAAATTTTGAGATCAAAGATAGAATTCTGAGATTAAAGTCGGAACTCCTAGATTAAAGGTGAAATTCTGTCTTTAATCTCAGAATTCTGACTTTTTTTTACTTAGAATTCTGACTTAAATCTCAGAATAATCATTAAAAAATTATATTGGACCTTTTGTTTTCCCAGTGGCCCTAATCCTCCTCCATAGAAACTAGCATATATATGACTATATCTCTCATATTTGCAACAAAACTAAACTGAACCCCCGACAAAAAGTTTTTGATGAAGAAAAAGGTAAAAAAAAAAAACCTGTCAGTTCACCAGCCTCCTTTTTGCCCTGGTATGAACAGACACAGACGACCTTTTACAGACAGTTAAACAGCCCGACTCTCCTCAGACTAATGGACATCTGTTTTTCTCCAAATGCAGATGAAAACAGGCTCACGAGTGTGTACAGCTCATGCACTCTTTCTCCTCCACCACAGGGCTCTTTCTGGAGAAGACAGACAGACAGAAGTGCTCCTCATGGTTCAAGGCACTGTCTGAGAAAACACATCATGAATAATGAAAAGGACAGTGGATGGGTTGCAAAAAGCCATTGAGGGACAGGGTTGCCTCACTACTGCCTTGGTGCCACTGAAAGATGGACTCTGCTGAGTTCAGATCAGAAACGAAGGCTTTGCAAGACTCCACTGTCCTCCTCCTAAAACAGAAATACAGACTCTTGCTCAGACTTTTTTGGTTAATTTCCTCAGTAAGGACTATCCTGTTCACTCAGCCTTCAGCTCTCAGAAGCAGTGGCCTCCTCGCTGGCCCAAAATCCTCAAGACAGATCTCCAAGTGATCTGAAAATAGATTTTTTGATTAACATTTAATGAGCTTAGAAGCCCTGAATCACTTTGAAAGTGACTCCTGCTGCATGAGCGGCTAAATGTATGCATTATATACCAATCATCCTGAAGAGAGCACTGAAGCTTGTATTGGGAAATGTCATTAAGACGTTTAAATTAAAGGTGAGGGGACATTTTGAACTCTGAGGAAGGTTTTACAACACAAATAAAACACACAGCTCTTTGGTCGGTGGGTTTTTGATGCTGCTTATTGATGCTTTTCGACCGTGGTAGTGGAGAACCTGACCTTGGACCTGTCAACAGAGGCTATCTATTCCTGGGAGCTAGAGGGCTGGTAGCTTGTGTGTCAAGCTGAGCAGTGTGGTGATGCTGAGCAGTGTGGATGGTGCTCCGGGTGAGCCATCACATGGATGCAACTCCAGGCCTCCTGGTACCATCTGTCAGTCCAGTGGCACAGCCCTCAGAGCCACGCATGCTTAAAGAGGTTTGAGAAGAGTTCGAAGGTTTTCTATGTTCGAGGACTGAGCTCACCAGACTTTAATCTATTCACCAGAGCCCTGAAACATGTTGCAATCCTCTCCTTTGAGGGTAAGAACTGACACGGGAAGAAAACAATCCTTAAATAAAGAAATAAATATGGCTTTTGTGTTCCTAGGGAGACATAATATTTATGTGGTTCTGCAGGTTGCATGCTGTTGCAAAAGAGAATTTCAGCTCGTTTTCTGCCAGATAAGAAACAAGAGCCCTTAGACCAGTGCCAGTGATCAGCTGTCATACAACATTCAGATATCTGGCTGAAGAGCGCTGAGAAAGGGAGGAGAGATCGGTTTAATTGTGGGGTTCAACTCAGTGTCTACAGCTGAAGGCGAGTACGGTATATCCAAATAAAGTGAATAAAATATCAGGTTATTCTGACATTTTAACTCCTCAGTGGAAGTGAAGGGACCGAGAGTGTCAGAAGAGAGTAAATGAGGCGTTGTTTATCTTTACCGTCCAGGTAGGGCTGCACAATTAATCGATTTCGGATTATTTGATTATGTCGATGTGAAAAAAATGAAAATCGTCAAACTGATTTTTCTCTCTATCATGTCTCGTGCCTCCAGGCCACCGTAGGCCCCCCTTCCTGCGGGAGCGCTCTCCAGTTCTCACACACACCAGTGTAAACAAACATGGCGTTTGTAAAAGAAGGCGATAATTTCGTGGTAAAATAGGACAAGAGCGAGTCAGTCGTGTCGAATCAGTACGGCTTTGCAGTTTCAGACAAAGAGCAAACCACTCCCCACAAACGAATTCAGGAGAAAACACATAGTTTTTAGTCATATCGGCATTTCATCCACATGGAAACGGCGTTTCGGGTGACTATAAATGGTAGTTTTTGAAAACTGGTCAGAGAGTGCATAAATCCATAAACGACGACCATTTCATCCCCATGTGGATGTCTATCTGCATCTCTGGAAACGATCATGTGACTCTTTTATGGCGCCTAAGCGTGTCCGACCAAAACAACCTTTATACTCATACTCTGCACTCTTCTTCTGTCTTTTGTGCATTTCCTGTGCAGCGTTACAGCGCCACTTACTGGCTTGGCATATGCACTACATCGTTCAGTGGTTTTGTTTTGAGAAATGATAGAAAAACTTTTTTTTTTTTTTAAAGTGAAGTTGTCACTAAATAAAAAATCTAAACCGAAAATCGACTTTTCAGAGAAAAAAATCTGATTATTTTTGGCCAAAATCGTGCAGCCCTACAATGCACTATAAAATAAAGAAACAAAACAACATTTAGAGCAGCAATAAGACATATGTAACTGAAGCTGTATGTAAAAATAAAGGAGCCTCAGGATTTATTTTGTGACATTATGAGGAGATAAAAAACTGACGGATGATCAGACTGTTTGGGCGGAGGAAATCATGATAACACTAGCTGTCTCGACACTTAAACTCTGCTCCTTTTTTACATTTAAAATTAAACTGATCGATAAAAACACGTTTTATCTGTTTCAGGGCGTTTGCCACAAGGTTAGGCAGGAATACAAGCAGAAGTTCATGGTGTGCTTTCCTAATCAGGCTGGCGTGTGTTGGGACGAAGCAGCACACTGCAGAGGTGGGCTACTTTTGGCTCATCAGCACTTTGCATCCCCACACTTCCTGACACAGTTGTATTAGATTGAGGCTGCCCTCCAGAGAGCAAGCAGGAGAGAAGGATGAGCAGCAGCAGCGGCAGCAGGAAGAAAAGAGAAGCAGCTTTGTGGCAGCCTCTGGGAAATGGAAAGAGATGATAAGAGCTCCTTTGAAGGGAAATCATCCATTATGTTTACTGAAGGCAGATTTTTTTTGAACAGTTAATGTAGCTCAGCTCCAACAGGCCATGAAAAAACTTGCAATTTTAATAAAAGGCAGCCTGTGCACAAAAAAAAAAAAAAATCCTGTTAAAGACACTTCCCATTTTAAAATCAGCACTCCACTATCCCAACAGCACAGATTAAAAGGCAGCATTCCTCCCAGTCTTTGCATTGGCCTGCCCTTTGTTCTGAGTCAAGCATACGAGTTTAATGTGATTTCCCCCAGGCGGAGGGAGGAAACTGCCTTAAAAATATGCGCCGCCAACCCCAGCAGAGAATGTATGGGGCCCTTGAAAAACGTCACAAGCAATGCTTATATCTTCTGCTCATTCGAACCCCTTACAAGGATGTTCCAACCTGAGGGCGAGCTGATGCAGTCATTATAGCGAACGCACAATATACTGCTGACCTGGACAGAGGTTTTGCACTTCCTGCTTTTAATCAAACCGAGTTTATTCTCTGGAATTCAAGGATTTCCAGGATGACAGCAGTGAAGTGATCCTGGGAACGAATATAGGATGTGTGACTCTCTGTGGGAAGGGGAGGGCAGATTCTGTCAAGGCATCACAGAAGCACCAGCTAGGCCACGCCACTGCAGACATACCATAGGTCACCAACATCGCAGTGACAAGCCGTCACATCACATCACCCATGGCCATGTGGCTCACAGAGCTCCTGACACTGCTGTCGCCTCTCATCTGCATGTCATTCTGAGCCGCAGAGACATTTACTGAAGAGAGGTGAGGACTCCCTGGACTCAGGAGAAATCCTGCAGCACGCCTCGCTACAGCTCCAGCAGAAAAAAAGGACTCCTTCGGTTCATTATCGGCGGTGGGAAACTACAGGATGGGATCTATTTCATTACAACAAATCTGGAGATTCATCAGCATTTGTTGGACTTGACAACTCTCAGGAAACCACTCGGCTCTTTCCTGCCAACTACATATAGGCTGGTAAAGCCCAAAGGGTTTAATTTAGCGGTTACACAGCCTTACATCCTCAATGGTTCAACACCCTTATTGGTGCTGGAAACACCCTCTGAGAGCCCTCGCTTTCCCACTTCTAAAGATCTACACGCCAGCCACAAAAAAAGAAACAACATGATGTATTTAACATGATGAGGAGGAGGAGGAGGAGGATACAGTCTCAGGCTTGGGAACTTGCATGAGAGTAGGGCTGGGCGATACGGCCTCAAATCAATATCATGATATATTGATCAGTTCACCTAGATCACGATAAATGGACGATAACTACTCCACAAGCTGCTCACCCCCCCCACATTAACTTCGTCTACTTCAGCCGCCACAACTTTTGAACCGTCCTCCATCTCCATAGCCAACCTACACACGTCCAAAAACAACTTTTTTAATACATTTTTTTTCTTCTCAAATTTAATTCTCTTCGTTTATTTAAGTTGTATATTATGAGTACTCTATGAGGTGAGATTTACCTTACAACCCCACAGAGTTTTCTAAATCTCACCTGCACAAAACATTTATGTTATTGTTTTCAAATGTGTTGTTCTTTTAAACGTGCAAATAAATAAAAAAATTAAAAATATATATATATATTGTTTGACACTGAATATACCGATATGGGCAAAATGACATTAGTTATTGTCGTAAATTTCGGTATCGGTAAAATTCCGGCTTATCGCCCAGCCCTACATGAGGTTATGGGGAAGTTAGCATCAATCCTTCTATCAATGGAAGGCTAATGCTGCGTTCAAGTTACCTCGGAAGTCAGATTTTACAGCCGAAAATGATGTTACACCCGAGTTCCAAGCGTTTAGTTACCGAGTCGAAAAAAGCAAAATCAGAGGCCTGAAATAAGATGGGTACATCTACGGAAGTTATTTTAGCGCTTCACTTATATTCGGACAAGGCGAGCGCTAAAATAACTTTTGTAGGTGTAGCCATCTTGTTTTTCGCCTCTGATTTTTCTTTTTCATTTTCAGCTCGGACTTCTGACTTCCAAGGTAACATCAACACAGCATTCAGAATGAGAAATCGCCGATCCATGCAGACTTAAACCGTCACTTTGAGCCTGAAAAAATAAAGAAGGAACGATTAAGCTCAAGATAAATTAAAGAGGAGTTTTTCTGAGACCAGAGAAGGTGAATAACTCACCAAAAACTGGCCTCTTTGCCGAGGACATTATTCTGAGAGTATCAGGTGCCAAGGTGAAACTAATGTGAAAACCAGACCACATGAGGCAGCTAGTGAGAGGACTATTTGATGTTTTTAGCTTCTGTGGAAACAAATCCCTTGTTCAACAGGTCTAAAGCTTTCCTAAAGTGTTTGTACCCTTAAAAGGCCATCGCCATACAAACACAAGTACCTTTCTCCCAGCAACCGTCAAACACAAGGCCTGCCTCCGGTCATGCCACAGGAAAAGGCCCATAAGCAGGGAACAAGTTCCCTTCCTGTTTTCAAAGATGATTCCTATGGCATGCAGAGCAGTTTCCTGCTCGCTAGGCTCATTTCACCACCTCAAACATCTGGCTGCTCTTCAGCATGCAGCTGCAGCACGATGAGAGCCAACAGTGCCACTGCTGAGTTGAGCAACAGGGTCTTAAACCGGTTATATATCTACGGCTAAGGACTTCAGATGTAAAGAAACAGCCATCCTCCATAATCCAGTAGCTGTTGATAAGATGATCTGTTATTAATCTGCTCAGGAGCTCATCTTTCAGCTGTTTGGACCATAAACTTCCAAATCAGGAAGGTCCAAATCAGGAAACAATGTCGTCAATATCGTGATTGCAGCAAAGTGCTCTCCAGCAGCATCTCTATGGCGATTTCCCAGCGTAACAAGGATCCATTTTAGATCCCGTGGGAAACCTGAGCTAAGTGGTTAATGCTGTGCTAATGCTGCTTCACACAGCTAGGTCTTGATAAGCCTCATGCTTTCAGACAGTCAAAACACATTTAGTGTTTTAAACCGCTTCAATAGAAAAAGCCTGGAAAGATCCGCCGGTTGAAATTGAAAAGCGTGGACTTGTTGAGTTTTGTCATCTCTCTCAGCTTTCATTTAGATTACACACACATGCATTAGGACAGGAGAGCAGTCGCACTAATCTGCACTGTGCTCTGAAACGATCCTCTGCTGGTTGGGCTTGTGAGGGACTGCTGCAGCTCGAAAACTAAGAAGAAAAAATAAATGAGTGGGAAGCTTTGTTTGACTCCCACTACTATCAGTTCTGACATTCCAAATAAGGCCTGTGTAGACCAGCACTGGTAGAGATGGACACAGAAAACACTGCAGAGCTCTCACAGGCTCCAGCCGAGGAGAAAGTGTGTGTTAGGAGGGGAGGGGGGCATTGGGGATCATGGTGCAGAAAATATGTGACCTCTAAAAATGTATCATCAGCCCGTTTCCCAGAAGGACAAAAACAAAAGATCACATGATGCTGATGCATCTTAGATATTAGTTAGACAACATCTTCAGTGAAAAAAACATCATTTAGGTCTTTTTTTTTAACGGTTTCACTTTCCGACAGAAACTCAGGGCACTAAAACTTTTGATTTTCACATTGTTGACTGATGAAGTCTTGATTAAACCCACAAGAACCTTCATATGCAGCAGTAGATGAGTTAGATATTTGTACACAACAAACTCAGACTGGTTTTGACTCACTGCTCTTACAGACCCGATGCACAAACATGATGGATTTTCTTATCTTGTCTAATATCAGATCCCAAAGACAATGCACTGTTTGTGTAGCTCTGCATGTGGTTTGTCTGAGTGGTGCAGCTGTAACTGTATGTCTCTATAAACGCAGAGCAAATGCAGGGCAACTGTCACTCAGATCAGACAGTTTGGTTAGTGGTGGTAATGACGGCTGCAGCTGAGAAGGATGACGGCTCGTGTCTTACTGAAGTGAAGGATAGTTTGGATCACTTTTCCCTCCCCACTAATACTTGACAAGTCAGTATTTCATCTGCATGTCTAACTCTGCCAATGAATGTTAACACAACACTTAGATTAACTCTGTACAGTGCTAAAATGCCAAATTGTCTGTGTGGAGTCAGCTCTGCTCCTAAGTAGGGCTGCACGATTTTGGCCAAAAATAAAATCACTGTTTTTCGATTTTGATTTTTTATTCAGTGACAACTTCAACAAACTTCACTTTAAAAATAAAACGTTTTTCTATTATCTCTCAAAATGAAACCACTGAAAACGATGTTGTGCACATGCCAGGCCAGTAAGTGGCGCTGTAACGCCGCACAGAAAATGCACAAATGACAGAAGAAGAGTACAGAGCATGCATGTAAAGGTTGTTTTGGTCGGACACGTGCAGGCGCCATTAAAGAGTTACGCTGTGTGTCACATGATCGTTTGAAATGAAATGGTAGTTGTTTACGGATTTATTCACTCTCTGACCCGTTTTCAAAAAGTACTGTTTACAGTCACCCGAAATGCCGTTTCTGTGTGGATGAAACGCCAATACGACAAAAAATGTTTTGTGTTTACTCCTGAATTTGTTTCCGTGGTGACGGGTTGATACCGCCTTCAGACAGACTCTGCAGCGGGGAGTGGTTTGCTCTTCTTCTGAAACTGTGAAGTTGTACCAATTCCACATAACTGACTCGCTCTTGTCCTATTTAACCACAAAATTATCACCTTCTTTTGCAACGCCATGTTTGTTTACACTGATGTGTGTGGGAACTGGGGAGCCTACGGTGGCCTGAAGGCGCGAGACATGATAGAGAGGAAAATCAATTTGATGATTTTAATTTTTTTACATCGTCATGATCAAATAATCTGATTATGATTTAAAACCGATTTATCGTGCAGCCCTAACCCCAAGTGGTCAATATTGATTTGCAAACCTTTCTTTCTGCAGAATTTACTTTTGTCCACATGCAGAATTAAACATTCAAAGAGTCGTCCGACTTGCCTTCCCATGGAGCCCTGTAGGTACTGAGCTCTCTGTCTGGGTAAACAGTGGCTCTCAGTGGCACGGAGAGTTCAAGGTTGCAGCAAAGCCCATGTGTCTCTGAGCAAGTTTCTGCATGCAACCAGCTCTTGTGTGTGTCAAAGCGAGCCCTGTGAACCAACGCTTTAGGTCTTTTTTGCATGTCGTAGCTAGTAAGAGACAGACACTGCACTCTCAGGTAATCTGTCCAAGTGGGAAAAAAAAACTTTCCCATGATGTGCGATCAGTGACATTCCTCTGGAGTGGAGGGAAACACTAAGCAACCACTGTGATTGTAAACAGACTAAGAGGATTTGCTGATCAAGACAATTCTGGAAGAAATATCTCTAAGGATAGGCGTCCTACTTTATCCCAAAATAGCCTTTAGCACTGTTCAAAGCAGATCCTCTGTACCTATAGTGACATCTGATCAAATAAACATCAAGTCCATGGTATAGAAATAGACAAACTCTATTCTCTGTGGGGAACATTTTGTCAGTGGCACGTGTCCCAATTCTACCGTCACTGACTACTTTTCCTCAGCTCTCCTTTATCGTCTTGATTTAACTCAAATATCTCTGATTTTAAAGGTTGATTTCACTTCGAAATGTGTGGTTAACTCATCAGGAAATAAAGCTAAACTGATAGTAGACCCTAAAAATGCCAAATGAGACTGTCGATCGCTAAGTAAACAAAGAAGATGATCTATTTTCTCCTCTTATCTTCTTATCTAGCATATTGTTGCTATTGGAGGTTCTCAACATTTGTGCATCAAGTAACCAGGTCATTAAGAAGTTCATTTTACCACCAAACATCAGACTATTTCCCACCTGTATACGTGATGAGATTTGGGATGTCATACTTCCCATTATCCTCTTGTCACGTTAAATTACATCCTCCTGGCTCAGGGTTGTGAAAACAGAACTATCTGCATTACCATCCCAGGATATGATATTAGGTCTGGGTGGAAGAGATTATCCTGCTTGCTTATGTGGATTTCACAGCTCAATTGGCAAAGCACCCCTCCACCGACTAGACAGCTGTTTTTTTTTTTTTCATTGCTTTGACTACATCAGGCCAAACAGATGAGCCTGGTGATTCAAACTCAGCCAAGGCAGCATAATAAAAGGGAAAGTTCCCCCTTACTAAGGAAACGGATTCACTGGGAATGACAATGAGAAGGAGCGCTAATAAACACAACTGTCAGAGTTTTCTGGTACAGTAAGTATTAAAAAAGATGTGCATGTGAAATAAACTTTAACCCAAACTATAAGAGCCGTTTATTTAAACATGTAAATATGTGAAATATGTGTAACACTGGAGAACATTTAACCAAACACTTACTGACTTACTGAGCTGCAGATATAACCTGCAGAGGCACCAAGTAGGGCTGGGCGATATGGCTTCAAATCAATATCACGATATATTGATCAGTTCACCTCGATAACAATAAATGAACGATAACTACTCCATGAGCTGCTCACCCCCTCCCACATTAACTTCGTCTACTTCAGCCGCTACAACTTTTGAACCGTCCTCCATCTCCTCACCTGTCTTTCCCTCTTTGTTACGACAGCGTCTTAAAGGGACATGAGACCATAGCCTACCTACACACATCCAAAAACAACGTTTAATTATTTATTTATTTTTACACCAAATATATTGACATGGGCAAAACAACGTCTATTATTGTAGAAAATTTTGGCATCAGTGAATTTTTGGTTCATCACCCAGCCCTACACCAGACCAATGGTCTCTTTCACAGGCGTGCTGCAGTAATGAATTGAAGAAACGCTGACCAAAACAAAAAATTAAAAAAAAAACAGCCACTGCTTCTATTTTTGAAATGCAAACACATAGAGTTTCGTTCTATAGGAAGTAGGGGTGGGCGATATGGCCTCAAATCAATATCACAATATATTGAGCAGTTCACCTTGATAACGATAAATGGACGATAACTACTCCACAAGCTGCTAATCCCTCTGCATCTTAAAGCGACATGAGACCATGTCATGACATGAGTTAATGTTTCAAATTTAAATATCGGTAAATTTTTGGTTTATCGCCCAGCCCTAGAACTAGGACACATTTACATCTAAACAAAGTCAGATAGAGCGCTGATTATATTACAGGCAGGGTGGTTTTATGTTAATCACACTTCAAATAGTCTTAAAAGTGAATTTTAAATCTGCTTTTCTTAAATTTTAGGCTTTATTTATTTATCTTTTTCACTCCTGCTTCCTAGCAGACCCTCTCATCAAACATGAGATCCAAAAAGGTGTTTAATGTCTGAGATTATTTCTCTGGTACACAGACTTTTATAACCAAACTGTTGTAACTGAATAAAAAGAGATCTTCTTTGCAGATTAGATTAATTCTTTTCACAATATTAGATATATTAACAGCTTCCTTTAGACTTTTTGGAACTAAATAATAAAACTGGAGGAATTAACATGCTTAGACACAATTTTGTCTTCATTACATCAAGACAAAGGAAATAAGGCGACGTTTAATACACACACTCTCTGTTAGCTGATATACTTCACAGTCAAAGATCACACATTATTAAAATATGAGATCCTGAACACACACACCTCCTCTCTACCTGTTCAGTCTATCAGGTTAATTTCTCGGTTTGACCGTTCGTGCGTAGCTGCTGAACCACAGAACACCATGCTGTTAGGTTATGGCATAAAAAGGCTGGCTTTGTTGCCGGATGTGGGAAAAACATCCAATAGGCTCTAAAAAAAGCACAGGAAGGAAACTGGGGGTGGGGTGGCAGCGAGTAGCAATGGGGGTGTGGTGGAGGAGAGTGGGAGTGAGAAAGGAATGTTCTCTTCACTCTCTTTCTCCTTCTTGTTATCATGCATGCACACATAATAACCCCACTTTCTCACTAACAGCTATGAGAAGAATGTAGCATCACAGTTTTCTCTCAGCCTCGATTATTTATCGGTTCTCATCGTCCACCTTCGAACTTTTGTTTGTCCGGCTTCAGAATCACTCATTTCAACATTAACTCAGAGGGTTATATAATCAGTGCAAACAGGACAAAACACTCTTTATCAGGATTTATAATAAGAGGTCAGACCTAAAGGGACTCCATCTGAGTGTACATTAATTATTCTCATTCTTTAAGGATTGATTTAGTGGAAATATTAAGCGTTAAATATTTGATTCATTAATGAGCAGTGGGCAGCAGCACTCACCTAAACATTACTCTTTTTTATCTCTCTGCAATGATGAACGTTTGTTTTATGAGTCCACTTTACGAGTATATATAACCAAGGATAGACCACACATGCTCTTATTTTGAAGGCCAACCGATTCTCCGCTTCATTTCAGGGTTATAATTTAAAATCTGACACAAGTTAATGTGGCTTATTTAGATTTACTCTACAAGCTTACTCCCATGTAGTTACAGGATTTGTCCGCTTAATTGCTTTAAGACTAATCTTTATCTTTTTGGGGGGAACATTCACCTCCTGGCTTCCCCACATGGATTAAACAGATTTTTTATGAGAGCAGAGGAGATGAGATGAAGTTAGAGGAGCAAAAACAACAATTAGAGTGAATCAGGTGCTCCTTTTTTATAATAAGTACATAAATACAGAGGAAATTAATAGAGAGGCAGAAATCCCTTTAAGAAAACTAATTCTTATAATAATGTGCTTGTTTTCTTTTTCTGGAAGCTTAAAATAAAAAGTCAAATTCTACAGAAATCACAATTAACTACTTAAGGGCTTGAAATAAAACTTTTTTCCAAATTACAAGAAAAAATAGCAACTTTTAAATACATTTAATAAACAAAAAATTATAAGAACCTCTATATTTCTTTGTATCAGTGCATTTATCTGATAACTTCTGGATCAAAACCCTCCAAATCACAACCCATGAACTCCTAACTGTGACGTTATCCACTACATGACTTCAGCTTATTACCCCCTCATGTGATCCTCTGATGATTTAACCTTCATGCTAAAGGAGCGTGGCCTTTACACTGTAAATTATAATGTATGTTTCTTTATTAAAATCTGAGAATGAACTGTCTCTACAGTGAGGTTTGAGTTTTTTTCTCTAATTCACCTTTTAAAAGAGAAAAGTTTTTAAAGTGGAGGATAAAACCTCAAAAAGTTTAGTTTAGTCTGAATTTCTGATTTATTTTATGGCAAAGAAAATCAAAATCTGAACAATCACAAATCTAAGTGTAAATTCAGCAGATTTAAAGCTCATCCATTGATAGCTAATGGCTTTGGCTGATCGGGTTCCTCTCCACATTTGCACTTCCCCTCCAGAAGCTTAAAACCAGCTAAAAACACCCAATTTTGCACATCTGAAAATGATCATTTTTATTCAAAGTTGAACACAGATTCATCAATTTCAGGCAGAATCTCTGATGAGACATCCCAGAGCCCTTAAAGGTCGTCTTCAGATGACTGGACAGCGCGGATAAAGACCAGAGATCTTCTGCTGGGTTCATCTACCGTGTTCTCTGTAGATGCAACAGCGGTGTCTGTGTGCCCGAAGGCAAGGTGGAGAGAGAGCAGGCGCCAGAGCAGCGCTCGGCACCGTGACACCTCACCACAGCAAGGCGCTAACACAAACATTCCAACTGCCACTTCTCAGCCTTATTGGCAGAGCGGAGGCAAGAAACAAGACCATCTATGTTCCTCCTCTAGACCTGTATCTGATGCCCTCGACAGCTTAACCCCTCTGTCTGGGACTGAGTGAGGATTTGACAGTTGTGGGATTTTGACGGCTGATAAAACGCCCAATCAAGCAGAATATCTGCATGATATTGAGTTACTTATAATTTCACCAGGTTCATGGTGGTTTCTAAAGAGCTGAAGGCTTAGAGGGTTGGGAAAGCCTCCAAAATACATACTGTACCCAAACAACATAAAATTATCACAGAGTATATGGTTACTGCTTTACGGACTGACTACAGAGGATCTTAGGTGGCAGAAATCACTCCAGAGTGTTGGGTCAGGACACGTGTAATGAGTGCAGAATGAAAACTGAGTCCAGCAATAAAGTTTCAACCTTTTATAAATTCTGTATGAGTGTGTGGTTTCTGCAGTATAGGCACAACAATACAGGTTGATTAGAAATAAAGTACAACTTAAAGGTGGGGTCGGCAGGATTCAGTTAAAGAAGCTTCTTTTTTTGTGGTGTATTTACAAAACAGCTTTTAATATCAGTCAATAGTTATTAGTTATTGATGACATTTGGTAATACAACAACATCTCTGTGTTCTCTTATGTCTGTGTAGTCAACATCTGAACATTTTTTGATTGGCCCGGTCTTTCTGACTGTAAACAAAGCCGTTCTTCTCCTCCTCTAACCTGATTGGTTGTGAGGCAGACGCTGCTCCCCCGTGTCGTTCAGGAGCCCAAACAAAGTTAGCGTGCTACAATATCGGACAGTAGAAACCAACCAGAAAGTTCGGAAAATTGTCTGAATCCTCCTTTGGCCACGACTGCCGACACAAGCAAGAAAACAAAGTAAATACCGGAGGCTCTGGAGGAATAACGGGCGCTTAAAACGGAGGTAGACCGGACAAGAGCTAAAAAGCGGACCTGCTGTAGCGTGTTGTGGCGCCATCGCTAAACTGTCCTCCCTCGGGTCCTGGACTATGTCACTTTATCCTCGTTGTAGAAGTCCTGCAAACATTGTGTTTGCTGGTAGTCTGTTGGCATCTACAGTAGCACCTTGACTGGGCCCCATTTGTAATTATCTGAAGTATTTATCTGCATTATATCTGAATTTAATTGGAACGATACGAGCGAGCAGGAGCGTCTGTTTGTGGGCGGGGCTTGAGGGGAGAGGAGGAGCTGAGGGGAAAACTGGTTTGGAGGGGTAGAGTTTACATTCATGATTTCTCCTAAAAACTGGAACTTCCTCAGATCCTGACTACCCCACCTTTAATTAGCATACGTTGCTCATCACATCATACAAACCAATATAAAAACTCCTGTTAAGTCATCAAAGTAAACTCATAAATCAACATAAACATCAACAAAGTGTAACACAGGAGTTAACATCGTAGCTCACAGTTCAATGGACGCACAAACTGTAGATATATGGAGAGATAGCTTAGCCGATGTTTGCGCCGAGCCGAGCGGTATGAGTGTGGTGCGTTTAAGGACCTTGGCAGTGTAGGAATTCACATGTGCTTCAAAACACAATATGCACAGAGGGGGCATATTTTGTACAGTTATAGTACGATGTTACTCATCTGATCACTGTGGTTTGATGCAACAACAGACAAGACCAAAACTTATAACCTAACGTTGCCGACAGTTTGGGATCTCCTCGTCTGATGTTCGGAATATTTACGTTTCTTCTCAGTTTGTCTTCTTATCTTTGTGAGGACAACACTCTCAAAACCAGCAATAAAAAGAGTCACAACTATGACAGCGAGAGATTGAAGATATAACACACTGGAAAATATCATTTCTAGTTTCCACAGAGGCTGATTGCACGGTTTAGATCTGCTGGCTGCTGTGTTCGGCACTCTGATTGAGCTGCTATACCAATATCCCTCTCAGTGAAAATGCCTGCCTCGTTTGGATACAATGATTACAGCAGTCGTACAAAGATCCCTGATTATGTGACTCTAAATCAGGTGTTTGACTCAAACCTGTATACGGGCTCAGTGTGTGAGTGTTAACCCTGTTAGTGTATGAGACAGCAAACACCTGGTTTGTTATTGTTGCTGCTGAGACAGTCGTAGAGATATGCATTTCAAAGAGTTCCTCAGAAGAGAGAGAAAAGGAGATGTCACGGACCGAGACAAAGAAATTATCTATTCTTGTGCTGAATTCAGTAAAAGTTCCCCACTTTCATTTCAAAAACAATGTCAGCCGCAACATTTCAGACGTACTAACTTCCCGTGTTTACGACTCTCAGCTTTCATTATATTTCACATACATAATATTCCCACATAATAGTCCGACTGCAGCAAAGAAACACAACTTCACCACAATGCAAATGGAGCTGAACTGTGACACAGACCCAAGAGCCCAGGAGAGCGAGGGAGAGGAGGGAAGAAAAAGTGAATGCTTGTGCCTCTTTTCAGCACTCTGCAACTCTGGAGCCTGGGAACTTCAGCAGCTTGGCCAGGCTCTGAGAAATATCCTGAGCTGTAATGTAAACATGTCTGAACTCTGATCTAGCGTGGCCCTCCCCTCCCCCTCACAGTTTAACCCAGCATTCTGTGCAAAGGGGTTTGCCAGTGACATCAGGAGCCCACTTTCTCATTTCCTGAGCGGGGTAATGACCCTGGGGAGAACAGGCTGTTTGAAGTCCTGCAAATAAAGCTGCTTTGCTCTGAACTCGATTGTTCTCCGGCAGAAGAGTGAGATGGCTGATTATGTTCGGGCTTCAAAAGGGTTTTTCCTGCTAAATAGATCTTGTTTGGAGGCTCTAAAAGTGTGTAGAGCTGCTGTAAGGAATTCAAGCAAGGTGAGGAGAGTGTCAGTATGTCAGGAGCGGACATCCACACCCTGTTCTCCGGTGGCAACTGTGATAATCAGATCTGTTTACAACAGCAGCGAGTCCAGGAAACTCTGACATATCAGGTAGCTGATCGTCAGATAAGTTTGAGGACAGTTATAGATAAGCTCCTGTTTATCCAAGCATCCCGTAACTGTCAGCTTGGAAACAAAGGAGTCATAGTTGTCACAGTGTGAGCGTGTGTTTGACAAAAATGGGTTAAACTGTGAAGGCCTTGTCGTAAACAGCGTGACAAGCTCCGCTCGGGTTTTTTACTCTGCATGCAGTTTGTCCCCTCAATTCACCTTCCATGCGCCGCACATAAAATAAACCTGAGCATGCTTGTTCCCACAGGGTTCCAGTTTCAGGACCGGGTAGCAAAGCACTTGTGGAAAGACACTCCAAGGCACTAACCCACCCCTCCTCCCCCTTCCCTCTTTTTCCTCACACACAATCCAGCCCTCTCTTCAATTAAGTCAAGCAGGAAAAACCTGATGGACCTCAAAGAGCTCTCTCAGCAGAAGAAATCGCATCAAGCATGAACCTCGACGAGGCCTCTCTGTAGATAACCATGTTCATAAACACGGTGGTTTCTTTGCTAAGTGATTGCCCCGGGCTGCATGTATATATTCAAGATGATGTAAAGGCATGTTTCTTCAATCAAACGGATTTAATAGCCGCACTGGCAAACTAACATATTAGTCTTCTTGAAATTCCCCGCTGACCTGGGCGGTGCAGATGAGTTTCTTGTGTCTTGAGATCCACGTAATGCTTGAAATTCAAACAAAGTGCTGGAAACAACTGGAAGAATGCTGAAAGCACAAATCAGCAACAAAGGAATACAGAGGGGACTCTCTAATCCGAACCCCTTGGGAGTGAAGGTATTTCAACCCAGAGAAACATGCGCCGGAGCAAAGCGCTGGATCCTGGGGTAATTCATATTCATGACATGGAACAAAAATCCTCGCGTATTCACTAGAGTTTAATTTTTGGAGGAGAATCACTAAAGGAAATTTCTCAACAAGCGCTCATTTTCATGATCTAACTCGTATTTTCTATTAAAAAGATCTTTATGAGTCATATCAACATGAATTTACTCTGATTGATAAACTGCGGTCAAATGTTTTATTGTTTCAGCTCTAATCTGATGAGTCTGTTTGTTTAAAATGCAAACACAAACAGCGCGTGATTTGTTATTCATCATGACGCCGCGCATAAATCTGAGGATTGGACACACAGAACAAGCTGCACCACCGCCGGGGATGAAACGCTGCACAAGGTTTATGCTGATAATGTATTTTCTGACGCTGTTTGAAGGTAAAGCTGTTACCTTGCAGTCTCTGCTGAGGGATCTGGAGCTGCTGCAGCCAAGGACAGTAATGAGAAGTCTATGGAGGAAAGGCTTTTAACCCGGGATGGGCAGGACTTCAAGAAAAACCTGAGGCTAAATATACCCCGAAGGCCCCGCGATTATGCACGTCATACAGACTGGGCCCACCTGGACTGTCTAAAGGCCTGAGCAGGTACACGCTTCTACCGCATCGCCCCTTGAAGACTGAGGATGAGATGGGTCTACTACATGATTTTCAGCTGCACTCTTCAAAGACAGACACAGCCTTCCCATAGGCCACTGAATAAAACATGAGGTGTGTGTGCGGCAGGCTGGGTTGTGAGAGTGTCTGTGTGCTGGTGTGTGTGTGTGGTTGAGAAGAAGGAGGGAGGAACGATGAGGGGGTTTTAAAACGCCAGTACTAGAGATTCTGTACAACAGATGATCCATTTATGCCTCTGATTTGACACACATCCTCACTGCCCTGCTGGGTGTCTGCTTCAAACTTCCCTTTTCCTCGACTCCTAAGATGTTTGTTTTCTTATTTTGAGTCTTTTTTTATATTGAAATGTGTGTTTTTAGTAGTATGGAACTTGTTAACAAAATCTAAATTAGTCCAGAGAGGAATAAGAGTGTGCTCATTTCAGGAGGAGAAGGCGATGCAAATCTTGCCAGGTACAGAGATGTCCCAGATTCACCGAGAACTATTTCCAACCGATGCTGCTGCTGCTGCTGCTGCTGCTTCCACATGTCACTCTGTTTGCTGAGCCTCGTCTTTTGGGCAAAGACTGTACTGGTTAACATTCAAGAATGATATACAATGTTTATTCGGAGAGGGGGGGTTAATGTCAACATACACAGAATAGTCTTTTTATTGTAAATAGATTATCAGATTCAATACGAGTCCAGATTGAGTCAAGAGAGCATACGTATGATCAATAAATGACATTTTACACAAAAGAAGGAAAGGATGAGGCCAGGAAGACTCACAACTAGGGCTGCACGATATCCGCCAAAAAAAAATCCAGATTTTTCTCTCTGAAAACTCGATCTTCAATCTTTTATTCAGTGACAACTTCACCAAACTTCACTTTAGGAATAAGTTTTTCTATCATCTCTCAAAATGAAACCACTGAAAACAATGTAGTGCATATGCCAAGCCAGTAAGTGGCGCTGTAATGCTGCAAAGGAAATGCACAAAAGACAGAAGAAGAGAACAGAGCATAAAAGTTGTTTTGGCCGGACACGCTCATGCGCCAAAAAAGAGTTACGCTGTGTGTCACATGATCGTTTGAAATGAATTGGTCGGCGTTTCCGGATTTATGCGCTCTCTGACCTGTTTTCAAAAGATACCGTTTACAGTCACCCAAAAACGCAGTTTCCGTGTGCATGCAACAGACTTTGCAGCGGGGAGTGGTTTGCTCTTCGTCTGAAACTGTGAAGTCTTACCAATTCCAGACGACTGACTTCCTCTTGTCCTATTTAGCCACGAAATTATCGCCTTCTTTTGCAAACGCCATGTTTGTTTACACTGGTGTGTGTGGGAACTGAGGAGCAATCCCTCAGGAAGGGGGAGTCTACGGTGGCCTGGAGGCACATGACATGATAGAGAGGAAAATCAATTTGATGATTTTAATTTTTTAAGATTTAAAATCGATTAATCATGAAGCCCTACTCACAATCCTCTCTCATAGGTCACTCAGGGGCTCAGAAGGTCATTTCTGGGAATTTTTTTTTTTATTGGTGCACAGGAAGTGATTCACTTTTCTGCCATTTACATCATTGTCGTGAGCTGTCTACCCTTCACGAGCTACTGTGTGTCATAAACAAAGAAAAACAAGTAAAACCTTCACTACACTGTCTGACCTTTTCAGATCTCATCTGACACACTCAAACATCATCAAACTGGAACAGATGATTTGCTGGAAACCCTGGCTTATCTGAAATTGGATGATATTAGGACTGCAGTTTATTAAAAAAAAGGAAAACACACGTTATGATAAATTTAGTACGAGTGGTCATTAACTCTGAGAGATTGAAAAATAAAGCTCCTCTGAGAAATGTCTGCCACCGCTGAACTCTGTTTGGCACCACTTAAAAATCTGGTGTCTGCTGGAGGATCTTGTTGAAGCTTGTACCCTGCTCTCCCTCGAGGACAGAGCAATCGCAATCACAAAATTTATGTGTAGCCAAGTTGTTTAGAATGCATGTAAGCTGATGTTATCGTAAAACTATGTTTACCAAAGGAACAGAGACATTCATTTCATGGACGATTTAGCCAAGAGATGATACAGTAGCTATTAACTAAGTCCGACTCAAAGTAATGTCCAAACAGATGTCCTCCAGAGGCAGTCATTTCCTGGAAACTGACAAGCCACAGCGTCAGCCTTGTGTGTGATACTAACCTACCACCCTCTCCGTCTTCAGAGACAAGCTGTGATTATACAAAACTAGTTGGTGCTTCAAGTTTATTGGCTGCCTTCAGAAATTCAGAACATAATGAAACACGGCCCTACGGTTTATTTCACAAGAGTAAATCTGGCTGATGTGTATCGGTGAAAAACTACTGCTCAGTGCAATGGGGATCCTTTTGTTTATGAGGTGTCAATAAAAGACAAAACATAGAAATCTATCGACAGAGAGGTCAAAACATCCACTCTGCCTGAAGTAATACAGAAATGATTCAATATGAGAGTATATTTATTTACAAAGATCTTGAATTTACTCACTTGTCCTACTTTTCTACACTAACTGTTGAATTACAACACAATCTACAACACATGCTTTGCATCTATGATAGAGCCAAAAACAAGCCCTGAAACATCCTAACTATAAGGTACATTTACACTGACATCAACGTTTGGGACAAGCTCTCTTTAAATTAGCTTATTGTCATATTGTCACGATACTTAGATTACAATATTATCACGCCACCATACAATATTATCCCGATATTTGGGCCACAATACATGGGCCACGTTTACAATATTATCACGATACTTGAGCCACGATACCTGGGCCATGATTACAATATTATTGGGATATTGCGATTTACAGTTTTTTTCAACTGTTAAGCTAATTTAGCATTTGTATTTCCTTTATGTTTGTCTTATTTATGCTGTATTTTATTTTCATGTAGCACTTCTTGCAAACCTTATATATTTGTTGTACTAACCTTCTCCTGCTCTATAATGTCACCTCTGCCAACCTCACTGGACAAACAGTTAATTTTACTTTTCCATTATTATAAATTTGACTTCATATCGGCAATTATTTTGAACAAAATCAATATTTGGAAAATGAGACGATACGATATATCACCAGATAAAATATCGCGATACTATGCTGTAACGATTTTTTTCTCCCACTCCTAGTTTCACAACAAAGGGGTCAAGGATCCTCTGGGAGAGATAGAGCAATGAATCGGGCGGGTTAGTGGGGTCTTCATTTCTCACAAGGCCCTTATCACCATGGTCTTTGTCTCACAAGTCTAAATGGTGAAAAAGTGGCAGAAACCCCTTTAACCAGTCATGGTCCAGTTTTATTAACAAACCCTTTAAACTACACTGACAAATCACTGCGATATTTATGACTTTCTAGTTATTTTCTCATGCAAAAAGACCCAAATTTGAATATTAGACGACATTTTAAATACGTAGGTGATGTCTGAGGAGAACTGTGACTGTTTTAAAACCATATCTTGGAATGAGCGCTAATCCCAAATACAAGGAGGAGATTAAAGATGGTTTTACTACAGCAAATGCAAGCCTGTCTTCATGTCAGTTAATCGGAGCACTACAAGATGTTCAAGTCATCTCACAGCTACAGTCGACATTAAAGGGAAACATAATCACATGAAGGCCTCCAGCTGTGCTGTCAATAAGCAGCATCCAGTGATTTCAGTCCTCACCAAAGAGGATTTTCACTAGTTCAGCATTCAGACCAACTCAAGGGAAGCTGTGAGAAACTCTAACCTGGTAGAAATCTATGGGATGAACATGGATCCTTAGTGCATGCACCGGGTAGGGAAGAGCTGTGGGCTTCACTGTGGGTGGCCCCCATGGACCTGGGCTAATTGTTTCACATCCTAGCCAAGCCTGGCTGAGATCAGACCACCAGCAGCTCTGATTCAGGCAGTTCAACAGCCAAACAGGGTATGCCAGGAAGCACTTACAGCGCACACCCCACCCCACATTTATACACTCTTCATCCATCATACATGACCACCAGAGAGCGCGAGGATTTTCTCCTCTTTATGATGTCTGAATAAGCGGTCTATGAAGAGGATTAAAGAGGTGTGATAGTTTGTTTGACCCTTTTGTCTATCGATCTAACATATCTGCTGGTTTTGACCCTTTGTTAAAGGTGTTTAAAGCTCCTACAGGTAGTTTTAGACGTGATGTGAAACAGACTTAAAGAACCAAACTAGACGATGAGGGGAAAAAGAGGGAACATTTCAACATCATTTAATTCCAGTAACCGCAGTGAGGGGGGAGGTGTCAGATAAGTCCATAAGTTCCTTTCCTAAACAAATGGAGTGTTGCCTACATGAATAGAAGCATTTTGCCATTATTTGACGATAAAGAGTGAAAGGAAACATTAGGAGGGAGAGAAGGGGATGACACGGTGATCGCTGTGGTTTCATGGATTGTGTTTTCCACCACAAGATGACCAATACTCCTCATGCATCTGCTTTCAAGGAGCAGCTCCTGTGAGGTGCATATATGTGTGCAGGCAAACATTTCAGCCTGCAGAGTTCTTTCTTTGAGGGCATGCTGCTCTTGGCCTGCAGGTCCCAGATCTGTCACTGCAACAAGACTGGGGGAAATAACAAAATTCTCCCGGCGCACACAGGACTGTTCATCACCAGGCATCCCTCGCCTACTGCTTTTCAAGGCCTGTTTGACTTTAAGTAAACACACGCAGGAAATGTATTCAGTGGCTCTAAACATTTATACGGGGGGCTTATGCTTCAAACTGTTTCATGGCCAGCACATCTTTCAAGAAGGTGCCTAGTGAGCCATTTGTTACACACATGATAATAGGACATGACGATGTATGGCACGCTCCCCGCAGCAAGGATGTATCACTGTTTGTTAAGCCTGGAGTTTGCACAGCTCGCGATCTGCATCATCGATTTACAACGAAGGATAAAAAACGTTTTCAGTCCTGATGAAGCTAAATGTGCATTGTAATGCAGCAGTAATGTTTCATACGCTCGACTATGACCTATTTCTGAGCTGAAGGGAGGCTGCATATTGATACAGGTGTGAGAGGAAGATTGAAAACGCAATCTAAAATCTGAATGTCTAAAAGGTTTTGATGAGCCCGTGAAAGCATTTTCAGAAATCATTTTTTCAGAGTTGTTGGATAAGTAAGCCCTCGTCTCTTCTCTTCCCTGTTTCAACAATTTCATCTAAAAGAATATCCTCGTTAATCTGGTCTCAATGAGCACCGTTGTTAAGTGCTGCTCACTCTGCACTCCCAGCTAGTCATAATCCATTGTGTTGTTTGCTCCTAACTCGGTGTACATTTCCACTGCAAATTCCAATGTGAACAGTCAATAACACGCACAGATGTGGCCATTGTAGAAGCCTCCTTTTTTAATTCAGAAGAATGCAATGCGTGAACTCCCAGGGAACTTTTTTTTTTAACTCTCAGGATGTGAAATCTTTGTGCACATCTTAACTTATCAGTCAGTTTTCATACGTTTGAGACAGAACAGCCTGCAGCGTTAATGCTGGATGGATACGCTTTAAATGCATTGAGGGGGATTTCTGCAGAGACTGCTGTTCTGCTTTAGCCAATCATTATGAGTTGTGAAAAACATATTAACCTCAGGGTTGATATAAACATGTACTCCAGGACTTCATTTCCTTCTCCCCGTTTTGCTGTACTCATCAGTTTTTAGTAGAACACACTTCTCCAGAGTCAACATCGGTATAAAAAAAAAGAAAGAAACAGAACATGATAATGATGTTCCCTGACCTCTTTTAGACAGTCAATATAATCCATGCTGTTGTTGTGTCTTGCCTCTCATCATAATCCAGAGAAAAATCAGCACAAAAACCATCCGTGTGGAAAAAAAACAGAGCTTTATTAGCACTATAAATCACTGAGAATCTACTTTTCTTGTTTTTTGGAGAGTCACGATGACTGCAAACACTAACACAGTTGCATGACAAGTAGTAGAAGCTTTCCTGTGCCCAAACCCGGTGATGACAATAAATGAACTGACAGAACAATCATCACTGCCCTTTTATGGCGATACTGGAAAAATTATTACATTGTTTATTTTTCCATCCAACATCTCGAGCAAATCCAAAGCAGGAACATCTGCAAGCTTTCACCATGTTGACATTATATTAAAAACGCTGCTTGGGAAATAATTCACAGTCTGGATGCGAAACTCCCTCATGCCCAATGAAAGAAAACAACTAAATAAATCTCATATCTCCCTGGCTGTGCCCTGAACAGATGCCATACAGGAAGTCGGTCCTATCAGCCCGAGCAGGCACACAGAAAGTCCTGCTGTGTTTCACAGCTCAGTTTCCCCACGGTTTATCTTTGTAAGGCTCTGTTGTCGAGGCAGAACACATAAACTGTACTCACTTTGTATTTCTACTTCAAAATGTATCTGCTGAAGCACAAAATAAAACTATTCTGGGGAAAGTTTGGCAAAAAAAACTCAATCTTACGTGTCGACAATCCTCAAAAGAAGAAACTCTTTTTTATTTTTTTATCATATCATGGTCTGTTTCTTGTGAACATGGACCAGAAACAGGGAAAGTAGCCAGCAGAGGTTTAAGAGCAGCGCATGAACACTAACTGTTAAGAATTTCTGGAATGGCCTTGTGAAGCTCGCTACGAGCCACTTTGTTGACTGCTGATTTTTAAAAGACTGGGCTCTGAGCAGGCATCAGATATTTGGTCAGTGCAGTTCCTACACCAAGAACTGAGACAGAAAGTCCACTGGATTGGAATCAAACAGCCCACCTGTGCAACACCATCCCTCATTAACAGGTAGCATGAATTTCTAATTCATGTGACGAATAAAGGAAACCAAAGTATCTGCACTGCAAGACAAGATGGCGTGTGAATAAAATGGGTTAAACAAGCCACAAAATGCACCAGCATCCCTGCGTTTGGATCAGCTGCACAGCAGAGATGCTGACATGTTTGCAGTAACGCAGAACATCCCCATGGCCCAATGACCCCAAAACCATTTCCTTTGAATAGATTTCTCGGCAAACGAACGCTCTGTGATCCTGCGTTATCGAACTGACTTCAAGGAACGGTCGATTCGACAAAATCCAGAATAAAAACGCCAGACTCTCATTTTTCAGAGAGCTGCCTGGTGTGGTTTGGTGTGGGTTTAGATGTGCTGGAAGGTTTGACAGAGTCCTGACTGTGCGTTTACTGTGCGTCACTGTAAAATATATAGTGTGGACAAAACTACTAAATACACTAAAGTAGGACTGGGCGATTATATGATTGTGATAAATTTCAGTTTGATCACGGTGATCAGCTGTGAGCATATTTACCCAATCAAACATAGTGGAAATGTGCGTCACAACAGCCAATCAGAGTCATGCTTTAGAAGTAAACATGAGAAGTAAACAGAATGGCTGAACGTGGAGCTAAACGCAGAGCTGAGGGCAGCAAAATAGATGTCAGCCGTGACTTTGAGTCATCCTCCGAAGATGTTACTGTTGAGAAGTTACTCAACGTTGGTTGTGTGGTGATGGTTCGGATATCTCCAAAGTGACCTCGAGCAGTTAAGCCGATGTGTAAGGTATGTCAGCGGTCAGTGCTCCCAAAAACTGTCAACACAACAGATCTGTTTAATCATTTGAAGAAGTTCTTCCCGAGTGATAAGGCGGAAAGCATGAAAATGCAAGCGGAGTCTACGCAGCCAAGTAGTATTAGCAGTTTAGCTACAACTAGCGACGCAGCCACCAGACCAAAGCAATCAATCAATGGTATCATCTACGTTTAAATCATCTAATGTTTAGATTTTAAGGCATCTTCACTATCTCTGAGGGGGCGATTTGTTTATTTTGGGTATTACATATCTGCAAAAACACTCAGGACTGTAAACTAGTTCACTGTATTATTTAGTATTTATCTACTTTTGTTGTCCTGTTGAATTATCTTATTCAATTTGCTTTGTTATTTACTTTGTATGTTAATTAAATGTTGAGCTAATCTCTAGTTTCTCTAGTTTTTAGTACAGATGCTTTAAAACTGGCAGTTTAAAAAAAAAATCGTGATAATAATCGAGATCGGACGATATGACAAAATATATCGTGATCATTTTTTTCGCCAGATCGCCCAGACCTACACTAAAACCAAGAGCTCTCAGCTGACACCTCATTAACATAATAGAGTCTGTCTAACCATTAGCTTTGGCCCCATCATCATCACCATCATCATCACCATCATCACCATCATCATCATCATCATCACCATTATAAACATCATAACCATCACCGCTCAGAGAACTGGTACCTTGTGTTTCTGACAGATAAGCTTCACTAGACCACTCTAATTCTTCATCAGTGCCACCATCATCCTCATCCTCACCCCCGACCACCAACCATCATCATCTCCATCAACTCCATCACCAGAAACTCACCGCTATGCGCGTGGAGATCTTCTGCTCGCCCTCCGTGCCCTTCTGCTCCCCGTTGACCCTGCTGTACTCTGGAGGTTGCTGGTTCGATCCCCGGCTGCCCTTCACCTTCCGGTTCCCAGGCCCTTGGTGGACTATGTTAAGCAGGTGAAGCGTGCTCTCGTGCTCCCGGTCCGAATTCTCAGCCTGACCTCTCTGGTACCGGTTCTCGCAGGTGGAGTGGTGCCTCCTGCACAGCTCTATGCGGGCGCGTAAACGCTCCACGATGGCGTTGTGCAGCTGGGGCACCGCGGAGCCCCTGGAGGAGGGGGCGACCACCGGCCCGGTGCCCACCGTACCGGGCATGGTTCCTAAACCGACACCCAACATGGGTACGAATGTCCCTGCAGCAGCCTGAGCAGGGGTCGCTTCTCCCATGCCCGAGACTGAGGTCCACTGAGCCTAAAATGGACCAGAGTACGGGCATGGAAGGAAATGAGACGTATGGAGTCGACTATGAAGAGAGAGAGAGACGAAGCAGGCTTCGATTGTTCAGTAAAACCGATCAACCAATCGATCAAACCGATAAGAGTTGATTAGATTAAATAAAGAAGGCTGTAAAGTACGATAAGGTCCGACTTTGGAAACGTTACAGATGTTGTGGGTGATTTCCTCCTCTGGGGTGTTAGTGAACGAGGCTTTAATTAAAACTGGACTGATTTACAAACACAGGAGAGGCTCTAAACTCACAGCTGGGAGAAATCCGCTCGACCTCTGCTCACAGTGGAATTATCTTCAGTATGAATCCTCGGGATGATTCACAATCATCGCACGCACAACTTCACTTTCATCCCCGGCACATTGTCAGCTTACTTTTCCTTAAACGTGCCCGACTTATTCGATTACGCGGAGCCTGTCAGTTCGACTGCAACTGAATCCAAGAAAACACAAATCCACTAAACTTCAAGACTCACGGCATTTTTCTTTTCTGGAAATTAGAAATCCTTCCTCTCTGCCTCTTTCTCTCTCTCGGTCCGGATAAGAAGGATCTGGATCCACATTACAAGTCCTAAAGCTCGCATCCACATCCACAGCAGCAGCAGCAGGACAGGGAACCGTTTCAGACACGATCGAGATCCGTCTCACATAGTCCATTGACAATCGTTTGTCCGTGTGGTGCACCGAGGCAATAGCGGAACTACAATACACAGACCCTCATTGTAGGAACATTCCTCTTTTGGCATGATCCACTCACGAGGAAGCAGCGGGGTCCTGCAGCGCACTCTGGTGGACGGAAGAGGGAACTGTCCTGGAGGACTGAGAGAAGAGGGAGGGGAGCAGGGAGGTCTAAGAGGTGTTAGTTCAAACCATAGACTGTTTATACAACTTGGTTCCGTCTTTCATCAGTATACAGAAATTTTGAGTCCACTATATGGGGCTTTGAAATTGATCACTCCGGTTTCGGACACCCCTCAAAATGGCGCTAACCCCCATACAGTCGCCTGTATAGGGGTTAGGGATCCATTTCAGACACAGCCATTGCCACCAGGGGGATACGCTGTTTGAGCCGAGCTTCATCACAGCGACTCTCGGCGACTCTCCCGCCGAATGCGCACAATGTTACTGCGCAAGTGGTGGAGTGCATACAATGCTACTGCTCAATGTTGGTTTCAGGAAGTGGAGAAAAATCACAGAATTACAGAGAGCTTTTTGGCTTCAAATCTGTATACTGGTGGTAGGTGGAACTAAGTTGTCCAGAGTATATACAGTCTATAGATTGAACTCAAATAAAGTAGATTAGCTGTGATTTAAATCAACATATTGATCTTTACAGTGGCTGAGAACTGCCACTGCTGCAAATAAAAAAGAAATCCATGTGGAAGTCACTGATGCAATAAAAAAAGAAACTGAAGCCGGCGGCTGCAAATAACGGTGAGTGCGTCGTTAAATTCTGCTGTGACTTTTTTTATTTGCACTTTTTTTATTTGCAGCAGTGGCAGTTCTCGACCATCGTAGATCTTCTTTTCTAAAAGACATACCAAAATTATTCCAACAATAAAAGAGCGTTTATATTTCTGACCAAATATGACATTCAGACTTTATTAATAAGATCAATATACATTTAAAACTTGACATGATTATTATAACGCTACAAAAAATTCTCTTTCTTTACAATAAGAGCACATAATTAAACAATACTTACACGCTCATCGCAGCATCAATCTTCATGAGGCGAACACAGAAACAGAAAGTCCCTCTAAGTTCCTGCTTTTATAGAGCCGATGGAGGCTGTCATGTCTAAAACCTGCGACTGAAACCTGCTTAAGGCCTCTCTTTCAAATTATATCAGTTTGACCCAGGAGTTTACTCAAGAAGTTTTTTAGTGTTTTTAACATCAAGAGAGATTAAGAAAACCGAGGCAAAGTAACAGCTGAGTGGAAGAAATCATACACTGACATTAACAGAGAAAGTACACATGATTTTCCTTTACTGCAGTATAAAGTTGCAGTACCCCGACCATGCACAGTCCATGTGGTAAAAATCAAAATCTATGTTACAGACGTAGTAAAATACTTGGACTGCTATTTGCTGCTCACAGCTGGAGAAGACCAACTAATGAGGACCAATCCTGACCTTCAGCAGACCCAGTATCACTGACATCCAGAAGAAATTAGGTCAACCAGCAAGAGTTGGATTAAAAGAATATTCTCTGCATTACTCATTTGATTTTTAAGCTGCCTCTTATGATCAGTTAGTCAACTAATCTGTATTTCAAGCTCGGGTTGATTCAGACAGTTTTAGCCGGCTAGCTGTTTGTTGTTTTTTTTATGGGAAACGACATATTACTCATTAGTTATTACTGGAAAATAGTTCATGATCACATCATAAAACAAAACTATTAATTGTAACCATAAGGCAAAAGAGTGCATGGGTTTGGTCCCCTTTTTTAAAGAGACCTTTTTTTGAAATATAATCAAATATAAATACAGACTAATGTCACCGTCATGTGAACCTTATATGTCTAAAATCCAAATATGACCTTTTATTGGAGGAACAGTAAATTATCAGTGGATGCAGGTGCAGTTTTTGCACAACAGAGGGCAGCAGACGAGTAATTTCACAGCATTACAGCATCAAGTAAGAATGTGTGGGTGAGGTTTCTGAGTTCACACATAGTAAAGAGGAGCCCCAACACCAGGCTTTCACTTCTTGATTTATTCTATGTCCACAGTTTTAGTCTACCATTATACAGGAATAACAAAGTCTTGTATTCTTGCGTCTCCCTAAGGAACTGTACCACATCATCACCACCACACTGGCATCTTTTGTAATATTGCTTCACAAAATCAAGACAGTTTGCATACATCAATGTTAGTAGAGAGAAGGTTTCCTTATTTGGTTTTTCTTTTTTTTTCCTTTTAACAGTTATCGACTTCAAAACGCACAATAAATTAATAAATTAACACACAAGCAATCTGCAAATGCTTTACAGTAGTAGCATTATCAGTGGTATAAAAAAAATGATATCTACTAGTACAGTACGTCAACCCAGTGACAGTCTGACAGCAGATCTGAGCAGTGTTTTCAATCTCACCCAGTCAGGCTGTCATTTAACGTACTAAAACTCACTATCTACCACAACACATACACAGCTCTTCTGCTTACAGCGGCTCTCTCTAGACAATAAATTACACATCCGTTTCATTTTGGAAACTGACAGGGAGACAGGCTTTTCTTCAGTCTTTTCTTTCCTCTTTCACTCTTTGTGAATCACGGTCCACACCTGGGAGGACTTTTACCAGTGCAACTCAAACTGCCAGCCTTTCCCGTCTCGTGAACAGACTTTGAAATTCAATCTGGAAAAATTTTAAAAAGAAGACTGTAATAAACTGAGCTTAATTTAGTCCGACCTGACCCCCCCTGTACATTTTCTCGTGCTTACACGTATCAGTAGAAAATAATGATAAAAAGAATACAAAAAACAGTAAAAATGGTAGAAAAACATTAAGAAGTTAATCTCAATGGAATAATCAATAATACCATCTAGCACTGCATGGCCACACTATTCATAATAAGATCAGAGATTCACCCTTCAGTGGTTCCAGCCCACAATGAAATACTGGACTTAGGTCAACTAGAAACTGAGCGTTCAGTTTTTCTAAATACAATATGGCTCTTACATCATCGTGAATAACATCTCTAAGGCAAATTTACATCTCATCTGAAATGAAAATTTAAGGCAAATTAAACGAAAAGACTTTTAGGAAATTAGAAAAAACTCCATCCTCAGTAATTTTCATCTTCATCGTGGCAGTCGGCCTAAATTTACATTAATGTAGTCAGTGCACTTCCTGTCTTCGACAAGTGCATCAATTTTCAAACATTCAACAAGATGCGCTGCAAATATGTCATTCTGTTAATAATTTACATACAGGAAACAATCGCTGTAGTGTGTGGCATACCAAAAAACCAAAGACACAGATCAGCAAATGATTGAGCTCCAGAAAATAGAAATGTGTTTTTCTGCTTCTACTTGGCTTGTATTTCTGGTCTTCAGGGAAGAGAGAGACGAGAGCAGGAGAACGAAAAAAAAACCCTCAGGAAAGACACCTCCTGCTTTAATTTTCCTTTTTCTTGGTCAGTGCACATCAGCAATGAAATGTATGAAGATATAACCTGAAATGAGTCGACCACGGACAAAGATACACCATCCTGCTTTTTTTCTTCCCTCTTGTTTTCTTCATTTTGTACCTGCAATGAAATGACTGACCAGCCTAACAGTGCTTCAAAACGGTCTGAACATATTAAGATCGCAGCGACGGCCATGTAAAGTAATCGTTAAGGCTTCTGACATGGGCCTTTATGTGTTTGTAAGGCAGCATCTCCCCCCCTTTCCTCCTTCTCTTACCAGACATGCACTGCTAAGCTGAAATTATTGCCCGCAGTGAAAATAATCTCTTCACTGCTTCTGCTCGACTCAGCACAAATGACAGATTGAAGTGAAAGAGAGAGTCTGCCTGCATGCCAAAATTGGAGTGCATCTTGGCATTCCTGAGACCAGTAAGCGTACTCTTACAGTATATTAATATGGTTATCGACCAGTCCGCCCCTGCTGCTGCTGCTCCTCTAATAACTTGGTAGATGCACAAAAATGTGTGATTGTTAGAGGTTGAATCCGACAGCTTTCAGGAAAGAAAACACGTGTTATTTCAAAAGACTGGAATGGTGAGTGAAGATGATATTTTCAAACATCTCATTAATTGATCAATTTTCTGTTAATGCTATAACAGTCTGCAGAAAGAGCGTCACCCTTGTGGACTGGTGCTCTGCATGTTAGCACCAGGCTGCAAGGTAAATCATCACGAGGACAGGCATAGGATAGTTTTATGGCTTCAAGTCCAGATCCTTTAGTCTAAAACAAGGCGGTGGAAACATTACCAGAAGCTTCTCGTAAAAGTCTCATTTGTTTTCTAGTTTTGCTACACTATCTGAGCGGGTCAGTGTCAGGACTTGACTCCTTTGGCGGGTTCAGCAGACTGCCGCACGTCGGTCCACTCCTGCATGGTGCTTTGCAGCGCCTGGGTCTTCTCTTTGTCAACTTGCACGTAATCCACCTTCTCATCAGAGGTCACGGAGGATGTAGAAGGCTGTGAGAGAAATAAATAAGAGCAAACATGTTTTAATTTCACTACAGGGCTTGACACTAAGTTTTTTCACAAGGAGCACATGTGATCGTAAGTTGAAAAGGTAAGGAGCACACAAAGAACTTAAAGGGCACAATAAAAATTAATCAAATAATGTTTGTCTTCTTTACAACACTTCAGGTCAGATGTGCCATTCTTCTTCAGTGGTAACATGCCTCTCCTCCAACACATAATAAATGGATACAAGAGATTCTAAGCTGTCTGAAACTCGAAAAGATGTGATACTCATTAAAGGGGTCCCTTGCAACCTTTAACAAAACCTTGTAACCTTTAGTAGAATATGCAAATAACCTCGACCTAATACCTGAAGATGACAGTACTGCTACTTGAGATATTTCCTTTTCATTTATTTATCTATGTGAATAAGTGTATATATGTAAATGTGTATATTATATATATTATATTATATCTCATCTTTTAATTTACTTTATTTGCATATTTGTATGTGTATCCTAATTTCTTGTCTTTGTGATGTTGTGGCCGACGTGGGGCGTGATGGGGTGGGAGGAGGGGTTATTCAAGACACTTTACATCTCATTTCACACTCGCTCTTTTTTTACAATGTAAAACCACTAAAATGTAAATGTACTACTGTTTGTATGTATTGTTACTCAAAAAAATCATTAAAAAGATTAAAAATAATAATAATGTGTGTCTTATTGGTGGACTTAAGTAATGTTATTTGAAATCAGTTTTAGGTCTTTTGGTCACATGACATGGAAACTATTAGCGGAAAACAGCCTTTTTTGAGAACATCAACTGGTAATTTATTGATGGTCCCTTATTTAACACCCGACGATGACATCGAGGGTGCCAAGTAGATTTAACCGCGCTGCTGTTGTTATTATGGAGAGTGAGAAGACACCGTGGTAGATCTGCAGTGAATGTCCGTCAGATATCCAAACTAAAACTAACTTCACCGCCGTATTTACATTAAAAATTAGACCCGGCTTATTTTTTTTATGCGCATATGTGCCCCTAAATTCATTTTATGGTTGCATTGTGGAGCCCTGTACTAGAAGAAATCATGAGTTTACTTTTCTGTGTGGACTGGGTGATCCAGGCTGGAAGTCCAACGCCAGGTAGTCCACGTTGCCACATTTCCTTGGAGCTGGGCTGCTGGTGCCACTCACGGCTGGGGAGGTAGACGCTGGGTTCTGCTAATGGGGACAGGAAGTAGGTTTTACTCACACCATGTGGAGATCCTTCAAACAAACAAAAAAACCCACCAGTGATCTCCTGATCTCCCTTTTTCAGCTGCTGGGACTCACCATAGCCACGTAGTTCTCCTCACTGTCTGCAGAGTCAGTGCTGGTGATGCTTTGTGTGGAGATAGGTCGACAGTGCTGGGAGGACATGGAGTTCATAGCAGGCCTGGGGTGAAGCAGACGAGACTGTGAGCAGCTCTAATATCAACCTTTCTGCTCATCTAACGGTGCTTGAATGATCGGTATGAACTCACATGGGTCGGGTCCAGGACATGGTGCCCGGGCTCTTAAACGGCAGCTCATCGATGATCCCGTTGTTCTTCAAATCAAGAGGCGTTGGCTTTGCTGTGAAATTTTAGTCAATCAAACACCGTCACCAAGAAAATCAAGCAGAGACTACAGAGAGACTACGATTGATGAATATTTGAAGACTCTGAGAACTCTGCTGTCAGTTACTCACATTTCCTGTTCGGTTTGAGGTTACGGTTGATGGGTGGTGGCGTGACATCGCTGAGACGGCTGGGCCGGTGACACAGGGAGGCGCTGCTCCCCTTGCGGGCAGGTAACGTTGCAGAGAATCCTGGGAAATCAAAGTGATGTGGCCCGGGGCTCATCGGGATGTAGATATTCTTAGGACTGTCAGCCTGGGCGGCGCTCAGTGGCGAGGAGCCAGGATTCATGGGCACATAGTTGTCATCCGAGTTGCCGCTGTTTGACCGTGTCAGAGGAGCTTTGGTTCTCTGATGTCGCGGGAGACAAAGGGCACACGAGTCTCTTAAACTCTCTGGACTGGATATCGCAGGAAAACTGCAGCACTCAGTCGGAGTAAATATAGCAGAATAGTGTTTTCTATCTGTGCGGTTCATGACCTGACACTCGCTGTGTGAAGAGAGAGTGCAGTTAGAGGAGAGAATGACTCACCAGGTAGGAGCTGAACCCATCATTGACAGACTCCACAGACTGGCCTGAGTTATTGAAATGGATGGGGCGGTGATGGCTGTTCGTTTCAAAGGAGGAGCCTGGAGAGAGAGCAGAAAAATCAATAGTTAACACTGGCAAGAACTCTGAAAGGTAAAAAGTGCAAAAATAGTACCATGCCAAAAAAAATTGGGATATTCTAGCACAGCGGTTCTAAACTGGTGGATCCCGACCCAAAAGTGGGTCGTGGACACGTTCTAGATGGGTCACGAACAGCTGGTCAAAACAGTGAATATTTAATGCGTATCTGATGTTGGACGTCTCTTTATTTTGAAAAACTGCTTCTTTTGAAAGGTACGCGTTACGTTGCGGTCCTCCTCGGTTTCTTATCAATGAGGCCTGAATGCAGAATAAATTATTTTGTACAATTTGATATTTTCTGTAATACTTTAGTGGTTGTTGTCCTCAGTTCATGTGCTCTCAAATGCACTTAACTCAATAAAATGATTTGAGTCCTTAAAGGTTTTTTTGTATAAGAAATAAATTTGCTTGGTTTAAATTTTATAGAAGTAGGTCACAACTTAAGGACGATGGGAAAATGTGGGTCCCAGAGTGAGACCAGTTGAGAGCCGCTGTTCTAGCGAGTGAACTTCAGTTGACGAGAATTAAAAGATATTACATGTTTCATTAAAGACCCACTACGATGAAAATTATGTTTTTCTTGTTGTTTACATGTTCATTTATCTGATGCCACAGGACACAAAATGAGAAGAGTAAGTGCAAATTTGCATTTCTGAGTATTTCTGCATTCAAATCACTGTGAATCTCGGGCAGACCCAAACGGCAGGTTCAGACACAGTGAGATTTCCTATGTCACAAATCCAAGCTCCGCCCCTGCAGGCCAGACTTGGAGAAGTAGAGAGGACGATCATGGAACAATCGTGTACGTTAGTGGATTGCAGTGCTCGTAAGAAAGCTAATTATGATATTAACTTCCATCGTGTCCTTAAAAACATTAGTGTCTGAGAGCTAGATAGCTCCTATGTTACCTGCTTCTTCTACTGGCAATATTAGGCTGCAAGCTAGCATGAAGAGGAGTGTGCAGAGCAGCGCTGTCTCCGCCCACGACTCAGAGGCGAAATTGCTAATGAGATACTGGAGCTCTGCAGAAGAAAAGCCCTTGAAATTGACACAGGTAACGTGATTTTGACTAAAAACTTTATAATCACAATTTAAAGACCGCTGATACAATTGGAGTGGGACTTTAAATCCTTCGGTGAGGTATAGTTCGACTCCTGCAGCGTCATGAATAAGGGTCACCGGTCAATTCTTGTTACAGGCTATACGAGCCCTGAGCATGAGCTTGGCAGTGCCGAGGATAATAAGAGGCCATGTATTATATCTACAAGTTTTTTAAATGCTTATCAGCCTGGAACGAGGCACTCTGGAAAAAACGGCTCTGTAGCTTGAATTTCATTAGCTTCTCAAATAGAACAGGGTCTGCTCGACGAGGCTGTTTGTTTCTGCTCAGCTGCTTGTGTTAGATCAGTAAAATGAGAGACAGAGGAAGAGGGAGAGAGAGAGAGAGAGAGACAGGAGGAGGGGGGCAGGAAGCAAAAAGTCTCAGCTATACCGCAAGAGAACAGAGTGATCGAGACAGACTAGTCTGCAAAAACAGGAAACAGGTAAAACTCGTGCTTTTAAAAGATCTGAACGAGGAAAAGAGAAGCGTTCAGGAAAAACGTGTTAAGAAACAGTAAATATGTTGAGAGTACCTCTGTGCAGCCTAATGTTCTCAACAGCAGGGAGGGTGTTCCTGCGAGGGATAACCGACACCGAGGGCACATCTCCATTCTGGCTCCCCACTGACTGGGGACTCCCCCACTGGCTCTCTGACCCCTGACTGGGTTTGGGGGGCCTTGGAGGAGGAGCACAGGAGGACTCAGAGCTGGAGGGTGTCAAGGCATTATGATTCTTATCAAACGTCCGAGGGATTTGGTAGAAGGAGCCCGGCGGCGTGGGAAGGTCGTAATTGTCAGTTGGACGCTCATTGCTGTGCATGGTAGCGAGGGTGTTGCACGGCGTTTTGAAGGTGTAAACCTCTTCGCTCTCCAGCTCGGGCTCACACAGACCGCTGTGAGCAGGTGCCTCAGAGCTGTATCCCCTCGGCAGCACGTAACAGGCCTCCTGGGAAGAGTCATCATGCAGCGGTGACTGATTTTTCCCCGGCTTAGGCAGGCTGTAGAAACCATGCAACTGAGCGCCCATGCCGTTGAGACAGTGGGAAAAGCCATGCGAGAGTTTCTGCACCGCGGAGTCGCTCCCCATGAACAGATTGCTTCGTGTGGCCTGGGAAAAGCTGGCACTCCTGCAACATCAACAAAGACATGCATGTAAACACGTTAAGTTTTTTAATCTGGATGTTTTCTGAATAAACGCTCCCCAGGTGACAGAAATTTGTCTTTTAATATCAAGTATTTCATTTTTATTTTTGTTTAACCTTCATTTTATCAGGTAAGAAAACCCACTGAAATCGAGATTACAAGGGTGACCTGGCCAAGAGGTCAGCAGCACACGTCACAATAATAAGAAGAAGAATAATGATAATAATAATGATAAAATTCAAGGACAAAATAAGTTATAATGCAAGAATAGCTGGAATCCATCTCTGTTACTGCAGCTTGTCAAATTTCAATGTAATGACCCAAAGAGCCACTAGATGGCACTGTAGCACCTCAGAGAAATCTTCCTCTCTGTAGGTCACAGTGCTCATTTAAATAAACACTGAGGCATCATTGCTTCAGAGCTTTTGTGCTGGTGCAGCGCTTCTTCTAAGTATGATCATAATTTCCTTGAATCCGGTTTGTTTACATGTTTACAGTCGATGTAAACTAAATAACACGACAACTTTCCTGGAGTTACTCAGCCTTATTTCGGCACCCTCTGGGACGAGCCTCATTTATTCCGGAGCTTAACCTTGAGTGCCAACCTTACATCTCAGACATTTCTGCTCAGTTAGCTGACCAATGGCCTGATTAAGTCAAAGATATGACATCCAATGAGTCGTTTCGTCGTGCCCTGACTAATCTCTGCTTGTGTTTTGGCTACACTGCACTTTTCTTAATGGTTCTGTTCAATCTTGATTATAAATGTAAAAAGTGAAATGAGTAATGCATCAAAGTAATACAATTAATATTGACATAACATTTTGCTCTCTCTGACGACATTTCTTTCTCATGTCAAATGGCACACGGTGTTTCATTATTCTTTTATGTCTCATGAGGATTTCAATCATCAATCAATATTTTGTTAATCACCCTGCTTTCAATCACTGCGCCTGTGTGTGGGGGGCTTTTTTGCATTGATTAATCTCTACAGTTGGTCATCCAACCAGTTGAGTTTATTCTGACATGAATCATACTCCGCCTGTCTGAATTAGCAAACCCACTGAGCAGAATCTAGTGAGGGAGTGACAGAGAGATCTGCATAAAGCTGATGAGATGGATTGTGAGGTTTGATTTCACCGAGGTCCAACGCAGCAGATTTATGTGCAAATCGTGTGGCTGAGGGGGGCACTTCTACCCGATTTGAGTCTGAACCTATAGGAGTGATGGATTACAGCCTCACCCTCATTGATCATCTACCGGGGCCGGCTATCTGCAGAATGGCATCATTATTAAAGGGTCCTTCTGATGCCTATAAGCAGGTACGAAGGCAGTAGAGGGTAAGGTGAATATCAATGAAACTCCAGATAACACAGGAGTGCGGTTCTTGGGTTCCTGCTCAGCATATCATTAAGATAAGCACACGTGTTTGTTGCTCATACTAGTCATATCTCGTGTTTGAAATATCACCTATTTGTTATGGAGGCGCGGTGTTTTATGGTTGTCACAGATTTGATCAAATACCTCGTTTTTTTCCTACTGAATACATTTATTTTTTATCAAAAACTGCTGTTAGCTTGTCTTTAAATTATTATCAATAAAAAAAGACTTCTATATTCCATGATAGATTTTTTTACATATCTGAATTTTAAAGTCATGGTGAACGATTGGATCGGATTGGATCGGTAATTATTATGAACCTCGTTTCTATGGCGATCGTGTGATCTCCGCAAAGTGAAGAGAAAAAAGATCGGAAAAAATCTGTTTACTCTGTGATGACGTTTCCAGCTTTTCTAGCCGATCAGAGGCGAAGGAGGCGGGACTTTCCCGCTACCGTCCAATCCAGGCGGCTGCAGACGGCGCCGCTAGTCACTATCAATCCAACATGGTGAATTTGAAGCTAGCGTAGGATCTTCTGTCGGCCGGCTTCTTGCTCTGCCACAGTGGGTGTGTCATGGCGAGGGCGATACAGGTTTGGGGGGGTGGGACGCTTTACAAATCTGCCTCAACGGCGCCGTTATTTTCAACTGCTTCTCCGATCATCAACCATGACTTTAACCCAAACTCTAACTTTAATTAACCATCATTGATCAGTATTGGCACTGACTCATCAGACCACTTACACTACATTTCTCACACGCACAGACAATCCCCCCCCCAACAGTAGTTCGAGTCTTTCGGGGGCATCTAAACTGAGGAAGCGCCGTAAACCTGTGCGTTGACCTGCATGAACGGATAACAGGAAACTGACACAGGACGCCTGAGGGTCGTGACCTTTACCGTGCGCTCTCTGTCTTCCTGCTCATGCACTGGTGGAGGAGGAGGTAGTCCTGGGGTGCGCTGTTGGAGAGGGAGCCGTGGTGTGAGTGGCGTACAGGCACATCGAAGGTGAAGAGGACTGGCTGGCTGGAGTGGATGGGGGCAGAGGATTTGCGTTCTCCGGTCAGAGGAGCCATCGAGCCGGTGACATCTGCTCCTACAGAACGAGGCATATGGTGTAACCTGCCATCTGCAGACAAGAGAAATGAGAGTTATTGATCGTTTGAGCCGCATTTGCTTAAACCCAACAGTTTTCTGCACTTTAGACATACGATGCAATGCTGCGCCTTTTCTTTTTGTTCTCCAAATCCTGCGAGGCAAAGGTCAGTTTGTAATTCATCTGAGGGATTGAGCTTTAACATGACCTTGCCTGGCATGGAGTCTTGTATTCAGTAGCTTTCAGACGGCTGTCTAATCAATAGAGAAGAGGAATCTGTATCCAGGGAGGAGAAGAGAAAACAGTATCTCTCTCTCTCTGCCTTTTTTGGGCAGCAGACTGTGAGTGGTTCAACAGCACATGACAGTACATGTTGTTTGTTTAGACCAGGGTCAATGTGCATTGTTTGATTTGATCAAGATAGCCATTGTTAAGCACAGAGAGACACAAGGCAGAACCGTCTAAAAGAAAAAAAGAAAACGTGTTTCTGCGTGACATCCCTGATATCTGCATCGAAAGGCTACAATGAAAACACAAATCTGAGATAGGGATGCTGCAAATAGAACGGGCAGGGGGCCAAAATGAGGAGGTGCACACTGAGATGTAGGAGTAGAGAGTGGGCGGCTCACTGATCCATCGACCCATGGTGCTGTGTGCAACAGCTGATGGAGAGAGGAAAAAAAAAAAAACACACCACCAATCATCAAGAGCTGGTAGTAAGAGCTCCTGAACTGAATAATGAATGTGAGGGTCTGCATGAGCACAGTCACAGCAGAATTATTCAAGGATTTTAGTTTGGGATTCACACGTATGATGTAGTTGAATTTATTGGTAAGTGTCTGACACTTCACTTATGTTAAAAAAATAAAAAGGATGACGACACTAAAACTTTTAGTCTCTGAAGAGATGGTAGCAAAACTCAAAAGAGACAGTTTGTTGGATATTTATGGGGAATTTAAGACAAAGACTCCTCATTTACATCAATAACTGTGATTTTATGTCAACCAACTTATGTAAAAATCAACTATTTATGGAAAGGCTAAATGCCAAATTAAAAGGGAATTTTTATGGACACATGGTGGCCCCTTATGGATTACTTGCCTAAAGGTCTGAGTGAAATTATCCAGAGGGGAAAAAGGGGTTTAGAATATGATATGGCCTCAAATCAATATCACGATATATTGATCAGTTCACCTCGATAATGATAAATGGACGATAACTACTCTACAAGCTGCTCACCCCCTCCCACATTAACTTCGAACCGTCCTCCATCTCCTCACCTCCCACTGAGCAATAGACGCTATTAGACGTCTAGTTTTTTTTTAGACCTAAGTTCAACCGTCTAGATTCTGTATATTTTTAGACGGATTTTCGACGTTGCACTTTAATTATTCAATAACGATTTATTTCAAAAAGTAACTGTGAGTTGCACAACTGATCTCCAAGTACTTGTAATAATTATGACAGTTGTTGAGTAATATACAGTGTAGACCTCTGTTAGCCGGCTGGTCTAAATTTAGACGTAAAAAAAAAATGTCATTTTTAGACCTGTGGTAGCCTGATTTTAGAGAAGACGTCTAGACTACATCTAAATTTCTATTAAACCTCTTTTAGACCAAAAAATGCTCAGTGGGCTGTCTTTCCCTCTGTGTTACAGACTGGATGGGGTGGAGTCACGTCTCTGACGTAGGACAGCGTCTTAAAGGGACATCAGACCAAAGCCTACCTACACACATCCAAAACAAACTTTGATTTATTCATTTATTTATTTTTGACACCAAATATACCAATATGGGCAAAATGACGTCCATTATTGTCGTAAATTTTGGTATTGGTAAATTTTTAGGTTTATCGCCCAGCCCTACAACTCATGCTAAAAAAAGTGGGAGACAAAACTGAAACTTTTAGTCTCTGAAGAGAAAATAGTAAAACTCAAAGGATCCGCCTCTCCTTTCTGAAGATTATATCTACTCTTCATTTACCATGTCAACCAACTTATGTAAAAATCAACAATCTATGAAAAGGCTAAGCGCCAAATTAAAAGGGAATGTCAACATTTTTATGGACACATAGTGGCCCCTGATGGATTACTTGTCTAAATGTCTAAGTGAAATTATCCAGAGAGGAAAAAGTGGTTTTAAGATCCCAGACTGAACTGACCGGTGATAAGAAATACTTTTTAAAAAGTAGAACGACACATATTTCTTTATTTGATGATAGGTTGTTGTTGTTTTCATTTTCTACCTTATTTGAATTTTGCTTTTTAATTATTGTTCCCTAGATCAGACCAACACTTATGGTGTACACTTCTATGTAAATTCAGAAAATCAAATAAAATCTGATCATTATAAACTATTTGAACCCTAATCTGAGGTTTTCCCCTTAGTTCTTCTGCTCTTCTCTTCTCCTTCACCATTCTCCTCCTCCTCCTCGTCTCTCAGACCTTTCCAGAGCACGCTGCGGGTCAAACTGCCCTTTAAGAAAAGGCCAATGTTCTGTGAGTCACGATGCGAGCTGACCATACAGAGGGACCACAGCCACTGTGAAAAACAGAACACACACAAATGTGATGTGTGTGAGTGAGCATGTGTGTGCATGTGGGATGGTGGAGCGGTGGCGGGGCGGGGCGGTGGGGTATTCTGGATCAGAGTTAGCCGAATGAGGTCACATCTCTGCCTGAGGGGGAAAAGGCCTCTACAGTGGGGTCCACAGGCCAGTGGACATCAGTGAGACACCCAGGCCCACAGCCACATAGGCAGGCAGGGACTCCCCCCAGCTATCCTCAATTACACCATTGTTCTGAGTGATTCCACTCTCCCTAGGCTGGTTAGGCATCATCTCCTGTCTCCACAAAAAGCTTTGTAAAAGCTTTCATCCAGTGCGGTGAGTACTAGGCCCACTAACATGGGTAGATATATTGATTTGTTGTAGAAAGACAGTTTCCCCCCCGTGCCAGAGTGAAGGGATGCATGGAAAAACACACACATGCAGCATTTAAACGCTGAGAAAACACAGTAAAGATTAAAAACAGAGAAGTACCAGGTAAACTTTCACCCTGCGTCTACTTTCTTCTGCGTCAGACTGAAAAGTTCGTCTGTTTACTGGAGCGCATGACTGTCAGAATCAGAGCAAGAAGAAAGACGAGTGGTCCGGCCGGCTGATGGAATAGCCTACATGGCTCATCACTGACACTAATGGATCTAATGATGTATGTTGCCACTGGGAAGCAATTCCATCAAGTCTGTAGAACCACAACACAGAAAAGATAGAGGAGCAGAAAATAAAAACACTGATATTCCTCCCCAGGTGCTCCGCCGTCCGTCCCTTCACCAGCTAATGTACTGTGGTGCTGAGAAAGAGAAGTGAACTTCATCTCTCAGAGACAAGTAATCAAACCGGAGGAGATGAGCACAACCAACCCTTACCGCTCCTTTTAATGCTGTCTGGGTTTCTGGTGCCATCTGTTATGTGTTAGTGGTCTTTGCTGATGCTCTCCCTGCCTTCACTTTGAAATGGGAGGTGGAGTGTAGGTTCTCCATCTGAGCATCTACGGTCGTATCTTTCTGAAGTTAAAGGATAGTTTTGATCACTTTGAACGTTCCCTCCCCATCAATACTTTGACTTTCCAGTATTTTATCTGCATGTCTAACTCTGCCAATAAATGTTAGAACAACATGTAGATTAACTCTGTACGGCGCTAACATGCCAAACTGTCCGTGTGGTGTCAGCTCTGCCTCCAAGTAGGGCTGCACGATTTTGTCCAAAAATAAAATCACTATTTTTTACTCTGAAAACTTGATTCTTTATTTAATGACAACTTTATAAAACTTCCCTTTAATAAAAAGTTTTTCTATCATCTCTCAAAACGAAACCACTGAAAACGATGTGGTACATATGCCAAGCCAAGAGTCAAGGTTGTTTTGGTCGGACACGCGCAGGCGCCATTAGAGTTACGCTGTGTGTCTCATGATCGTTTCCAGAGATGCAGATAGACATCCACACGGAGATGAAATGGTCGTCGTTTATGGATTTATTCACTTTCTGACCCATTTTCAAAAAGTACTGTTCACTGTCACCTGAAACGCCGATACAACAAAAAACTTTAGTGTTTACTCCTGAATTTGTTTCCGTGGTGACGGGTTGATACCCCCGTCAGACAGACTTCACAGCGGGGGAGTGGTTTACTCTTCATCTGAAACTGTGAAGTCGTACCAATTCAACACGACTGACTTGTTCTTGTCCTATTTAACCACGAAATTATCGCCTTCTTTTGTAAACGCCATGTTTGTTTACACTGGTGTGTGTGGGGACTGCAGGAAGGGGGAGGAGCCTACGGTGGCCTGGAGGTGCAAGACATGATAGAGAGGAAAATCGATTTGACGACTTTAATTTTTTTAACATCGTCATAATCAAATAATCCGATTTACAGTTTAAAATCAATAAATCCTGCAGCCCTAGGGAGGTGTGCTCTCCCCTCAGGCTTTTGTATTTCATGTTCGTACATGGAGATCTCAGAACAGGGTCAAACCACCAAAGCGAACTCAGTGCATGAAACAGCTTCTTCTGGACCATGACGGCCATGACGGTTTGATGAGTTTCTCGTTTTCTCCCAATGATAATCCTCATCCTGAAACAAACATCTGACATCAAGAGGCTCTTTTTGGTGAATGACATGAGGCTATTCTGGGTCAAAGAGCTCCTAAGTTCATGAGCAATTTTCCAATTACGCTCTATAATACATCACCTACTGTCTCATCTGCTCTGTGGCTATAATCTAATCGGAGCCGGCTGCTGGTCTCACGGGGCCAAAATTAGAACCCTGCAGGATCACTAAGGACAAGACCATCTTTGTAGGGCGCTCATTTCCTCTCAGTCCAGCCAGAATTAGACGAGAACATATGATAATCTAATCTGAAATGAGATATGAAAATAGAAAATATCAGACTGACTGATGGGAGCGTTAAGAAGAGGACACCTTTGAAATCATCGGTTCAAGATGAGATTATCATCTTGCTGTCCACCTGCTTGAAATTTGTGAGGAGGAAAAATGTAATTTCCTTAATGGCTTCATACGAGATTGCACTTGAGAATATAGCCTCCGGGGTGACAGCTACTCTGAGTGTCGCATATTAACTCAAACATGTCAAAGCTCCGCAGGGTGGCCTGTTGGCGAGGAAGGCCATCTTGTCACACAAAGGTCAGGCGATACGTTTGATCCCCTCATGGGTCCTGTCAAAGCGTCCTTGAAAAGAGCGTCTGCCCTCTCACTCAGTGTGAGTCGAACTGATTCAGCTTTTTCAATTTCGCCGCAGACTCTAAGTATACAGATACATTATTGTCCCGTATGGTTCTTTTGTCCTGCGGCTCTTTAAAGCTACACGGGGTCCCAGGGGGGCGCAAAGTGGAGTCCATTTGCATGTGTGGTGAGCAGGGGGTTGGGAGCTTTCCATGTGAATGACATAAATGGATGAAGAAGACAACAAGATGGGTTAGCGGCTGCGGAGGAGTCTAGTGAAACACTCAACAACAAGAGAGGGCAAAATGGCGCCCGGGTTTCGCTACTCAGTCTGAAATGAGCAAATTGACATGGTTGTTTTAGTCTCTCTTTAAACTCACCGAGCAGACACACAGGAGCATTCCCTGATCACATTACCCCTGTGCGCCTGCTCGCTCTGCAGCATCATGTGAGCACCGCCTACCAACAACACATCAATTTGTCTCAAAACGCTGCACTGATCAATCATCCGGAGGACTGAGGCTCACTGGAGGCTGCGAATCACAGAGTTTGGCTTTAGTTTAAAAGAGCAGATCATTTAAATGCTGCGAGTTATGTAAAAACTGTGGCTGTGCAGCAGGATGATGGACATGGATGGAATAGAAAGACAGTTTAAGGTGGAGGAGGAGTGTTTGTCTAGATGTACTGAGAATGAATAATTTACTCTGACAACACAGGACATAAATGAGAACTCACTTCATTCGATAGAAGTCACGATACACTGACAAAGTGGTGTAAAGTATAAATAATATCCACTAAACTGACACATTTCAGGACAGTTTTATGGGTGTATAGGGCTGGGCAATATGGCCTCAAATCAATATCACGATATATTGATCAGTTCACCTCGATAACGATAAATGGACGATAACTACTCCACAAGCTGCTCACCCCCTCCCACTTTAACTTCGTCTACTTCAGCTGCTACAACTTTCTCTCCGTCCTCCATCTCCTCACCTGTCTTTCCCTCTTTGTTACGGACTGGATGGGGTGGAGTCATGTCTCTAATGTAGGACAGTGTCTTAATGGGAAATGAGACCATAGCCTACCTACACACATCCAAAACCAACTTTGATTTATCAATTTTTTTGACACCAAATATACTGATATGGGCAAAATGACGTTGGTTTTTGTCGTAAATTTCGGTATTGGGTAAGTTTTTATCGCCCAGCCCTAGTTTAGAAGGTCCCAGACTGAGCTGACTGGTGATAAGAAATACTTTTTAATGAGAACAATGACACATATTCCTTTTTTTGTTTGTTTGTTTTCTTTTTTTCTCGTTTTATCCTTTTCTTGTCATTTTCAACCTTATTTATATTTTGCCTATTAATTATTGTTCCCTGGATCAGACCACCGCTTAACAATGTATGCTTCGATGTAAATTCTTAAAATAAAATAAAATCTGATTCATTAATTTTTTTGATACCGAATATACTGACATGGGCCAAATGACGTTGGTTAATCCCTTGAGTTTCGGAATCTGTAAATTTTCGGTTCATCGCCCAGCCCTAGTGTATAATCATATTCTGTTTTAATTTCACTTCTTTGACTTTGCTAATATGCAAACACAACAGTCCAGGTTTCCTTATATTCAGGTAATTCATGTATTTCATTGTGTTTTGTTAACTTTTCATTCACAGATCTGTTCATAGGAAATATGTTAGACCTGAGGATGTTGAATCTGCGCCCCGTGGCCGATTGTGTCTGCAGACTAGAGTCAAAAACTAACAACACTGAAGCTGTTGTTGTTTCAGTGGTGATGTCCGCAGTTTTAAGGTTGAGAGGAAAAGGTTACAGCAGCGATCTCTTCACTGATCAAAGTGGTAAATGTTCCACTTTCAAACTGTTTACATGAAGCCATGCCCTAGATCTGTTTACAGCTGCTGCAATATGAGAACTTTCCTAATCTACTTTTACATCTAACATGAATATCTACGCTTTCTCACCAGTTTCAGTAAATGGAGAGAGTGTCAGAAAAGAGAGAGGAAGCAGATTATAATCCAGATTAGTGTTTGCAAGATAAAAACAGACGTAAACATCATCTGAACTCTATCTTCAAATTCTGCAGGGTTTATTTCATCATCGTGACCAATCAGAGGGATCGACTTTGCCGCAATCTCGTCTTTTCTAGAAAACGGTTGGTCGGGCGGTTAGAAACATACCCATCTATAATGCCCACAATAGATTGCATTTTAGGTTTACCAGCGAGTATTTAGAAAACAAATGATGGTTAGTGAGAACAGTTATTGAGATAAGGAGCCTCATTTTTCACAGGGTTACATCCTTTTAAAATCGGTTCATTTTTACAGCGTTACACAACTACTTTGCTGCATTCGCTCAAATTCCTGCCAAGCTGAAGCGGGTTATATGTTACCAACACTAGTTACATTTTGACCGAGATTTCCCTCATACACAGAAAAACACCAGAAAACAAAACTCCAGGAGAGAGGTTCCTTTTTAATCATTGCAGACGAGTCTGAAGTTTCACATGAAGTAAAAACTCTGCTCTCTATTGAAGGAAAACAAATGAGGAAGTTAAAAAATTCATTCAGAATTTCTCCAACAATACTTTCCATTGATTTATAGAAGTAGGCATCTTGAGTGAGATGAAGACAGTGTGAGAAGCGGGTTAATTTCATCAAAACCTGCTGTGAAGTTGTGAAACTGTTTTCAAAAATCATCCATCAGGTGTCAAACGGGCCTTTTATAAACATAAATCAAGTCTTTCTTCAAACTGCTGAGGCTGCTGTTGGAAATGCTGATTTGGTGGTTATTCTTTTTTTCCATTTCTCTGAAAAACAATACCGACTTCATTTTTTTTTTCCACAGTACAGCCAAGGGAACAGACAAAACGAAGAGGAGGAAAACAAAACAGAGTGGGAGCTGTCATGCAAAAGAGGGAACAAAAAAAAATTTAAAAAGGCGTCTGCTGACAAGTAAAAACCTCATCCCTTAGTTGAGATTATCCTCGTCTCAGAGTTCAAACAGCCAGGAGGGAGCAGAACAAAGCCCCTGATTGACGAGATGATGTTCCATTCATTAGATTGTGCTCGGGGGTGGGTCTCCCTGGCTGCAGACACACGCCACACACCCAGCCGTCAGTATCTGATAACGACTGAACTAACACTCCACAAACAGATAGTGAGAACTGAAAAAACATGCAGCTCAACAAAGTGCCAAGACTGGTTAAAGCCCTGTCCCCCTTTCACAAACTGAAGCGTCCACATCAAGTCCGCCCTCTTCTTGTTTTCTCAAGTCTCTTGTTTCTGGCGATGTTTAAGATGCTGCTGCCCGTGGTGGTGGTGGTATTGTGGGTTAATACACAGCAGGAGCAGCTACAGCTAACTGTCCTCAGACCGGTCTGTGGAAGCAGAAACCTGACCTGCCAGTGCCATGGAGTCTCATTATTTCAACAAAAATCAATGCAGACGAAGGGCACTTTGGGAGGGGAGGAGGCAGGCGGGCATGTGTGGGGGGATGAGAAGGCAAGGAGGGGGGAGTGTCGATGTTCATATGTGCTTTACTTCTATTAGAGTCGAATAAGTCGAATAATCTATTAAATAAAAGGAGATGAAAAGATGAATAAGTCGAGGTTTTTACTTCAAATTTTCTCTCTGCTTGTCCATTAAAAAGACTTTATAATAATCATAATAATCCTTAAATAATAAGATATTTATAAGGCTTTATGCTCACTGCTTATAACACTCATGCACATAACAATCAGAATCCATGTTGAATGCGTTCCGTCAGTGTTGCGTATTTGCTCCGTAGAGCAGCGTTGTCTATCGCATACAGGATCAGCATATTTGTAGCGTAGCAGCAGCGTAGTGCGGCTCCGGTCAGCTGGGCTCGGTATAGAGGAAACAACATGCTCACAACAGGTTGTTTTTCCTTTCTGTGGTCGATTTCCTGATAATTTGGATATAATTCAGTGACTGTTGAGCTTCGACTGTATGTGAAAAATCAACATGATTTTACAGTTTGTGTTTTTGCAGGTTTACTCGTGTTTAATAAAGTAAACTGTGTTCCTTCAGACAGAGATAGCAGTTCAAAGTCCTGTTGGGGTCCACATGGATCAGGGATTGACCATCAGATTGTTCTGTGTTACTGATAAATCCAGAACCAGGGAGGATTTCTTATCTACAAGAACTGATACACAGTCAGGAGTTCACATATGGTGTTTTATTTTGAAATTTACCGAATGACATGAGCGGTTTTTGTGCTTGACATCGTGTCTAGAACGATCTTCTCTGTGTAGATTGACGCGTATTGGGAGCGTAGAGCAGCGAAAAGAAAAGACTTGGTGCAAATCTTTTGCATACATCCAAAACCAATGCGCTCGATGCGCCTCTGATTCAAAGCTGCGACGCGTCCTGTATGCTTTGCTGCATTGATAAGAACGGGAACCTATTTGCTACGTGATACACAACGCTGACGTTACGTGCTCAATACGGATCCTGTAGGCTATGTTCTAACCTTAAGACTGTATAAATGTGCTTATGATGCATTATAAGAGGTGGGTTCAAGTAAAGTGTTACCAAAATATCGTAAGAATCTTATTTTATGTGTGAAAATGTGTGAGAAAAACGAAGAGATGAAGACAAAACAAAGAGAGCGAGATGTTTTGAAAGTTGTGTAACACTGAGCTGCTGTCATGTGCTAACCTTGGCCAACCTTCCTTACAGTCTGCAGAGGAGACTCACTCCTGACTGCAGAGAGACAAAAGGTGAGTCCAGATCACGCTGCTGATATCACTGATGCTGCTGAGGATTAACAAAATCCTCTAGGAGACGCAAACACGTCTTAGGTCAACCTCTTTCTCCATAATACGGCACTGTTCGCTGTAGCTCTTCAACAACAAACATAAAGCAGAGAAGTGAAGTGAATTTCAAGCACCTGTGTTGATGTGCTGATGTGCTGCTGTCTGCGCTCAGTCTCTATAGAGTGGTGTTGTTTACAGAAGGAGAACTAACATCTCAGTTTGTCTTTTTTGTCTTTTCGGAGAGGGAATACCCGGTCCGCTCAGCGACACACCGGCTCAGTCCTGCAGCCGGAGAAAAACCTGAAAACTGTCTTCACTCTTAGAGGATGATCGTAAACCGGTTTCATTTGTTGGTGCCAGATATCATTTGTATATCTGAGTCACTTCATCAAACTACAACCACTAAACCCACAAGGACAAGATCCTGCATCAACTCACAAAAGCTCTGCTTGTTTTAAACATCAGCGGATGTGTTGTTAGTGCGGCGGCGTGGCTCTGCTTCTTTAGGAGGGCCGTGTGTTCATAAGCTCAGAGAGATTCTGATTCAGGAAGTACGATCAATAAGAAAAAGGCTAAAATAATAAAGCTGAATTCATGATTACGAACACTTTTGATAACAAAAGTAGATCTTTGAATTCCTGCACAATGTTTAGTTTGATCCTGGCCGATGAAATCCTTTCAGAGGAGGTGAGTTTTTATCTCCACAGCCTCACAAACAATAACTTAACATCTCATAAGGAAGCCGGCAGGAGCTCTTTGGAGAAAAGGAGGGATGGATCTGAATGAAAGTCAACAACAACCTATTCCTGGGAAGAGATGATGACAGGAAAACACCTGAACGCAAACCGGGTTTCACAAGAAATGACGTGTCGCATGAACTGATCTGATGATGTCTGTGTGTTTGTCTGTTTGGGATGAATCACAATCCACTCTTGAAGAAGAAATTTTGCTCATAATTTGGCACAAAGACTGAGAAAATGTCAAACTACTGAAGCAGAGACGTTTTAAATCACTGACTGCTGGAGGAGCGTTAGAGTTATGCATCTTTCATTCTCTCAAAGTGAGAGTTATGTTAAATTTTTATGCTTGATAAGAGGATAAAAACGTGTTAGTTTTGGTTTGTAATACTCATAAAAAAAACCTTTATAGGTTTCTGCGAAAACTGAAAAACCCTGCGGCACAAATGATGCTGAGAATCAGGATTTTGCTCGGAAGAAAGAAGTTGATTTTTCAGAGAATACTCTAGAGGCAAACTGGCTTCGATACAGAGGGGTGCTAAGACACACTGATCAAAATTTCTACTAAAATAGAGTATGAAAAATGCATTTTACAAACCGCAGAGAAGCAAGCAGTTTCCAGTGATGTTTCTGAGAAACAGGAACTTGCTGAGAAAATGCAGTTAGAGGAGTGAAAAAGCCTGATGTGGTGTTTACACTCCAGGGTCTGCAATCACTAATGCAGCTGTCATGACATAAACCCTCGCTCTCTCCCCTCGCCCATTTTCCCAGCCACACCCCGCTGGCTGCAGTTGATACACTTTGAGTTTCATAATAAGACCTTTCTCATCCCCGAGCCTGGACCAGGAGGATCCCCTCATCATGATGTCAGCATTATCACACATCTGTTTCTGATTCCACACCTGGACGTTGTTGCATGTTTTCAGATGATCAGCCATGTGCGCAAAGATTAACGTCCAACAGCTGCCAGATGACAGGATAATAACAACAACAACAACGACAGCCACATGAGAGCAATCTGGAGGGGTGAGAATATGAGAGGGGAGCGTGCATCGCAAACTCTCCTGAAATATAAAACACCTTCAGGTTTTGGTTGATGTGTGACAGAGAGAGAGAAGAGAGGCGCAGCAGAGGTACGACCACTTAACCCTCTGATGTAAACGGTAAAAATAACAGCGACTGAAGCCACAATCATGCAAAGAGCAACTTTATGATGATCACGTACTCGAACACTATCTTCAACAACAGCTATTCAAACACTACTGCATAATTAAAGCTGTAAAGTCCGGGTCGACTGGTCGACTTATTGGTCGATACGTGCTGAGTCGACCAAAATTTGGATCGGCAAACTCGTTTTTTTTTTTTGCATCGATTTACCAGGGATTTCCACCGCATCCAGAACAGCTCAGAATTTCGCTGTCCGACAATTCCTACCAGATCCATTTGTGAGGTGAATTTCATGTCGGATTATGGACAGCAGGAGAAATCGCGAGAACTCACAGGAACCCGCATATTCACGTTCAATCGCCTGATAACAAGTTGTCTTTAGCCACAGAGGCTAATCATAAAAGTCAGTAGATTGTGTCCTTCCAGAGGAGGAAATCTACTTCTAGACTTCTAGAATCAGCATCTCCTCATCTATGGTGTCATCAGGGTGAAATGACGTCTAAAAACCTTTCACTTGTTCGTCTCCGCCCGTTTGCATGGTGTGAAATATGATCCGCCTAAAACACGGAGTGTTTTATTTTGAAAAGAAACCGGATGTTTTATTTTGTGTCTGTGCCCGACTTCCTCTCCAGCTCTGGCGTCTGGAAAAAATAGAACTCTTTCGATCAGCTGTGGAGTCCAGCGATCAGCAGCAGAACGGAAAGAAGCCGGTGGAAATTGACACGTTAACTTGAATGGTTAAGATCGGCGGATACGTCCTTTTCGTTGCCGTTCTGGATGTGGTGGAAATTGGGGGTTACAGTCTCTGGTTAATTTCATCAGGAGGAACGTACCAAGTGCTAATGGGGGTGTTTTCAGAGCACCCTCGTTTCACAGGTAACAGCCTGTCTCAGAACACCCCCCTTTGATTTCAACATTTTGGATTTGGCCGACCATATTCTGACTTCTGACTTCCCGTAAAGAGGACACGACTACGTGGGGGCGGAGTCACAGGGTCGCACCAAGTTACTTTAGAGAGTTTTTCGCGTCAGATTGAGTGTCTTTTACGCGCCTCTAACTCAGTAAGTTTACGTGACACAAACTCGAAGCTTCCGTACAAAACCGCGGACATTTGAAGGATTTCATAAACTTCCCCAGACAGCCCCCAAAAAGAGGACATGTCTGGGTTAAAAGAGGACGTATGGTCAACCTGCCATTAGTCAATTTTTGGTCGAAAATTTCAGTGTTTTAGACTTTCTGTGGTTGATTTCAGCTCCACTGCATACAAATCTTGCTCACGGCTAGTCGAGAGCAAAGTTCAGGAGTATTAATATGATGTTCTGCAAATCTGGGCCAACATTTCACGCCACAGTTTTATTTTTGAATGGCAAGAGATCACAGCAGAGTGTAACTTGGCAAATTAAAGCGCTTTTAAAGCCTTGAAGGAGAGAGAAGTGCTCGTCTTTGTTCCAAACTCAAACAGTTTTCCATGAAAAAACTGGCGAATAAAAAAGATAGCATCAGCGTGTCTTATCGGAGAGTCACTTTAGTCCAACAGAAACACTTTTGTATCGCTGGTTTCCCTCTGTATGAAATGTCTAGCTTCTTTAAAGTGGCAGATATCCAGAATAAGAATCTCTATCATCCTGCGTGAGCCTGACATCAGAGCCGTTCTCTAACAAATGAAAACAGACCGACAAATCCATAACACTCTGAGAAACCGTGTCCATTTATTTGGCAGGAGTGTTCCTAATCCACTCTCTCAAATGAAAAACAAAGACTTGAAAAAAAAAACAACACAATTGCTAATTATATTGTGTGCTGGGAGCTGTGCTGCTGGATTTCTGTGAAAACTTAGATGCAAGCTGTCGCAAAGAACGCCAGAAAGCACAGAGGGAGACGGATAAAGGGGAGGTGTTATTGTAATTTGTTTGGTAGTACTTTTATGTCTGAAATAATACAAGAAAACATCAAACGAGCTTAAAAGTAAACAGTAAATTATAAGGATGTAGCCTTAGTGAGTATTTTTAGTCGACAAAATGCTAAAAATCCTGGAGACTTTAACAATTAATCCACTTCTGATCAGCAAATGTATGAAGTCGTGTCTCCAAAATAGAAGTTTAAACAGTTGAACATTATTTCACAGCAGCTGTACAGGAGATCGTGGAGATAGAGAGGGAGGAGACAGAGCTGAGGGCTTCCTACCGTGGTTGTCGTCTGACTGGTTGAACCCACACAGCTGGCAGATGGAGCGGACCCACTTGTTCATCTCGTCCTCGGTCTCGGCTACGAGATAAAAAGTGCGGTCTGAGGTCTTGATGTCAAAAACAAAACTGTCCTGGAACTCCTTCCTCTTAAAGGTCAGGCCGGCGTCCACCTGCTCGCAGCAGTGCAGGTCGATGACCCGGATGGGTTTTTTCGAGTGGTCGTTCTTGTAGTACTCAAGAACGTCGGGGTCGCCACTCATGCGGCCGCTGCGGAGTATAAACCAGCGTTTCTTCCATGCCTGGAAAAGAAGAGGACATGACCTCAGTTAGCCGAGGAAAACACTCACACTGTGTTTACTTTAAATCTCTAATCTGAAACGAACATTTAAGGATTTAATCTGTATTTTAAATAATCAGACACTCTACAGGTTACATGTGATGCACACTGTAGCCATGGAAACGAACTCTAGACGTTAACTGTTGATGTAACAGATCACGGAGCGACTCGGGTCGGCGCTCTGTAGCAGGTAAGCGTGCCTCAGCCCACATGTGGTTGTGTGTGTGGTTAGTATGAATGTTCGAGGCTCTGGAAGGGAGGCAGCAGGTGTTTACTTCCTCCTAACGTATTTCCTGTGCCGATATCCTTCTCAAAGCTCAGAGAGAAACACAAGAACACGACAGCTTCGGCAGGTTCCTCCCACTTTAAGTAGAACTGGTTTTTATCCAATCAGAATAAAGCAACATCTGCCGAAAAGCTGGAGTTTCCCTGATCGTGTAATTTGTGGAAAGGAGCAGGAGAAACCTACAACACAACGAGTTGATTTCACACCAATGACTCTATTGTTGTGTTTGTCAGCTGGAAAAGCATGAAGGAAGAACAGTGGCCTTGGTTCCAACAGCCCCATATGTTTTTTTTCCAGTGGCAGTCTTAAAGGGCCTCTGTGTTCTCGGCGCTCAGAGACAAAAGAGGAAGATAGACCAGGAAGGGAAAGAGGGGGGAGACGAGGGGGGCTCTTGGACATCTGCCAGTGATGCACTTCCGCTCGGCAATGTCTCTTACACACAGGCTGCTGACACACAGGATCCTGCAGGCCCCCCTCTCCCTCCATCAACACAGACACTGCCGCAAGGCTAACTGCCCCACACACCCCCGCAAACCAGAATGACACCGTACAGACGCACAGACACGCACACAGGGGGAGTGAACTACCTCTCACTTTCCAGAGGAGTTGTAAACCTTTGCGAAAATGGATAAAAATGTCTGATAACCTTTGAGGCGCATCTTTAATGATAGCCGGATCAGTCACGATGTTTCAGTGTGTCCCTGTAAATCATGACAGTGTCACAGTTAATAACAGCCCCGAGCTTTTTCCCATTACAGCAACTCAAACCGTCCTCTGCGTAAAAAAGTCCCTCCTGACTTTACATGAAACTGTAATCCACCTTCCTGTCATCTTAAAACCAAACCAGGTTAAAGTACGGTGTTTATTATGTAGTGATATTTCACATTAAACAGACCTGGTAGAAATGAAATATAATACTCCAGTTCTTACATAATATCTTTTCTTTGTCGCCCTCCTTGAACAGAGGCCGTCATTTTGCCCCACTTTGTTTCCGCCGTCGAAAAGAAGCAACAAACTCGACAAATGTGTGGTTTTGTATTTTGTGCACAAAAATGCACAAGCTGGAAGAGGACAAAGAAGAAAAGAGAATGAAGGATCATACAGGAGCTTCTTAAACTCTGTTACTTCACTGATGAGAGGGGCGAGCGAGGGAGCATTTTCAACAAGAATCTGACAGTTTGTGATATTGGGAAATATTCACATTCCTGAACCTCTGAGTCAGACTTGTTCTCATTCCTGATGTTAATCATAATAAAACTCCTCAAAAATTCAGAAACTTCAAACTATAAATAATAGTGGTGGGAGAAAAAAATGATTCACATAAGGATCGAGATTTTTTGTTTTACAATCTTTTAATCGATTTTTATGTTCAAAAATTTTACACACCTGGAGCGTTTTTTTCATGCCATTATTTCGGACGTCAATATTTTTTTTCGGACCCGTATCCTGTCAATAAGAACGTTCACATCAGCAACGTTTTCCCGTCCTGCAATATTGCAGCATTCATTTTTTCGTATCACAGTCGAATTTTCTAAAGTTTCGCATACTGTGTGTCCACTTCTGACCAATCAGATTGCATTTTGTTGCGATGTCTGATTCGCCGGTATATCCAACATGGCCGACCAGCTAATTGTTTACGTGTCGGAGAACAGAGAACAAATATTACAAAGATAACGACCTGAAGGACAACTTGTGGAGAGTCATAGCGTCAGATTTCTCATCTGACGATGGTTTGTGTGCTTTAACAGTTTGATAAACGTCTTTGTTTTAACTTTCATCTGTGCTAAGTAACTTTAGCTTGTAAGCTAACCTGTTCAGATACAACAGACCATATGTATTTTCACTGTCTCAAACTCAATCACAGCGTTGCTGTCACAGCATCATTAGGTCTCGGTTGTTACCTTACGTTTATGGATTATAGTTTAATATTCTTATCTGGTACTGACCCTGACTCAGTACATGCTATCATGACAGACAGACATCTCAACACTAGAGTCTGATCAGAACTGAGAAACACTCAGTCTGCTGTTGGCTCAGTCTGCTCGCTTCCACTTGGGACGCGTCTTTAAATAGTCAGGCGCATCAAAATTCACCTTCGAATGTTTCGTAATTTCGCGTTGCATATTTGCGTCGTTCCCGGTGTGTCAGGACCTTAAATCTTAAAAACTGACTTAAATGTGGTGTGTATTTTTTCGAGGAAATATGGTTCCTAGAATAGTCAGTAAATAATCATCATCATTCAACTGTTTCACTGGTGTTAAAAATGCAGAATAAAGATTGACAATATCGTAGAATCGCAATTTAAACCAAATCGGCATCCAAAAAGTCGTAGAAGAATCGAATCAGGAGAAAATCATATTGTCCCAGCCCTAATAACTAAACTGATGACTACTGTAAATACAAACTATCAAACATGAGATACTATCTTCATATCGTGTATCAGCGTGTCGCTGCTTTATTGTGAAATATCACTGAACCGTTGTGTTTTCAGACTTATTATCATCGCTGCTGTTTGTGTTTCCTCTGAGGATCACAGGACGAGTCTGAAACACGTAGTTTCTCTTATTTTTCCACGAAAGTGCAGATTGTGATCTTATCTTTGTTTTGTAGCTGAAAAGCTCCTGAGGTATATTAGAGAGAATAACTCTTTTTTTTTTTCATTTTATTTTCTGATACGCTGATAAAAGCTGGAGGCAGGATGACCCTCGAAGAGTCGAGTCGCTCCGCTTCGCGCATCTCACCAATAATATCCTCTGTCTGAGAAAACTGAGAGATACTGTAAAAGCAACATTAGATCTAATCACTGATGTCTCGGAGAGGAAGTTATTAAAAAAACAAACTAGGTATTAGGTCATGTCTCACGCTGGTTAGCTATTAAAGTTCATTATTCTAGTAAAGGGTGTGGATAAACAGGTTCCCAAGAAGTCAACAGTCGTACTCTTGGAGTTTCTTTCTGAGGTGTGAACTTCCTTATTTCATAAATACACAGTACAGTCATCGTCACATCACACTCCTCCTCCAGAAGAAAAAACCCGAGTGTGTGTACGTTTCTTTCCTTCGCAGCTCTTTGGTTCACTGCCATTACACCATCAGGGGAAATCGCCATAACTCTTGCAAGCCCCATTTAAATATTATTGCCTTTTCTGGAAGGAGAGAGAGCATCACTTAATTGAGACCTGGAGCACAGCCCAGATTGAAGAGGTCAGTGCGACCCAGCTGGGTTATTCCTGGCATCCTTCAGCTGTGGACAGCGTATTAACCCAGGACAGCAGCAACAGCTCTCAAGCATGGAGGAAATACAACTCATTTAGGAGGCCTGATCGTCCTAAAAATAGATGGAGTATTTTCCACAGGAAAAGCATTTGCTGTCTAATTCAAAAGAAAAATGATGCGCAGCCCGTTCTGAATGAGACGGCTGAATCATGTTTTTTTCTGCTTCACACTTAACCGCGAAGAAACTCGCAGATATATATCGCACGATGGAGGATAAGTGAAAACATCTCGAGTGCGTTCAGATCTGGATCCGTTTTTTTAGCAGTACAGCGGTGATGTGGTTTACTCCTCGCTCTCACGCACCCTTTAAAAACTGAGTAACTTCCCTTGTGGAGTAAATCACAGGGGAGGAGGGAACAACAAAACGAACTAACCCACCCACCGCCTGTCCTACAGAGCATGTCTAAGCCCATCGATCACTGTCCGAGCGCTGGGAAGAGAGGGCTGAAGCTGTAAAACTAGGCTGAACTCTCCCAGCGCTCCAACTTTCCCCTCCCCCTCATCGCTACATCACCGTTCAGAAACAACAGGGCTTAGCCGAGATCCACTGCCCTTGTTAACAACTGGACTGGACAGCCCACTGGACCACTGAGAGAGCCGAGAGCTAGGCCACTGCCGATCACACCACAAACTCCTCACACAATAACAACATTATAAATCGAGCCACGAATACTCCAAAACACAAACAGGACATGCTGTAGCCCCCGACTGCCCTCTTTCAGCGGTTTCATCAAACGAAAATAGGCAGAAAAACCCCACCACCACTGATTCAGCAGAAAAAACACCCAGAAGAGGATGAGTCAAACATTTCAGACTAAAACTTAGGATAACTTCTTTGAGTTTCAAGAACCCTGGTTCTGGGATTTGAAGGGTCACGACTCCAGACCTTATAAAAAGGAAGAATTGCCTGCTGGCGCTCGAAGGGCGGCCATCCGTATGTTTGGTCCTTTCAGTCTTAGCTGGTGGCAGCCAGACCCGGATCGAGAGAGACTCCACTGAGTACAAAGGATAACCTGTTTGCATCTATTTTTGATGGGAAGGAAAACATCTAATAACAAAAACCACCGAAACAATCTTTTGAGCGAGTTTACGTCCAAAAATAGGATCAAAACATTTTTTTTCTTGCAGATTTCTTTTGTTTCTCCGTATGTTGTTGATAAGTTTTCTTGTTATGCTCTATTTCTGGCGGAATGCTAAACAAGGATACTGTGGGAAAACAAACACAAGTTCCCAGTTCACGGATATAAAAGGGAAACCATTGTCTGCTACATGTTGATAGTTTTTTTAACACTTAATGGAGAGCAAGGTACAGTTTACTTACTGCGACCATTTCTAAACCAGCCGAACTTATCACCGCCGTCCTGAACGCAGAGATGGCTGCGGCCTAAACAATTATCCAAGGTGTGCCTATTACAGCCAGAGAGCAATAGACGGTGTGTGTAGTAGTAGGCTGTGTCAATAGGCTGACAGATAAGCATCAGTCCGCATGTTTTTAAATGTGTGTGAGCAAACATCCAAACTAAACACGTGTGTTGTCCCAGTTAAAGGTCAGGATGGTCTTGTTTACCTCTCCTCCTATTAGATCAGGAGAGGTAAGAGTAGGTTGTTGTCCCAGACTCTGCCTCCTCTGCTTTACCTGCTGCTGGAGTACACACACTGTACAGCTGCACAAACACCAGCGCGGCGGCGGAGCTGTGGCGTACACCAGGCTTGTGTACATTTATACAAGCTTTTGTGTAGGTTATGTGCCAGAGCGGGATGATTTACCTGCTTTGACTCCGAGCACTCGGCTGGTGTCGTGTCAGAGGCCTCAGGTAACATGTCTGCAGCTTGATCTGAGCAGCGACAGTAACGCAGGGATGAGGCTGCATGAGAAAACGGAGGTATAGTGCCGCATTACAGCTCATAAAAGGTGAGTTGAGAGGGATCCCTGTGGTCCCACCGGTGGGCTTATAAGGGATGCTTCAGAGAACAGAGGCGAGGGAAAACGTGCTCGCTGGGGTTTTTAGTGTCCTCTCTCAGCCAATAGAAAGAGAGTTCAGTACAAGGTTTGAAAGCTTCATGCAAATCAGAAAATAAAAACATGCAATCTTCATTTTTCATTGTATTTCTGTGGTTTGTATGGCGTCTGTTGTTGCCTTTCTTTATAACCTGGGACACTAAAGAAAATCAGCACTTGTATTCAGAGGAAGATACTGTAAAAAAGGCAAATTTTCCATCAGGTCTCAGTTTTAACTCTGTAACTTTTGTCTCTTAGCTTGATTTCTGAGGTTAGAAATAAAACTTAAGGTGAAGAATTCTGGACTTGTGCTGCTCACATCTCAGCATGAGGCGGTTTTTAATTGCAGCTGCTCTGAATTGTTAATGTTTCTAAAGAAAGAGGAAAGACGCCGTCCTCCTCCTCCTCCTCCTCCCACATAAATGTCTAGTAACGCATCCTTCCCTCATCCATCCTGTGTGGGTGCTGCTTTCTAGTCTCTCAAAGTTAGTTAGGAATTAGGGCTGTAATCAGCCAGAGAAATTCCTGATCGACTAAAACCCTGAAATTTTTGACTAAAAATCGACGAATCAGGGGGGTATTATTCCAACTCTGACGGAAAACCCCTCTGCGGTGGAGCGAAAATTTACTGATATCAGCACAAGACGGCAATTAAATACGATGAAAGTTAAAACGCTCAAAATAAAAATAATCATTCAGCAAACCACCGGACGTTGATTGACGACGACGCTCTTTACCCTCAACTTTCACTGCATCTGGACCGGCTCAGATCCAGACCGGCAGCAATTTCCGCCGTCCGCCAATTCCTACTGGATCCGTTCGTGAGACGAATTCCGTGTCGCATTACTGACAGCAGGAATCGCGAGAACTCACAAGAACCCGCAGATTCGTGCGATAACAAGTTGTCTTTAGCCACATAGGCTAACTGTGTAAGCAGTAGATTGTGTCCTTCCAGAAGAGGAAATCTACTTCTAGACTTCTAGAATCAGCATCTCCTCATCCATGGTGTCATCAGGGTGAAATGACGTCTAAAAACCTTTCACTTGTTCGTCTCCGCCCGTTTACACGGTGTGAAATACGATCCTCCTGAAACACGGAGTGTCTTATTTTGAAAAGAAGCCGAATGTTTTATTTTGTGTCTGTGTCCGACTTCCTTTCCAGCACGGGTTAATCTGTGCTGAATTTATCCGCCATGCTCCGGTGATCGGAATAATTAGAACTCTTGCGATCTGCAGCGGAACAGAAAGAAGCCAGTGGAATTTGACACATTAACTTAAATGGTTACGATCAGCTAAGATCGGCGGATACAGCCTTTTCATAGCCGTTCTGGATGCGGTGGAAATTGGAGGTTACTGTCTCCTGCCGGTTAGGCGAATCCAAAATTGTGAAAACAAGGGGGGTGTTCTGAGACAGACTGTTACCTGTGAAAAGATTAGCACTTGGTACGTTCCTCCTGATGAAATTAACCATAAACTGTAAATTGACACAGAAAGAAATCAAGCATGTATCGACTAATAAGTGGACCAGTCGACTTGGACTTGACGGCCCTATTAGGAACAAAAGATGAATATTTAGCACATTATAGTGGTTTCACTTCTTGTCCCTTCCAAATACAGCTCGAATTCAATCTAGAAAACACCTCTGAACAAAAGAGCAGCAGTCAGGGCCGCTCTGAAAGCACCAATCAAAAGGTGGGACCAGCATAATGGCAGCGATTGTGTGAGCGAATGCTTAAACACTTGTGATTCTGGTTAATGTGGGCAGAGGGGGGAAGCCTGGACTGGCTGCAGCAAACAATGACGGCAGAGGACTGATTATTATGTGCTCCTAATCAATAGTGGGTCACACGTCACATTCCAGGAACACATGGGAGTTTTAACCAAGAGAGGGGGTGCAGAGTATAAAGTCTGCCATTCACAGCACAAAAACTCCTTAAAAATTGCTCTGCTCTGCATGAACTTCCTGAAAATCCTGCATCCATGCTGAACACTCTGTACCAAATGCCCCTTGTAGGCTGTGAAAATGTTTAAAAGGTTTCCCGTGGGCTTGTCAGGTGTTATGCATCTGTATTTACCTACGTGACATGAGTTTATGCAACACTCGGCTTAAATAAAACAAATCTGGACAAAAGAGAGTGCAGGGAAGCTCCTCGGACATTTCCAGTTTACACTAGGCTCCGAGTCTCGTCTCTGAGTGAGAAGCTAAGCAGACAGCCTACCCAGACAGAGTTTATAACACATGTTTCTGCAGTTTTTCCCATAAATTCAGGTCACAAACAAAACAGGAATCCAACCGTGTGCCAACAATGTGAGGCCAGTTTGCATTTTCAGCAGCTAGAGCCCATTATCTGTTTCGAGCACTGAAGACTTCCAGATGCTCCCGAGTTGGACCCGACTCAGTCCCATCTGTGTACCAGCAAAGGTAAACATGAAAGTGATGTTAAACAGAATTACTGATAGTATAAAACCGCAGACACACGAGTCCTGAGGATGCATTAGTGCTCTGCTGCAGTTTAAATCAACCCGCTCGGGTTTCCCAATAGTCAAAACACCGACCTTGGAAGGCCGGCAGCTGCAAGACTTAACGCATGCCGATAAGACCCAAACAGGCCCATAAATCCCTGTGTGTTAATAAGGAGGGTGGGAGGCTCGCCACGCCGCGCCAAGACAGACACGGCTCTCTCGAGGGAAGGAACGCTATCTTCATGTGTGGATTCGCCAAGTTCAAATCCGCCTGTTTGCTTTCAGCTCTGTTTTCTGCATGTAAAAGCAAAGCCGAGTGTAATTCATCTTTCACAAACATGACGGTTAATAGGATTCCACATATAATGTCGTCACATGACTGTGATGATGGAAAGCTCCATCCTACAGGTGTGATAATGATGAAGTGGGATGCTGCATTTGGTACCTGCAGTCCTCATTCATCCACATCATGGGGGCAACGATCTGTGAAATCTGTATGAAAAACAACCTCTGAAAAGCTCACAGTAGGTATAATCAGCCTCAATTTACAGCCGAACACTTCCATCATTAGCAAAATGAGTAATTTCACATCATGTCTCCATAGCAGCAAATGGCTGGGTTTATTTAGCATGAGCCTGGCCTGACAGTTTGACTAGCGGGGAACATTATCTGTAATCAGAACTCTTTGTGTCGCTTCCCCAGCCTCTGCCATCTGCAGAGACTCATACATGTCTGCATATGAAGGGTCAATGAAGCTCCAACACCATCATGCTCATGTGAGCTACGTCTCACCTGCACCCCATCACGTTCAGTCACTGATGCTGCACTCAGGATTTTGTATTTATAACATCTATTAATGCACTTTGAAATATATCATGTAGCTGAAGCACACAAGGATACACAAGCTCATACGTCGACGCATCTCTGCAAACATAAAAACAGATAAATTCACCGGTTTGGAAGCTGAATTTTGCAAATTTATCTTCACTGATTAAATATAAAACCTTTGAGAGAGTGATCGCTCACGGCGCCTGATTACACAACATTACACAGAAGTACGCAGCTTTAAATAATCACATAAAAAGATGAAGACAGAGATAAAACCACATGGTGATTTGGCAGTTGCATAAAAATATTTTTTTTCTCAAACCTCTACACTCTCTTTTTCCTCTGAATCAGTTTCCTCCATCAGATAATTTTTGTATCTGTGGTAAAGAAAAACTTTTGAGTGCTTGTGGTCGGTTTCGTTTTGATTAGCACAACAGCGGCTGAGAAAACTTATCATTGCAACTGGTATGGTGTTTCACATGAAACAGAAACACATCAATATATACAGTTATTATTAAAAAGTTTTTTTTAATGCAACAATTTTCACAGGTTAAAATATCATTTTTAACTGTTAAATCTCTTTTAAGTGTAGTATAATCACAATAAATGTACACATTAGTTATTTATTCAGTAGGCGCTGACAGTAAGTGTGGGTGGGCCTTTGGTTTTTTCTTATAAATACGAAACTATATAATAAATTCACAGGCAGAAGAAGGAGGTGGCTACGGAAGAGGGTTAAGGCCACAAGAAGAGAAAAAAATATTTACAGGAGGGAGATTTTTTTTATTTCCATTTTGAGATTCAAGTCAAAATTTCGAATTATTATTATTTTTATTATTATAAATCTATTTATTGAAACACATCACATCATGTTACATGTCCTTTACAAATAGATGTATGATTTTTTAATAAATTTTGAGATTGAGGTCAAAATTTTAACTTTATTCATGTCGACTTTCATCTCAAAATTATTATTTTTTTAATCTCAACATTTTGACATTATTCACGACATTTCAAAATTGATTAATCACACAAACCTACATATCAGATATAATGGTCTACAGCTCGCTGGCATGTTCTCATAAACGAAATTTCAATTTTTAATCTCGAAATTTCGACTTTAATCTCCTTTCCTGTAATTATTGTTTTTCTCTTCATGTGGCCCTAATCCTCTTTCATAGCTGGCACTTTCAACAAATGTTTAATGAACTTCAAAAATACAACAAAACTCTGAGATACTAATGTGTTTTGTCTCATTTTAGCCTAAATAAGAGTTTCTAATCAATCTCTCCCTCCTTTCTGAGCTGATCCTGGTCGAGTAAACAAAGTCACTGTTCAAAGGGAACATGTGTGCCACCTACGTAAGTAAACACACATCCAAGACAATTAGAAACATGGTTTAAATCCTTCTGTATCATCTCTGTTTACGTCTTTGCCTGGAGCCAAAAGGCATTTCCACTGACTCATGTCATGACAGCAGAGCTCATTGACTTCAGAGAGACAATCTAATCTAATGACGGTCATATGACATGTCAGCCTCCGGCCAATAGAGGACCTAGTAGCATAATTCCAGTATATGACTGTGCTCAGACCTTGTCAACAGTCCACCTCTCTCGTAGCAGAAGCGTCCCTGTTGTTGTAAACTTTTATTCTCAGCACCAGGCCTGTCTGAGAGTCCCGGAAATAAGTCACAGATTATCACATCTGGCCCAAACCGAAGAGGAAAAATCAATGGGATCTAATCCCCCTCAGAACAGCAGCACAGTGAGCTCAGCTGATAGAGTCTTGATCGATTTAAATGGCTTCATATACCCTCAGACCAATTTAATTTCTGTCCCCATCATGGGACCTCTGTCACAGCACTTCCTGTAGGTACCATCCAAAGGAAGTCCGGCATCTGCTATTGGTGCAATAATTAGGTTTTGTACTGGAAACACACAGGATTAACAAGAGTCCATGGCTAAAGGACAGGATATCATGACGTAAAGGTTCAAAGAAGAAGAGCAGCGTGAGATTTCCACAGAGAAAATACAAGCTCAACATTTCCAACAAACAACAAATCCCATTCATTACATGTCAACTCGTCCATGCATATACAACACTACAAAAAACAATCCATTAATAGGTCCGACTATCAGATAAACCTCAGCACTTCACTGGTTCTGCTTCAGGCCCGTTACAGAGATCCCTTTCAGAGAGCATATCTTAAAATGATTAAGTAATCCAACTTGAGGACTGGGTTCACAGAAAGCCAACCCGGTTTTGTAGCTTCTGGGGGGAAAAATCTCGTTTGAGGGCCCTCAGATAAAGTGGAACAAGGAAAATGTCTGTGTGAGCGCTGGGTGTCTGTCAAAGCAGGAACTGGGAGGCGTTCTCTGTTGACCTCTGAGGGCAAGGACTTCCCAAAGCCCCTTTGCAAAACAACAGCAGACCCTGCAGATGACAGTGGAACACAGGCGGCGGCTGCTCTGCTCGGCTTTGGAAGCTCTAACTCTAACTCGACCTCTCTTCCTTTTTGTGTACCATCCATGGGGGCGACATGCGAAGCCCTCAGACGCTGGCAGAAGCAGAAGCAGCCGCCGCAGCAGCTATCACCTTGATATGATCTGTCTGGAATGTGGCAATGCTTTACCGTATGTGAACAGACACGTTTGTGATGTCAGGTACAACAACGGGTAGATGGGAGGGTTTAGCCAAGGGCAGCTTGATCTCAACCTGAGACCGAGGATTAAATTGTTAACAGAACAACACGTCACAAGATGATGCTTCAGATGACGTGTTTTTACGCATATGTCAACACCTGGATTGGAAAAACTTTGCAACGTAAAGGTCATCCTTTCTTCTCTGCGGGTCAAGGTGGAAACTCCTCCGTCAACAAATGTTTAATTAACAGTATACTGATTTAATGAGTGATATGTGGTTGCCTGAGCAGCAGCTACAAACAAAAGACTGTTCGGGCGTGATGAAGCATATTGTCCGACCACTGACTGATGAGTAAAACGAGCTAAACAGATCCGTGCTGGATGAGAGCGGGGTTACTCAGTTGTTTTCATGTTCCTTTCTGCTTATTCTGGACATTGTTCAACAAAAGCAACTAAGCCACTCCCACATACCCCTAAACCACTGCCCACCTCTGGAGCCTCGACCGGCCCCCGAGAAGAGATAAAGCCAACCGAGTGAGTCATTTAGAAGCTCGGAGACATTAGAGCCGAGCTGTTTTCCTTGTGGGGATGCAGCATGTGTGAAAAGTGACTACACATGCCTGCAGTGCTGCTGTCACATGTCTGAGAGGGGAGAGTGGGGGGGCACAGAAAGTTTATGCTCATCATGTGTCTGCTGGGCAGTAGAGTAGCTGTTGTAGAGTGAGTCACAGCGGAGAGTTAATAGCCTTTGTCAACAATTAACAAACACTGAACCAGGACTAGTCGTGCTTGTTATTGAGGAGACATGTTGTCTCCTGTTTTTTTTTTTTTTTTACTACAGGCTGAATCCAGGCTTCAACTGCCATGAGTGTTTTGCTCCCGAATTTTGCATATGATTTGCATGCCAGAGGTGCAGTAGAAGTACCAGTTTTTACTCTGTCCTGAGCCTCCCCTCCTGGGTTACACGCTGCAAGCAGAGGGAACTTGTTTCAACAAAAATGACCAAAAAAAAAAGAAACCTACTGATTGACAAATACAGGCCTCATCTGGCTCAAGTAGTGGAATATTGACAGGCTGTGTTGTTTTAGTGCTGCTCAGGATTAAAACATATTCTCATTGTTGCAAATGATCGTCTAAAACACACACAACAGTCTGAACTATTGCATCATTTAACTTGTCAGCGGCTGCCCTGACAAACACATGCCATCAACACCTCCTCAATTCATTCCAGTCTAATGACCGATCCAACGTGCGCTATGTTTGTGACACACACACCTTGAGTCAGGAATGTCAGACAGTAGTATCTGAGAATATCCCTCTGCATCAGGACATCAGCTCTGTCAGGTGACACCAATACTGAGGGGAAAACAGCCCTGATTGTCCGTAGCCCGGCTTTAAGTGGAAGGAATTTCAGATGGTCAGATTATCGCATTAACAAGTCGGCCTGTTCTGGACGCTCCATCTCATGACACTGTTTTCTGGCTGAACGAACTGTAAGCACTTGTTTACAGGTTAGTGCTCAGGGTGAGAAACGGGGTGAGAAGGGCTGAGAGGCTGCTCCCTGCTCTGCTGCCTGAGGAAGGCCATTATGTTAGCTCCATTATGTCTCATGAGGGTTTTTTTTTCTTTCTCCTGTTGTTTATACAGTACAGCTATGAAGCAGGCTAGTTTTTTCCTCTGTACCATTGCAGCTGCTGTTCCATACTGACCATGGTGGTCTCTGTGTAAACATTAGCAGGCTTTAAGTGGAAGACAATGAGGAAATGACAGGACAAAGGGGGGGTACATTTGAAGACATTCAAGGATGGATTTCCAGATGAAACACAGGGATGACATCATGGCAAAGTCAGCTAGTAGGAACATGGAGAGGCCTGGTAATGCAACACCATACATAAACAGCGGACAGCTGTATTTATAGGAGATTGTCTCATTGTATCTGCCTCAATAAATCCTATTATCTGATTTACAGCCAGTCCCCTACCCGGCACCCAACTAGAGACTAAGAGCTCAGTCCTCTAAAACCTCATCATGACTCTCAAATGTTGGGGACACGTCGCTCGAGTTGGCTAGGCCCTGATGAAAACTGAGAAAATCAATATCTGATTAGACATTACCTCATCCTAATGAGATGAAGCAGAAAAACAGTTTGAGTCAGTGAGCTCTTAAGTCAAACTGTAGACAGCTGTTTGGTATTACAAAGGCTTACCTCCATGTTGTCATAGGAGCCTATAGTAGGTGGCCTACTATGTAAAATCTGGTGACTCCATGTGGTGTCAAATCTACATCTACAGACTGTTATTTACAAATGATGCCATGCTTAGGTCTTACAAAGAGAGACGTCCAGAGTGGAGTAGGTGCACCTGCTACATTGGGACTTAAAATAAATGAGATTGACACCTTTAATCTGAGAGGAGAGTGAACAAAACAAGAAAGCAGAGCTGGACAGGGAGAGAACAATGCCATGTTACAACCAAACTCAATAACTCTGAAGATAAACTTGGAGAAAAGTGGAAAGAGTGATCCTCTACTTACATATCTCCTCAGTTTTTTCTCCGGTGGTGACTTTCTCAGCCAGCCTTGGAAGAGGATTTCTCCGCCGCTCATGTTTGTCACTGTGCGCACTTTCTTCTTGCTCTTCAAACCGCCGTCTGTCACTAGAACATGACGGCTCCTCAAGGCTTGCCTGTTCAAAGAGCTGTCGGCGTTTGGCTCCCACTGGTGCAGTCTGCTCCCCCCATTTGATAAAAATCAAAGTAGTGCTGGCCGGAGATGTTGCCCGTAGCTCCCGGTGGTACTGTGCGCAACCACCAGCGCGCAATCCTACAGTTGGGGAAAAAAAGAGGCGCAACTCGATTTCTAAGCAATTACGCACGGCAAGCTGACAAGGAGCCGCGGGGAAACTCAACTGATGCAGGGTGAGGAAGTACCGTAGGGTGTCTGCAGTTTGTTTTCCCAACTCATACCACGCCCACCGAGCAAAGAGAGGGATGGGCCGAGCTGGGATGAACAGGATGGGAAAACCGCTGCCGTAAAGTCGCTCCCAGACCCCCCCAAAAGAACTGGAACAGTCAAACCGTTCCTTCGTTTGGGGGATTGACTTATCTGTGTTTACACAACGTAATATGATCTAATTAAACACACGAGAATGCGTCTGAATCTTCATAAAGAAATCAAAAGTATTTGTCATACCTGCGCAAACTCAATTACGCATCTGCGCAAGTGACACATGAAGGTTTATGAGATTTTCTGTAGCCTGCAGAGAAGGTTAAATCGACTCAAAAACTGCTTTTGAGTAAATCTTTGCTTTTTTCTTCTCTGGGAAAAAGCACCATCTTGTGGAAGTTGAACTTAACTGTGTTACTAAAACGGGACTTTCCATAGAAGTGATCGAAATAAACACAGGGGCGCATGAAATCCCAGTTTTACATCGCCCATGGTTGTTCTATAAAATACAGAGTTCATTTTATTTTGAAAGAACGAGTTTATTGTCTCTCACACACCGGATTTCTAAAGACAAGAATGTAGGGAAATTCAACACAAGAAACCAAAACAAATGAATCAAATGTTAATTCAGAGTTTATTTGATCAATCTTCATATTTAACAAATGTCCATAAAGTTTGAAGTTTAAGTTAGAGAAGACAAGAATGGGAAGACCTGGGAAAAGGAATAACATCCTTAATGTTGTCAACACCGAGGACACACTGTAAATAACGCTCAAACCCCAATCCAAAACCACCGTGAGGGACAGAGCCAAACCGTCGAAGATCCAGATACCTGTAAATAAAAAATAAAGAATCAGAACTGCGTTTTTTAAAATGTAAAGAACATCTTTGTATTGTAAATGTTATTTACCAGCTGTAAGTCTCTTCTAATCCAGCCCTGGAAAAGTAACAGAGCTTATGTAAGAACCTTCAGTGGAAACATAAACTTCAATTTAATCATAAATCCTCTATTGAAACGTTCATGTCATTAATCCACACACAAACAGAAACTCCTTTTTCTATAGGACAGCGCTGTCCTCTACAGGGAGGGTGCAGGGATACCTTTAATGCTGATTTTATTATTGCCTTCTTTTATAAACATCCCTAAAAACAAACTCTTTGGAAGGACGTCAATTTTCTCTGATGTTTTTTTTAATATTTAATGTGAGGTGAGTCAGGACACTCCTGTTTAATACTCTGAATACAGCTGGCCTCAAACCTTTCTGCACATTGCTGCCTTATGTGTCAGATGAAAATGAGCTTCTTTACTGCAACAATGGACCAGCTGGACAAGACAACACTGCTGGAATTCTGCATGTTTTCCATTCGTGAAAATACAAAACAAACCACACCACAGAGAGACCCAAAAAAAACTGTGGTTCAAATGTTGAGTAAGAGCTTTCAAACACCCCGAAGAGTATGTGTTCTTACTCTTCCAGCCGGACCCTCAGCAGATCCAGCCTCTCCTCTCTCAGCGAGCCCCCACAGAGCTCTCCAACTCCTGGCACAAGAAGGTCCACTGCAGCTGCCTGCACACAAACGACAGCCGGTGTCAGCTCGAATATGCAAATCTCTGCGATAACCCCGGTGACATTTCAAGGAAGGAGCTGAGCGGCTAAATCATTGATTCACTCTGCATTTTTAAAAGTATAACCGAGTCTTACTGTATGCTCAGGATGGTCCTGGTTGTCTCTCGCATAAAAAGGCTTCAGATTAAACGGATAATCAGTGACGAAGACTGGAATGTTGCCACAATGTTTCACCAGGTACTTCTCATGTTCGGTCTGAAGGTCACAACCCCACTGCAGAAAAAAGAGCCGAGTCAATGTGGAGCTCCGGGTATTGATAGAGTTGGCAGTAAGCAAACAGAAGAGGAGGCTGAGATCAAATCTTTGCATTAAAAGAGGAAACAAAACCACAGCGACTTACATCTGTAGGAAAGGAGAATTTCTCAGAGCTGCGTTTCAGGATGTCAATCGCTTCACTGTAGGTTATCCTGAAAAGAGAGCGAGATCATTTATTCAAGGTCTGACCTGAGTCTGTACAGAAGTCATTTTATAAAAGATGTTTATGGATAATAATCCTTTATGTCTGCAAAAAGAGTCCATCACTGATAAATATAGAAGGAAACTCCATCAAACACCTGCGTTCTGTGCTAGAAAGTGTATTCTCTTAAACTGGATTGTGGATGGAGTCCCATTCAACTTTCTCAAAAATCCTCAGTGCGCCTTATGTATGAATTCTGGTTGTGCTTACTGTCCTCGAACCAATTTTATGTGGTACACAGCGCTCAAAAATCTGTCAAAATGTTTTATTACGTCTTCCGTAAACTACAAAGCCGCACAGCCTGATGGCTTAATGCGCTTTATAATCCGGTGCGCCTTAAAAAATACGTTACAGTGCATTGGACTACCTGACATGTAAACTTCACAGCAAAGTTGATGTGTTTCGTAAAACATGGGAACCCTTTTTGTCATATGTTGGTTTAAATATTTCTACCATTCTTGCGAGAGGGTTTGTATCATAGCTACAAACGTGCTGCCTCAAAAATTATGTCCTATTGAATGAATGTTTTTGCCCCTGTGTACCTTTTTCTGGAAAATTTTAATAAAAATATATTTAAAACAAACAAAAAAGATGTTTATACTCACACAGGAAATTTCCTCTTCAGCATGGCATCTACAATTTCCTTTAGAGTGTAAAGAGACAACAGAAGGATATGTAAATAAGGATTAACATGGACTAGGGTGTAGTTGTGTAGTTGTGACTAATTGTTATAATGAGTCAGGTTAAAAAAACTGTCCTCCAAGACTCACCCTGTGTCCAGGAGTCACATGCTTGTGAAACAAATCCACATCCTCCACACAGTGAGCCAACACATGCTCTGTGGCGGACCGGAACATGTCCTCCATGACCTACGAGGTGGGCGCAGTTTAATCATTAAAACTCAGATGACTTTAAAAGTCTGTTCGCCGTTTATATTTGATCTTTATGAAACACAAAGTGATGTGACATTAGTTATCTTCATCCACGATGTTTCTGACGTGTATGTGATGTGATGTGTGTAAAGAAATATCCAGTCTGGAATAAAAGCACGCTATCAAAGGTTATCAAACAACATTTCATGCCACTGGGGGAGAAAATGATCTCTGTGCCGCAAAATAGTGAGAAGACATTACAGAGAGATAAATCTGGTATTGAAGAGCTGGCATGAAATCTTATTCGCAATAAATGTCCCCATGAATGAAGACCGCTGGCTTTAAGAAAGGTGAGAAATCAGTGCGTTGTTTGAACAGTGAGAGGTGGAGGGAAACGCATGAAACACACACAGAAATTAACAACTATATCACTTTGATTAAGTAAAACCAATGTCGTCAGGAACCTTGGTGAGATCCTCCAAGGACTGTGTGAAGGACACCTCAGCCTCCACCATGTAGAACTCAGCCAGGTGCCGTCGGCTTTGGGAGTTCTCCGCACGAAAAGTTGGCCCGAATGTATAGACTTTGGAAAACGCTCTGGAAGGTATGAGAGTCGTGTTTAATAAGACACTTTGGTTTATTTCAGTATTTCTGTGTTTTAGAGTATAAACCAGGAGGATTTAGAAGATCACTTAAAGCTGGTCTCACCCTGACATCACCTCCAAGTGAAGCTGGCCAGAGACGGTCAGGAAGGCCGGGACAGAGAAAAAGTTCTCATCTTCATCGTGGTCTGGGCCTGACGGCTGAGGGAAAAACAGAGGTTCAGAAGTTGACTGGAAGATCGACATAACATCACCAAAACAATCTACTGTTTGATTTACTGAAACTCAAAAGTCATTGAACTATTAAAGGGTCTGTTCACTAATCTGTCAGTACTGACCTCCACCTGAAACAGCTCCCCTGCTCCTTCACAGTCATTCGAGGTGATGATCGGAGTGTGAATCTGTAAAAAGCCGTTATCCTAGAAAAAATACAAAAGTCAGTAATGAACAAAAAGACTTTCTGTGCTTTCTGTTAAAAGTCCATCTCTGATGTTTTCACCTTGAAGTATGAATGAATTGCTGTTGTAGCTTCACTTCGTATTCTCAACAAGGAGCTGAAGGCGTTTGTTCGACACCTGAGATGAGGAAACTGACGAAGATACTCGAGGCTGTGTCTCTCTTTGATTTTAAAAGGAAAATCCTGCAAAGAGAAGACAGAGGGACAATCACAGCTCACGTTCCTTAAAAATCTCATCAGAGACGAAGCAAAATATAAAGTTAAAACAGTCAAATGTGTGTGAGATGTTTGTAAAGCTGATTCTCCTTACTACAGGGTTACATTCTCCAACTACACGGATTTGCTCGGCTTCTAGTTCAACTGGCTGTTTATGGTGTGGACTTTTCTTTAGGGTACCGGTGACTTCAACAGCAGAGCCGAAGGTGAGCGACCTTTTTAAAAAAGAAAAACAGTGGCATGGAAGATTATTCAGCCAGGATACAGCTAATTCAGATTCAGAAAAATATAAAAAAGCAATTAGTGAAAAGCCTGGTTGAAAAGGTGAGTCTTGAGCCTCTTCTTAAATATGAAAGGTTCAGTATTATTTGCAGAGAATAACACTGAGGTACTTACGGATTATTCAGCTCTGAACTGGCAACAATCTGCAATGACTGTAAAGAACTCCCATCATTGACATGGAGGAAGAGGTTTGCCTTCTGAGGTCTTACTGAGCGAACCCACCCCTGCAGAAGAGAGACAAATACGAGTGTTTTTCAAAGTTATAAAACCTGACAAATACAATTTTTTGACTATAGGGGAGAGCGGGGCAAGTTGAGCCACCCCCTGTTGCTTGTAAATGGTCAAAGAAATTGATCATGTGACCAAATATTTAGGAGATGGACATCAATTCATGGAGTCTGTGAAGGTTAGAAGCACATGGGTGAAGTTCTCACTCTGCATTGAAATGATCCACGTCAGTGTTACAGCTTTGAATTAATATTGCTGTAATGTGTGTTATCATTTACTGATGTTAAGGTTGAGCTAATTTTAAACAAATTCATGCACTGTTGGGCAGTTTAAGCAACTGTAATATATTTGAAGCATCACTATCTCACATCACATCTCTCCTGTGAGATTTAGAGACTTAAAGACAGTTACTATGAGCTACAACATGAGGTCAAAAACCTTACATAAAAGTCCACCATTTTAGTCTAGAGGACTAGTAAAGTCAACATAGTAGTTCTGGGGTAAGTTGACCATGGGAAACCACTTTTTTGTCATGCTTTATTATCAAGTCAGTTAAATGTTTACACTCATTCTGTTTATTTGCAGGGATGAACAACATCCTGAAATATCTGCAGATACACGAGTTAGAGGCAAAACTATTATTGACTTGATGTAGTGATCTGAAATATGAAAAATGGCTCTCACCCCACTCTCCCCTAATGCTTAAGAATACAAACATTGTCATTCAGTGTTTGTTAATGAAAATGATGTTAAAATCAGGGTGGCATTTCATGTAATATAAAAGAGCTCTAAGGTTACCTGTACTTTGACATTTGCTCCTAGTCCAGCACCTGAAACGGCTTCAGACACTCGGAGTTTTCTTGCAGTTTTCTTACAATAATGTCGAATACAAGTCAGTCCTCCACCAGATGAGGCAGAAAACGTTTTAACTGCAGCCTGAAACATCGCGACAAAGCTGGACCTAAAAGGACAGAAGCTACTTAACGCAGAACATGTAAACACAACCTAAAAGTAGTTAAAAACAACATGATAAACAGCGTTTTGTCTCGACTTGACTTTCACGTTTTGCCCACTCGAATAGTAGCAGCACTTCCTATTTGGGTGTGACGCCATTCGCGCAATCCAATCACGTGGAGCACGCTTAACCAATCAAATGCCGGTTGTCCAGACGCAAGCGTTAAACTGCTCTAGGGAGTTGTAGTTTTTATTGAAGCGATCTGAAGTTACTTAAATATAGTCAAATGGAGAGGCTAAACACAAAGTTTCACGAAAATATATGATATAAAGAATTAGTGAGTGAAAACCGGACACATTTTAACATTAATAAGGAATAAAAAGCAAAATATTTGTCATTTTATGGTTCGTTGGCCTACATTTTTAGGAAAGAAACGTAAAAAGGGTATCACCAAACAAAGTAAATATTACTAATACCCGTTCTCTGTCGTGTAAAAGCAGTTAATCATGTCACTATCGCTACTTATCAGCTGTGAGGACTAAGATTTGGATAAATGAAATGTTGTGAATCCAACAGCGCTCTTGTTTTGAAGAAACATTTGTCATACAGAGAGATTCATCCACAAAGGACCCAAATCTTCAACAGTGAATCTCAGCCCATGTGGAGAGATTCAATTGTGTAATGAAGCAAGCAGGACAGCTATCACAACCACACGGAAATCCTCTTTAATCTTCCATGATGTATCTGCCGTCAGTGTGGGGTCCATTTGTGCGTAAAACTCGTTAATCCAATACCCACAACGGCAGTGGGTCTGTTCCCACCATTTGCAGCTGAACTAAATCAGATCATGCCAGCAGTGTAATAAGATGCCACAGACAATTATTCACCTGGTCTCGCCTGTCAGCTCTGGACCCCCTGATCTGGCTCTGCCACCAAACACAGAGCCGAGAGTCTGAACCTCGGGCTGCTGATGGCACATCATCATTAAAGCCAACATGATGCATTTGAGAAGTCAACAGGGTCATTGATATTAATTATCTCCTGCATGGATGGACCGATTACACACACAGTCTCTGCTTAATGAGGAGCAGAACTATTCTATTTTCTGAATCATTGATAAATAACGCAAAATCTAACCGGGTAATTGTTAAGGTCATTTATATCCTTCATTAGGGTCTGTGGTCAGCAAGATTAAGATATGTAACACTCTTGGATACTCTACCTATTTACAACGATATGATGCCTGTGTCTCTCCCATATTAAAATATGCTTCAGGGGTCTGGGGATTCTATAGGGAACAGAGATTTTAACTGTTTCTTGGGTGTTCATAAATTTGTTCCAATTCTGGCCGCTCTAGGTGACATGGTTTGGCTTAAGACGTAAATATGAGATGATTAGATCGTGGAATCATTTACCTTATATGCCAGATGACAGGGTCAATAAGGAAGTGTTTATTTGGAGTAAATTAAATGGTTTGCCATGAGCTAAAGAAATATGCGCAGTATTTTAAGAAGTCGGACTACAGTACATATATAGTAATAATTTAACCTGCTCAATAACTTCAATTAGAGAGAAGTTATTTGCTCGGTTTGAGACAAAATGGTTAAATGATATTTTGTTAAAGCCCAAATTAAGCACAGTCATGGCCCTGAACCTTCTGTTAAAGCAAAGAAATCAAGAAATCAGCGGTCTTTAAAGGCTCAGATGAGGACAGGAATCCTTCCTTTGATTCTTGAAGTCGGCGACTTAAAAACATTCCCGGTTTTGTGAACTATGTTAACTGAATGAGGTGGAAAGTGAGTCACATTTTCTGTTATATTGCCCTTTAATTGATGAACTGAAAACTCCATTATTTACTGCAATGTCTGTTAAAAATCTAGAAATTTCCTGGTATTCTGATGATGTTAGAATAAATTGGCTGTTTAACTTCCGTGTCTTTAAGTTCGCTCATTCTGTTTCTGAAGCTTGAAAAAAAACCTCAGGATTGTTTAGATGCTTAAATGGTTTAATGTCTGTTTTCTGGTTTTCATCTGCTGTTGTATGTTCCTTTCCTTTTGCTGTTGGGCACTTCCTGTGACTGACACGTTAATAAAAGTTTCAATCAATCAATATATCTGTATGTTGCTGCACGTTTAAGTTTACTGCGAGTTAACTACTAAGATTTGACAACTAAAACTAGATAATTGCAACTTTTATTCCTTGTGCACTTCTAGAACCAAGTCCCTCCTCTACTACATTCTCACATGCAATACCTCATCTCTCCACAGGGTAGTGCTGTAACTCCATGACACTTTCTCCTCCTCCCTCCAAATCCTTCCTAATGTAGATTTATTCATCTACCCCTGAATTGCCTCTTATATTATTCATTTGCAGCTCCAAGGTCTAGAGAAATGGAAACAAGCAAGCATTGTTAAGTTGTTTCTGCGGTTCTATCAAAAATAATGCAAAGAAACCTGCTGCTTCTCATCAGCAGCTGATGGTCCAGAGCTGAAGTGAATTTAGGAGCGGTTTTCTACCTTCTGTATGAGCAGCAGCATGGTTGAGGTCCCCTCAGCGCCGAGCAGCAACTCGATTTGTGATTTCCCCTTTTTTTAGAGGTGTGAAACATGACAACTGTGGCAACTTGCACGTGGGAGTGATGCTTGATGGTATGTCGTATAAATTTGTACTGGCAAAGACATGCACCCTCCCACACACGCCACAAGGCTATGTATGCATGAGCATGATGGAAACGGTATGCTCTGAAGGACAGTGGTGCACATGGAGAATGATTTCCTATTTCCTCTCCACATATAATAATAAAATAAATCCAGGCGAGGAGGAGTCACGTGGTGAGAGCTGCTTTGTGGCGCTGGAGCCTCTACAGGTGGACAAGTTGTTTGGCAGTGGCCCGACAACCCTATTTGGGCTAAACAACTTGTGAAAATCAATACATGATTAGTCAGCAAAACAAAGGATTTTGCTGTAAAAGCTCAGATCTCAGAGGATCACTGAACTTAGAGGGCAAGTGCATCATGTGCTCTCAGCAGACCTGCCTGTCCGCCGACTGCAGAGCCGTATCGACAGCGGCTCCTGCCCCTATCCACGAGCTTCATCAGCCCCTCCAAATATTCTGCATTCTCAAATAGAGGGGGGCATTGATTTTATGTAACATGGCTCGTTAAGTGCTGATTAGGCCATTATAGTGATGTGATTTCAGGGAATGGGTTTGGGTGACAGGCGGCCAAACACAAATCAAAAGAAACTAACAACCCTTACAGAAAGAGATTTGGGCTGCTGCACTGTTTCACCTCCAACTCTCCAGATACCACCTGAATACTGAGTTTGTGGTGGTTTTATAGCTAATGGGCCCGTCTCTGGAGTCTGCAGTTTAGAGAAAATATTCATTCACAGAGCACAAGACGTTTACTTTTTGGCATTGGCGGTGTTTTATAATCACAAGGTCAACGCTTTCACACTCTCTGCTTGTGTTTTGTGGCAGTCTTCATCTGGATGAATTATCAGACAACAAATTGGTCCTTTTTGTACATTTATTATGTCGGAGGATCAGTTCATTAAAGCTCCTGTGAGGAATTTTCAGCCTGTTTCGACTTCCGTGCCTCATCCTGCTGACTTCTGAGAGTCAGACATTTTTTCTTTTGCTGAGAATGTTTTGTGAAAACGCTAAAAAAACAGCTGTTTAACTAAAACCTCCCACCTGAGCGCCAGTATGGTTTTGTTTATAGACTGTATATAGAATGGACGTGGTCTGCCTCCTCGCTGGGTGAATCCACCACCAGAACAGCACCCTCTGGTGACAGGCTGCAGTATAGGTCATAAATCCCGCCTCTTCCAGCAATCCCTATGGAGCTGTGGACAAATTTAGAAATTAATGACACAGAATATAAATGTTTCTCCCCCCTGGTTGTGATGTTGACATGTAGTTACTGTAAGACTGTTTCGTGCTCAAGTCCCCTTTTTCTGTGCAGCTCCATTTTTTAAATTTACAGTGTTTTTCAGACTATAAGGCGCATTTAAAATCCTTTAATTTTCTCAGATATTGACTGTGCGCCTTATAATCCAGCGCGCCTTATGTGTTATTACTTGTTGTGCTTACTGATTGATTTTATGTGGTACAAATGCGCTCAAAAATCTGTCAAATGTGTAAGTACGACTTCGGTTCGCAACAAAGCCGCTACACACGATGGATATTCTGAGCATTACGGTAACTGTCACCTGAGTTGAAATCATCACTGAACAGCCAAGTACAGATAACAGCAACGAGACTGACTTGGAGAATGGCGAGAGGGATCCGGGCGTGATTGATGCCGAAACCGCACAGCTGAAGATGAAGAATTCGATGGATTTGTGGAAGAGGAATGAATCAGTAAGTGAGCGTATTTTTATGTACCAGTATTTTTTTGTTACAACTGAGTTAAATAAAGTTTATCGGACTGTGTTGTTTTGCTAAATGCGCCTTATAATCCGGTGCACCTGAAAAATACGGTATTAGGGGGTTCGTGTTTTCTTTGATTGACATTTGATACAGCCTACGGGCGTACGAAGTCTACGTAGCTCACCCGGGGGATACGCTGTTTAAGCCGAGCGTCGTCACAGTGACTCTACCGCCGAATGCGTACAACTTTACAACAAGTTGTCCATAGTATATACAGTCGATGGTTTTGTTTCTTTTTACATCATGAATTAATTCCATGGACATCCAAAAACTGCTCACAGGAGCTTTAATGTAATAAAACTGTATTACATTTAAGCAAATGACTGAAATCATAGTTACAGTAAAACGGTGAAACTTGAAGAGCTCTCTGAAAATACCATCAAAATGAAACTGCTGACGATTTCCCATAAGTGCTGTTGCCTCTCTGAGATCACACAAGAATAGATTAAAATTTCAAAGAAACCTACAGGCACAGTCTCCTTGACTTTCCCCTCTGGTGTTCAGATATGACTATCACATTTCCGTTTTTGTTATTCTCATTATAATATATACTCACTGTGGGTGTATTCAGCGTGTAAGGGTTTATTTTAAGGTGTGTGTTTTTATTCATGAGTCAAAGGAAAGATTTGCTTCACCTTGAGATGGACCACAGTTTTATGGTCAAATATCAGAGCTAAACACTAGGCTGAATCCTTGCCCTGCACTTGAACTTAGACATATTTCACACGCTCTGTTTCAGAGAAATATGTCGTCTAATCCGCTGCGGTTTGTCACATCAAACCGACATTTTACTTTTATATACAGCGGTTCAAGTTTGCAGCTCCCTGCAGTAATGAAGCTCACCAGGCAAACAAACATCCAGACCATTTAACCAATCACGAGTTAAGATCCGAACAAGAAGGATGAATAGTTGACAATTCAGAGAATCAACAAAATTTCACACACTTAACCTTGAAACACTTCATCACTTTGAACTTTTCTTTTCTTGCACAAGAGGAAGTCAAAGACAAGTCTCTTCAACAGCGGCTCAGAATAGATGAAGAGAAAAAAAGCAAAGAGGTAATATCATAACATTGTGCCTCATCACAGAGTGTTATTCTCATTCACACACACACACACACACACACAGGACACGGCCAAATGAAACAATCCATTCTCATCCACTTCTCGCTCTTTACAGCAGCATCACTTGTCAGCGCCGACTTTAGGAGGATTCAGTGTGGGCTCTGCTTCATTTCCCCAGGTTCTTTAATTTAACCTCCAATAAGGATAAAGCTCTTATCCTCATTTACAGGATCATTTGCACAAATGATTCTAAATGTTAACTCTCAGATGTGATTCGAGAATTCGAGTTATACCCGGGTCACTTGAGGTGAATCTATTTTCGGTTCTAGTCTGTGCAGGATACTCTCACAGTACATCAGTAATTCATGATTACATGTTGTCATAATCAAATATTAAAACCGTCATTACTCTCTGAGTTAAAAGTCTGCTTGCAGCTCAGGTACGTGTTTTTTTATTTTGGGTTTTCACTTACACTAAGATCACTTGGAGAATTATTAGAGCACATGATAATTTCCTGCAAAAATCGTCCTTGTGTCGTATATTTTTCCGGCAGGTTATGAAAAAAAAATGCTTGCTATAGAGGTTTTATGATCTGTGGCTACACCTTAAGATTTAACAGCTCTTTCAGAACATTTTTATAATGCTGCAAACCCCATCTGCACCATCTACACAGTCATTACAAGCTCCTGAGAGCGTCTGTGTTATATATTTATTTTTTGCATCCTCCTGTTACTCTGATTACTGGTGTGTGCGTCCGTCTCTTCAGCCTTATTTGTAATTTTTTTTTGCCTGAATCGGCACATTTAGTCTTCCACATAAAAAATAAAAGACTCAGACCCCGAAGTCTACTTGTTTGCAGTTATCACCAAACTCGAGGCATTATTAAGACCATTTACAGAATCCTCAAGTCTCCCACAAGGTTTGTTTACAGGGCAAACACTATTTTGTATTCAAAGATTGCCAATAAAATGATCAACAATTCACCAGCTATAAATGAACAGGGACGGCAACTCTTTTCTATTTGTATGCATTCCTCCACAACCCTATCATTAGTGTCCTTCTCCTGCTGATTTGTTGCATTTACCTCCCCTGCTGATGCAGGAACGATCTGATGATAAGTGAATGATAACCGGTTGCATCACCAATAACAAAACATTACTGCACCAGAACAGAAATAACTCTCAGCACTGGAACACAATGTAAACTAAACCTGAGAAATGTCAGCAGCTCCAGTTCAGCAAAAACTCCTCTGTAAGAAAGACCGAACATTTAATCACGGAGGAAACTGGTGTCATCCTCGGGGTGGTTCATTGTCTTTGACAAGGGCAGTTTGAAGAGAAAGTGAATGTTTTAACACGTCACACTCAGGAGCGCGTCCCTCCGTCTTTGTTGTGTCCTTTAGTCCTGCTGTTGAGATCTCTGAAATGATGTATTTCATCAGATCACAATAAGAAGCAGTCCTGTCTTCTTGTGCTCGCTTACAAAGGCTTTAATCTCCTTCAGTAGATGTTAGCAACTGCTGTCTCAGCAGACATCCAACCATAAATCTATGACTAATTACTTTAGTTTATCCACACACACCAACTACACTCTAATTAGCCCAACAATGAATGGTAATGTCTTGGGTATCCATGTGGGCTTTTGAGTTACACTCACTCACTACATCAAACTGAAGATGTGGGTATTCAACCAGAGTGCTTTCTATTTTTCAGAGTACTTGTTAAACAGAGGCCTGTGCACATATGCTGTAGTGGTAATAAGAGAAGCCATCTTGATGAGATCAGTTCAGGGGGAGGTGTGAATTTATATGTTCGAAATAGGACACAAAGATTTGGAAAAAACAAACAAAAAAAAGATCACGCTATATTTTGTCATATCGTCCAATCTCAATGATTATCATGATTTTTTTTAAACTGTAAATTTCAAATCATCTGTAGTAAAAACTAAAGAAATTAGAGATTAGTTCAACATAGGGTTGCAAAGGGGCGGAAAATTTCCGGTAAATTTCCAGAAATTTTCCTTGGGAAGTTAAACTGGGGAATTTTGGTAATGTTCCAAACTGGAAACTTTACAGGGGAATTATTGGAATTTATAGAAATATGGGAATTATTGGGAATTTATGGGAATTAACTGGAAATTAGGGGCAATTCAAACAAACTGTATCAAATCCAAACATAAATCTAAATATTTTTGTTTTGTCATAAGCAGACAACCATGCAAAATAATAAATAAATGTAAATTGCAGATCCATTCCCGTTAATTCCCATACAGTTAACATACAAAGTAAATTACAAAGCAAATTAAACAAGATAAACTCACAAAAAATATAAAAAACATTTTATTCAACAATAGCCTACAAAAAATGTAGATTAATATTAAATAATGTAGTGAATTAGTTTATAGTCCTGAGTGTTTTTGCAGGTTTGCAAGACCCAAAATAAACAAATCGCCCCCTCAGAGATAATGAAGACGCCTTAAAATGTAAACATTAGAGGATACAAATGATTGATTGCTTTGGTCTGGTGGCTGCACCGCTAGTTGTAGCTAAACTGCTAAAGCTACAGACTCCACTCGCATTTTCATGTTTTCCACACAATCACTCAGAAAGAACTTCTTCGAATGATTTAACAGATCTGTTGTGTTGTCGGTTTTTGAGGCACCGACCGCCAACATACCTTACATATCGGCGTTTAGCTCCACGATCGGCCATTCTGTTTACTTCCTGTTTACTTCACCGGCAACTTACAGAAGTGAGCAGGAAAAGCTCGACTCTGATTGGCTGTTGTGACGCACATTTCCGCTATGTTCGATTGAGTAAATATGCTCACAGTCGATCACAGTCGATCACAGCGATCGAACTGAAATTTATCCCGATCATTAACCACGGTAATATAACCGTCCTATCCCGATTTAAAAGGAATAATAACAAATAATCACACAGAGTAAACCCAGAGATGTTTCTCTAAAAGTCCCTTCATCGTGTAACAACACATCATTGTCCTCCAGCTGCATCTGATTTGTGCATCTGATTTATTCATGCAGTCAAATCCCATGCAGGCACCTTTGTTGTGCAGCAACAGAAAGACTGAAATATCATCATTTTTTTTCATTTGATAAAACAAAACACATGCAGTGTAACCAGGGAGTTGGCACTGTAGCTGCAGTATTCCTGAAACATTATATCCTGATGAAAAGAGCCGCTGTCTAGTGTGCTCAGCAAACATTGTCCCTCTCTTTCCCGAGCAAAATGTATATTTCCATGCCAACTTTTTGTTTTCCCATGCATTTATTTTGCAGCATTTCCCTCCTGTCTGTCAGAGAGAAAGAGAGTGTTCATCAGTCAGGAACTCAAAAAACTGAACCTGCTTGATGGTATTCTGCTCTTGAAAGTTGCCTCCTTCCTTCCATGCAGGATTTCATTATGCAGATTTGATTATTTGTGACAGCTTCCCCTTGTCCCAATAAAAGCTATTTTTTCCTGCACCGGGACATCACTCATCAAAACCGAGAGCGATTACTGATTTTCTGTTCCATGACTTGAGTGCAAATTGTAAAACAGCGTCTTAGAAAGATAAATATAGTGTTTTTCATGTTTGCATGTGCAGTAGCCACACTGAGGGCAGAATTGAAAACTGAGGAGTGTGCAGCAGAATTATAATCTCATCCTGCTCTGCTGCACACACACACACACATGGATGATGGTGTGAGGTTTCTTGCCAATAAGCGATGAATTTGCACATGTAGAGTGGTGTTTAAAACCTCCACATAAGTGAGGGGGGATCAAGAGGGTCTGAATCATCCAATAAAAAGGTTTTCCAGCATGTATTTGCCTCTCTGTTTCATATTTAGATGGCGCCGCCTAACAGCAGCAGTGAAGCCTTCATAAAAAGGTCTTTACATTGGGAATGGATGTGAGAATGTGAACTCGAAGCTCTTGGTCCCTATCCATAATCATCCTTGAGTTTACATGCTCTGTTTGCAGTGTGCTGGTGCGTGTCCGTCTGTGGAGGAGATGTAGTTGTAGTTTCATGAGCTATTTTTAGAGAAAGTTTTTAAAGATATGAAAGAAAACAAAGTGTCGGTGAAATGTGCCGAATACTTGAAAACATGGGGACTGGCAGGCTTGTTTGTATGTGTAAACGAACTGAGAGGCCACGCATGTCACAATCCAAATGCACAACGTAGAAATAAATTCCCTGAGGCTGATCTACATAACAGTATTTGTAATGGGCCCTAAGGTTCCTGAATAAAAATAATTCTGTCAGAGCGACTTCAGGCTTTGTATCTGAAACTGAAGACACACTGCGGCACATTCAAAGGAAGACAAAGGAAACAAAATCTCTGCTGTGCTCACTCCTGCTCTCTTTGTAGCTCTGAATTTCACAGATTTCTATTAACAGAGCAGAAATGGGAAACAATGTAAAGTACAGATTATTTATCTGACCCCCAACCTCATTTCTCAAACTTGGCCCGTTTTTCAGGACTCGGACAAAGAGGACTTAGACTTCCTTTTTGTTAGATCCTCTTGTTGCTTGTTTTTTAATGTTGATTTCTTTCGCCTCAGGTATGTTTGTTTACCTACATCTACATTCACGTGCCGTCTTGTTCGGTGGTGCAATGAATCATGTGGTTTGCTTTCATTTTGCAGTAAATGCAGGAAAGAGAGTACAACCTGTGCGATAGTTTGTGAGACAAACTAAAACATCTGTTTAAGGTCACACCTGCAGGAGAAGAATCAAGCTAAAGTTGGGCTGTTATAACTATTAGCATCATGGTACATTAGCTACTAGAGTGACTCAACCACAGAACGGTTAGTTAAAATCCTGGTTAAAGGTGGGGTTGGCGGGAATCCGTTAAAGAAGCATCTTTTTTTGTGGTGTTTATACAAAAAAGGTTTTCATATCAGTCAATAGTTATTAGTTATTGATGACATTTGGGAATATAAAGATATCGCTGTGTTTTTTTATGTCTGTGTAGTCAACATTTTAAATTCTTTGAGCGGTCCGCTCTTTCTGACTGTAAACAAAGCCGTTCTCCGCCTCCCCAAAGCTGATTGGTTGTGAGGCAGACGCTGCTCCCCCGTGTCGTTCAGGAGCCCAAACAAAGTTAGCGTGCTACAAAATTGGACGGTAGAAACCAACCAGAAAGTTCGGAAAATTGTCTGAATCCTCCTTTGGTCACGACTGCCGACACAAGCAAGAAAACAAAGTAAATACCGGAGACTCTGGAGGAATAACGGGCGCTTAAAACGGAGGTAGACCGGACAAGAGCTAAAAAGCCGGGTCAACATAAACGATGGGGGATGCTTGGGGATCTTGGTGACCCTGTAACCTTTCTGCTGGACAGGTAAACCGCTTTAACAAAGTAAGACAAGTGTCTGTAACAAAAATGTTTCTTGTCAAACGGACCTGCTGTAGCGTGTTGTAGCACCATCGCTAAACTGTTGACCTCAGGTCCTGGACTATGTCACTTTATCCTCGTTGTAGAAGTCCTGCAAACATTGTGTTTGCTGGTAGTCTGTTGGCATCTACAGTAGCACCAATGCTTTTGACTTTCACCTTGACTGGGCCCCATTTGTAATGATCTGAAATATTTATCTGCATTATATCTGAATTTAGTTGGAACGATAAGAGCGAGCAGGAGCGTCTGTTTGTGGGCGGGGCTTGTTGGAAACTGGTTGGGAGGGGTAGAGTTTACCTTCAAGATTTCTCCTAAAATCTGGCACTTCCTCAGATCCTGACTACCCCACCTTTAAGAGACGTCTGCAGCAGGATGGATTATGCTCGACACACAGCTCTGTACCTGCTCTTTAATAGTTTACTATCACTCAAATCTCCAAACAGAATCAGTCAGAATCCAACATTAACAAAGAAATATCAGACCGGGTTCATATTTGGAGTAAAAAACAGTCCTCTGTAAAATGAATAATACTTAAAATGAGCCTTTAGACTCGACTGGGACTTGGACACGCAGAAGTCAAGACTCAAAATAGACAAACATCAGTCTGACAGCACGGAGAAACTGTGTGTAAACAGAGACAAAGGCGGTGAGCGTCTGTCTGCGACATTATCAACTCGTGTCTGATAGTGTCTCGGGTGAGTAAGTTTCTCTTCTTCCACGATTCCAGCCTCTATCACAAAGAGACAAAGAGGAGAGTCATGAATTACTCCGTTTCAGGTACAAGGATAAGTAACAGGTTTTGACAGAGACCTTGCTTTAATCCTCACTGAGAGTTTTTTTTGTCTTCTTTGTGTCTGAAACTAAAAGTGACACACTGAGTCGAGCAGCACAAACTGATCTGAACTACTGCTCCACCACCAAAGGTTTGAAGGTGATCATTAGATCAAGCTGGAGGTGATTCTCTTTACCCAGGGGAGCAAAAATATGCACAAAGACTTCTGGGTAAGGAGGCGGTTCAACATTCTTACATCACTTTGACCTTTTGACCCATTTTAAAGAAAACATCACCTTTTCTGCTGCTTTATATATCTTTTAAACGGGCTGCTGCTCTGTACTTCGCAGCAGGTCAAATCTATTAAATATACATCTGCCTTTTTTTATCTGCCCTGACGACCGTTACATTTAGAGTTCTTCAGTGCTTCAGCCTGTCTAACGTCTTCACTGCAGAGACGGGGAGTGGATCTGCTGAGATCTTGTTTTGGAGGAAATTTGTTTCCTCAATTTGGTGCAAGAATTTCAGAGTCAATCTTTTCACATCTTTCACATCGGCTCTGAAAACAGCTCCTGACTGATCATGACTGCATCTCATGTCATAAGCGGAAATCAAAAACAGCTTTTTTCATGGATATCAAGTGCGACATGATAAGCTGTCGAAAGATATTAAGCACCAGCTAACCTTTCAGTCAACCCTAAAGCTCCAGGACAGCCGGTTTGAATAGTTACTGATCATTTTGCCGTGGATAGATTTGACCTACGGCGTAATTGGCCTAATAAAAGCATTAGATACGCTGTCAATATGATTTGCATAATGTGCAAAGGTAGACTTATTCCTGAATGCGGGCGGTGTCTGAGGGACCTCAAAATGCTGCAGAGACTTTATTCACACCTGCCAGGGAAATTGTGATGGGAGACGGCAGCTGCAGCTGCGGCTCCTGCCTCCAGTGAGTCCAACAAGACCACCAGGACCCTGTTGGAGTCTGGTACACATCATCTGCACACACTCACACAGAGAACAGTTCTCCTTACCTCGTGTACAAAAGACAAACTTCCTGTCATGGTTTTCAGCTGCACATTAACAGCAATGTAAATTTTATCAACCGTGTTTTTTAATGACCGGACTGAGAATTAAAAGAAATCAAAAAGTGAGTGTCTCCTCTCAGTTTACAGCCGCACCAAGTCCAAGTTTGAGAAACTACAGATTGTGATTTTGTGAGGGCAGCTTTGTGATGTGGCTCCACTTCACAGATTATCGATTATCTCGCTGATGTTTATCTCAGAGAAAATCACTTCAACACAGAGCACCATGTAATGAGTCACTCTCACACTCGCACAGAGGTCAACACTGTCTCTGACTGTTTCGCTGCTCTACAATAGAAAGAACAAGCTCTCTCTCACAACGCTCAAAGTCTTTTTTTCTTTTTGAATAATGCCTCTCATATTACCAGGATGCAGCACTGTGCTTCTCAAGGTGCTGCTACAGCAAATTTTCCGCTTTTCCTTTCAGGTCAGTCGTACATGAGAGGCGGTCTGGCCTCGGTTTGACCCACAGAAATATGACACTCTGCAAGCCATCACCTCAGTTTCATTTCCGAGGCGTGCACTTCACTGAGTGCTTCTGTCGCTGCTGTGTTTTGTCATCACGGTGGGCATCCAAATGAGACCTAAACCTTGAGGAAAATTCCGCTCTCTCTGGTCAGTCGCTCCACCGTTCTCTGGCCCATTAGCTTTTACGATTAGACCTCCATTTGCATAACTAGAAGAGATGGGGAATGTGGATCTGAATAATCACAGACAGAATCTGAGGACCATCGTCCAGAAAACATCGACCACTATCTTTAATCACTTTTGGGAAAACTCAGAAATATGAACGTGACTGAGCCTCGTCTCATTACTGCACCTGAGATCGACAGAGAGAGGAAATAAAAGACAACAGGTGCGCTTATATCTGAACTATACTTACAGGATATATCGAGGAAATGGATGGCTGGAGCTCAGCAGGGATCAACCTTTTGCTGATTTTTAACACCCCTGCCAGTGTTTATCAAACACTTGGGCCCAGAGTGTTCAAATTATCAGTGAGAGCGAACAGATGGAGTGTGAAAGCAAAGCGAAGATATCTGTTCGCACCAGACCCGGTGCAGGTAATAGGAAATA